GATGCAGTAAGTGATGGAGAGCAGGTGCTCCAAGCATCTCAGACTCACGAGACGAAGATATCAGCCAGTCGCGGTTTTATCTTGATCTCCTTCCCGTCCGCGTCTAGCGGGGGACAGAATTTGAAGACATGCAACAGCACGCCGACGCCGACGAAGACAGCTGCGTCGGCGAAGTGCCTGCCAGGACAAATCCTGCATTCGCGTGACTTAGTGCAGGAACTTTCTTTGGCAGCATATTCTCACCTCCTCCCGAACCCGAACAGATACCTCTCAGAGTCCCTTACGTCAGGATCGATTTTGCCGTCTTTGATCCAGCGTTCAGGGAGGAACTCTTCTGGGTTTTCGTACGCCTCCGAGTCTCTCAGGCACGCCCTACGACAGTGACATCAGACGTCGATGCGAGTGAGTCAATCCAGTCTGAAGAGAGCGTTTACCAGATGTTCGATACCAAAATCGTACCCTTGGGAATGAAGTATCCACCCATCTCCTCGTCTTCCGTGGTGAAGTGCGGGAGACCAAGAGGTGACACAGGAAGCCAGCGATAAACCTCTTTGACGATAGCGTTCACGTACGGAAGGTTCGGTCGGTCACTGAAGTCCGGGAGGCGGTTCTGGCCTACAACCGCGTCGAGTTCTGCTTGTGCGCGCATCTGAACTTCAGGGTACAGCGACATAGCGAGAAAAAAGACCAAGAGTGTGGAAGCCGTCTGCGCAGATATATAAGTATGATACTGCAAATCCTGGTAAACGCACATGTTGACTCACCGTCTCGGACCCCGCTATGTATCGTTACAAACCGTCAAGGAAGCTCATCAGCGGACTCCATCTGGATGCATCCGAGAGAGAAGACGCACCGCCAAAGACTACACCGGCGACGTCCAGCGCCAGCGCCGAGTCGCTGTCCTCGGACCCTTGACGAGCCTTTGTGCGCCGCTGATCATGTCGGTGGCTACGCACTCCGGCCTCGGATCTTCAGCCATATAGCGCTCAAAAGGGAGCACCATCATCCGTCTCAAGTCCCTCCGCCACCGCTCAAAGGTCCGGCGGAACGGCTTGAACGACGGGGCGTATTGGAGGAACGGGAGGATGTCGACGAGGAAGGTTCCCGAGAGGAGCAGCTCGCGCACACCTTGCATACCGATGTCGACCACTTTGATGGTTTCGTCGCCTTCTCTGGCTTGGAGGCCGTAAACGATCTCTAAAAGGGCGGCGGACATGGCGCTTGGAAAGAGTACGGCCAGCGATGGTATAAGCATATGACAACGCAACTGAGGTGTGCGAGGAGGTTCTCACAATTTCACCTGGTGTTCGGAGAAGCGGAGGTGGATTCGAGAAGCGACTTTGCTAGTTTGTGAATATGCTCTCGCTGCACTTCCTGGTACTTCCGGATGGCATTCGAGTTGAAGTACTGCCAGAACAGCCGCCTTCGGAGGCGCCATGCTTGTCCGTACTCCATGAAGCCGAACGCTTCGGTCATCCCTGACCTAGAACCGCACACCGCTCAATGATGAGACGTCATAAGACTAGAGGAAAGGAATGTTATACATTTTAAAGCTTGGACTCTGGGCTCTACCGGACGTAGTAGCAGAGGTCTTCTCGAGGTGTTCGAGAACGGTACCTCCGCCTCCGAAGATGACGATCCGCTGGTCTAGAATGCGAAGCATCACGATATCACCTGCCATGTACATTTAAGTGCGATGCTGCGAGACGAAGAGGACTGATCCTTACCATACTTTTCCGTGATCTCCGCAAGACCTTCCCACTGTCTGTGCTTCGGCATGTCTAAGATGTTCCCTACGATGGGAAGTCCAGGAGGTCCAGGAGGGAAGGGTCGACCTCGAGCGCGCGCATGCCAGGACCTGAGCGAGCGAACGTAGAGGACGGCGAAGACAGCGATAGCAGCTCCGAAGGCTGTCAAGTCCGTGGAGGTGAACATGCGGACAAAGTCATGGCGAGCCTGTGCTCCCGAGACCCAGACTTTGTATCACCTGCTCAACAACTTCCGAGATTCTTGGACACGGTCTAGTACTGTGGAGAGGCTCAGGTCAGGCTCGAAGCAGCACAACTCTTGGCCGCTCTGAAGCCTATCGGAGGCACGGGGAGTGGCGCATTCCCACCGCTTGATAGGACGGATGTGCTTCCCGAGATTTTGAGGGACTGTAAGAGGCATCACATCACCAGACCTACTCGGTAGCCGGGTCCGAAAACGTCATCGGAGATATGCTATAGCTGGAAAGGAACAATGAAACTGCCTGAATCTTCCCCTGAGAGTTTCGAAGACGCGATTGTGTTGTCACCGGGTCTGAATGAGAAAGAAGCGGTTTGTTTGTTGGACAACATTTGTTCAACTTGCGAGTAGACTCTCCAAGGGCACGATGCCAATCTAAGCGCAGCCTGTATGAATGGCGGTCCTATACATCAATAAATCAGTACATAACCGCGATGTCCCAAGGATATTCCCAAGCTCAGAACAGGTATATGAGCCTCCACCCCCACTAACGACACACCCCAGAGAAGATTATTAATCTTTCCACAGCCAGAAAGGACCTTGCATGAAACATTAGCTTGGGTACCACGAACCATCTTTCGAAATGTCCTCACCAACCGGGTCCTCGCTGTCATGCAACACTGTGGTCCATGCCCCAAGGATACCGAACTTCGATCTAACATTGCCGACTTGTATGCCTTCAGAACTGACGGACGATACTTCAGATACATGCTCGGAAGCACAGACAGCAATATAAGCCATACCTCCAGATTGCGTTGCCTTGTTCACCAGAAGTCTGGACACAGCCCATGAGTCCGACGAAGACGTGCAACAGCAGGAACCACGTACAAAGCGCCAGCGGATTTGATTATCCGGTGTCAACCGCACATGCCCCACCATAATCGAATGACCTTCGACTGAACCTCCGAATTGAATACGAGGAAACCCTGGATGATCGGGGTCGATTTCGGTGCCAAGGACGCGCATCTCGATGGGGAAGGTTCGATACACCTCTGTGAAGTTGGGATCATCGAAAATACTCGTGTCGAGGGGCATCTCGTCATATGCCTGCAAAGACGGGAGCGTTAAGTACGAGACCACAAAGAGCACCGTTTGATTTACGTTAGAGGCATTGTAGACTGGATGCTGAACTCAGCCACCTGCCCAATCTCCGTAGAACGCGGGTACTCACGAAGCAGCTCTTGATGATCCATAAAGGCGAACGAGCAATGCCACGTCCCGCCCACCCCTGCCCAATCGTCCTGCTGGAGCAATTCCAACCCGTCCGGAATGACACTTTGCGTCCACGGCATGCTCATGGGAAAGACGGTGAAGATCGCTTGCGACGTCTCCTCAGTCGAGGGGACGATGTGCATGGATATGACGTGATGCAGCGCACGTATGTGTACCCAGTCGACGCGTCCGGTGCTGTCCATGCGGAAGGGTCCAAAGTCGTTGTCGTACTTGTAGTTGCGCATCGCGTAGACGAACGCGCGCGAGCGCGTGATCTCCTCCTTCGCGAAGTCGCGAGGGTAAGGCCGAAGTAGGTGTGCAGCTGGGCGCGGAGTTGGAGCTCCTCGGAGATAGCTCCCACTCGGAGTGGTCGATGATAGAAGAGGAACGGATCATGAGGGCGACCCATGCGTGGTTGCGCGAGGGCTCGCCGATGAAGGATGGTACGCAGTTGGAAACCATGTCAACAAGTGTCTGGAGGACGGTGGTGCGCTCCTCCGGCTTGCAGAGGTTGACGTTGGCAAGGATAGTGCGTGTACGCATGACACGTTGGAGAAGGTCTTTCCAGTCGAGTCGTGGTAGCGGACGACCAAGGGGGGTGAGACATTGACGGGGGTCGTCGAAGGGCTGGAGGAGGTAAAGCTCGCGCCATAAATGTTCGCCTGAGTTTGAATAGAGCAGGAGGTGATAGGCGGAGCACGTCTGGACGAAGCGCGACACGTCGAGGGGGTCAAGAAGGAGGACGATGTCTTCAATGAGCTCGACGGGGAGATCTGCAATAGTGGCCATCGAGGTTCTTATCTACCCGTGGGACGCGTCGGGATCGCTCGAGGAGGATGGGATGAGCAGAGACGAGACGCACCTTTGGTCTCCGCTTTGTATGCGCCCCGGAGCCGTCGAGCTCATAGGCGTGGACGTCCGGAAAAGATGTGGGGTCCTATGGGAAGAAGTCAGTGGTCGTCGGAGGGAAATGCCGCTCCGAGCTCACCGCGATTGCAAAGCTGGAGCTGGTGGCGGGCCATGTGCATGAGACTCGGCCCGCTGTGGCTCGCGTGTGGTGGCGGGATGCGTTCGCGACTTTGTGGCGCCCTTCGACCGCGTCCTCTCCGACCGTCACCAACCGCGCACCTCGTCTACCCAGGCCTATCCCCAACTGTACCATTCATCATACGCAGCGCGCCGCTGCACTTACTCATTTCCGGTAGGCCATGAGCAAGCCGGCTCCCAAGACACGCCCCGCTCCTGCCAAAGTGCCCGGCATATACAAACAAGATGCTGTTCGAGTACGTCGCACACGGCACCATCGCCAGCCTATCTCACATATATGACCAGGATGTTGCCGAATCATTGAATATCACCAACCTTCCTGACGCGGTCGCGTCAGCTCTGGCCAGTGATATTGAGTATCGAATACAGCAGGTGGTCGAGGTGCGCACCCATGTCTCCTGTGCTTCGGGCCAATGCATAATGCTTGCCACAGGAAGCCGCACGTTTCATGAGACATGCAAAGCGGACAACACTCACTACCTCCGACATCGACCAGGCCCTCCGCGTTCTGAACATCGAGCCTCTATACGGCCACTTCCCCCACAATCCTCCATCCTTCCGACGCGCCCTCCCTTTTCCACAGGTGCAGTCGGCAGGCTCCGTGTACTTCGTAGAAGACGAGGAGATCGAGTTCGACCGCGTTCTGCGCGAAGAAAAGCTTACAATGCCGAAAGGCGTTTCCTGGACTGCACATTGGCTCGCTGTCGAAGGTGTGCAACCCCTCATTCCCGAAAACCCCCCTGCCGCACCACGAGAAGTCGAAGGAGATGCTGCAAAACAAGGCCCCTCTGCGTTCCCTCTCACACCACCTTCTGCCGACAGACCTTTGCAGTCTGGAAAGCAAACCCAGCAGCAACCCATTCTCATCAAGCAAACACTGTCCCGCGAGTTACATCTGTATTATACCCGTCTCACGACTTCCCTTCTCCCATCCGCCTCCGAACAGTCAAAACGAACGGCGGCCCTTGCAAGTTTGCGCAGTGACACCGGCCTCTCACCTCTGCTCCCCTACCTCGTCCATTGGGTTGGCGAAGGAATAGTCAGCACACTTAGGAGTGGCTCGCAGACGGAGACCGATGGGAAGTTGTTGGAAGTGTATCTGGATGTCATTGGAGCGCTGCTGGACAACCAAACGCTGGGGGTGGAACCATTCGTACGTCTCCCCCGCTGATCATCTGCACATTGCGTGACGAGTTTTCTCTGTAGCTTCACCAACTGCTCCCTTCCGTTTTCTCCATCCTCCTATATTCAACGCTCCCCCCTTCTCATGCGACACATCTCCGGATAACCGCCGCACAAATCGTCGCTCACCTTCTCACCCACTACTCCATGACGTACCCAAGTCTCCCCATCAAGGTAGTAAAGACACTCATCGTTGGCCTGATCGAGCACAAGAAAACACGGGCTACGCATGAGGGTGCCATCCGTGGTCTCATGGCAATCGGAAAGGAGGCGGTGCGTTTAGGCCTCGTGAGCCGTGAGGGCGCAAAGGTTGTCGGGGAGAAGTGCATGCCGGGAGAAAGCAGTTCTCTGGTAGAGCTGGTAATGGTACGTCCCCCCTTTCGCCTTCGTCGATCCGCGCTTTATCGATGTCCTGGCCATATAGGCGGGGTTCAGGATGCTATATCCGCCATCAGCACACCCGGTGCCTCTGAATCCCTACTCAGAGGCGGACCGAGCCGTCATCGAACAGCTGCAATCTACCCTTGGCGACTTCTTCGCCGACGCCGTCCAAGGCGATTCCGTTTGGGCCCGAGGAATTCTCTCCGACGACGCCGCCGTGCTGCTATGACCTAGGACTTCCGTACGCTGTCTATTGCAACTGCTGTATTTTATGCCCTGCTTTCGAACGGCGCCCGGCGCCTTGCTTTCGACTCACCTCCCTGCCTGAAAGCCGCATATTTATCCGAATTTCACTTCAACGTTGTGAATTGCAAGCCCGCGAGCCCCTGCGTGGGACCGGGTCGCGACGCACCGGTACGTGCTTTGCCTGCTTCCTGAACCTCTTCGCAGCTCCCATTGGTCCCGCGAGTTCCCGTTCCCACCGTCGACGGGCAAGGTGCGGGTAGAGAGCGAATAGGCCTTTAGGGGAGGCCGCCACGCTGCTCACATTAACCTCGCCTGGAGCCGCGTTCGCACCATAAAGAGCACACCTGGCATCCTATCTGCTCCGCACAGGCCCACGGGAGCAGGGCTTGGCGCTGGGGACGATATATCCCGCGCACGAAAGCATCGATGGGCTACTTTCCTTCCCATCGTCAGATACAGCCCCACTCAACGGACACGGCGCCTAAGCAGGCTACGACATGAGCACCGCGGAGAACAGTAACGACGCTGTGGCCGCCCCTGCCACCACGGTCCCTGCGGAGACAACGCCTACCAACGGCCATGATGCGCCCACAGGGGAGACTTGGAAGGGCACGCCGCTCAGCCAGTTATTCTCTGAGAACAAGCTGGGATGGCGCGGGTGAGTGCTCCATTTTTCTCCCCGCCACGGCCTCTTACGAGTTGCCTTGACAGCTACGTCGAGTGGGAGGACTACCCTGATAGGAAGGTCGTCGCGACAGAGATCCTGAACACCAAGAAGTTCACGCCCATCCCGGGTGAGTTCTCGGCTGCGTTGTCTCGCCACCCGACACCCTCTGAGACCCCGGCGCCTCCTAGAATTCCAGTTCGTCCCGCTCCCAGACACGAACCCCGTCCTCGTCGGCCACCGCTGGAAAGAGTACCACGAAGCGCTTGGGCTGAAGAGCATCGTCGACTTCAGCTGGGAGATCGTCCTGAAGGAGAAGCCGGGCATGATCCACCTGCTCGACTTCCCCTACAACGGCGAGACGCCGCGCAAGGAGCTCGTGGAAGGGAAGCTCACGGACAACTTGTTCCACTTGTGAGTCCGCCGTCGCTTCCACTCCACCCAAGCGCGCATTCATTGTTGTATGTAGCGTGCGCAACCACGGAGGCGTCCCCGACATCGACGACGACGCTTTCGAGCTCGAGATCGGCGGTCTCGTCAACCAACCGGTCAAGCTATCATTGAAGGACCTAAAGGACGAGTCAAAGTTCCCGTGAGTGTCGCATACCGCCTCTTCGGGTGTTCGTAGTAGATTGATCCGCATGCCGTGCCCAGTCAACACGAAGTCACCGTGACCTTGCAGTGCAGCGGCACCCGTCGGATCGAGCAAATTCGGGAGTACCCGGGCGACGGCGACGAGCTTATCAACGCGGTAAGCTGCTTGTGTACCCTTATGTGTTTGTGGGGCGGCGCTCAACACCATGCTCTAGCCATGGGGGGAAGGTGCTATGTGCGTAGCGTCAATCACCTCGGACAGCCACAGAGGTCACTAACGCGCTGACGAACCCAGCGGTACTGCAGTGTACCGGGGTGTGGCTCTCAAGAAGGTGCTCAAAGTCGCATGCGGCGGGCTCCTCCCCGAAGCGAGCCACCTTGAGTTCATCGGCGCAGACACGTACTTCAAGTGGGTACCACTGCTACCAGGGGCCCTCACTCCCCTTCCTCGTACGTATGTACTGATGCTCGCGGCTTTGTGTACAGGAAGAACAACGTCTACAACTACGCCGTCTCCGTGCCGTGGCGCAAGGTCCGCCAGAGCGAGGAGGTGCTCCTCGCGTGGGAGATGAACGGCAAGCCGCTCCCCAAGATCCACGGCGCCCCGCTCCGCGTTGTCGTCACCGGCTACATCGGCGCGCGCAGCTGCAAGTGGGTGTACAAGATCAACGCGCTCCGGGAGCCGAGCATGGGCCCCGTGCAGAGCATGGAGTACCTCTACTACAACCAACAGGTGCGTCGCTCCGTCCCCATCCATCTTTGCTCGGGCTCAGGGAAGGTGGAACGGGGCTCACGATGGCTGTACCGACAGATCGGAAAGCACAACACGAAGATGTCGAACGGGTTCTCCATCCAGAACATGCCGGTCTCGTAAGCTCTCCCCCCTCCCCCTCTGTGCGCGGCTGTTCCATCGGGACTGACGAGAGGCCCCGGGGTTACGCATGCAGGAGCGCGATCATCTTCCCCACTGATAAGACGACAATCATCCACGACGGCACCATCGACCTCCAGGGTTGGTCCTACAGCGGCGGCGGGAACTGGGTCGAGCGCGTCGAAGTCTCACCCGACGGGTGGGTGCCTCTGATCCAGCCTCTCGAGCTCGAGAAAGCCTAACTCCTCCACGTCCTTTCATCTCGCAGCGGGCACGTGTGGTACGCCGTCGAGCCGGAGAACATGACGGAGAAGGTGCGCTCCTCTCCCTCTGCGCCAGCCCCTTAACCTCGGGAGGCCGTCGAACCCGCTGACCCGGCCTTCTTGCAGCACTACCACGCGTGGCGCCTCTGGACCATCACGCTCCCCGTCGACGCCGAGGGCTGGCTCGAGTTCTGCGTCCGCACCTGGGACTCGTCCAACAACACCGAGCCCACCTTCGTCCGCTCGGCGTGGAAGTGCGTCCTCTCTCTCTCTTCGTCCGCACTCCGGCGTGCTGATGCGTGTGCGCAGCTGGGACCTGCACGTCACCTCGTCCTGCCACCGCATCAAGGTGTTCAGCGTCAATCGGTCCAAGCCCGCGACCGCCCGGCGGCTGAAGGAGTTCGAGGCGCGGGGCGAGAGCTTCGAGCCTCTGACGAAGCCGATCGAGTGGCAGCTTGAGGACACGGAGGTGTATCTCGAGCGGATGAGGAGGTTCCCTCGCGAGCCGCTGAACTAAACCACGGGGCTTCTGCACTGCGAGTGGCATATGGACGTGGCAAAGGTCGTGATCGTCATTCATCAGTACAGAGTAGACATCGGATAGCGCGGTAACTACCTCTAGTCTCGAATGTTCGGAGGATGACATCGAGTAGAGTACGGTACGGATGCACAGTATCTGCGGGAGTCGGAAGTAGCTATGCAAACAACAATGAAAACAATTCTTCACTTTCTACTCTTCGTCGTCGAGATCGGGGGCGGGAGGCGTGCAGGATATTACAACTAACGGAAATGTGATATATGTACGTGAAATGGTCGAGAGCAAGCGATGAGGTGAAGCAGGGAACCAGACAAGACGACGGTCCGGAGGGGCTCTAAGATGCTGAAGCAGCGGCCTGCTCGCCCGCAATGCGCATGACCTCCATCAGGAAGGTCTGGTGTTCGGATGTGAGCGATGTCGTTGCGAGCTGGTAGCCCTGACCGTTCTTCATCTGGAAGACTGTGGGAAGTTTAAGTATCACAGCCGTATGACACCGACGAAGGATCTTACCAGTCAACGAGGCCTTGAAGGTCACGTAGGGGTTGACGTTGTCGAGAGGGCTGATGTAACCAAGCTCCTCCTCAATGTCATCCTCCTCATCCTCGTCGTCGGAGACGTCTTCGCCAGCGGCCTGCTTCTCGGACTTCTCGCGGAGGCGCTTGCCCTCGTTGGCGAGCATCTCGGCGTAGGCTGAGTCCTCGTCCCAAACATCGTCTGAGAGCACCAAGTCAGTTCAGAAAACGACAGATAAATATCGAACGACATACCGTCCTCCTCGTTCATGTTCAGGTACTTCGAGTCATCATCGTCCTCCTCGTCCTCGTCATCGTTCTGGTACATCTCCTGGAGCTCTTTACGAGCTATTCAAACTGAAATTAGCGACTGCTCAAACGACACCACAACCCTTGCTCCTCACCTTGAACCGCCTTGGGGTACTCCTGGAAGAGCTTGAGCGCACCAGAGACGATGCCCGGCCAACCCTCCTGAACCGACTGCGGAATGCTCGCCGGGTCGACCTCCATGAGTGCGCAGAGCGCGACGATGCTCAGCTTCTTGTCGTGCACGCGCGGGAGGCGCGCCTCGACGTTGATCGCCGCGAACCACTTGTCGAAGAACTTGCGGGCAACCCCCGTCTGGTCGAGGATGCTCAGCGTCGCCGCCGGGTTGTAGAGCACGGCGTTGACGACGACGTTGAGCGTCGCGAGCCGGAGCGCGTTCGTCTCCGCCTTCTCGAGCTTCGTGAGCGCGGTCGTGATGATTGCTTGCAACGAGTCGTCGACGGAGCCGCGGAGGTTGAGGAGCATGGACTCGGCGAGCTTACAGCCGTTCACGGCGTCGTTCTCGCCGAGGTGATCGCTGCTCATTGAGGTCTGGTAAATGTCGAGAACCATCTGGCGGTAGTCGGCGCGCGACTTGAAGGCGTCGATGCCGAATGAGACGAAGTTATCGAGGGACGGGAGCATCTCTGAGGAGCGACAATGAGTGACAGGCTTTACATGAAACGGAATGACACACCATCGAGGAAGTCAACAGCATCCGACTTAAAGAGCTTGTAGGTGAGCTCGAAGACGGGCCACATGTTGGGCGAAATGTTGCGGAGCTTGAAGGTGAGCATGTCGACGAGGTCGTACATGTTGTCCAACAAGTCGAGCAGCTTGGCCTCCAGGGTGAGGACGACGATTGGGATGATGATTTCCTGGACTTGTCCGAGGATCTCGGGGGACGATTCTACAGCGGACACGACAGTAGCGATGGTCTTGGCAACGCCCATCGCCGCGAAGGTCTTGTCCTCGGTGGACTCAGCGTCCATGATGGAGTCGAGGTCAAGGCCACCCTCAACCTCATCCGCGGCCTGGCTTTCCTTGGCAAGGCGAGCGTAGGTCTCGCACTGAAGGAATCGTGATTTCAGCTGACAAAACTGTTTGTGACTTGACGGCACTTACCAGACGCGCCGTCAACTCTGCAGCGACGGGAAGCAGCTCAGACTGATAGGTCTCGACCATGGTTTCCATGCAATGGTTGAGGAGGTCGAGATCGGTTTCCTCCGAAAGCTTCAAGAGAGCTAACATAGAGTGCTAAGTAGCATATCGTGACAAAGAGGGCGACTAACTTACTCTGAATAACCTTGCCGACTTGCGGAGCGACCGCAGACTTGACTGTCTCTATGTGAATATCACGCCTCGAACTGACATAAACAGAACTCACCGGTAGACGAACTAGTGACGAGCTCGGTCAACGACAGGCATGCGTGGACCCGGACGGGGAGTTCCGTGTCGTCGATGCCTGCGGCAACAGCCGTCATGGCTTGGTGAAGAGACTGCCCATTGGGGAACTCGAGGCCTGACTTGACCACGGTGCCCAGGACCTCGTTCGCGACGGCGCGCATGTACGGCTCCTGCGCGTTGAACTCCGGGAAAACGTGCTGGAGCACGAACTGGGGCATGTTGCCCTTTACGTCGGGGTGGCGCATGATGAAGGGGCCCAAGGCGGCGGTCATGTTGAGCGCACCGAAACGCTGAGGCGCGGCAGGCTTGCTTTGGAGGACCTGGTTGATGAACCCGAGGATGGGGAGGAAAGTGGTCTTGGTGCGATTGCTCGCGAGAGCGAAGAGGAAGGAGGTCGCAGCAGAGACGGGACTATCGTACGCCTCAAACTCATCTAGTAATCCGGCTGAGTAAGCCGTGCTACCATTCCATAACGTCCCCGACATACCGACGGTGATGCGAACGTAGTCGATGGGGTCGGACTCCCACTGCTCTTGTCTCGCAGGGGTGAAAGAGAGCTGGGGGTAGACATACGAGGACACCAGCGTCTCAAAGTGGGGTTTCAGGAGGGCCCAGGTGGACTTGGGCTTCACACTACACGACAAACGAGGTGAGTTCTGGCGACTGCTGAACCAGCAAGGACGTACCACTCGGTGAAGAATGTGAAGATGCGGTACTGGCACTTCTTCGAGATCCAAACCTGGTTGGACACGAACAACTGCGTCTGCGCCAGGTAGACCTTGAAGATCTCTGGCGCGAAAGTGGTAACGAAGTGCTGAGCGAACGCGCCGTACTCCTCCTGGAGGCTGCTAGGGAGCTGGGAAGGGTTGCCAAAGCGGTGGAAGAGGCGTCCGAGAATCTTGTACGCCCACTTCTTCGCCTTCCACCACTCGCAGCGCTCGCGCTCTTCCTCGTCTTCCGGAACGGCGTCCTTCGGAACCTGGAGGTTGACAACCTGGAAGAGCAAGCGACCCCAGCTGACAAGGCTCTCCTGAGATTGCTGGTGCTTGCTCAGCTGGAGGATGATACTTGTCATGTACGTCTTCATGATGAGATGCAGGATGGTAGGGACTTCATCGTTGTTGGTGACGATAGGATTTGCCAGAGCCTGGCCCGCGATGGTCACGAGGGTAGGGAAGAACTCCTCGACTAGTTTAGGAAGCACGTCCGTTCCCTGACGGAACCTGCAAGAAGACGGTCAGGATCCTCATCCTCGTCAGCGAACCGGACATCGAACAACGGCGCGCGTGACCCTCCGCACGATAAGCCTTCCACAGAAACCGCCCAAACAAGAGCTCGAAATCGTACCATGGGGCTCAGATCTGCTCCCCACTCGGTACTCCCGTGCAACGAGAGACGCGGCGCTCGAAACAGAGCACCCCAAGGCGCAGCAGAGACCCGGGCGCGAAAAAGAAGAACATACCTGAACGCACGGACCATCTCCAGCGTCGCCACACATCCCGCGTGCACCTCGCGCACGTTCCCACTCACGAGCAGCTTCTTCACATCCTCCGCGAGCGACGGCCACTGCTCCGGGAAATCGCGCGCGACGACGTTCTTGAGCGCGCCGGCGAGCTGGACAGTGATCGCGCGAGAGGGAGAGGCGGCGATGAGCGGGATGATGGACGATTTGAGGACGGCACGATCCGAGGTGGGGATGGGGACCTGGTCGGGGCGCGCGGTGGTGTCGACGAAGTAGGATGAGTACACGCGGTTTTTGAGGTAGACGGCCGCCGCCTGGCGCGTCGGGCTGCGTGGAGGGAAGGGCGCGGGTGGGTGGCTGTGATCAGCGTGTGGAGTGGCGGGGACGCGTCGAAAAGAACGCACGCATCGAGGCCATCGTTTCCGATGATCTGCAGGGTGCTGGAGATCATGCCCTCTTGTCCGCCGAGCTGTTCGCCGCACGCTCAGAAAAACTCAGGCCTCCTCGTACTAGCGCAGCGTACCTTGCGGATCTGCAGCTCGGACATCTTCTGGACATTAGGGTCTGGGCTGAAAGTGGAGGCGAAAAGCTGGGATAGCTGTTGGAGATCCATCTGCGCAGAGTGAGATGCGTGTATGCGCCATAGATCAGATGGACCCACCTCGACAACGTGTGAAAGCAGGGTATATGTACAGAGGAGGGGGCGGAACTGGTTCCAAAAATTTTGGGCGGATGGGGGGTGTGGCAAGACGCGTGCATCTCGCATCGCGTTTCTTTATCGTGTTTAGGCGCTCTCTCCGCCCGGTCCGGCTAGAACCTCGCGCTTGAGTTTCAATGCATGATGCCTCAGGGATCTCGCACCAGGCTACAGCGTGGCCAAAAGCCGATTATGTTCATCGAAGCGCGTACGTAGTCATGACGAAAAGGCGACTAACAACGCAGCACACGCTATCTTTTGACAGCTTTCCTAGGCTTGCATGTACATTGGCAAACCATGGTTTCCATTCAAGACTGAGCTTTTGTCACTGGGAGGTTTAAACGGCATGCCAAGATGTGCCATAGCATCCCACGGTGCTCAAATAAGATCCAACCACTACGAAAAATCATGGTATCTGCGATGTGGTCAGCGAGGGTGTTAACTCGCGTAGCGACAGGACACAAACCTAATAGACTGGACCACAGTGACGGCATGATCGTCAACCTACGAGGAAAGTAAGTACGTCCACATCCCGAACAAGGCGTTCAGTAGGAACCCGACTACGATGCCCATCTGCATCCTCCGCCTGTGCGTGGCCTCTAAGATTGCAAGTTCAAAGAAGGTAGAGGGCCACTCACGAGAACACGGGTTGCGAGACGGTTTCATACTCCGAGTCGTCATCCCAGAATATCGCCGGCTTGGTTGCCCTAAAGAAAAATACGGGTATGAGGGGAAAGAAGAAACCCAAGACGATGCCGTTATGAAATTGGGTTGTAGCCGGCTGCGAGTTGGCAAGTGACGCGCTATTTCCGCCGTCGAGGGAATCGATCCATTGCTCTTCCAGCTGGCGCGCATGCTCGTCGACTAGGAAAGCATGCATGAGCACATACCGAGATAATGGACGCATGAATCGGCTACACACAGTCCTCCTGGTCATCAAACTCTTGATCCAAGTAGTCCCCTGCAGAGTGGGTGTGGAACTGCAGTCGGATGTTCGCAATGTCCGCCTCAGAGAAGCCTGCCGCAGAGAGCCTGTCGAACCCCCGCAGCGGTTTCAATTGCGCAGTCTATAAGGGAAACGTTCAGCCCCACATCTCCGCCTGCGGACCCTGCACCCCGCATATGGACCACACATATAGAACAACGCGCCAGAGGAGACAACATGAACCACATACCTGCATTCTCCCCTCGTCCGTTTCCCCATCCTGCAACTTCGGCCCAACAGAGCAGTGCAGCCATGTCGGCGCACTCGATGCAGCCGCCTCTTCGCTTCGATTGTCGGCGTCGTTGCTGCTTCCCGCCGAGGACGTTGGCCTTCGTCTTCGCTGCTCCACAGATGCAATTCGGGAATAGAGCTGAGTGCTGTCTGCTAGTAGTTGCCCAGCGTGGATGAGCCTGAGTCGCCTGTCCGCCAAATCTGGCCTAGCTTGACGAATCTATCGAGACGTGACGGTCAGACTCTTCGTACCAAAGCCAAACAGCGCAGCATACACTGTTCTTCACGTCCGTGACCGTATCTTTCTCCGCGACCTGCACCGTAAGGTCAGGGATACCCTCAGTGAACCGGATGGTGAGGTCTTTGGTTGGCGGCGGTTCTGGTTCCGCGGCTTCCGGGTCTTCGCGCTGCTTTCCTCTGGCTTTCTCGCTTAGTGATGCAGACATGTCGTATATGCGAAGAAGCTTGCGAGATGAAAAGGTGGAAGACGCTGGCGCTTGCTCCTCCGCACCGTCAAGTCCGAGGACCGCGGGCGCCCGGGTAGGTGTCGGGGTGTGTCGGGGGATAGCTTGCGTATGGCGACAACCGGGGTCCGGGTGAGTTGACGCCAGGCAAGGGCGGAACTTATCTCCGCGAGACAACTTGCCTGCCGAGAGGTTGACTGAGCTTACGACATGGGCATTGGGCAGAGGTGGCGCTGAGGATAAGAGAGATGCGACGGCGTTGGTGTCGCGGCATTGTGGTGAAAATTAGTGCTCAACTGGCACAGCGGTGCATTCCTTCTCGGCCTCCTTGGCCTCCAAGCTGCGGAGGCCCAGCGTCCATTACTTGTCATCTTGGCCGCGTCGGTGCGTGACTTGGACGATTCAACGGCGAGAAGCTCTGCACGCGTGGGCAGGACCGTCATGCGTTCCATCACATGTGCAGCCCCTCCTGCAGCGCACCAACGGGCGACGAGAGTGCTAAATATGCTCGCGTCGAGTCGCGCGGGCCATGACATGAAACTGGGAGGCGGAATCGCAAGCGAGAGACTGTGATGGCCAGGCACCTAGGCCTGACGGGAAAGAAACGTGGTCTGGAACGCCGCCATCACCAAGCGCACCGGGCCGTCGCACATGTCGACCGCTCCATCTAAGACTATTCTCAGCAACATCATCTTTCGCGGCGTCCTCCGCTTGAGGCTTGAGCATCTTCCATCTCGCCCACGGCCCACGTCCATTCCAACCTGCAGCGCGGACGAAGCCCGGGGACACACGGTACAACAAGGTGCCTGACATGTGTCGCCGCTTTTCGCGCGCAAAACGGCCCCGCGGCCAACCCGCGGCCGTGCTTCTGCTTCCTCTGGGCGTTGCTCGGGTCGAGGCGCCGTCTCAGTGCGGGGCAACAGAGGGCAACAGTCGCCGTGATATAAAGCCCCGGCCACAGATAGTCGGTGCCTGCTCCCCCTCACTTTCACCCTCCTCCCCGTCGCCTGCGCGCAGCCTGCAGCATGGTCTACGGCCTCGTTGCTCTCTTTCCCTTGCTGCTCGCCGCGTGGCCTGGCGCCGTCTCAGCTGCGACCACAGCCCAGACCGGACTGGACGACGCGATGATCGCCAAAGTGAAAGCTAACCTTCGACAAATCGCCACACACAGGTGAGCATTGCCACAGTCCAATACGCAATTCGCGAACTTACCTGTGTTTTCAGCTGGGAGATAGGCGCCGAGCTCGAGGCGTTGACTGAGCTCGAATGGCCGACTTTGGCGGTATTCGAAGGGAGCCTGCCTCCGCCGAGCCAGCTCGTCGCTTCCGACAACGCGACAGACGTGATATCCATCGCAACTCAGTAAGACTCCCTCGCACCTCGGTTCCGAGCCAGAGAGATAAGCATCTGTGTCCTGACCGCTCCCCAGGGTTGTTAGGAACATTACCGACCCCTCCGGCCCGCTCATTGACGGTGACGGCGCTGTTGGCGACCCGGCCAGTGCGTTTTGGGATCCGCTCAACGTGATACATCTGATCCTTATTTTACTCCTCCCATGCTAGGCATCGGACAGGCTGTGCTCTTGGCAAACTGGACGCGCACAAACCACAGCGACCTTTCTCTTTCCTACGCTGCCACGAACCAGCTCAACTACCTTCTCGAGGATGCTCCGCGGTCTCAGCAAGGTGCAATCTCCCAGCGTGCAGATCAGGTGCAGCTATGGTAAGAACTTAAGCTCAAAATGTCAATTGTCTTTTCAACGTTAACCGTGCTTCGTAGGGCGGATTTCGTCTACATGGCGCCCCCGTTCATAGCCTACTACGGCGGTATGCAGGGAGGTGACGAGGGTCTCAGCCTGCTCAAAGAAGCCTACACTCAATGTGCGCTCTACCGCGAGCACCTCAACAACGATGGCAGTGGTCTCTGGAAACACATCGTCTGGGGGTCCGGCACTGACCTCAACCACTGGGGTACTGGTGCGCTGCCCACATCCTTTCGGTTTTTGTCTAGGGCGCTAATCTTTCCGACGCAGGGAATGGCTGGGGTGCCGCAGGCATGCTCCGTGTTCTCCGGACTATTCAGCGCTCCGAGCATGCCAAGACTCTCGCTAGTGAAACAGAAGATCTCACGACGTGGGTTGACGAGATCCTAACGGCGGTCTGGAAGTTCCAAGTGAGCAATCAATCGTAGTCGGCTAACATGCTTGAAGGCTCATCTTCGCACTTCATAGCACTCGAACGGCACCCTCTTCAACTATATTGACCAAGAAGCGACCACTACTTTCGCTGACACCGCCAGCACAGCCCTCCTCGCCGCTTCCTCCTACCGCTACGCCACGCTCACCGGTAAATTCGATCACATCGCCGCCGCGTCCAAGGCCTTCGACCTCATCAAGGCCAGCCTTACTGACGACGGCTGGCTACTCGGCACGACCGACCCGCTCACCTTCAGCGCACCCTCGAAGGCCGGCACCTTCAGCCCCGAAGGCCAGGCATTCGTCCTCCTCCTCCAAGCTGCGTGGCGCGACTTCAACGCCGCGCCGATCACGCAGGTTCGCTGCTCGCTCATGGCGATCCCAGGCATCTCGACGTCCGGTTGCTAGTCCCCCCACCGCTACCACCATCCCTCGCTTTCCTCTGTGCCAAACGCACGCCTCGGCCCCAGCCCCTTCCTCACCTCTACATCTGCGCCACTCACCCGATCCGCCCGCCCGCCTCACACTCTCTACCCTCCTGTTCGACTCGAAGTTCTCCTGTCATCGCGTGCGCCCTCCGCACGCCTGTACTTGTAGCACCGGGTTCCACCGCTGTACTCCGCTTGCCTCCCACATAGATCTTCCGTGCGCGCACGGTGTGCCAGTCCAGAACCCGCGTCCGCCTCTTGTCCGTATTTATCACGCTGGACCACCAGATCTTCGCCTTCTCAGCCTCCCTTCTTCTCCCAGCCCCAGAGGTCCCCGCCGCAAAGAGTCCGGCGTCTTTTGCTTGTGGGGCCAGAATCCCCACACCCGATACCCTGCCTCGCCTCGTGCAGGCGACATCCCCCTCCCTATCAAAAACACTGTCCTTTCTCCCCACCCTCGCCTCCGTACATCACGCACCCCATAATTGAATTCCAATCACCCGCTGCTTCCGCCTCCGACTTCTTGAGCTTCTCTCACGAGGTACACTCCCACACCACGTCACCCGGCTCGGTCGAGACGTTAACGTTATGCGATATCTATGGCCCGGTCCTTGTCTCGCGGAGGACTGGTTGGGATACGATATGGGGAATGGCATTCGCGTTCCGCTTCGTGCATCCGTCCGACGGTGGCGTCCCTCCGACAGGGGCGCACACCGAGGTGTGACTGAACTTGCGCACTTCGCTACCCAAAGTGATCTGCGTAGCGCCCCATCAGCACGCAATACCAGGGGCGTATGGCTCGAGACGAGTCGAGACTCGAGAGACGCACGGAGGAGCAGACCGCATAGGGAGGGGTAGATTGAGTGCTAACGAGAACAAACTCGTCAGCTGTGGCAGACAGCCCGAACCACGTGCGCGAAGAAGCGGCGCCGTTTGGTCCCTTGGTTGTGTCCAAAATCGACCCTCAACTTCAGTGACTCTTCCTATTGTACTCTACAACACGCGCTCGAGCAAGCAAACATCCCACGGCCAGCATACCAACCTCAAACAGCTGCTCAACCGCGCCCGCCAGGGTTCCACGGCGTCGGGCTCTCGTCCACCCCACCCTGGGCTGTCTCAAAGCGCAGCAACTCCTCGCCTAGCATCCGCAACCCCCCGCCCTGGCTGATCCTCCTCTCCTGCTCCACCCTCAATCGCTGCGCCGGCGGCACCCCGAACACCGTCTCTTCCTCCTGCCCCGCGAACCGCGCGCCGTCTTCCTCCTCATCGTCGTCGTCCTCGAACGAGTCCTCGAACCCGTCTTCCACCACCCCGCCCATGTACGCATGCAGCGGCGCCGCGGTACCGCTTTGGGCGTCTCTGTCGTCGTCGTCGTCGTCGGCCATAGACGAGTCCGAGGAAAAGCTGTCGTCTTCGTTCGCCGCGGCGGCCGCGGCGAACGCCTGCTGCTGCGCATAGAGGAGCGCGGCGGCGTCGCGGTCCTCGGCGTCGAAGGAGTCGTCGAGCGAGTCGAGCGAGTCGTCCGCGGGCCCGCCCGCACCGTCGTCTTCGTAGTAGTAGTCGTCGTACTGCCGGACGGGCGTCCGCACTGGTTCGGGAGAGGACTCTACGGGCGGGAGGGGAGGAGGGTGGAGCGCGCTGCCGCCTTCGAGGGGGCGCCGCGAAGGGAGGCGAGGGAGGTGAACGTCGGCGCGGACGAGAGGCTGAACACTGGAGGCCGGGCGGGTGGGTCCGATGACGCCAGCGATGACTGAGACGTCGTCGAGGATGCGGCCGGGGCAGGTGCTCCCGTTGGTGCGTGAGCCGGAGGGAGGGCAGTGTTGTAGCCGGGCATCTCGAGGCCCACGCGACGCATGACGCTGTCCAGGCTTGCATCCGTGCTTGATTCGTCGTTCATGTTCATGGGACCCGCGTATCCCGAGCGGTTATATCCAGTCATCGAGGGAGGTGTGGGTATCGTGCTCATGCTGCTCTCGACGCTATAGCCTTTTCCAGCGGGTGGATGACGAGAGCCACCGGAAGGGGCCGCGCGACGTTGTTCGACTTCGACGAGGCCTTGCATGATGCGCTCCGCAGCCTCCTTCTTTGGTGTGCGACCCAGGGTGGGTAGCCGCGCGTAGTCAGTCATGACCGGAGGAGAGAAACCGAAATTGTCATCGACGGAGTCGTCTCCGGGTGGAGGGGTCTTCCGTCTTGAACGCATGAAGCCGAACGAAGTGGGAGGCTTGACTGCAGGCTTGAAGGTACCCTGCTTCACGGAAGACTGCGGATCCTTTCGAGGGCTGGTGGTAGTTGGGTCCCTCAGGTCGACGAGACCAGTCCAATCGGATGGAGTCGAGTCGGGCGGAAGGTATGGATTCTTCGACATGGCCACCGGCGTCTTGGCTTTGAATCTTAGAGGCGATGTCATGCCACTGGATAGACCTGACATTGATGTGACTGAGGGACCAGTCGTGTTCTTGCGGAGGACATCTCGGAGCAATGGCTGAGGCTCACGCCCTTTCCCCTTGTCGACAGACCGGATGAAGCTGGCTCTTGACGCCCGTCGTCGGCCTTAATTTGACGTTGAGTCACATCCTCGGAGCCATCGTATGCGCTTTCATCGACAGCCGACGAAGTGATGGAGTATCCGTCGCCAAGTCCTTGAATATCGCGGTTCAGCTGCCTGAGCGGAGAATCGAGGGATGCTTGCCATGAGGGCATGGATTCATCTTGTGTATGGCGTGATGACCTCGACTTGGAAGCTGCCGCTGGGGTGGAGGATACGGCAGCTTGAGAAGGAGCAAAGGAGACGTCCGATGATGTCCTGTCCACGTTCAGCATCCTGCTATCATCTGCACTGTCCGCCACCGACTCGTCTTCTGGACCTGAACGCGCCGAATGCTTGGAATAAGATGTCACAGACTCCGTTCGACTAGCGTCGACGGTATGGTCCTCTGTCGTTTGCTCTTGACCTGTGCTGTAGTCGTCGTATGTTGGAATACGAATTTCAGCGGCTTGCTCGTAGAATGCGGTCCAAAACTGTGGGTGGTGGTTAGGATAAGACAGGTTACACTTGAGGATAATTGCAGTAATAATTCACGCAACATCTCTTTCCATGCGTACGCGCAACGATTAGGGAAGAACGCTCACCCTTGCCGCCTCTCGCACTGGTTGTGTGCCAATCGCGTACCGCTTCATAGCAGGTAGTACCCTATTTGCCATAATGTGTTGCATCTTGGAGAAATTTGCGTCTATGTTCTTCAGAGAATATGAGTAAGGTCGCCTGGCGATGGTACAAAGGCAAGGGGACCTGCAACTTGATCGTTATGAGCTGCTCAATCTGCTCAATCTGGTCGGATGCTGAGGCCGTATTGTCAAGTCCGGGGACAACAATGTCGCTGGGGTTTGCCGCTGGCTCCCATCGTGGTATCTTAGGCTCGATAGGCCTGAGCTGAGGGGGCATGAGAGAGAGCAAGAAGAGAGAGATCAAGCCAGACGCAACGCGCCTCCAAAGTTGGACGCGACGCGTCGAGATTAGATCCGACTTGGGAATGGTGATCTGAGTAATCGGAGATTGAAACCCGGTAATGTCATATGATTTGTCAGCAACGGCACGGCTCCGCGTGCGACGTACCTCCGAATCTCTCTCTCTATCTATCTTCTGCTCCATTGTGTCTTCATCCTGCACACTGCGCCTTCTCTTACGTAACTCCACCGCCGCAACAGTTTACACTCTAGTTGCCCACCATGCCTCGCGCTGAAGGTATTCATATCAGTGCGACGCAACTTCCCAACGCTGACTTACATGCACAGTTGGTACTCCCAAGTACCTCGCCAACAAGATGAAGGCGAAGGGCCTTCAACGGCTGCGATGGTACTGCCAAATATGCGAGAAGCAGTGTCGAGACGAGAACGGCTTCAAGTGTCACACCCAGTCCGAGTCCCACCTCCGTCAGATGCTCGTTGTTGGAGAGAGCGCAGGGAAGCACATATCCGACTTCTCCATGCAATTTCAGCACGACTTCGTGCAGCTACTCTCTCGTCGGTTCGGAACCAAGCGAGTCAAAGCCAACAACGTATACCAGGAGTTCATTCAAGACAAGAGCCACCTGCACATGAATGCCACTCGATGGGTCACTCTCACGGAGTTCGTTAAGCATCTGGGGCGAACGGGTGTGGCACGGGTGGACGAGACGGAGAAAGGCTGGTTCATTGCATGGATTGATAACAGTCCAAAGGCGTTGGCGAAGCAGGTGAGTCTCGCGTACAGGTCCGCACATCTGGGTTCGGATGGTATGGACGTGCTGTCCTCCCGGAGATTCCCTTCGCACTCTGGGCACGCTTTTCGGGCCTGGGTAGGGGAGTTTCCCTTGATCGCACCCTTCACGCACATAGGCCGGCGTATTGTTTCTGCCGGCCTTGGCTCGGAGGCGAGCAGAGGAAGCTCCCTGTATACGAGCCCTTGGAGCCATTGTGAACTCTATTCCGAGCATAACTTCCATGGATCGGCCCAGCAGCCTTGACAGAGGCATGCAACTGCCTGTCTTGCTCTTATCAGGTATACCGAACCGTTGTCGGGTACATTTCTGTTGTGGACGGCAAATGCATATCGGTGTCTTAAGCATCGGCCCGTACATAACAGTGCCTAGTTCACGCACTTTGATCCGGCACCGGCGAATTCTTCCTTGCTATTGTTTCACCTTCAGGCATACAGGTTTCTGACTTCGCATTTAGGAGGCCTCCATGAAGAAGGAACGGATGACGGTGTCCGACGAGCAGCGCGAGCGCACGCTCATTGAAGAACAAATTGAGCGCGCGGCAGCCGAGGCAGAAGTGTCGGGTCCGGGCTCCAAGTCGGAAGACTCTCCGCCGGTGGAAGTCGCAGGTCTACAGCGCGACGAGACCACCGAAAAGGTCGTCCTTTCCTTCACGCCAAAAACGACGTCTGCTGTGGCGACCGGCGGACTCAAGCTTAACCCGTTGAAGCCCGCATTAAACCCGCTCAAGAGCACGAACCCGTTGAAGAGACCGAACGTGTTCAAACAAGCCACGACCCCGTCGTCCTCGGCGACTTCCTCCGTTGCCCCGGAGAGCGATAAGGTCATCGGGAAGAAGAGGGGCGCGCCGATGTCCGCCGCGGAACGACTCATTTTCGACGAGCAAGAGAGGAAGAGGCGACGAATGGAGCGTGAGGCAGCGTAACGTCGACTTCGTCCGTGTTCAGTGGCTGGGACATTCCGTACGATACGTGTATTCCTATTTGTGCTTCTTATCAGTGTATGACTATGCTTCTTTGAAGCACATACCGCTTTGACTCCGGTCTACTTGGAGGGGAGTATGTGGTCCATTGTCTTATGCTCTATCATGACTTCACGAGGTATACGCAGGTTTCCTCAGTTTTGAGCTCACTCAGGATCTTCGAGCCAAATCAGTATCCTCATGCTGGGTTGACCACTCCGTCAGTCATTTTGTTAACCGGATTCCACTTATGGAGATTTTTTTCCATTTCAATCAGGGTCTCGCAGGCCGTAGCTACCTCGTTGTATGTTTGAACAGTATCTATTGTGAGTGTCTCGGGAACATCGTATGCGGCCATGTTTAACGACGCCTATGGAGTACTGAGGCAAAATCTAAGCTTTGTTTCCTTTGCAGAACACTCTGACCTCGAGCACAATGAGGTTGATTGTGCCACTGCTGGTGGGGTATTCGCCTAGACCAACCGGCCACTGCTGGCATCTTCTCTGTGGTCGACACAGTGGCGTACCTTGCTTTACCCCTGCGTACAATAGGCTTGTCACTGTATAAAGTCGTCTTCAGTTCCTAGACTTCTCAGAACGCACCTCGTCGCGCGAACCCGCCTCTCCCATCCAGCAATCTGCAACCGCAACCGCTATCCACCCCCCAGCACCACTCCCCGCCACCATGAAAGAATGCAACCTAATCCCGCTTGACCTCTCATTCGTCCGCTCAGGCAGCCCACCCAGCTGCACGGGCCACATCAGCCCCGGCGGCTGCAGGTCCGCGGACGACGTCGAGATGGGGTCCCCGATATCCTGGTGCGGCTCGCTCGTCGTCCCCGAGCGGCCGCGCACGTCCGAGCCAGCGGGCGACGTTCGGCCTCACCCCACCCCGCGCGCGGCGGGCATCCCGCCAGAGAAGTGGCGCATCCTCCCCGGCCGGTACGTCGCCTTCGCGCTCAACACGGACTCGCTCGTCGCGAGCGCCGCCGAGGGCTCCGACCACCGCGCCGCGCTCGAGGCGTTCGCCGGCCGCCGCTACCTCGGCCTCGTCGTCACCTCGACGCTGCACCCGCTCGAGGACGAGTCGGGGGCGTACGCGGAGGACGTCGTCGCGATGTACGTCGGCGCCGCGCCGCCGCCCGGGCCCGCCGCGCCGCTCTGCCTGCCCATCGCGCCCTGCCGGCTCGACTGCGAGGGCGAGGCGGCGGACGGGGTGCTCACGCCCGTCCGCCCGTTCCCGTTCGCGAACCGACGGCAGTGGACGGCGTTCGGCGTGCGGCTGCGGTCGAGCGCCTCGCGGACGCGGAGCGGCTGCACATACCCGAGGCGGAGTGCAAGGTCGACGAGGACGTCTTCGCCGCGCTCGAGGAGGTCTTCGGGCGGGACTTTGCGGCACTGGAGGCGCTCTGCGCGGACATGCACGCGCCCCTACTGGACGCGGACGAAAGTGGAGTGGTGACCACCGCGAAGCTTCGCGTGGCACCGCCGACGAGCCGATTCCAGCAACGGTCTGGTGTGACATCCAGCGCGAGCACGAGAGCATCCTGTGGAGTTTGTCAAAGAGGTCTGGGGGTGAGTGTGTCCCCTGCTTCGTCTCCGCCTTGACCGTGAGAGACACCGCCCGGGCTGTCGCTGACCACTCTGTTCCGCTGCAGGCTGATTGAGACCATCCAGGAGGCGCAGGGGCAGGAGGACGAGGGTGCGGAAATGGAGTCCGGAGACAGCTAGAGCGACACGGCGCGCCCGTGCGGGACGTTTCGAGGGAGAGACGATAGTCACAAGTGCGTAATGAGAGAGTCAAAGCGTCAAAGGTAGTGACCGGAGTCGATCATCTCGCTCCTCGGTGTATGAAGTGCTTCGTTTACATGTACAACAGCCTTGATTCCATGTTTCGACGTTCATCTCGGGCTCGATGTTCGCGATGCCCCTTGCCATCTCGCACCACCCAGCGCGGCGGAGACCGCGAGCGAAGACGGCGCGCGGGAGAGAGCGAAGGCGAAGGCGAAGACGCGGCCGACGGCCCGTCCCCGCCACCTCCTCCGTCCCTCACGCCCCCCGCCGCGCCGCGCCGCGCCCTCGGCCCCTCCCACGGCCCGGCTTCTTCGCGGTCGTCGGCGCGGGCGAGTTCGCGTCCCCGCCGTCGGAGTCGCTGTCAGTGCGCGCGCCACCGCTGCTCGCGTCGGCGCGCCCCTTCTGCGTCCTCGGCCTCGCGGGTGCGGCCTCGCGCTCCGCCGGCTTCCAGTCCGCGAACCGGCGCCGGCACGCCGCGCTGCCCATCTCGAGGTAGTCTTCGCGCGTCACGACGCACTGGGCGAACTCTGGGCGCCGCGCGAACGCGACCGCCGCGCGGTACGCCTCCAGGGTAGGCCTAGAGCGGGGAGTCAGCCGGGTCGTGTCATGTCATCCGTCGCGCACAAGGTTGTGGGCTCGGCCTGAGGCCCACCGCTTGGAAGCCGGCGGGGGATCGCGCGAGATGGACGCCGCGGGCGCACGGGCGTGTCCGCGCAACACGGAGGGAGAGGACGCCTGATAAGGGAGGGACGCACTCGTCTGACGCGAACGCGACAACCTCGCAATCGACGGGCGCGAGGGCGCGCAGCTCGGCCATCCTGTCAAGGGTGCAGATCAGCGCCTGCGCACGAAGGTTTGTGGGCGGGGGATGGCGCAGCGGCAGGGGTCCGCACGTCACACGTACAGTCTATTGCGGAACCCGGGCAGGGCGGTGTTCCCGCCAACGAGCGCGATGTTGGCCCAAAAGAGTCCTTGCAGATCCTCCGGTAAGAGCGCTATGCTCGACGCCACCGTTCCACTGAGCCCGGTTTGTCCTAGACCTAGACCGTAATCGTGCGCGTGAGCGAAGGTTCGGCGTGACGGCGGGCAATGCCGTGGAAGGAAATGATAATTGCCGATGTCCGTCGGATGGAAGAGGATTTCTGGAACCGTGAACCGCTCGTTGTTCATAACCAAGGTTTGCACGGCATCGGATAAAGCCTCGCCTGGTTGCCGTATGCGTCCCGGCTTGTGGGCGGAGTAGTCTGGAAAAACGTACTCCTGTACAATGTGGTTTTTTGTGGGCTGTGCGCTAGAAAAAATGATACAGAAGGTCGGGAATGCGCACCTTCAGTTATGATGAGACAGAGAACACCGCATAGAAGAACGTACTGGCATGTTTCAAGGTCCCGCGCAAATTTTCGGATACAAAGCAACAAGCCTCTTTGATTTCGTTCATGATGTGGGTCTCCTCCATCATGTTCCATTGACGATATGATACGGTCTCTTTCAGATGGTTCGTCAAAAGCTTGCCACCGACGTCGATCCTGTTGACGAAGATATCAGCGAAAAACGTCCGTGCGTTATGTCACGGCACATAATAGGGATGGCCGCCGAGACGGACTGTGCATCCGCAAAGTCTCTCATTACGGCCATCTCGCACCGGGACTTGACCACGATGCAAGTTTAGAACATGGTGAAGTCCTGGTCTCGATGGGTCGGGCTGACACGATGCCCGAGATTTGAAAGTGATGGAATGAACGGGAAAGTCAGGTGAAATACTCATTTGATTCGGTCTCCTGGCGACAGCATGTTCTTTGGCTGCGGAAGCAAGGGGCGCACATTGCATCCGAATGAAAACACTCAGTATTGGTAAACACCCAGTGCCTGCCGATACCATCCTCCATGACCATGGAGTGGACAAAGCCATGACTTAGCCGTCATTCTGACATAACAGCGAGACTGGACCGTGACAGGAAAACTTGCAGGGTCATGGCTTTGTTCAATCCGGGCAGTGGCAGTATAGAGTCGCTTTGTCGACGTGAGAGTGAAGGGCAGCGCATAGAATGTTTGCCGCACGGGGCATGGAGAAATGATCGCGGCAGCGAGTGGAGCAGCTGGAATGCAGACCCTGAGAAGGATAATAACCTTTGTCATCTGATGCAGCACCATACCGGAGATCCCGGGATAGGCAAGCTGCAAACCGCCCACTAAGCCTTACGCAGCCATATCGCGCCCCCCACGCGCATACAGCCCCCGTCGTCTCGTATAGCCAACGTGGACCGTCGCACGTCTCGCGCTCCGAGGGGGCTTCTCCCGTCGGGAAAAGATTTGAGAGAGCTCCGCCATCCGTAGCCAAGACCCCCGTGACGGATGTAGATGAACCCACCTTTTGACGGCCTCCCAAACCACCGTTCCCTTGAGCACCGGCACGACATGGGTGAAGCTGAACCCTGAATCGATAACCAGGACGCACTCCGGCGCTGGCAGCTTTGGCTGTGCCAGAAGGCGACCATACGGGATAAGGGATGCAGCTATATATCGATCGTCCCACATCGTGTCAGCGGGAGTCCAATGTGGCGTCGGGAAAGATACGGACGAGTGCATCTGTAGTACGATCGGAAGTCGTACTCCTCAAAGACAAATTGGTCATAGACGTCTTGGACATTCGGCAGGTTGAAGTAAGGTTCTGTGATGAGCAGAGAAGATTCCGATGTATTGACCTTAATAAGGGAACAGTCAGTTGTGTGGACAATGACTGGCGTGATGGACCCACTCCGAGAACTTCGTTGGAGAGCAATCCGTCCCAAATGGCTTTTTGGGCATCCCAATCGACGAGGAAACCCTAGGCGCTGCGGTGTATCCACTTCAGCGTCACCAAACGAAGTGCTGAAAACCCCACCTTCTCGAACGGGAGACGAAAGCGTAGGGACGTGAAATCCTGGCACTGGGTAAGTTCATGGCCGACATACGTGGCCTTGTCGCCCTTCTCTCGGACGACTGCGTTCGAAATGACTCTGGGGTTGAGATGAGCATGGGTTCTGGCTTTTGCGACTTTCAATGAACGGCGTACGAGAAAAAAGCCGGCAGGGAGTGAACCCCAGAATGAGAAAGCGTAGCGAACGCACGGGGACAGGAAGATGAGGGGAAATCGCCTGGACAGCATGATCTGAACAAGTCTCCATAACACATTGTCCCGTGTCACCAACCTGCCTGGCCCGAATGCACTTCTCATTGAGCTGAGCAACTTCCTTTCTGGCTGTGTCCACAACGATGGGCCTATCGAGGGGACTGTTGCGTGCCAGATAGTTTGCCTGAAGACAGCAGCATGTTTCCCCAAATTAAGTCTTAGACGTGGTGCCTCCAACACGACCGGAGACGCCACAGGCAAAGCGCGGTTCCGCCGCACGGCTCATCAAAAGAACTCATCGCAATGAACCAGTTGGAAATCAACTCACAACGCTCCCCCCTTTCCTCTCGTGATGCGTCTCACGCGGCTCCAGGAAGGAACATATAACAAGGTACGCGGTATGACCACAAAGCCGAGGACTTACCGTGGCTGCTTGTCGTGGACGCCGAGGACACCGGCCTTGATGGTCGAGGCCCCATTGTCTAGAATGACGATGTTCCTTTTGGGAGGCATGAGAGTTCTGCCGTCCGAGGTCCGGGCTGTACCAAGGGAAGTGGGAAGCCGCCGCGAGCACAGGCGAGATGGGAGAACTTGTTCAAGACAACCACTGATTGCGACCGCCATAGTCACGCGAGGCGGGTTGTCACGGATTGTCACAGTCACCCAGAACGGGCTGGCGCGCACTCGGGGTTGGAGGCCTCCTGAGCTGCGTCCTCTTCCTCCGCGGGATTCGCAAGACAGGAGAACTGAAGCTCTGCGGGTGCAAATCAGCTGAAAATCCCATTCAGTCCCTCTAGGCGCTGATCCGGTCGGCCTGTGGTCTAGCCGCGGCCTCTTCTCACCTCGGGACTACACCGCCATCGGCCTATCGCTTCAACGCCTTCGACCTGCTATTCGAAATCCGCACTCAGCTCTTTCTGGCCAGATTGCTCGCTTCGCTTACTCACCCCTCTCCCATCGCCGGTCACCGAAATCCCAGCTCGTGCTCTCCGCGGCCGTCCCAAGCCTGATCGTCCCACCGAGCCGGCGTGCGTCTTGCTCACAACGCTTAGCCTTGACAGGGTTCCATTCCACTCGAGTTCCCTTCCGCTCAATTCACCGGCCGGTCTGTGCCTTATACTCGACTACCCTCCTCATCCGATGTGCGTTGGTTTCTGGACCGTCGACCATCCGGACTACGCGCTGTACGTACTCCGTTGGCGGCCACCCAATCGTAGAGCCGGTGGCCCGGTGTCGCGCGCCTTCTGATCACCCCTTGGACAGAATCTTGTGCAGCAATCGCGATGAGTTCCTCTCTCGTCCGACCGCGCCCGCCCAATGGCACTCCTTCGGCCCAATCGGGACCGACGTCCACGGAGACGCACCGGCAGATCCAGGCGCGCCCACCGTCCTCTCAGGCCGTGACCTGGCTGCCGGTGGGACCTGGCTGGGGATTAACCGGACTGGCAGGATAGCCGTCCTGTGAGTCCATTCCATCCATGTTGCCCGTCCGGTCCTGCGCTGACCGCCCACCGCACGAGCAGAACGAACATCACGGAACCGTACCGGAAATACGCATCCTCCCGCGGCGATCTCACCTCCTCCTTTCTCCTCCCGCAGACCCCAGGAGTGCCGCTCTCGGAGGAAATCGACGCGTTCCTCGCCGCAAACCGCGGCCGCGCGTACGCGGGCTTCAACATGCTCCTCCTGTCTCCGTCGACAACACCGCCTGCGCGGCCTGGCACGCTCGACCTCGACGCCGCGCTCCTGACCAACTCGGGGGGTGGCGGAGCATTGACGGCCCGTCCGCTGACGGACGACGAGCGCAGCTGCGGCGGGCTTTCAAACGGGCTCATCGACCGCGCCCCGGGCGAGCCTGAGTGGCCGAAGGTGCAGCACGGCAGGGTCGCGTTCCGCGAGATGCTCGCGTCGCTCGCAGAGGACACGGCCGAGGCCGAGGTCGTGGAGCGACTGTTCGCGCTTCTAACGTGAGCCCCCCCGTTTCCTTCTCTCCCGTTCGGTCTCGGCTCGAGTTTTCTTGCTCCCGCCCCCGTCCCGTCCACGCCCATTCGCGTTCGTTCCCCGCTCCGCCCGTGACCCCGTTCCTTCTCATCGACTCCCATGCTTGTATCTTTCTCCTCCCGCCTCTTCCTCGCCTCGCCCTCGCCTCGCCATTCCCCGGGTGCGCACCCGACCCGCCGTGCGCCTGGACGCGCCTCTGCTCCCCCCTTCTCCTTCTCCCGACGCTGACCCCCTCTCCCCCCTGGTCCCCGTGCGCAGCTGGCAGACCGCTCCCGCTCCCGCGGCGCGCCGCGACCTCTCCACGACCGTGCACGTCGCCCCCATCCGCGTCCCCCCAGTCGCTCCCCCCCACCGCACGCGGTCGACCCCTTCGCCCCGGCGCCCGCGGCGTCTTCAACTTCCCCGTCCCACGGGCGCTGGTACGGCACGAGCCTCTCGACGGCGATCCTCGTCCGGCACGACGGCCGCGCCACCTTCGTCGAGCGCGACGTCTGGACGCTCCCCGGCGGCGAGGACGCCCGGGAGCCGGTCCGGGCCCCGCTCGGGCACGACCGCGTCTTCCGCTTCGCCGTGGGGAGCACGGGCGCGCTCAGTGTGTGATCAGCACTTGAGCGGGGGGAGGAGGACTCGAGCGGGCGTCGGACTACGGAGCACGCGCATGACGGACGTGGCTGACGCCTCATCGACACCATTCAGCATGTGTACATACACACTGTGCATCATCCGAATGCACGCTTGTCGACACGACCCGCGGCGGATCTGGCGGCGGCGGCGGCGGCGGCGGGGTGGGACCTCGACGGTCGCCGGTCGACGACAGACGACGCGAAAAGTCAAAGCCGTTGATACTCGACGACCCGCCGACGTCCAACGCCCAGCGTCGGTCCGCCGACGCCATATTCGACAGGCGGATGCCCGGTCGACAGTAAGCACTTGGGGTGCCGCAGCTCAGGACGCGAACTGGCCAGGCAGACCCGCCGCAGAAGGAAACGCGGAGGCCCGTCCTCGCGCCTCTGTGCGCGCATGCTGTGTACGTACGTACGTCGAGATCTGTACAATATGCGGGTACCCCAACCGCACCGACGCGCCCCTGCCCATCCTGGCAAGAACGAAAATTTAGCGATGCTGATGGATGATACGTCCTCGGCGGCATGCCCGACTGAGTACACAACGGGACCCCGGACCCGACGTCTGAGTACTTGGTCGCTGTACATGGCTAGTACACCACTATACGCTCGACACGACGAGCGTCCGTGTGCGCCCTCAGCCGCCCGACGACAACACCCGCCAACGCACGCGCCACCGTGCACGCACGAGGCGAGCTGCGGCGCCGAACCGAGCACGACTGAGCGCTGAAGCCGAAGCTAGGTCCCCGCGTCCGGCGAGAGCGGCGGCGGGGTGGGAGCCGAGCAACTCGAACGTTCCACTCGTCCCGCCCTCCCGGCCGAATGCAAAGCGCGCGTCGGGCGGAGAGATTATACTGCGATTAGGCTACTATTGCTACACCGGGCGCCGCGCGCCGAGTTCTGGCTAGTGTACACGAGAGCGGTGGGACGGGGACGGGGAGGCTGAGGGAAGGAAGGGGGGGCCCGACGGCGCGCCGTACAACAACACTGGGGGGAGACGGGGGAGAGCGGGAGATAAATAGTACACACGGGCGGACGGGCAGACGGACGGAGCGAGGTATAGGGGACCGGCGGGGCGGAGATGGGCGCGTGCGGGGAGCGTGTACGTACGTGAGATCGATAGCGGGGCGGGGGCGCAGGGGCCAGGGCCGGACGGGGCGAGAGGTAGAGGGGTCCATAGGTGTCCGCGGCGACATACAGATGCGTGCGAGAACGAGGCGAGAGCGGACGAGCACGGGGAGACGGGACGAGACATTGTATCCAAGCAAGGTCGTGACGAGTAAAGGCACAGGTGACATGGGGCAGCGAGAGCAGTGGCGACCGTTGAGGGTGGGAGTGGGGGGTACGGGGATGAGATGCACACGAGAAGCGGAAGGAGAAGACGACGAGCCAGCGCGCCACGCTAGTTGATGTGGTACGTTTTGTGGAACACGGAGTGGTCCGCCTGCGCCGCGGCGACGCCGGGGAAGTACGAGTCGTAGCCCGTCTGCTGCGGCATCGCGCCCGCGCCCGCCGCCGCCCACGCCTGCGAGTCGTGCACGATCGGCGGCGGCGCGCCGATGCTCGACTGGCTCGAGGTCGAGATCGGGCTCATGCTCAGCTCCGTCTCCGTCGGCGTCGACAGCCCCTCGTACGCGCCCGCGCCCCCGAGCGACGCGCCGGGCGCATTCCCGCTGCTCGAGCAAACGTCAGCTTCGTCCGCGAGAGAGAGAGGAGACGCAGGGGGCCAGACACTCACTGCATGATGTCGTGCAGCTCCGCGACGCGCCGCGTGATCGCGCACGCGGCCTGCTGCCGCGGCGCGCCGTGCTCGGGCAGCTGCCGGAGGAGCGCGAGCGTGTTCTGGAGCTGCTGCGTGAGCCCGATGAGGGTGTTGCCCGCGGCCGGGTTCGTGACGCACGCGCACGGGTGCGCGGCGTACCCGTGCGCGCCGCCGCCGTGCGCGTGCGCGTGGCCGTGGTGGTCGTAGTACCCGTCGCCCCCGCGCGCGTCCCCGTACGCGAGCGACGGCGACGGCGCGTAGCACGAGTCGTCCGTCGGCGAGTACACGCTCCCCCCGCTGCCGGCCCCGCCGCCGCCGTTGTGGCGCGAGTAGAGCGCGTAGGGCGTCGTCGGGGACCCGTGCGCGTCGTGCGGGGGCGACGGCGAGAAGCGGTAGAGGCCCGCCGCGTGCTGCGCCGGGTCGGCACTCTGCTCCGTCTTGATCGCGGGCGGGCGGCCGTCGCCGTCGCCGCGCCCGCCGCCGTCCGCTCGGGGGCCTTTCTGGTACTGCAGTCGCCGGGAGGAGCGCGAGTGCCACTTCTCGGTCGCGTCGCCGTCGCAGAAGCTGGGCTCTGCCCACTTTGGATGCGGCTTGCCTGCGTGGGGGGTGGTGGGGTGGGGGGCGAGGTAGGAGGGCACCGCGGATAGGGGAGGCAGGAAGGAGAGAGGCGGAGAACGGCGTCGGCGGGGGTAGCAGCGCGAGAGGACGGGAAGAGACTCACCCCGAAGCTCGCGGACGAGGCTCTCGAGCTCGGCGATACGATTCCGCAGGCGGGTGTTCTCGTCCACGTTCGGGTCATCCCTGGGCGCGCGGGAGGTGCGTGAGTTAGAGTGCAGACAGGCGCGGACGCGGGGCGCGCGACGCACCTCAGCGCGGGGTCGTCGACCTCGTACACGCACAGGCCGGTCTGCGAGGCGCAGAGTGAGCAGAGCGGGGGCGGGGCGCAGAGGGGGCGCGGGCACGCACCAGGCCGAGCTGTATGCAGCGCTGGCAGGGCCGCTTGCGGTCGCACTGTTGTTGAGAAGGTAAGCGAGGGGTTCGCGAAGGGGCACTGTTGGTCAGAGCACACGCGTACCTTCCTCTTGGACGTATGACAGTTCAGACATGATTGGGTGGTGCGGTTGCGTCGCCTGCAGACATGGGGGGATGAGTGGGGTGCGCGAGGAGGAATGTGGGTGGGTGTGCGGAGGGAGGAGACTGACCGCTTGCGGTGGTCGACCTCGAGGCCTGCGATATCGAAGTCCATGATCTCGCCCTTGAACTGGAGGGGCTGGTGGAAGGTTTCGGAGGGGACGATGGCGGTAGACGACATGGCCATGGCAGCGGTGGGGAGCAGTCGGCACGGCGGGACGGGGAGGACTTTATAACGTCGCGAGCGCCATGGAGAGGCAGAGGGATGGCCAGATGGAGGAGATCTGAGCGCGGGCGCGATCCAGCGACGCGGCTTCGCGCGAACAAACACGCCCGAAAATGGATCAGGCCCTGGGCACCGAGTTCGCCTTCCCACCCTCCCGGCCGTGACACCAGCGCTCGCACGTCCTCCCTTCCCACGGGCGAAATCGGGCGCGGCCTGCCGCGGAAGCAGATAAGATTCGCCCGCCCCGGCCAGCGCCCGCCCGGCCTGCGTCGCGGATGCCGTTACGCACAAGTGATGCGAAGGGCCAGCCCCCCCCTGCCAGCTCAGACTCCTGCCTGCTCGCTGCGACCCTGCAGCCCGCCGTGTCCCGTCTTGGGCAGCTGGCGCGGGGCACCTTCGCGTTCGATTGTGCCTGTCATGTCCGCGCGTCGCGACCTCGAGGGTCCGTTGCCGGGTTTCAGTGCGCGCGCGCCGTTCTTGTCTGCGCCCTGCACCGCGCGCGGCGGGGAGCGGACAGCGGGCGCGCGGGCTGGAGTCGGGAGGGCCGGTGTGCGGTGTCCCCCGGAGCGCGCGCCAGGAGAGCGCAATATATCCAGGAAGGGCACACGGATCGGCCAACTCCGAACGGGCATCAGGTTGGCGGGACGGGTATGTGCGGGTGTCATCATGGGGAGGTGATTGATTAGCATACGAGTCGAGTGGGTAAGTACATGGACAGACGAGAGCGAGGAGGCGACGGACGCACGTCGGGTGGACGGGTGGAGGAAGTGGCTTGCCGCGAAGGAGGGTTGCGTCGGGTGGGCGGCGGGGCGCGGCCGGGGACTGTATGACCGTCAGAGGGGAGAGTGCTCGCGGGACAGGGAAGAGAGCTGGATGCTACGCGGGACGCGGTTTGGGCGTCGGGCCTGGGCAGCGGTCCTGAACGGGAGCACTGGAAGGCGGAGGCGGGTGAACGGATGAGTCGGGAGGGAGCTTCGCGAGGCTGGCGTGCACGCGAACGCGCAGGCGGGCGGCGGCGTGCTCGGGGCGACGAGCAGCTTCTGATCCTGGACGAGGGTGGAGAACGCCGGAGGGCACGTCGCGCGCTGGCTGGAGCTGGATGCCGGCGAGCGCGCGATGGCTCAGGCTGGAGCGGTAGCGCACAGAGACGCGTGGCAAGCGGCCATGGCAGATGACGTGCTCATCAGATGTGTGGCGTTTGGGTTCACGCACACCAGCCAGCTTTACGTGAACCCCGCGCCTCTCCTTTCTCCATCTCGCGCGCGGCCCAGGTTCGCTCCTCCTCATCCACACCAACGCCCGCCACACCGTCTCCTCCCCTAATACATTGCGCGCCACCCGCGCCCGCACGCCACCGCCGGCCTCAGCGGCCGCTCCCTTCCTCCCCACCATCGCCGCCCTGCGCGGACCACACTCGTCCAGCAGGCAGATATGGCCCGCGCCGGCGACATAGGTAGGATCCTGCAGGAACACGGACGAACCCGCCCAGCCCCATGGCCCCATCTCCTTAGGCTATCTGGGAGCAGCATGCGGAACGACAGTCCAGCCGCGCGCACCGACGTCCCGGTCTCCGCTTCCGGTACGGCCCGTGCGGCTGCGCATGCCCAAGAAGGAGAGCGCACCTACTCCTGGGCCCGTGGCGTGTGCGAATCTGTCTAGTGACATCCAGCTCGGACGGTCGTCACGCCCCGCGGAGGAGGGCGGAGGGGCGGGACAGGCAGCCTTCTGCTCGCGGGTCGTGGCAGCGAAACGCTGAAAGCGGACTAATGTCCAGACGAGCGAGGCCCTGGGACAGAACGGCAACCTGCGGACACACGCCCGAAGGTGTTGAGCGACGGTTCGGGGATGCGTTGGGAAACTGACCGGGATCGCGTTGACGGAGGCCGGGCCGCCGCCAGTGGCAGGCTGACGACGGGCGAATCGGGGCTCGGTGAAGGTTCGAAACGCGCAGGGGGGTATACACAGGAATCAGGACAATCCGTGCTCGTGCTCGGGTTCCCTGCGCGCGTGCCCCTGGCTAGAAGCTCCGGCACAAGGATACGGGTGGCAGGACAGGGAACCCGCACGTCGATAGCCCTATTCCGAACGATGTCGAGCGCGAACCACACCGGCGTGCGCGACGGAGTTGCCGCATTCGCCGACCTGCCTGAGGTTATCGTCTGAACGCCCCCGCCCGGTGGAATCCGTCCTCCGCGGAAGCCGGTCGAGGGCGGGCGCTGGAGAAGGTGACAAGGGTTCCCAGAACAAGTCCCGATTCGCGGGTCTTCACCGACAGGAGCCTGGGCACGAGGCCGAGTGCGGGCCAGGCTGCACAGTTCGACGGGTCGCCGTACGTGTTCAGTGCTTGCCACCTTGCCGTCGACTCTGGGCGATGATGGCGTGACGGGGCCGGTGAGTAGCGGGCTGCACAGGAATGAGGAGGATCCACAGTCGGGTGCTGGCGGTGATGCTATTTGGCGGTGTTTGGGTGTGGCGCTGCCAGACCGCCACTGATTGTTGGGCGGTTGGACGAGCGACTCGACCAAGCTTCGACGGTTACGACAATGTCGGCCAGCCGCCCGTGCCCGCTCCCTTTCACACACCCCGCAGCCCATTCGTCCTATGCGTCGACACCGCACCAGTCCATGTGAGCCCCCGCCAGCCCATTGTCCACACTCGATAATGATGATCCCACCCACCGTCCATCCCACCTAGCGGCAGCTCGAGGTCCCCCATCCTCGGAAATGTGCTTTTTAACGCTCACCGTCCGTGCACGGGCCAGACCACCGCTGCCGCGACCATCGCCCCGCTCAGCACCCTATGGCGAAATGGGCGTCGTCTCGTATAATGGCTCGCATTTGGGCAAATTACCTGATGCCCCCCTTGCTTCTTTCTTCTCTCCCACGCGCCAGGAAAGCCCGAACGAGCGGCACATGCCTCTACCCTTGGTGTCCTGGTTGCAAGGGAGTGCCACTGCGCCCTCGCAGTCGCCTACGGATCTCGCTCTCCTCCTCGGACTTGACAAACCATCCGGGCCACCCGCGGAGCCTGGTTTCCGACCGCACGCCGGGGTCGACACGCAGACGTTGGCGCCGACAAGCACCGGAGATTCCAGCGATGAGCTTGCTTGGCAAACTCCCTCGATATCACGCCGATTCACTCCCTAGGGCGACCTGCCTTGTCTACTAGTATCTCTGCGAGGCGGTCCGGCCACCACACTTCGCGATGCAAGGCTTGCGAAGACGAACGGCACTGCTCCTGGGTGGATGGTGCCGTACGAGCCAGAAGCCACGACTATAGTTCGAGTCCGCGGTGCCCCGGGAGCACCGTCCTCTCGCAGGTCGGAGGTCCTGATGTCGCGGATCCTCTGCGCGTGGTCGTGTCGCGTTTTGCAAGTACGCCTTCTCTGCCCTTGTTGCCTTGTCTGACGGCTCCACTGATGGCCCGGTCAGCAGGGACAGAGAGGACCCGGTCCAAGTCCGTTTGGAGGAGCTCACGACGACCAGGCCGTTCGCGACCTCCGCACTCCTCGCTCCAGTCCCTCGTGGACCTTGGCTGCGTTACGGCCCGCGTGCGCGTACGTACGTGGTCTGCTACTGGCCACCCACCCTCTTCGACACCCATCGCCTTCCCATCGATCGCCCCCCGCAAACTCAGAGTCAAAGTGCCAATACGCAGACGGCGGGTGCGCAGCCCGCCCGCAAATTGCGCGACGGCCTCCAATCCCATGCTCGACGTCCGACGTCGACCGCCAAGGCCCCGGTCCCGCGGCCGCGCCACCGCTGCCGGGGATCGGCGTGGGTGGAGGTCGCAGCTCCGCCGCGCGCGACCGCGGGAGGCCGTAAGGACGTCGACGGCGCGTCGTGGACAGTTCCTGCCAGCTAAGGCTCTTCTCGCCACCGAGCCCCGCGGCGCATCGCGCCCGCTTCTCGCACGGCCGCGGTGGATATAGAGTCCGGCGGGGGCTAAGCTTGAACGGGTGCAACGGCGGTCTGGCTCTAGGGAGCCCAAGACTCTGGACATGACTTCGATGCGGCGGCGCGGGGCTGGTGTCGAAGGCCGCAAACACGAGCTTCGAGGCGACGGGGTGGTTTCCCTTCCACGACCGTCGCGGAACCGTGCGTTAACTCCGGGTACGGCACGCGGATCCGTAGGTCGTATGTAGTAAAGTAGAAAGCACACAAAAAATAAATCATCGGCAGGAGTTCCAGGGTGATGGCGCCCTGCGTGACTCCTCCGTCGTTCTGCATGAACGGCTTTGGCATCTATACTGCATCCTCGCGTTTCAACTCCCGTTTGCCCGCAGAGGCCGGCGCCTCCGCCCGCGCTCGGCTCGTGTGCACGACGACCAACAGACGGTCGTCGAGGAGCACGCGCTGCAGCGCGTGCTTAATGAATTTGTACATAACGATCACGCACACGAGGGCGGCTCGCAACCGGCACAGTCGCTTCCCCTTTTAATTTGAGACCCCGCGGCGCCGTGCGACCCTCCAGGGCCACGCGCGGGGCGTCGGGAGGCCCGTTCGGGCATGGCGTCGGCAGGACCCACACACAGCCGCCAGCGTCCGCCTGGGGCCGCCGTCGGCATCGACGGATGAGGCTAGCGCATGCAGCACGTCGAGCCTCGCGAACTCGCAGGGCGATCGGAGGCGGGCGCTCCGGCGCGGTTCCGCGCGTTGCCCAACTGGCAACGCCGCACGCGCGTGCGTGACGGAGACGGAGAGACGCGGACCGTGACCAACGTGCCTCGGGCGGTGGCCGTTGGAGCGCGTCATGCATGCGTGGGCCGCGCACCCTCTGCACGCTCCGCCCCCGGCCACGCCCGCGTCCCCGACGACGCTCTCTGCCTCTCCCCGCCACCACCCCCGCCGCCCGCGCGCCGCTCCCGCACGATCCGGATACACCGTAAAGCACGCGGAGAGCGAGAGAAGCCCGCCGCACATACCCGGCACCCGAGAATCGAGAATCAAGAATAGCGATGGCCCGCCCAGGCAGAGAAGAGCCGTCCTACGCGTCGACGTCCGCCGCGGAGGAGTCCGACGGCGCGCCCCCCGCCGTGCCCGACGCCGCGGGCCCCCCGACGATGCCCGGGCTCGACGGCGCGCCCGTTCGCTGTGAGTCGCCCCGCGCATGCGATCGCCCCCCGCGCGCCCGCGCCGGACGCTGACCGGCCGTGCAGGGTTTGACGTGAGTGACGACGGCCCGCGGGTGCGCTGCGGGGTGCTGAGGCGTGCTGCAGGCGGACCGCAAGGAATCGTACACGCACATCACCCCGTTCCAGGAGCAGCACGACACGAGCGTCGAGTGCGTACCCCCCACGCTGTTTCCCCCCGGCCTCGCGACGCGTCGTGACCGCCCCACAGGTTCTTCTACAAGCCGCTGACGCTGACCGCGCTCGGGGCGGGGCTCGCGGTGCTGGCGTACGTCGCGATGACGCAGGATGTGCTGAAGGAGGGTGCGGAGAAGCAGCGCGTGTGAGTCCCTGCCTGTCGCCCTCGATGTCCGCGGAGCGTGTTTGGGGCTGACGCGGGCCGTGCAGCGGGGCGTACGCCGCCATTGTCTCCTTCCTGCTGTTCTCGATGATTCAGTTCCGAGACGGGCCCTTCGTCCGACCGCATCCGGGTGAGTGATTAATTTTCCGAGGCACGGCGCGCGCGCGCGGCGGCGCAGAGGAGGGCGGGGGACGGTGGCGCGCGCAAGGGCAGCTGCAACTGACCCTGGTCGCCATCGCAGCGTTCTGGCGTATGATTCTGGGCGTGAACCTACAGTACGAGCTCGCGCTCGTGTTCTTGGTCTTCCAGGACCTCGACTCGGCGCGCTCGATGATGAAATACCTCGACTCCAGCCTCGGTCGGCCGCTGCCCGAGAAGAGCTATGCCGAGAATTGCGACCTGACGGTCGACAACATCTGGGTGGGCGTCCCCGATGCTCCGCGGGCCCGTCCGCTAACGTGCGGCGGTAGAACGCGATAGACATCTTCTGTTTGGCGCACGCTCTCGGTTGGTTTGGCAAGGCGTTGATCCTGCGCGACTACTGGTTCTGTTGGGTGCGTCGTTAGCCTGCCCGCGTTCGTCCGCCTCCCCCCGGCCCTCTAACCTTCGCCGACGCCAGATTTTGAGCGTCGCATTTGAGTTCGCAGAGTACAGCTTGCAGCACCAGCTGGCCAACTTCGCAGAGGTATGCATCATCGTGTCGTCATGGCCAAGGCGGGTGCTGACTATTGAGTGTCGCGGCGCAGTGCTGGTGGGACCATGTACGCGGACATTCTTATCTGTGTAATACCGTCATGCTCAGCGCGCACACAGTGGATCCTGGATGTATTAGTGTGCAACTGGCTCGGCACATATCTCGGTCAGCCCCCACCACGCGTAGTCGGCATGTCCCCGCTAACTTAGCGGTTATTTCGGTCTCTCTAGGCATGAAGACGTGCCAGTATTTCGAGGTCAAGGTATGAGAGCCCGCCGCCCCGGTCGCGGGACGCTAACGCCCCGTAGGGTTACATTTGGCGTGGCTTCCGGCAGACCCGAGGGATCCGCTCAAAGACGAAGCGTGTCATCACACAGTTCTCCCCACATGACTGGACGACATTCAATGGGAGGGCACGGCGTCGTTCGGACATTACTTCACCGTCGTTCTCCTTCTCGCCGTCTTCCTCGCCGCGGAGCTCAATCCGTTCTACCTCAAGGTTAGCGTAGTCTCGCACCGGGACAACTGCATGCGGGGCGAGACGCTGACGATGCTTCCGCTCTGCTCCAGGCGCTCCTTTGGATGGAACCCGACCACCCGTTCGTAATCGCGCGTCTGGCTGGCGTCTTCCTCTGCGCACTGCCCGCGGTGCGTGAGCTGTACCAATACGTTAACGACCCCAGGTGGGTACACTTCCGACCCCGATTCCGACGCGATCGTGCAGGGCTGACGGTCGATCGCATTTCCCTCCGCATCGCGGGGCGTATCTTGGGTTATCGCAGACGGGCTGTGCGCATGGGTCAGCACGTCTGGCTGCTGCTGGCCACGATCTTCACGGAGCTCCTCGTCATCGCGAAATGGAGCCAGGGCCAATTCTCCGAGCCGTTCCCCACGAGCGTGCGGTACGCGTGGGCCGCCGGCGCCACTTTGCTCGTGCTCTATCCCACCGTCTTCGTGCGTCCTTCCTCTGCTGCTCTCCTGCCCCGCTCGGTCACCTCGCCTGCGCCCGTGGCGCTCGGGGACGGTCTGCTGACTCGGCGGGCGCTGCCCGTGGTTTGTTCGCAGTTCGGGCTGCCTGCCGCCCGACGATACCTCCGGCGCGGGCAACGTAACGCGAAGCGCAAGAGTTCATAACGCGGTGACGCGGGTGGCGGCGAGGGCGATGCGCCGTCCACGCCTGGGTGGGTGCGGGTGCGCTCCGGCGGCGGCGTGCGAGGGTTTCGCGATACGACGCGGGGGAGGGCGGATGCGGACCGTGACATGGACGCCGGACGGAGAGGCTCGACGAACGGAGGGGGCGAGGGCGAATCGGACGCGCGCGTGTACAAGTACATACCTTCTCGCTCGCCGCCGTGCAGAGGAGAAGCCCGGGGGCATTCGCCCTGGGCCCGCTATTCTCACCACCACCCAGGCACGTCCGCCCCGATGGAGGAGGACCGCGAGCCGGCGGAGGAAACGCGAGGCTGAATCGGGTGGAGTGCTGGTGCATCGGCGTCTGGCGAGGAGCCTGAGCGAGACTCGAGCCTCCAGCGGTCCGCGGCCGGACGTCTCCGCTTGTCGACTCGGTTCTTCTAGTGCGCCCTCGTGTGCCCGTATGTCGCCAGCGTCGCGCTCGGTCGCATCTGCCCGGGGGTGCTCGAGAGTCGCTGTCGCCGAGCGCGGCCGGCGTCCTGCCCCGCTCCCAGTGCAGGCGAGATTGTGGAGACGCGGGAAGCTGGCCCACGGCGGCGGCGACAGTAGGCTGAGAAGGCCGCAAGGTCGGCGAAGCAAGCGGAGCACATGGCCATGGGGCGTGTCCGTGCGTGCCGCATCGACGGCCGGCTGCGGGCGCCAGCGAGCGTCGAAGCGGGCCCTCTGCAGGAAAGTGCAAGTTACAACGTGGGGTCGGCACGGCCAGCCAGGCCTTCTTCGCGGCTGGAGTCGCGAGAAGAGCAGTACTGGCACTTCGTCGCGCGCAGTCCCCGAGCGGCGCGGCGCGCGCGGGGTTCGTAATGACACGGCCTCGTGTCCGTGCGTGGACCCTCGCCCGGCGCCCTGCCGCACCCGTCGGACGTCTGTCGGGCAGGGTATGGGAAGGGCTGCTGGAGGTGTCGTACATACGAGCGCGACTGCGGCAGATCGACGCACGCATGCACGCACGCGCGCCGTGGTGATAGGAACTTGGAAGGCGAGAGCCTGAGCGAGGCAGGAACTCCGCGTTCGACGGTGCTGCCGCTGACGCCGAGTCGTGGTCTTGCTGTTGCCCCCGAGCGTGATGCGTTGATGGTCGCGCCATGGCAGGGGCGGTGGGTGGCGGCGTGGACGCAGCCGGGAGCTCGCGATGGACGTTTGCGGGCAGAGAAGCTTTCCGGCCTGCTCCACTCGCGCGAGATCAAGCGCGCGATCATGGTGGCCTGCAGCCGTCCGCACTGCGACTTCGCGACCCACCGCACTCCGCCTCCGTCTCGTCCCGCGTGGACGGTGGAGCTCGCAGTCGCGACGGGCCAGCTTGGGACGCCGCCAGTCCCATGTACGTACGTGGGGCACATACAATGCCTACGGCGCGGTCCCGCAGGCAAAGCACTCTCTCCACTCGCGCGCGCGCCGGAATCGGGCTGGAACCCGTCCCCGCCCGGAAGGAGCCTCGCGGCGGACGCTGTGCGGGGCGGGGGGGGGCGGGGAGCAATGGCCCAGCGCGTCCGCACGCGCGCCGCCGGAACAGAGGGCGAAGACGCTGGACAGGGTCGACGACGAGGGGCGGTCGATCGCGCGTCGAATCGCGCATCGCGGGCGCGGTGGAGATTGCTGGGAGATACACTGGGGACGTGGCACCCCGCGGGGATCCATCAGCCCGGCTGGCGCCGCGGCGCACACAGTACTTAGTGTGTGTTGGTGTAGGTAAGGTGGCCGAGGCGGGCGGGGGCGCGTCGCGGCTAGCCACGCAGGGGTGCCGAGCTGGTGCGCGCGCGCGCACACCAAGCCTGTGCGCACGGTCAGATTGGGTGTCGAATAGGGTATCCCGCGGAGTACTTGCGAGCCTCGAGGTGTTGGACTCGAGCTGCGACCAAGTGGGCGATGGGCCGCCGGGCCGCGCGGCGGCCCGCTCGTGCCGGATGATCTCGCCCTCGACATTCTTTATCTGGCAAGCTGTCACCGTCGTCGAGATCGCGGGGCGACTGCGGCCGTAGTACCGGGCGAGAGGGCCCTGACAACCCAAGGCTGAGATCAGTTCTCGTTCCGGCCGCGCACGATCCAGTCGGAGGGGGGATAAGTGCGGTCGGCAATGGCTTAGCGTCCTGCCCTGCCGACGCGCAGGCTCAGCCCTATGACCTCGGGGTCGCGCATCGCGCAGGTAGCTGTGTGTCCCCGCATGCTGCCACCAGCTCCACTTTCGAATGCGTAGACGCAGCGTAACGCCAGAGGGAGAACGAGGGAAGGCTATAGCTCCCGAAGATCGCGCCGGCCGGACGTTCACGACGCAGACGGCGGGGAATTGCGCGAGACGTCACGACGACGACAATCCTCGGCCGCGCTATTCGCGCGGCGCTCGACAAGATGTCTGAAACTCAGCGAGCGCACGCGGCGGGGAGAGTGATCGGGTGGTGTGCGTGTCGACGCCGAGATGTGCACATTGTTCCTCGATGGATCACGTACAGTGCACTTTATCGATCTCGTATGTACATTCTCAGTAGTGCTGCTCTATAGTACCGCACGACCCGCGCGTGGGAGCCAGGGCCAGCCCTTCCGCCTGCTGATCTGGCCACGCTCGTCAGCTGTAGCCCGCCCATACGGAGACTAAATGGCTTCCCACATGGGGTATTCATTGTGCGCAACGGGCGTGATGGGAGCGCGACGCCCGTCCCGACGGTGCCCATACACTGCTGCATGCGACGCGAGATGTGCAGGGCAGAGTCCCTCCCCTGATCTCAGATGCTGCGGGTGGACGAGCGCAGGTTGGGAGGGCGGGACCCGACAATGAGCCGCGGGGGGAGCATCGACGCCTCGTATCCGCAGCTGAAGTGAATGTGCACATGGGGTCCGGCCTGTGGCGCGGCGACTGTACGGTGCAGTGACAGCCCTCCCGACGTAGCGACTCGGAGGTGCGGTGGCTTTCCCGAGATCCCCGCCGTCCGACGAGGAGAGGAGGGTGCGGCCCGGAGCACGGACGTCGCCTGCCCGTCTCGGGCCCTCGTCACGGCAGGCTGGCCCTGCGCGTCGCATCGCGCGAAGGCGGAGGGCGCTGGACGTGACGCCGACGTGAACGGCCGCCGGGGACGCGCATCGGACGCTCGAAGCGCGCGCACGGCGTTTGGCCATCGGGCGGCGGGGAAGCGTTGGGCGAGAGCTTCGTGCTTCGCGGCAGGCTGGCGGTGTGCGGGCCTTCGCGCTCGCGGGCTCTTCGAGAGCGGGCTGCCGAGGCGGGCCTGGGGCAGAACTGTTGACGCGTGAGACAATTCAGAGCTTCACCGGCAGGGCGCACCGAACAGAACGCCGGCCTTGATTGGGAACCAGGAAGGAGGGCGCGCGGTGGCCGTTGGACTTTTGGACTACCTTCGGGGTCTGACTGGACAGGATAACGGGGTGCTGCCCGGCCGGCGCGCCGTTCGTGACTCGGTGTAGCGTTCAGTTTGGAATGAATGGGAGATGCGGTTCTGCACCCTGAAACGAGGGCCGGTCGAGAAGTTGGCGGTGGATGAGGCGGTGGGTCCCAAGCCTCCAGCACCGACTTTGCGCTGGAAGACGGTTCAAAGGCGTGATGGTGAAACAAGAATATCTGGATCATCACAATACAGCATAAATTGCAGGCAGACTTACGGCAATGGGTGTGAACATCGGGCGCAACTCAGCGGCTATGCAGTGTCGTCCGCGGAGGCACCATCGAGTCCCACGAAGATGTGCTGTGGCGTACTAATACTTCATCCGATGGTAGCGGCATAACGTCACTCCGCAGGACGTCCGAGCCCCCGGACGGTATCGGTACGGATGTCTGGACGCGCATCATGCTAGGGATAACGAATGTGGTTTGCAAAGAAGACGGTGATGGTTGCCCACGTTTCGCGGCGATGGTGGCGGGATTGCAGGAAGGTTCGAATGCATTCGGTCCGTCGTGGATGAGAAATCTTGTCGGATGAAGACAGCGGGATCCGTGTCTGAGAACCACAAGCTGAACCTGCGTAGGTAGCGGTAGGATGAAGGGGATGTGCCGAGCAGGATACAAGAACACGATGAGCTTTTCGGCACAGAGAACAAGAACGTGTCGAGGACCTGAACAGAAGAGAAGGAGAAGTGGTGTGACTCTACTGGTTCATCACCGTCAGGGTACGCGTGGAATCCGAAGTTCGGCAGCCGTTTAATATGTTTGATATGTGTAGATTGGTAGCGATACCAGCTCGTGCCCTATGAAATCTGAGTGCAAATCAGTCAACTCTTTTATAGTGTATGACGGCTTAGAAAACGATACTTGTGCCAGAGATGCTTCCACCGAGATGGCAGAAGTGTTATTTGGACCTCGTACTTCTCAAAAATTCCACTTGAGCTAATAGACGACTGTCAGGGCACGTTTTGACCTGAGCGGATGTGACGGATGAGTTATGATGTCCATGGATAGGATTTCACGCATTCAGGAGGCAACCAGAAGATTGCGACAGGTCAATTTACATGCGATGGTCTGACAATAGATGAAGACAGTCATAACAAAACGATCTCGCCACTCACCTAGGATATGCGGGTCCACGACATCCCCTTGCTGAACCGTTCACGAACGACCTCGGCAGATTGGTCTTGGGAGGCTGGCGGTCTGGGCTGTGCATCGCCAGGAGTCCGGTGCCTTCCATTTTGGGATTTGTTCCGGAACATTCCTCAAGCGCTTTGGGTCGTCATCGCTCAGCCTCAGCACGGTCATCGACGACGAGGCCGCCTCCGCCACAGCCTTCCCTATACCACCACCAGTCCTGGTCTCCTCCTCTTTCTGTCGTCATTTCTTGTTGTACCGCCCCGTCATGCCTGACAATAATCACAACAACGGCGGTCTCTTCCGTCGCGTCCTCGATCCCCCACTCCGCCAGACCCTAGGCAACCTCGTTCGCGGAATTCTACCTCGCCATCCGCCCATCCCATCCTCAGACGAGCCACCGGATGGTCCCCTCACGCCAACTCCACCATCCAAGCGTTGCCGCCGGGCTCTGTGGTCCCTACCTCAGTCGCCGGAGCCGAAGATGTAGAGCCGACACAATCGAGAAGTACGAGTGGCTCGGGAGTCCTCGTAAGTCACTACCTCTTTCACATCTGAGACCCACTTTTCAACTCTTCGTCTTTTGTTCTTCCTTCCTAATCTATCTCGCCTCGCTCCAGCAATTCCTCCATCCACTTCCAAGCCCGCAGCACACGACTCCAACGCAATCATCTCCTTCGCCGACCTCTCCCTCGCACACCTCTCCTGCTGTTCCCACTCAAATGCCATCAGTATCTGCAGCTGTGGAGGGCCCAGACATTGAGATGTCCGACCCTACTCCTCGACCTGTATTGTCTATCGACCCTGCGTCATCCACGCCTTCAAGAAGTTACCGGCGTGCGAGAGTTGAAGATGAGGAAGATGAGCACATTCCGGAGCGTGGTACCAATCGCCAACGCATGCACTCTCCTTCAACACAGGATATAGACGTTGACCACCACTTCATGCCCATTCCCGAGGATCACGGAGTGCAGCAGCCCACCGGCTCTAATGCGGCTCCACCACCTGCTGGAAACACGCTGCCAGACGCATTTCCTCCCGGCCCGCCACCTGGGCCTCAGTACACTCGCCGAACATGGACCTTTGAGTTTATGGCATTCCCTGGGCCTCGTCCGCATGGCCACCCCCACCCTCCACTACCCGCACAGCAGCCTACTGGCGCCCAACCACCTGTCCCGGATGCTGCCAGCTTGCTGAACTTCTTTATGAATGTACCATTCCCTCCTGGTCATAGACCGGCGTCACAACGCGGCACAGCGCCAACCCCCCCGGCAGGTAATGCATTTCTGCGCTTCTCGGATCCTCATGTTAACCATTCCACAGATGGCGCCGGCGTGCCCCGAGACGGTCCCGTATTATTCCTGCCTCTAGGGATGGGTGCCATGGAGGAGCCGGACGATCCCAAGCGTGCGCAGAGGCTCGTCGAAGGACTGGAAGAAGTCCCTGCTGGCCTTATCAAACGGATGGAGCGCGTTGGCGGTCCTGGTTCATCTCGCGGCGATGTCCCCACTTGCTCTGTCTGCTGGGAGAGCTTACTGGATCCAGAAGGTGGAGGCTTTGAGGGCAACGCCCAGCTAGCCGAGGACGAGGCTTCTGCGGAAGCCGCCCGGGAAGGCGCCTCTCCACGCGCATCGCCAACCACTCAGGACAGGACATACGCAGGCACCTCCCAGTCCGCCGAGTCTTTTGCTGCCTCTGCTGACAACTCGGATGCGACCCACGCGACAGCACATCCGAAAATTGTTGTTCTTCCATGCGCGCACGCCTTCCATGCAACCTGCCTCCTGCCATGGTTCTCCAAGCCGGGACGTACGACATGTCCGTCGTGCAGGTTCGACATCGATCCTGACTCGCTCACTTACCGCCACCGGACACAGGCGGCCCCGTCTGGATGGCTGCCTCCGCACTTTCACACATTTTTCGGAGGCCCGCCGCCCAACCCAACCGCTCCTGCGCCAGCTAACCCTGCCGACCCCAGTGCCGCACCCGCGGGCCCTGAAGACCCAGCGCATCCCCCAACCGCGGCGCAGGCTGACGCGGACGCCGCCCGGAGGAACCAGCCTCTTCCGCCGTTCGTGAGCTATGAGATCAGCCTCGTTCCCATTCCCATCTTGTTCGACCGTGGTATGGGTGGAAATACCGCTCCTGGCGCGCAAGGCGCTCAACCCCAGCCTGCCCCGGCGGGAGAAGCCGGTGCTCAACCCGCTCACTTTACAGGACCTGCGCCACCTCCTCCGCGCACGGACCAGCACGGTTTCCGCCTGGATGACACGCTACTCCAGGAAGCCGTTCGGTCCGTGTTCGAGTCGACGTTCGGCCGCGCTGCCCCTCCCTTCGCATTCGGTCCGCCCCCGCCTCCACCCCCAGCGGGCGCCCGAGAGGGCACCCCCAGCGGAGGTGCAGCGCAAGGTGCAACGCGCGCGGGACCCTGGTACCACTTCCACACCGGCCCTATGCCCATACCCGGTATGCCCATGCCCATGCCCTTCCCTCCTCCGCCCCCCGCTGCGAACGCCGCTCCCGGCGCCGGTATCCCACCACCACCGCAACCCCCTCGCGCACGCCGGTCCTCGTCCCCGCAGGAGAAGCCGCCGTGGGCGCCGCCGCCGCCTCCCGGCCCGACTCTGCGTCAGGTCGTCGAGCGCAACGAGCGTGAGATGGGCCTGCGGTGTTCCGACGTGAGTTGCGGGATCGGGCCCTCAGACGACGACGACTGCTCGGCTTCGCCCGCTCTCGCCCCCGCCTGCCAGATCGCGATCCGCAAGGCGGGCGCGGCGGGCGTGGCGTGCGAGCACCGCTTCCACCCGGCCTGTCTCGTCGCCGCGGAGCGCGTCGCGGGCTGGGCGGTGGGCGAGCACGACGCGGGCGAGGCCGTCGAGGCCGCGTGCCCGGTGTGCAGGTCCGCCGGCGTCATCCCGCGCGCAGAGTGGCAAGAGGGCGTGAGCCAGCTGGTATGAGCCGCCGTCGGTTCACGGCGACGTCCTCGGGCTTGGTTGTCTTGGGCTGTCGTGCCCGTGACGAGGCGAAGGACGACGTAATGGATCGTATAGCAGTACTATATTCCGATAATCGTCACGCTGCCCCCTTCCTGTCCCGTCTTCGCTGTATTCGCATTCGTCTCCCCCATGCTCTCGCGCCTTCTCGTCGCCCCCGCCCATATGTTGTCACCGTTCTGCACTTGGCCGCTTGTGTCGCTCCCGCGCCGGTATCTGCACTCACGCAATGTATCTCTGTACCGTAGATCTGTGCATCCTAGACTGCGAAAGTAGTACTATATATTGTATACACTTGGCCCCCCTCCCACCCCCGCCCGCGTTCCCGGTACATCGCGACTCATTCAGGGACGCAGGAAGAGGAAGACGAGCGCGATCTGTATATATCTTCCTATGCACGAACCCGTGTGCGCCCCAGCCACAAGACGCAGTCTGTTCAGACCCCCGCCCGCGCCCGCCAGAACCAAGACCGTCGCGGCCTTGTGGCAACGGAATCCGAATCCCTTCCGCCGCGAAAGGCCAGCGCGCGCACCACGTTCTCAGCGTGCGCGCGGCGAGCCTGGGGAGCGGAGGCCCGAATCGAGCACGGCCCTCGCGCACGGAACCCGCGAAGGCCCTGCGCACCTCGGTCAGCGGGCCTCGTCCCAGGCGCGCAGAGTGTGCGGTATCGGGGACCGCGAGCGGGGTGGGGGTGCCTGCCCGAAGCGCGTTGCCTCCGGCGGCTCCCTTCTGCGCGACGTCCTGTTCTGTTCTCGCCCCTCAGCGTGCCAGTACTTCTGCTTCCTTCTCCTCCTCCGCCGCCTTCGCGAGCCGCACCCAGGCTCCGGAGGCTCGCGCGCAGGCGCCCGACGCGCGCGCGCGCCCTTCCCATCTGTCCAACTGGAAGGCCGGCGCGACGCTTTACCCGCCGGAGTCCGAGCGAAACTCTCGCTGACAGTGGCACGGGGAATAAGTTAGAACTTAGCAGTGCAGCACCCTCCGGTGTCCCAGGCCGCGGCGAGCCGTGCCGCGCGCTGCACATCCGGTGGATGGCCGAGCCGCGCCCACTCGCCCGCGCAGACGTACAGCGCAATATGCCTCCGCCTGGCAGGCACCAGCTGCAGCAGTGGGAGTCGGCGCGGCGCGGCGCCCTCCACGGTCGCGGCTCGTCCGTGCGGTGCGCCTCGCCGGACCCAGCGCAGGCCTTCTGCCGCGCAATGCGTCAAGATCGCCTCCGCGCCGGTTCTGACGGAAGGGGGCCCCGACCACGCTAGAACGGCAGGGCGAGCAGAGAACGGGCGCGGGAGGCGCGCGCCCTCGACGTGCGTGCGTACGTACGTACGTACCGCGTAAGCACTCCCTCAGTGCTCTGCGGCCTTCGAATCGCGTCCGCTGCGTGGGCGTGGGCGGCTGCGCCGAGATTCGGATCGCGGCGGGCCGTGTGGGCGCGTGCGCCGCCGTGGCGCGCCCTGGCGGTGCGGGTCCGAGACTAGCGGAATATGGGTCGCGGCGGCGCCGGGCAGTACTTGGGCGCGGCGGGGGCGCGAGGCTTTCCGGGCGGCGGGCGTCGTCCTCGTCCGGCGTCGTCAATGTCGCCTCGCGGGCGATAAGGTCGGCCGGCCTCTCCTCAGTGCTGGGGCCGCGGGGCGGGCTCGGTTCGCCGTCAGCCGTTCAGTCTGGACGCCGGCTGCCGGAGGGGCGGCCAGCTTGAAGCCCTTCCGTAGCGACCACGGGACCACGGGCCACGGACGGATCCTCGTCGCCCTGTCGAGCAGTAGCGTTTCCTCGCTCGCCTGCACACCCCGCGCGGTCTCGCGCGGCCAGCCTGGGCGGAAGGCAGCAGAGCGAAAGAACCGCGAACCACATACGCTCCGATTGGCGGTGGCCGGGCGCCGTGCGCGACGGCGCGTCGGCGCGTCGGGGCCTCCTGCGCGCGGGGCGGCGATTCCCCGCCCGCGAGACCCTTCTCCGCTGCGCGCAACGATTTCCCGTCGCGCATCCCGAGGGCCGCCGCGGTGCGTGGGTCACGGGCCTCGCGCTGCTGCACGCTGTGTGGGCCGGGCGGTCCGTGCGCGAGCCCTGCGCCGCGGGGCGCCGGCCTCAGGAGAGGACGGAGAGGCCGAAGACGACGTTGGACGCGAACGGTGGAGGAGAGGTCCCTCCGGAGTTCAAGGCGGCGCGCATAAGCGTCCACCGGCACTTCTGCGCCACGTTCTGATCGTGGTGGCGTCGAACCCGGGTGCTCTACCTCTACGCGGGTCTCTGCTGCTGCCATCACGCACGCGCGGCACCTGCCAGTGCCACGACCAGGCGCGCTGCGCACAGACAATGCAACCCGGAGCTGGCGCGATGACGCCAACGCTGCGGGGTGCGCCCAGCAGATCCGCGGGTGCGGGCCTTGGAAAAGGCAACTAAGATGCAAGCGAGCGGCGGGGGCGCTGCTGCCACTAGCGCAGCTGACTGGTCGCGAGGGGCTTGGTGTCTGTCGCCCGTGAGCGCGTCACTTCCCCGCACTCGGGATCTGCGGCATCCGCCAGCCCCTCGACGGCACGACGCATCGAGCGAGGGGCAGGCGTGAGGCATGATCCATGAGGCCCGATACACGCGGCGACGAAACGCGGCATGCGGAGCTCCCGCGGAGTCCAAGGAGGCTGAGCCCAGCGCCGGCGGGACTGAATGGGCGAAGCCCGCCGGGGCCGCCGTTGTCTCCATGTCGCGCAGAAGACGGGCGTGAGCACTGAGGCCGCGGGTGCGCGCAGCTCAGCGAAACGCGCATCGAGGAGGAGAAGGTGCCCGCGTGGACGCCGACGCTGGATGCCGGTGGGCGGACTCGCGAAGAATCGCCGGGGGTGCACACCGTCGCGACATGCCGCGACAGTGTGCACTCTCGAGCTTGTTGAGGGTGGCGAGCTGCGTGACCCACTGAGCACGGCGGCTGCTAGCCTTGCGACAGCCGCCGGGGAGAGCGTTCTCCATCGAGCACCGGCGCAGGAAGCGCAGGTCAGGGTCGCAGACCCTGAACAGTAGGCGTATCCCTCCCCCGGACGCTGCGCTGACTCAGAGAATGGGCTCTATCACTGACTGACCGCCCGCACGACCACACGACGGGCAGCCACGTCCTGGAAAAGCCGTCGCTGGAATTCGCGCGCGCCCTTCCCGCACTCGCACGCACGGCTGCGGCGCCAGAGCCCTGCGAACGCCGGGCGCCTCGACCAGAACCGCCTGCCACGTCCACCGTGCCTGCCGTGGTTTCCCCCGAAGAGAACGCGACTTACCTCTGGCGGGGACGTGTGTCTCGGTCTGCTCGGCGGCGGCTCTGGTGATTCCCCCTTCGCCGTCCCGCCGCGTCGGAGTCGAGGATGTGCGGACATCGCCTGCAGAACGCACGCCGCAAAGGCAGCCCGAGCCCGCGCGGCCGGTACGCTCGTCGAGCCCTATCCGGGGCGCGTGCGCGATGTCAGCGCGCAGAACGGTCTCGGGCCTCCACAATCACGCACCCTGGTTGCGGTAGAGAGGTAGGGGCCGCTGTGGAGCGCATTCGTGCGCTGGAGACAGAATGCTTCGCCTTTGCTCTGCTTCGCCGCTGCGAGCGACGCCGGATGCCTCGTGGGCATCCCCGCCGCACGGCGAAGGGAGCCACACCCCGCAAGCGAATGCAAGTAGCCCGCGTCGGCAGGCCGCCATAAGCATAAGCTCCTCGCACACGGCCGGGCAGGCGACGCGTTGGCAGTGCTCCGCGCGCGCCGGTGTCGCGGCTGGCAGGGAACTCGGGTTTTCGCGGGGGCCAAGTTCCGGTGAGGGCTTGTAGCGAGAGTCGGGTTCGCGAACAGAAGGCCTCGCGCCTGATCCCCTGCAAATGCCGGGCGTGTCGACGGAAAGCGACCCGATGCGGCGAGAGCCTCGCGCGAGGTCCGGCGAGTCCCTGTGACAAGCGAGGAGGCGAGGTCCACTGCGGGCCCCCCTTCTGCGTCGATTCATGTGGCGTCCCGCGCTCGTTCGGACACGTCTTCCCTATCTCTCGCTGGAGCGCCAAGTGGGTGTGTGGGCCTGACTGGACCGCCGGCTACGCTGAGTCCTCCAGATTGCAGAACCTAGGATCGCGCGGCATGGAAACCACGCTAGAACTCCTGCTGTGGCGCGAACGCTGGCTGAGTAACGTAAAACGACGGAGTGGATGAACCGCGAACGACTTACTGGGCTGACTCTCTCCAAGAGAGGCTTCAATGGCTCGTGCCTCCCCGGTAAAGCAACCTGAGCCGAATACAACATTGGTTACAGCATCCGGACATTGTTCCACCTGTGTTTGTGTGACACTGTGTTTTCAGTTTGTGACCAGTGGAACGAACCGGAGAGTTAGGATGGTTGTACTGGAGGTTACTTCCGGATTGCCACGAATGGAATATCCGACAGACGAGCTCCGGCGCTCCGAACATCGTGATGCTAAAATTTCTCGCTAATGTGACGATGATGAGATTGAAGAAGTCAGTAGCTTACTAGAGCGTGGGATCTCGTAGACTTACGGGAAACAATTGCGCACCCCGTCGAAGCAAGGTCTTCTGCCCGGTTTGAAGCAAAGTATACTTGACGAAAACATCCGTGTCTGAAAACCCGAGTCGACATCAAGGGAAGTCACAGGCGTGGACGTGGCACCTTACCGGCCCCCTAAACCCGCCGACTCGACGCACGAATGCCAGGGAAGTCCGGTGAGACGGTACCTTTCATTATGTGGTTACGAGAGCTTGAATGCCGGCACTCGCTCCTTCAATGCATTCGACCTGTGGCGCCTGCCACCACATCGGCCCCCGTTCATTTTAGCTGTGGCATATCCGTTGTCATCGAGTGATTTCACATACCCGGCCCTGACACACGCCGGATACCCACCTGGCAGAAGGAGTGACGCTTGACGCCGTCTCCATCAGTATGGAGGCCTTGTTAGGAGGATGCGCGCAGGTACGGCACCTTCAGTGCCTTATGCAGTTGACACCACGACCAACCATATCGTCTGGAAAGAGTTGCAGGGAAAGGGGGCCGAGGGTCAATGAACTTCTCCTGCCGCAGTAATATCGCTTACAGGTAGACCTTTCGTCACCGGCCCCCGCTGGATTGAACCGTGAGGACGCAAATCTGGTCATGTCAAGTCTGTAAAGTTACTAGCAAGAACGAAGTGTCAAAACGACCTTCAGCTGAATTTGGGGATCACATACACGGTGTATCAACTGAATAAACGACAGCAAACTCCTAAGACGAAGCTTCATGAGGAAACTTTGGTCGCTGAAGTTGTCAAAGGCGTGTAAAGCGACGAAAATCCACGCGCCACCCGGTTATCGCTGCGGCCACAGCGCAAGCGTCTGAAAACATCGAGTCAGTAAGGAAATGATTGGTCGTTCAAATGTCAGGGGTGGTCATATCGAGAGAAGGGTAGTCATCGAGACGACTTTACGGCGGTGTGCGATGCAGTCCATTGCGAATCTATGAATTGGTGAGGCAAGAGACTCAGTCTGGAATGAACGCACAAGCCAAGGACGTTGGCGAGTGCATGGCCTTACTGTAGTCAACCGCCTATGTAGGAAGCGGTGGGCCCACGTCTTGATGGAGTGCGACGCCCAATGCGATTCTAGCCAGCGTCGAAGCCCCGTCTACAAACTACTTTCAGCTTCAACATGAAAGTCGAAATCAGAATCGACTTCTTCAGCAGTTTGAAGCTCAGGAAGGCGCAGTCTGGGATACGGTATTCAAGGCCAAATACCTAAAATCAATTAGATTGGACAGCGTATCAAGCTCAACAACACAAGAGAGCATACCAGTAGCGGATCCAATAAGTGCTGGTAGCTATCGACTACTACACAATTGTGATCATGATCAATGCGTTGGCATCGACGGCATGGAAGGCATAAAGTTAAAGGTCATATATCTCGAATGCGTTGCTGAAGTGAATCCGAACGGGCTGAATGATGATAATTTCGAGGTGCCGACCTTTTGTCCAGTTGGAGTGTCATTTGAAAGCAGACACCCGATTGTAACGGACTCCTAGTCACCCGCCTTCTATGATGATTCAAATATCCTGAGAGAGAGAGCTTGTAAGGCTCTCTTCTTGGTGGTCGGAACTGTATTCAGGCAAGGATAGAGCGTGCCGCGGTGGGCTGGATGAAGGTCAGTGGCATAGCGTGACGATCAAACTGCCTAGGATACGAGATATCACACTCACGTGACGTCGTGACTGTTTGTCACCCACTCCGCCGCGCCGATTTCAAACGTTCACCAACTTCCAGTTTTCGGACCTCGACATAGCCAACGCACACCGAGCGTAAGTTACATAGTCTCAAAAACTCTATTGCCTTGGAGTTTTATCCGAAATCCGTCGCTTACAGAGGATGCTGGCGTGCAACTGGCGTGAGACAACAATCCAAGGACAACCGGACTTCGAAGAATCATCGGGCACTACTCTGGCTCGAACGGTGACGATCCAGGTGCGTGCTGGATCTTGTCCAGGTTGGATCATTTCCGCCCCCTCTGACACTTCTTGTTAGCGTCAATACCGACTGCCTCGCCCCTCCCCCTTCGACCAATCCAGACCACATCCCTGCGCATACACAGTCCAAACGGTCTCTTATCTGCATCCTCTGCTTCTCCCTCACGCCACGCCGCCACTTCAAGTCACTGCAGACCCTTCGTCCCGATCCCAGGCAGGATCCACATCGGAGCTGGAGTCGGACGAAGCACGATCGCGCGCACCCCGCACCCTTCTGGCATCCGTACCGTCGCGAGTGAGTAATAGACTTTGTCGCGCTTCTCGGATGGGATCGGGGGGACACGCAGCTCGGGAGTCGGAGCCCAGGCGCGGGTCGCGGGCTCTGCGTTCGTGCCCTGCTCTCCGGTCGCGCGGAGGCTGCTCCGCGCGGGCCCCGTGCGTGCAGATCGCCAGGCTTCGGCCAGGACCAGCGAGCCCCGCGAGGCAGGATCGCCCCCGCCCCCGGCGCGCGGCGTGCCCACCCCGCCCGCTCGATCCGTCACGTCCATCCACTGTCGCCCACCGAGACCGGCCAGTGCCTCCATAGCATCGCGACCCTGACCGGTTTCGTTGGGGTCTGGCGCCGCCTCAATCACGATTTCGGACCGTTCCTATGCCCTTTTGAGTCCTCGTTCAGAAGGGCGGCAGAGCAGGAGGCTCCGCTCCACCCTCCCGCGTCCACCACGAGGGGAGGTCGTAGAAGGTGCTCGAAGGCGATCCCGGTCCCCGGCTGGCCGCCTCGTGCCCCGTCCGCGCGCCACGACGCCGTCCCATGCCCCTCGTCCGCGACCGCCGCCAAGGCTGCCCACCGCCGCAGCGCGCAGGGTTCCCGAGGAGCGCAGCGACCCTTCAGGCCTCTGGTTCCCGTGTTCCACGCCCGCGTCACGCCCTCGGGTGTTCCGTGCCCTGGCACACAGTGGCACACCGAATTGAACGCAGCACACAGTGGGCAGCGGCGCGGGGCACGCGTGGCGACTCGGAGCCCGTCACACACACGCCCGCGCTCACATGGCCCTCCGCGGCTCGTCCTCTCCGCGCGACCGCGTCCACGGGGTGGGGGGTGCCCAGGGAGGGGCTCGGGGAGAGCCTCGCCACCGCTACCCCCGCAGGCGGCAATCGATGGGCGAGGGGCGAGACGGAGACGACGAGAGGGTTCCGAGCCCTGCGGGTCTGTGCCCTGGTCTATGCGGTTCACGGTCTGCCGTGGGTACTGCAGGGGGGCTGGGCTCGGTCTCTCTCTCCAAGCTCTGGAGGCTGGACCGGGAGGCCCGATTCGAATCCGAACGGCCGTCCGTGCAGGACAGTAGATCCCGTCGCCCCATGCGGCACGACTGTTGCGCCTTACTTCCGATCCCCGTCGGAGAATCCGCGCGGAGAGGACGTCGCTACTCGACGCCTCTGCGAGCCGAGAACTCTGAACCGCACAGGACGCCAGCTGCTGACGCAGTGATGACGCACGATGCGCACCGTGACTCGAGAGTCTCGAGCCGGTCGTCGAAGTCGAACAACGACGATGCGCGGGCGATGATCCACCGCAGATGCGGGGGCGCGGATGCGGACGCGTCGGTCTGCGAAAAGGTACGAGAGCGTGGCGCTGCCCATTCAATCGGATTGCATTGGATACCGGTACCGTAGCACGCTGCGGGGCGAACGATGGGCAAAGACGGTGTAAATGGAGGACACGAGGCGTGGGTGGAGAGGTAGTAGTACAACAGTGGTAGCGCGAGGACTCGACCGATCTGCGGCGATCGGGATTCAACTCGAGCGCCGCAGCTGCGGGTCGGGGCCAGGAAAGAGGGGGTATGCATACCTACATGTGTACAACACTGCGGTCCACGGTACAAGAACAGATGGCGACAACAAGCGGGGATGGCAACGAAGGTGTGCTTAGCAAGTGCAAAGCAAGATGCGAGTGATGCGAGGGGATGTGTGATGTGAATGCGGGGAATGCATGAGGATGCGATGAATCAAGTGAAGGATGGGTGTTGGTACAAGGATGATGTGGGGTGGGATCGAGGGGAGCTCATGTGGGGGTCGCCAGGCGGAGGAGGGCACGATAGTTACGAGGGGGATCGCGGAGACGGAGGATGGAGGACTACAGTTGGGACGGATGTGGGCGGCGGGGAGTGGGGTGGAGGTCGCAGACGAGACTTGGCCCAATACAATTAAGCATTCTGTCCGACAAGTACTGATCAGCAACAGCGAGTGCGCACGAACCAGAGACGATGCTCGCCATAAGGGGATATAAAAGATGCATAATTCAGACGTTCGGCTTGTCGCCGACGTCCACGACCCAGAACAACGACGGCTCGTCCTTGCCCGAGGCCGGCACGCCGCGTTTCAGCCCGCGGAACCACGGCTTGCCCTTGAAGAGGTCGACGCGGCGCATCCCGTGCAGCCACTCCGCGCGCTCGCAGTGACGCGTGCTCACTTTGCAGCGCGCCAGGAATGCGTCGATGCACTCTCGCGCCTGCTCAGGGGTCTCGACCCACTCGTCGCGCTCCTCTAGGTTGCACTTGTGGTCCAGCCATTGATAGAGCTGGTCGAACACGTCGCTGCAACGGATGTTCTTCCCGTTGCTCGCCTTGATTGTGATCGTCGCTCCGGGGAAGGTGTCGCACCGGATCTGCATCTCGGTGAGCTGCTGCGCCTGGCAGGCGGCCTTGTCGAGGTACCGGTCGACTTCGTCCGTGTGGAGCTTTTGGCGTGCGCCGCGCGAGACGTCCACGATTTTCAACGACGAGACGTCCTGCGCGAAGTCGTAGACGACCTGCTTGCCGACGACGCCCAGCGTGTCGGGGAGGAGCAGCCAGTGGAGAGCGAGTGGCGCGGGGGTAGACCCGCGTGGCGCAGGGTAGGGCGAGGCCGAGTTTGTTGATCGTGAGGTATTCCGCGACACGGAGTGCGTCGAGCGGAGTGCGTGAGGCGAGGAGGAGTGAGGAGGCCGCATCGCGCTGGGCGGTGGCGAGATCGAGCTTGCAGATGAGGTTGAGGAGTGCATGGGTACAGTGGGAACGTCGATGGGAGGACCGGCTATCGATGGGATGTGAGCTTAGGTCCGGAGGTGTATATATGCATGGATCAGGGCGGTGGGTGAGATAAAGGACTCACGGCGCTTCTTGAGGATGCCCTTCAAGGGCTTCCCTGTCTGCCCATCCCCAGCCGGGCGCGGTTTCGGAGTCTCGAAAGGTATCGGCACCCATGCCCGATGCGGCGTTGGGTTTTGGATCTCCACTGGGGGTTGTGTGCTCGAGGGTCGCCGCATGCGAGACTTGTACAAGTCAGGATCGGGAGTCATCATGCGAGATGCGATGCTTGTGTGTACGGGGGTGTTGGGCCGTGAAGCGTAGCCAGAAGAGGCGGAAGAGCGAGAGAGGGCGCGAACGGAGTAGGGGGGAGAGCCCACAGAGGGGGTGGAGGGGCACGGGGAACTGGAGCCCTCACTAGACGACGACGACGACCAGCCTGCGCTGAGCGGTGGGACCGGGTCTCCTGGGAGAGCAAGCGGGCGAAACTTGGGAGCTGTCGGAGTGGACACCCCAGGGATCTTCCTCATAAAGTCCATGGTGGCGGTGAAGAGCCGGGGGACGTAATTGAAGAGAGTCGTGGTGGGCTAGAAGAAGGTCCCGAGTGGACTGTGGGCGAGTTCCAGAGCGGGAACTTAAAGGACGTGGCGATCGCTGCGGCAAGGGAGGTGGAGGAGGAGATGAGCGGTGCCCCGGAGGTAGATATAGACGTGGAGGGAGCAGGAAGAGGGAGAAGCCAGACGGGAGAAGGACTCACTGAAAGAGGTCGTGGCGGAGGTCGTGGACGGTGCAGAGCAGCACGGGCCCTTCAGTCGGGCTGCCAGGGCAGATATGGACCGAGAGGGCCCCTCACAAGGAGGCGGTTGATGCCAGCGGGTGAGCGGACGAAAGAAGAGCGGAACGGCCGATGGGGGCTGCACCCAACCCCCCGACACGCCCCCGACACGAGGCGTCCGAGCCCTCGACCGAGCTCGAGCTCTCAGCCGCCCGGCCCGCCCCTCCCCGCACCGTCACGTGTGCTTCCAGCCTGTTGTCTCCTGTTGTCCCGTATGGGTCCATTGGCCTCTGCGCCCTCCCCTCGCACCCATACACGCCTCGCGCAGTCCCATCCAAACATCCCCGAAACAGCTGGTCTCATGATCTACTTTGTGGCGCGACATGACACATGAAGCGCCCGAACTCGATGCGAACTCGTAAGGTCGCGGATTCGAAGGCTACTGCGAAGAACCCGCTTCATCATAGACGGTTTCATACGGCGAAGGCCGGTAAACCGAGGTGTCCCTGATGTCACTCCGCGCTGAACAGTTTGGGCTGCACTGGCCGGGAGAGTGCCCCGGTCATCCGGACGGCGACTCGAGCTCCCTCCCTCTGCGCAGCGAAGAAGGCGTTCATCCCCGGCATTACACCGTGGGATAGATTAGCACGCGTCCTCGCGATATCATGTTCAACTGCACAGGATGTAATGTGCGTCTCGAAGCGCAGCTTCCTGTCAACATCGGGCCGTATATGCGGGGTCCGGTTTACAGCGCCTCCAGACTGCGACCACATTATCGGAGCGCTCTGTGTCTAGATGTGGTTCAACACGTACGTCTACATCGAGTATCGGTTCCCGTGAACACGCAAATCCAGCCGCTGAGAGGTTTCCTCGATTTCCGGCAGTTCTTTGGACGCATGAGTCTATACGACGCATATTTGATTCCACAAAACAATTCCTGCTTCGGATGATGGAAGTCTACATTTCTCCATTCTACTACCGTAGAGTCGCTGCATAACAGTGATGCGGTTCATCGACGTTGTTAATTGCGTGATATGGGATCGGATTGCACTCAACAGCATCAGCGTGACGTTCAATACCGTAACAGGATTTCCTCCGGTTCAAATGGGAGATGATGCCCAAACTCAAGCGCTGCCACGTTCACCCCACCTCCGTTCCCAATACAATCTAGAATGGTTTGCGCGATTTTGAAAGAGGGCGATTACACAGTGGCATACCGCAAGACGTATCGAGTTTGGCATCCCCAAGTCCGCCGACGAGCGTCGCCAACTCTCGAACGAGCCGGGCGCTGCTCTCGGACGATCCGCGCTCGTCCACGCAGCACAGGCGTTGCCGCACCGTCCACCACCGTGCCATCCAAGCTGCAGCCCACCGCGTCCCAGCCTGCAGCCCACCTGACCTCCGCGAACGCACAGCACCAGAGTCACGCACCCGCCTCCGCCTTCCTTCCGACCTCCAACTCTCCAAGCTCCAACTCCAAACTCCAAACCCTCATTCCAAAACCCAATCCCAATGAAGGAATTCACCGCCCGCGAAGCGATTCCGAACGGCCCAGGAGCCCTTCATCAGCTACAACCTCCGCCTCCGCCTCCGCCTCCGCCTCCGCCTCCGCCGTCGCCGCCGCTTCGAGACGGGCGCTCCGTCGACCCTCGTGTGCATCCGCCTGGACGCGCGTGTCCGGAGGACGGAACCGGTGTCCTGGACGTCTCGACCGCAACGCCTGCGAGGGATGCTTCTGGTAGAAGGACCGGCGACGAGTCGGGCGTCAGCGTACGATGCATATCGGTGGTGCGGGCCCGGAGGCGGGTGTTGGGCCAGTTGGCGCGGACAGCCCGTGGTGTCAAGCCGCTCGCAGAGCCTGTGAGTCGGTGGTTCTGGGAGGACGTCCATGAATATACGGGACACGGACGCCTGTGCTGCATGCTGCATGGCCTACTCCAAGGAACACATCAGCTCGAACCGCATCGCGCTGACGCACCTTGTTCTCCTCATCCGCCGGCGCCCGTAAGTGTCAATGCACGCGCCCAGCCCAGACCGCGTCCTCGAAGCCGACGTCCAGGCAGACCACCCACGGGCGAGCGACGGAAGGGTGCGTTCCCGGGTAGTGCACCCGGCTGCCGATGCTGCAGGGCGTGGAGGTCCGTCGCCCAATCGCAGGCAAGGATGGCGCTGGGCCTCCGACAGCCTGTGACGACTGCGAGGGACGAGGCTCGGCGTGCACGGCGCTTAGCTGAGGGAAGGTTGATGTGGCGTCGGCCGTAAGCTGAGGCGTGGAACGGGCTGGGGGGCGAGGCGCGGGGTAGGGGGAGTTCTGGCTTCTGCGGAGGGCACATGAGCAAAGGGCCGGAACGTGGGTTCTGATGTGGAACGAGGCGAGGACGCCGGGAGGGGTGCGCACGATACGATGCGATATGCATTGCACATGGCGAGTGTAGGGGTGCGGGTCGTAAAAGATGGGTATGTTCAAGGGACACACCGGGTCGTCGCGATAGCTTGTTTGACACGCGTCTCTGGGAGGCATTGCCGTGGCCCTCGCATGTCCACAGGGCAGCGAACCCAGTGTACGTTGGATAGGTACCGAGCGGTGGATCGTACGCGCCCGCTGAGCGCGGTAGACCGTTATAGCTCGCTATCGGGTTAACGCATGAGAACGGGGGTGTAGACTGCGGATCGGGACGGACATGCCTGAATGGTTGTGCTCGGGAACTGTGTAGAGGAGCTGACCAGGCGCCGCGACGGTCGGAGATCGCGTGCCAGCATGGAGGGCATCAGCCACGCCCCAGCCCACACTCTTCCTGGCGAGCTGGGGGACGAGATTCAGCCCCTGCAAGCACCTAGGGCATGGTAGGGCTTCGTTCGAATGGGTAAAGGCAGGATGGAGAGAGATTTGGCAAGCTCGCGGGTATAGTGCACGTCCTCAGAGTCTTCGGAACTTTGTGATACAGACTTGACCAAAAACCGATCGTGCGAGACGGAAGAATGGAGAGTTCGAGCTTTTGTGAGATGTGAGATGTTCATGGCAGGGGAGAATAACCAATAGGGCACAGCCAACGAGTACCAAGACATTGTTCAGGACAGGTGAAAGCACGCGAGGGAGTAGCCATAGAGCGATGGAAGAAACACGGATTTTGAGGCGGCGGTCCAGGTTGAAAATGCCCCGTCGGAGTCCATCGCATAAACGCTCGAGTGTTGTTAGACGCCTTCATAGTCACGTGCGGCAAAAGTTTACGGCGTGGATTTTGGTGCTCGCCGTGCTCGACGTCGTGCTCGCTGCTTTCCTCGCCCTTGTCCCCCCTCCCAGCTGCCAGTCTCACCGGGGGCGCTCTGTGCGGCAAAAAATCCCACCATGGCGGCTTGTACCCATGCGCTCTTCGAGACGTCCTCCGGCTACGCCATCTTCGAGGTCAAGCTGCACGATGTCACCGGCGCACTCGACAAGGCCGTCCAGGCGTCGATAGACGACTTCTCAAAATTCTCAAAGATGGTCTCCCTGTCGAGCTTTGCGCCCTTCAAAGATGCCGCACATGCGCTGGAGAACATGAACGACATTTCCGAGAGTACGTCTCCCACTCTCTCGCCTCCAAGCACTAGCCTCACAGTGCCACAGACACAATTAACGACTACCTCCGCTCCGTGCTCGAGCTCAATCTATCGAAACCCTCCAAGAAGGGCTCTTCCGTCGTCCTCGCCGCGAACTCCATGCTCGCCGCGGTGCTCAAGGACGAAATGGGCATAAACTGCGCCTCCAAGGAGGTCGCGACCGACATCCTCCGCGGCATCCGCGAGCACGCTGCGCGCCTCCTCAAGGGCATGCACGACACCGACCTCACCAAGGCGCAGCTCGGTCTCGGCCACGCATACTCGCGTGCGAAGCTCAAGTTCAACGTCAACCGGATCGACAACATGATCATCCAGGCCATCTCGCTCCTCGACCAGCTCGACAAAGATGTGAACCTGTTCTCGATGCGCGTCCGCGAGTGGTACGGCTACCACTTCCCGGAACTGGTCAAGATCGTGCCGGACAACTACCAGTACGCGAAAGTCGTGCAGTTCATCGGGGCGAAGGAGGCGTTGGACGAGAGCAAGCTCCCGGAGCTCGCAACGCTCCTCGACGACGACGAGACCCGGGCGCAGAACATCCTCGACGCCGCGCGGGGGAGCATGGGCGTCGCGCTCGCCGAGTTCGACATCCTCAACGTCGGCATGTTCGCGACCCGCGTGGTGTCGCTCGCCGAGTACCGCAAGGAGCTCCAGACGTACCTCCACGAGAAGATGAACGACGTCGCACCCAGTTTGACCGCGCTCCTCGGCGACCGTGTCGGTGCGCGGCTCATCAGCCATGCGGGAAGCTTGACGAACCTCAGCAAGTACCCCGCGAGCACGGTGCAAATTCTGGGAGCGGAGAAGGCGCTGTTCCGTGCGTTGAAGACGAAGGGCAACACGCCCAAGGTGCGTCGGTCACTTTTGTGCTCACTCGGGCCTCGCTAACTGTTTTGCAGTACGGTCTCATCTACCACTCCTCCTTCATTGGGCGCGCCGGTCCGAAATACAAGGGCCGCATATCAAGATTCCTTGCCAACAAGTGCTCAATAGCGTCACGCATCGACTGCTACTCGGGTACGTCCCTCTGTTGTCGTTTCTACGCATACTTCCTCCTCCCTGCTTCAAATCTGCCTTTGCGACCGCCCCTTTACCCCCGTTATCATCTGCTTAACTCCGTCTGCTCCTGTCGCAGACACCCCAACGGCCAAGTTCGGCGAGGCGCTCAAGCAGCAGGTCGAGGAGCGCCTAGCGTTCTTCGAGACGGGCGAGCCCCCGTCCAAGAACGCGGACGCGATGCGCAAGGTGTTCGAGCAACTCGCGCTTGACCAGGATGAGGAGTCGGATGGCGAGGAGGACGGGATGGACGTCGACTCGCCCAAGGCGAAGGTCAGCACGAAGGGCAAGCAGAAGGAGACGGAGGCCGCGCTGCCGTTCGCGGACGTGGAGATGGAGACGACCCCAACGAAGAAGAAGAAGGAGAAGAAGGAAAAGAAAGAGAAGAAGGACAAGAAACGGAAGAGCGAGGAGGCGGGCATGGACGTCGACGGGGACGGGGGCGAGGAGAGCGAGGAGAGCGCGCCGCGGAAGAAGGTGAAGCTGAGCAAAGAGGAGAAGAAGGCGCTGAAGAAGGAGATGAAGAAGGAGCGGAAGGAGAAGGAAGCGACGGAGGTGAGCTTTCTTCACGTTTGTGGCGAACGGGGTGGTCTGCGTAAGCGTGTTGCTGATCTTGCTGTAGGGCGGAGAGTCGAAGAAAGAGAAGAAGGAGAAGAAGGAGAAGAAAGAAAAGAAAGAAAAGAAGGAGAAGAAGAGCAAAGAGTAGTCGAGTTGCTCTTTGTGTATCTCTCCTTCCGTTCTTTTGCTCTACCTACTACCTACTTATCTGTCGATGCTCTCCCGGTTCCTCTCGTCTGTACTCTCTGTTGTGCTATCCATCTCTTTCTCGTCTTCGCCGAATCCTGGGGCGAGAACATGAAGCCCCGACCATCTTCCTCGACGCCGCTTTGCCAATAGCTCACATGTGTGGGAATTAGGAGTGAATCCAGGGATCTATATATGCAAGATGAAGCATAGCCCAGGGACTGGGCGTGTACAAAGACGTGTACCTACATGCAGGACACGGTGCTACTAGTGCTACAGTCGACATGATGGGAATAGCAGATGGGGGCAGACTACCAAGGCAGCGTGGTTGGACTAGTCGTGCGATGCGGCGCCGTGTCATCGTCGGGGATCGTGTGGGTATACATGCTAATTTCGTAACAATCATTATGTGCAAGGGTAATTGTGAGGGGTATTCCTCGATCGTCCACATCAGGAAGGAAGCAGACTACTTAGTCGGACGGGAGCGCGGCCTGGAAGACGATCAGGTTCGCCTCGCATCCCGCGACGACGAGCGCGGTCGCGACGTCGCCGACGGTGCGCTTGACCGCGTTCACGATGCCGCCGTGCTCCTCGATGAGAGCCTTGAGCTCCGCGTGGTGGTTCTCGACGGCCATGCGCCGCGACCGTCCCGCGAGGACGAGCAGGCGTGGGGCAGACACCCCGGGGCTCGCATGCGGGTCGCACATGCGGGTGGCCTCGTCGACGACGTGGTGGAGCGGCTTCGCGGTGGATGCCTCGAGGAAGGTTATCCGTGCGAGCGCGGGTGCGAGGGCCGCCTCGTCGTTGCGAGTGTACTTCGTCCAGGCGATGTTGTCCGCGGTCTCGGACTGGAGGCGTGTTTGGGTCGTCGCGTTGCCGTAAACGGTGTCCGGGAAAACCTGCAGAGCACGTTAGAACGGGTGGCGTCAAAGGCGGGGAAGGACCAGAAAACGTACCGATGCGACCGTCGCCGTGTTCACGGCCTCGTTCTTCTCCGTTGGAGATTCGCTCTGCACGCGGGTTTCTGCGTCCGCCGCGTCCTCGGCCTTCGTGACGCGCACCACAGTCGCGCTGATCTTGGGGTTCGCGCACAGCTGCACCGCGAAGTCGAGTGCCAGGCGATCGTCCGGTCCGCCAAAGAACGGAACGAACAGCCGGTAGCGACCCGCACGACCCATCGCGGCACCCATGCCCGCGCCTTTGCCCGACGTTCCGGGCGTGTGGCGGTCGACGAAGAGAGCGACGTCGGTCTTGGCTGCGGCGAAGAGGCCTCGGACGAATTGGGCGTGGATGAGGGGACCGTCGCGTTCTTCTGCACCTGCAGCCGTCGCACGGAACATTGCCTCGAAGGGGTTTTGAATGCTGCTCAAACGAGGAGTGGGCATGGCGCCGCCTCCGTGGCCCCCGAAGCCGCTCGCTGTGGCGTTGGCGTGCGTCATGTTGGCGTGCCCGATGTCGATGGAGACATGTGGGGGGAACCAAGGGACAAGGATGAGCTGAGACTCCCGCCTGGTAGCGCGCTCGGCGGCAGATGCGCCGAGGTCGTCGAAGGGTACGATGGAGAGTGAGGTGGAGACATCGACACCATGGAGCGCCCCAAAAGTGGTGAAAATGTCGAGGAGCGGGTCCGAGGCGGTTAGAGAATCGATGTTGGAGGACTTCATGACAGCAGACGTGCGATCAGAAAGCTCGATGAGACGGATCGCATCCAGAGACATGGGCGTGGAGACGGGCTCAGGGCTTGCACCATCCTTATATGCGTCAACAGTAGATCCTGAAGTCACAGAGCGAGGATCGGTATCACTGTATGGAGGTGGCGAAGGTAGAATGAGTTGAGTGAGAGAGAGCATGCCGGGGAGATGCTCAATCTTGTCCAGGATGACCGTGAAACGAGTCTTCTTGCTGTCATCGTCCCCCTGTGATCGTTTGGCGGTCTCGGACGCAGATGTGGCATCTTCAGGAGTTTCCTTCTGTGCACGCCAGTCGGGGTCGCCACCAGGACCCGCACGAACCCGGAGGTGAGGCGGGTAGAACACAGTCACCGCAGGAGTTGTGAGGAAAGTCAGGAGGAGCGCCTCCAGAACAAACATCGAGAAGACCCGCTGCGAAAGAATGCCGGCAGACAGGCCGACGTTGAGCACAATGAGTTCGACGAGACTGAGATGGACGTGAGCCACCATCCCCAAAGTTATATCCTTGATAAACTCACCCCTTGCAACTCATGAGAGACCCAATGGCTCCTGCTTCGCGCCAGGTGAACCCTGCCCAACGAGCGGCGGCGGTACAGCCACCGAACTTGCCAAAGTAGGCAAGTGCACAGATAGCAATGGTGTAAGCCCAGGTGATGCCTACCATTGAATCTAAGTGAGTATCTGCCCCCCAAGTCAAACGTGATCTAACGAACCGTTGTTGAGAAGACCAAGGTCAGTGGATAGACCGGAGAGAGTGAAGTATAGCGGGAGGAAGATGATCGAGACCATGTCTTCCAACTTCTCCGTCAAGGCGATCGCCAGCCCTCCTTCTCTGGGAACGATAATCCCCGCCAGGAATGCACCGAAGATCGCGTGCACCTAACACTCGTGTCAGCTCACAAGGCCTTTGAGATCCAACACAATAAACTCACCCCGATTATATCGGTGAAGAAAGCGGAACCGAACAGTAGTAGGATTACAACCGTCATGAAGAACATGCTGGGACCATCCCGGATAGATCCCGTCTTGCGAGCGACCCAGTACAATATACGCCTTACGACGAAAAGGAGGAACAGTGTCCACCCGACGCAAACGAGGAGGATCCAGAGCGCCATAAGACCCGAGCCAGCATTGACCAGAGCGACGCTAAGTGCGAGAAGGGTCCAACCAATGATGTCGTTGCCCACACCCGCGGAAAGCACAACAATGCCGACCGTGGTGTCGAGAAGCTTGAGCTCTGTAAGAATGCGACACAGAACTGGGAATGCGGTGATGGAGTACGCCACGCCCGTGAACAGCATGAAGTTCGTGAACTTCACCGACTGGTCGATGAATTCATGATATAGAGGCACGGCCAAACCCGCTCCAAGGCCTGTAAAGAAACGGGTCAGCGATGATCACGCGAGCGATCGGCTCCCGGGATACACGCGCTAAACGTGGAAGTCGTGCGGAACAAATATTTTGCCCGTCCCGCACGAGCTCGGCACGCACGCTCAACATCTATACAAGGGAGAGCCGCGGGAGAGGACAGAAAACTTACCGAAGGGCAGGACCATGCCGGCCAGCGCGACCGTTACGGACAGACGAGCATTGCGCTTGATCACCTGGGCGTCGATCTCGAGGCCGACCAAAAAGAGGAAGAGGCAGAGACCGATGTTGGCCACGAGTGACAAAAACGGGCGCGAGGCCTGGGGAAAGATGTGCTCTGTGAAGCCGGGGATGCGTCCGAATGCGGTGGGGCCTGTACGCGTAGGTGCCCATGAGATAAGGATGGTGGAGGGGGGCTAGCACAACATACCCAGTAGAATGCCTCCAATGACCTCGGCAATGACCTTGGGCTGCCTGATTTTGCGAAGACCGAGGGCGAGCAGCTGAGTGGTCATGACAATAACACCTAGACGCAATATCAGCACCTGTGCAGACCAACCTCCTCATTGTCACAGCTAGACTTCTACGAGGACCATGGAACACAAGACGCGCGTACAGGAACGGCATAATGGTTGTAAGAAGACACTCAGACAAGACACGGATGATAAGATTGCACGGTCCCAGAGTACAGGGCGTTTTTGAGAGAAACCACCCACCAAGCTGAACAATCCACAATCGTAGCGGGTCATTGAGGTTGACGGCAGTTGGATCCTGGCCGCTGAGCAGACCACCCTGAAGCCGGCTCGACGGTTAGGTTCAGAAAGAACGACAGGGCGCGCCAGAATTACGCACCTGCTCCGCTGCGGCTCTCGTAGTAAGAGCACGCACGACACCCGCGAACGCGGTCGAGAGCTCTCTCATGATGTGGGGGACCGTTGGGTCGTAAACGGACGTGTGTGGCGCGTAGGTCGTGACAGAGAGCAAATCAGATTAGACTAGTGAGGGAAAGAGAAGTCGGAGGGAAGTGGTGGTGCTGGAGGAAGGCAGCATGGCGGGAGTGGTCGGGAAGGGGCAGCCTCAACCAGCCTCAGCCACCGCCGAGACGCAAATGTCCGAAAGAGGAGCGTCGATCCGGTGGCCCGGTCCTGCCAGCGCCCGGCGCCTCCACGTCACTGCCCCGTCTGAAACACCTCAGTTGGTGTGTACACTTTCCTCCTGACATTCCCGTCCGATCACCGAAACGCTTAAGTGGCACAGAGGGGTGGCGTTTTGAGCTGCCTGCGAGTGCTTACGTCTCACCCGAACTTCGAGCTGGTACCACGCAGAAACCATGTGTTTTCTCAGCCGACGTTCCGCCGCCGGCCCCATCAGGTCCCATCCTGGGTAAGACTAATGTACAGCAAGCCGCAATCAGTGCCGAGTTGCTCAAGTACTTTTGAGCAGAGCATGGGGTCACTTTGGCGGATTCGCGGTCGCGGAGTCTTCGTGGGGTATCACCAGAAACTCCGACTCTAATATCGGTCGTCACAGTTCCGTAACGACCACCCCCAGATGCTCTCCAAGACCCTCGACGTCATGGTTGGTACTTTGTCACCATCTCTCGAACATTCTGAGCAAGTTTTTATCCAGTCCCAAACCAGTTCTGACGACTATCGCGGCGCGCAGACTTCTGGTGGTCGAGTCGCCCCGTAAACATAACCACTAGTCTGTAGCCGAGCTCTCGGATCGCCCTAACCCTTCCTGGTGCCCTTGTGAAGCCTCGAGCCCCTTTGGCCCACATGCAACCTGTCACCGAGAAGCACACTTGCCCCCTGGATCGAACCCAGTAAGCCCGGATCCTCGAGTCTGACACCATCTTTTGACGTATACACCGAAGCAGATACTCTCCTCGTCCCTTAGTATCGAGGTGTGCGCAGTCGAACAGCGCTCACCCGAACCGTGTCGCATGCCGCGGAAGAGGTTCTGGTCGTACCTGGTCTTTTCTGAATACTTATCAGTCGAGGTGAGATGTGCCTCGGATCCATCATATCACAGGATCACTTATGACACCCACAGTCTAGAACTTCGTTTGGTAGGCCAAGATCGAAGCTAGCACCCTTTCGAGTGGTTCTGAAAACGCTGGCCGCACTAGAGCCGTCCGTGCTAGTGTAAGGATCGGGCAATCATGGGAATTCACTGGTCTCTAGCTCGAGCGATGGCAGCCTCGTGTCGGTCGGCGCCACGAACCATTTCTCTCCTGGTAACTGCGTAGTGAGTGACGAAATTCGTTTTAGACAGTCAGACGTTAAACTCCTGGCCTCAGTCAGAGAAGAGATGGTCGTATCGAATACATACGAACGCGAGAAGTGTAGGGTCGCCATCTGTGATCTACTTCTTCAGCGAGCATGTGGCTAGTGGTGTCTCTTTGGATCCGTTTTCGTGTGCACGGCGTACATACAGAGACCACGGGGCCTATGGAGGGCCTCAAGGTCGAGTCCAAACACGAACTAGTGAGTGAGATCCGAAGCCCTTCCTTGCGTGATTGAAGAACTTTTCATTCCAGAGTACAGACTGATTATGGGCATAGCCTGAACGGCGCACAGACGGTGTATATATAGCCAAAGTGCGCGCAGCGAGTCTCTCATCTCCTGCCCCTACACCTCACATTTGACAAGAGACCAGAATGTCCTTTTACGGATTTCCCGGCGCGTTGCTCCCGGCATTCGTCGTTGTCACCTTCATCGTTCATCTACTCCGGAAGAGAGCCAAGTATGCGGAACGATCTCACGGACCCCTCTCCCACCGGGACCCAGCCCTCTCCCGATCATTGGTAACTTGTTCGACATTCCAAGCGTCGCACCTTGGAAGTTCTATCACTCCTTCTGCCAGAAACTGGGTAAGTTACCTTGTTTCGAGCCTCTATTAAACACAGGACTGACCGTTTAATCGGGTACTCAGACACCAAGATGATGTACCTCAACGCCCTTGGCCAGTCCATCCTTGTCATCGACGACCTCGCCACCGCCAAGGAGCTCTTCGAGAAACGCTCTGCAATCTACTCCTCGCGAGTCGAGCTGCATATGATCCGATTGTGAGCGCATTCCTTATCCATCGACGTCCATCATCGCACTGACGGTTATCTGCGGGGGGCGAAACCGTGGACGTTTAGCCTTGGGTGGGGGTGGAGTGCGCCGTTCCTTCGGAACAACGCCCAGTGGCGGGCGCAGCGCAAGGTGATCTGGCAAGAGTTCCACCCGAAGGTCGTCGCCCAGTTCCAGCCTGCGCAGCGCGACGGCGCTCGCCGCATCCTGGTCCGCCTCCTCGAGAACCCTGAGGGGATCGTGGAGCATATTCGCTAGTACGTCTCCCGCTGTCTCCTATACTCGGACACTTCGGCTGAGCATCCCACCTGGCACGACAGCGCACTCGCGTCAACGATAATCGAGGCGACGTACGGTCTCCAGATCGCGGTGAAGGACGACAAGTACGTCGATATCGGTATCCGTGCGACGGATTCCGTGCAGCTCGCCGGGTGCCTCCCCGGGTTGGTGCTTCAGGCGTTCCCTATCCTGGGAGCGTTGCCTACATGGGTTCCGCTGCCAGGATCGAACATCCTCCGGCTCATGGAAGAAACGCGCGTGTGGGTGAAGGAGATGCGTGAAGTCGCGTGGGCGGCCGCGAAAGAGGAGATCGTGCGTATCAGTCCAGCTGGGCATATGATCTGCTGTGGCTTACGTTGTAACGTCATAGGCGGGAGGAAAGGCTCAACCCAGCACTGCGAGCCGTCTCATGGAGGACTTGTTCCAGATGGCACCAGGCAGCAAATCTACAACCGAGACAGAGCGATCTACAAGGACGTCACTGCGACAGCCTACTCAGGTGTGTCGCTCGCCGCTGCTCCATCCCAGGACTACCGCTGAAGCATCATTCCAGCTGGATTCGACACGGTGGGCGCCCGAGCATTACCCCGTCTCGCTTAGTCACACTGACGTTGGCATGTACAGACATTCTCGGTCATCAACGGCTTTTTCGCCGCCATCGCAGCTCATCCCGAGGTGCAGGAGAAGGCGCACGCGGAGATCGACGCTGTGGTGGGCCAGAACAGGCTCCCTGACTTTGGAGATCGTGAGGCCTTGCCATACGTGAATGCGATCGTCAAGGAAGTCCTGCGTTGGCATGTTTCCGGGCCGCTTGGCCTCCCGCATGCCGCCTCCGAGGACGACGTGTTCGAGGGCCGCTTCATTCCCAAGGGCATCGCTATTCACGTCAATGTCTGGTAAGACCCTCTGCTCTCAGTGCGCATTTTCTTCCGTACATTTGATCTGACACTTGGACCTTCAGGGCGATCCTCCACGATCCCGACGTGTTTCCCGAGCCGGAAGCCTTCAAGCCCGAGCGCTTCTTGAAGGACGGGAAAATCGACCCTGACGTCATGGATCCCATGGAAATCGCATTCGGACTCGGGAGACGGTGAGCGCCGACTTCGCTCGTCTGCACCGCCGCGTGCCTGACGCGTGTTCAGCATTTGTCCGGGACGGTACTTCGCCGAGGCGAGCATGTTCATCTACGTCGCGTCCGTGTTGCAGAACCTGGTGCTCTCCCGGCCGCCCGGAGAGGATGGAAAGCCACTTCCGCTCAACCCTAAGCTGTCTGCTGGGATCATCTTGTGCGTCGCCCAGGCACCCATACCCAACGGAGACGACTGTGATGCTGACTGACGATGTGTGGTGCTCTCAGATACTTCGAAGACATCCGATGCGTGATCAGCCCTCGCTCAGAGGCCGCACGCGCACGCATCTATCAAGAGAACACGGTTTGACGCGGGTTTTACCCGAGGCGGCAATAATGACGGTCGAGAGTCTTTCGAGAGCACAGGCTCTGCTTGTTCAGTCCTTCAATACTCCGGGTGCCATTTCGTGTATGTATATCTTGGGTTCAAGCAGATACTCTTGTGTCTGTCACAGAAGAGACCTAAAGTAGTACAAACGAATATATGTAGCTTGGTGTAGTACTACTATTCGTGTGAATCCAGATCAAAAGCTGAGGGAAACCCACGGGATTAGAGAAGCAGCTTCTCGAGTTTGTAGCGTGGCTGATGGACGTGGAACTCGAGGAATTTCTAGTGGCTGTTCAGTATGGCGCGCGAGTAAGGTGTGGCTTGAAAAACAAGTTACCTCCACATAGCGAAGCCACAGCGCGCTCAGCTCCTCATCGTTGGCGAATGCGAGACTGACCCGACGATGGCTCTCCAGTATCTCTTGAGCAAGAAGACGTAGCACTTCTATGGCAGTTCGACCTTCCGTCTGTGCGCGGATATGGATGTAGTTCTTCGTTTCTCCCGCGAGCTCCTCCTTGTAGAACGAGAGACTGTCGGAGTGAGAGACATGATGAGAAAAACACGCCACCTGCCGGAAAGTAGTGACCTACACATCGCTGTCGACGCCGGCACAACATGAAAGGGTCATCGTCAGTCGGAGCACTAGCGGTCTGGAGAACTGTGACATACTTGCAACATCCGATATAATGCTCCATGTAACTGCAGACGACGTCGGTCATTAGTTCACGCCATACCAAGACTAGGTGATGAGTTGCTTACGGCAGAATCTGGAGGTACGTCTCCGGTGTGTCTCTAAAGCCTTTCATGAACATGAAGTGGATGTACGGAGCGTTGATGCCAGTTCTCGTCCTGAGGTACATTGGCCACCAAGTAGCGATCGGGTTCGGCTCCATCTCCTGGGTCGTATACTCCAGATACATGCCCGAGACGGCGTCCAGCGTGCCGCTGATGATCGCATCCGCCCCGTAGGCCGGCCATAGCGTGTGCACCTCCTTGAGGAGCCCCGCGAGGGTTTCAAGCGCGCGGGTGAGCTGCGGCTGTCCACCGGCGAGTCTGCTGGCGAACTGGCACACTGGTTCGAGCTGCTGGCCACCGAGGTCGTCGATGTAGAGGATGCACGCGGTGTAGAGCGCAACGAAGCGTTGGTGCTGGGATGAAAGATGGCCGTAGGAGGCCTCGGTGTACGAGCAGGCGCAGTCGACGAGGGCTTGGATGGTTGCCACAGAGTCGCAGTTGTCCCAAAGGCTGGCTGTGGCAGCCGTGGCAGAGCGCAGATCAGCATTGGGAGATGTGGTGCCCCACTGGAAGTCGCTTCGGGCGAGGACGTCGGCGATTATGGATCGAATTTCGGCGTGGTGAGGGTTGAGAGCCTAAGGCGTATGATGTTAGCTGTGGCAGTCTGTGGCTTGAATATCCTTGCTTCGACGCACCGGCGGTGCAGCCTTGCGGCTCAGCCTAGTAGTAGACATGGGAGCAACATGTACGACGCTAGTCCTAGGGCGATGTTGCATTCAGTGGCGACTCATACTCAGATCACAGACGAACACTCACATGATTCACAAACTGGGGAAGGTTGAAGAACACGACGGCTAGATGGAACTTTATACGCTCGCTCGAATGCAGCACAAACTCGGTGTTAGTGTCTCTCCGACTTGAGCCATCCACAAGAACACGCCACGATGGACACTTGAAGTGACCCGATGCCGGAACTTGCTGGAGAAAAAAGCTATCACGACCCACAACGAGTTCATTTGCGCGCGCAGATCCCTGATCGGAGCCTCGGTGCCAAGCAAAGTCAGATTTGTGCCATCGTGGAGAAAAAATGACATGACGCACTGATCGTCGTATCTGTATTGTGCATTTCAGGCACTCTTATTAGTCTCAACGAATGCGCCTCCATTTTCGGAGGTTCATAAGGTGACATATCGGGGTGGATGGATAGGCTACGCAGTGTACGAGGCCGACCAAACTGGACACTGTCACCGCGCAAACGGTTCCACCGGGTGGAAGGATGGCCCCGACTGTGGCGGCGTCGGAGCCGATGAGCTAGAAGACAGTATACATGACCCGGTGTTGGCGGGGGTCCACACCGTTGAGGGCACGGTTGTGTGACCACTGCCAGGAGCTAAGCACTTCAAGTTCAAGATAAGCGCTTGGGTTCCACGGAGTGCAGAATTTGATTCGGCGAAGCGCCCAGTCCGGAGCCTAGTACCGGAGCGCTGCTCTCACTGGCGCGGGTTGCTCATGGGCCTGATTTCACGTTGCAGCCGGGTCCATACAGCTGTTTTCATAACGATGGGCACCTCGCGTAAATCAGGCATACAACACGTCTGAACGGAGCTTCGCGTGCGCATACAGACGCGACGTGTTTTCTGAGTCTCCGACAGCGCGTAGTACGAGCTCGAGCTACCACTGCCTACACGGCCTTACACGGCTAGCCGAAGGACCTATCGTTATGAAATAGTTGCACTGATCACGCTAGGTAATAGGCGGGTTTCAGAAAAAGTTCGCCGTAACCCGTTCAAGCCCGAGATCAGTATCGGGTCGCGGTGTGGCGGCAACACACTAAACGCCGGCCGGCGAGACCCACTGCAGCAAGCACCCAAGGACTTTCCTGTCCTCCGTTCGCTGCGACTTTTTATGAAAACATGAATCGGCAACCGGTCTCTCACGGTGCGTCCATCCACCTTTATCAACCGTAGACTGCGGCTTCAAACGTGCACGTCATTATCTCTTCAGCTTCTTCTGGCAAGGCTTGAGTTAAGTTCTGTCATTTCTTGCCGCGGCGTTATGAGGGACGCAACGCTCCGCTGTTTGGGCGACCCCGAACGCGCATTGTATCAGGTGGATGAATCTTAGTTGCCCGACCCCGGACCTCGGCCGCTGCCTTAAAATGTGCAGCTCTCCAAACCCAACCCCATCTCTCATCATTTCCAGCCTACGACATGGCAGACGTTTTGTACTCCTCTGTTGCTTTCGTTGTCGTCATAACCTCCTTCATTATCTATCACTGGAGGCGGAGACAACACCAACTCTGCGGTCGTGGGCTCCCTGGGCCACGCCCCCTACCGGTCATCGGCAATTTATTGGACGTTCCAAAGCAAGAGCCTTGGAAGGGCTACCGCGACTTGTGTAAAAAGCACGGTGAGAAATCCTATCTAGCACACGAGTGCGGCGCCACTGAAGAAGTGAACCGATCCCAGGTTCGAAGTTTATCTACCTCAATATCCTTGGACAGCCTGCAATCGTCATAGACGATCTCCCTACGGCGATTGAAATGTTCGAGAAACGGTCAACCATATATTCTTCGAGGATCGACCTTTATATGGCCACCTTGTACGCCGCCTCGTCTCTGTTGCTGCTGACCCCCGTGTTGATTCATGTCTCGGCGGCGGCGGCGCAGGATCGGATGGGAGTGGGGCCTACCGTTCCTTCAGTACGGGCCAGAATGGAGGAAACAGCGCAGGATCATCTGGCAGCAGTTTCACCCGGGTGTCATCCCCAAATATCACCCTGCTCTGATCGAGGGCGCGCGTCGGTTGGTGCTGCGCTTGCTCGATGATCCCGATCGGCTCCCCGAGCACATTCTCTAGTGAGTACAGGGATGTTGGGCCGGCCTCGCGGTATGATCAACGCCTATGCTGAATACGAACAGTGCAATCGGTGGGACAATCGTCGAAGCGACCTATGGCCTTACTGTAGCCGCCGAAGACGACAAATACATCACCATCGCTAATCGCTCGGTCCAGGACGTGCATCGCCTCGTCAGTATTTCTGCCATGGTTTTCCAAGCACTTCCCGCGCTTGCGCGCGTTCCGACCTGGCTTCCATTACCTGGCGTGGGGATTCTTCGTGCTCTCGAAGAGGCTCGGATGTGGGCTAAGAAGATGCGCAACGAGTCATGGGAGGACGCAAAGGCGGCAACTGTAAGCAGGCCGATTGTCTCCTAGAATTCGCACTTGCTGAAGATGCCCGAAGGAAAAAGGAAGCGCGAAGCCGTCCACAGTCAGCCTGATGATAGAAAATATGACGCACCTAAGTCCGGAAGACGCCGCGAGGGAAGAAGAGTCTTGCAAGAGTGTGGGAGCGGTGATATATTCTGGTATGCGAAACATCCCAAAGCTCAATGATAATCACGTTGATTGAAATATCACTTTTCACGTTAGCTGGAATAGATACGGTGAGCAGAAGGAGTTCCATGCTGAACCTCTACGCTGACGCAGCCCTCCACAGACATATAGCATCATCAGCGCGTTCTTCATGGCCATGGCACTGCATCCAGAAGTCCAACAGAAGGCGCGCGCCGAGCTCGACGCTGTGGTCGGTGGAGCCCGACTGCCGACCTTCTCGGACAGGGAGAACCTCCCATATGTGAATGCGATTTTGAGAGAAGTTGGACGCTGGCACGTCGTCGCACCCATGGGGTTCCCCCGCGCCACGACGGAGGATGACGAGTACAAGGGCTACTTCATCGCAAAGGGCACGGCCGTGATTGTGAACGCGTGGTGCGTCTTTGCATTTCTAAGCCTCACGTCCTTCACTTTCACCGCAGCGCTGATGCCGCGCGCTTTCTCGCAGGGCGATCCTCCACAATCGGGAACTCTACCCAGATCCTGACGCATTCAAGCCAGAACGCTTCTTGAAAGACGGAAAGATTGATCCCGACATCATGGATCCTAGCAGTGTTTCGTTCGGACTAGGGCGACGGTGCGTGCTGACAAGGTTTCCAGAAAGACGCGTTGTCACAACTGCTTCGCAGCGGTTGCCCAGGGCGCCATCTCGCAGAGGCGTCAGCGTTTATCTACATGGCATTTGTCTTGCAGAACCTGGTCATCTCTCGACCTCTTGGCGAGGACGGAGAGCCCATCCCGTTTGAACCGAGCGTCCGTGGGGATATCATAATGTAAGAACCCTCCGGCGCTCCTTCTTGTCAGGTGGTCTTATCCGGTTCGCAGTGCCTTCAAGGACTTGCGATGTGTTATCAAGCCGCGCTCGGAGAGCACTTTGACGCTGATTCGGCAGGACGACTCGTCCATGTGAGTCCGGGAATCGGAATATTCGGGACGCGAACGTCTCTTTGTTAAGAAACCGGACACGGAGTCCGCTGGAGGTGTAATAGTACATACGACGCGATGACAAGCCATTTCACAAGGTCCTCAGAGGTCCTCTCCCGCGAGCCAGCGGTTGGCCATATGCAGCGCTCGCTCTGGCTGGTCGAATGGCACGAGATGGCCCGCGCCATACACAGTGGCGAACGTCAACCCTCCACCCTTGCGCCACCATCCGGCCGGGCCCTGCATTCCGGCTACGAACCAGTCGTGCTTCCCCGCGGTCTGATAAACGTCTTGCTGCGTCCATTCGAGCTTGAACGTCATGCGCTCGTTGCCAACCTATCCGACGATCAGCAAGTGCATCACCAAAACCCAGACGCGAGGGTCTCACCCAGCTGGCGATCCAGTCGTTGGTGCCGACGTAGATAAGCACGCGGACGTGGCGCTCGAGGAGTGCGGCGAGGTAGTGGTCCGCACGGAAAGAGTGATAGTCTCCGCTTTGTTCGAAGGCGTCCGACACGAGTGCACTGTGGGTTGAGAAGTTCGTCTTATGCGAGTCGACTCCGAGGAGTGCCTGTGTCTTCGCGCTGGATAGGAACTCGCGGATGTTTCTGAAAAGCCGTGTTAGCATAGGAGGAATGACGTTTTGGGTTGACACTTGCGCCACATCTGGGTAGCAAACGTCTGCCTCAAACGTCTGCCTCAGGGTTTCCTGCGCTGATTGTGTCCGCATCAGACAGAGGGGAGCGATGTGTGCGTGTCCGGACTCACCAGGGTCTGGTCGCATCATAGGGGTTGTACTCTGAGAAGAGCAGCGATCGGTCAGCTCGATGTCTGGGCATATCGTGAGAACCTACTCTGGAAGAACTGGATCCCTATATTGTCGAAGCAGTAGTCAAACGCAGAAGAGCACGCGAGCTTGTCGTATACGTCGTTACACGACGACTTCGTCCACTTCTTGCAACGAGTAACAAGCTGCTTCAGCGCCGCGCAATCGCTGGGATCCAGTCAGAATTACTCAGGCAAAGGAAGATCGTGCTCACGAAATCGTATCGACCATTGGGAACTTGTGCGTCTTGCATCGCATGTCGTAAAGCGCCCAAACGATCTCGAAAAAGTCTGTTGCACCATTTCCTATCAACAACCAGAGTGAGCCACTAAGTATATGAATGACATGAGATAAAGGAGGGGGCGGGTACCCATCATCACGGAACTGAGATTAATTGGGGACATTCCTGCCTTGACTAGCTCTGTATTTTGATCATACACTGCCGCTGCATAGACAGGAAGATAGCGACCCTGCATCGAACATGAGATAAGGATCCTAGTGATACGGGTAATACATACCGCATACGACTCTCCCGTCATGTGGAAAGGACGACCTCTGAACTGAGAGAAATGCTCAAAAAAGATGGCCATGAACGCTGCAATGTCTTTTCCGCCTTCTTCAGATGTGTCCTAGAGTACCGCGTCAGATGCACTTCAAATAGGAAAGATTGAGGAAAACCGCACCACATGCTCTCCATAATCAGCATACGAAAACCCGACGTCAACCGGCTGGTCAATGGAGAAAATATTGGCCTGCTCGTTCCATGAATACTCGAATGGTACTGTTGCGTTTGGGCCGGCCATCCTACAGGGGCCTAGCCGTCAAGTACGGCATCCCTTATTAGACCCTCGCATCGGTGGATAGGATGTGGTTCTCACCGAGTTCCATGAATAGTCCCATTGTGGACGAACCACCAGGACCGCCGTTTGTCCACAACACTACGGGATCTGTGTCTGGGTCCCGCCTGCTCTCAAAGAAGTAGAAGAAAAGGTGACGAGCATCCACATCGATGTAGCCGGTATATGCGCTGACAACAGTATGAGATCAGTGCCTGCGTCTATTGCATACGAGATGATCATGGCTCACCGGACACTCTCATCACAGAAGTGCGACTGCTTAATGCGCACGCTGTGCGACGCAAATCCCGGGTGGGTAAGAACTGTGTATTGCGAGGCAGAGAGAGCAGAGAGGTCCCCAAAGGGCGTGAAGAGCCCCGCATCGTACTGGATGGAGGAAGACTGCGTCGCACGGGCGAGAGTCGCCAAGCCCCATAGAAGGACGGCGGCTGAGACGCGCCCCATGATTTGCGCTTCTGTGGAGGTTCGCTGGGAAATCCTGGGAGTCTGGCGGCGATGCGGTGTGTATACTGCTGGTCGAGTGTGGTAAAATCACGGATGCTGCGCGCGCGCAGCGCTGTACCCGCAAAGTCCCGTGCCGGTGAAGGCAACGCCTACACAATGGCCGGAGTTATGGGACATTTTGTGCAGATCCTGTTCATACATAGATCAATCAATGAGCTGGGGGGAAGTACCTGATGCTGCCAGAATATGCAAGAGCATCGTAGTCTGCTGGTCGCTGCGTCCGAGAAGAAGACACCGCCAAGGTTGGTCAGTCTGCGATTATGTAGCCGAGGGAGGAACTGAGAGGGAGGCGCTTCAGGCATCGACGCGCCGGGAAGCGACCGCGCGGCGACGCCGTGACTGCGGACGCGAGCAGCTACGCGCGCCGTCTCCTCCAGCTTGACCATCGACCCCTCTCATCCTCCCCACCATGTCTGACCCCCCGCCGAAGAAGATCGGCTCGCTGCGCGACCGCATCGCCGCCTTCGAGAACAAGGGCGGGTCCGCCCCGGCTCCAGCCCCGGCCCCCGTTCCTCGTCCCAAGCCGGGGCACATCGCCTGGCAGCCCAAACCCGCATCCCCGCCCGCATCTCCCAAGCACGACTCCGTTTCTAGCGACGATGCCAAGGGCCCAGCAATGTCCGCCACGGATGCGAAGGAGAGCATCGGGAAGCTGTCGTTGAAGGAGCGCATGGCCGCGCTGCAAGGTCAGACTGCCTTCGGCGGTCCTGTCGGTGGAGGCGGCGCCCCACCTCCAAGACCGACTGGAGACAAGCCCAAGTGGAAGCCGCCTCCGGTCGTTCCCAGGGCTGCGCCAATTGACGGCGAAGATGCAGAAGCCGACGTCAAGCATCCCAAACCTGAGACCGAGGAAACCGTTTCCGAGGAGGCGAAAGAGGAGCCCAAAGAGGCGGGCGAGGAGGAACCGAAGGAGGAGGGTGAGCCCGATCCAGCAGAGGAAGAAAGGCAGCGCAGGGCGGCGTTGGCGGCGAGGATGGCGAAGCTGGGGGGTGCACGAGTCGGGATGGGTCCTCCGATCTTTGGCAAGAAGCCCGATATCCCACCCAAGAGGCTCTCTAGGGACGAGCCGAGGGAGGAACCCAAGCCCGCAGAGGACAAGCCCGGCGAAGATGCTGCTCCGAAGGATGACGCTCCCACACCGCAGGTCTCTGTCTCCAGTGAGCATGAAATCTCCCCATCACATGAAGATGTCGTGGCAGAATCCTCGACTTCTGCAAGCGAGACTGCCGATACCAGTACGTTCACCGCTCTCATATGCACAATGATGTGCTCACGTAGCTATGCGCTAGGTGCAACGAAGAAGGACTCAGACACCCTCTCACCGGACTCTGCGGCCTCAGGCACCCCTGTACGCTCTCCTGCTATGCCGGTTCCACAAGCACCCAAACGCGCCGCCCCTCCTCGCAAGCGTGCTGCGAAGTCACCTGCACCCACTCAACGCGAGCCCGAGCCCGTTCTCACCGAGAGCCCAGCACCGCTCGAGGTGAAGGAGGACGCCGCGCCTGCAGAGAAGACCGAAGCAGTTAGTACACCATCTGTCGAAGAGCCTGTTGCTCCTCATGGCGACCGTGAACCCGAGACGGCCGAAGGCCAAGCAAAGAGTGCTGCGGAGGAGATTCATGGGCCCGAAAAGGGGCCAGAACTCTTCATCGAGGAAGTCTCGATCACCGCGTCCGCCCAGGATGAAGGACCCATCGTCGCAGTGGTCACCTCACCCTGCGAACCTCTCGCTGTGCACCACGAACCCGAGCCGGAGCCAGAGAAGCCCGCAACGGAAGAAGAACCCGCAGTGGAGAGCGCTTCGATTCCTATTGTGGAGCACACCCCGTCTGTCATCCAGGACGAGCCACGAACGGATTCGCACGACAAGGCGGAGGAGTCCGAAGAAGCCAAACCCGAGGAAGCTGAACCCACATCCGTCGCTGAGCCTGAGGAAGAGGAGGACGAAGAGGCCCGTCGAAAGCGTATCGCAGAACGTATCGCCCGCTCCGGCGGGTTCAACCCTTTCGCGGGCGGGATGCCCCCGCCGAGTCGTCGAGAGAGTTCAGACACCGCACGCTCCCCGCCACCTCCCCCAGCACGTCGTGACAGCCAGCCGCAAGAGAGAAGGGAAAGCATGGGGTCCGTGCATGAGGCACCCGTCGAGACCGGGCCGTCTGGAAAGGAATCCCATGATGGTAACTAATCTTTGCCCTGCCGGGCTTGCTTTATTGTACCAGTAGGGTTGATCAATCGGTGTTTTGTTTGTAGTGCGAGACGATCCCCGAGCGTTCGAGCACCCCAACGAGCCACATTTGGCGACGAATCCGGCTGTTGAAGAAGAGGAAAAGGATGCCGAGGCGGTTGAATCGGAAGCACACAAACTCCATGCGGAGGTTGAGGGCTCTGATCACGAGGAGGATGACATGGACAACCACCAGGTGTATTATCATCGTGAGAGCGAGGAGGCGCCGGAGACAAAGCAAAAGTCCGCGAGTCCGCCACCCCCTCCCGCGCGCCGAGCCCTGCCAACGGTACCTCAAACCGAAACAGAGGTTCGTGAGGATCCCCACGATCGCGAAGAGGAGCCCGAAGCGGTCCCTCCCCCGCCGCGGCGCAATCTACCTCCCCCAATGAGGGCAGTTGTTCCTCCCCCTCCGGATCCTGCGGGAGAGGTGTACCCTCCTGAGCCCGAGGAAGAGGACGAGGAAAACGTGGACACAAACCATGCCTCGGAGACTCACGAGTATGAAGACGAACGCGCAGAGGACTCATATCACGACCATTATGAACAAGCTCACAATGCATATGCGCATGACGCGAGCGGAAATGAACCGCATGCTGATGAACCCGTGTCCCCTCCCCCTCCGCGGCGCCAGTCCATTCTTCGCTCTCCACCCCCTCCGCCTGTTGAAGAGACCGTGCAAGAACCTGAAGAAGAACCAGCCCCTCCACCTCCTCCTCGTCGCCCTTCAGGCGCAGTCCCCCCGCCTCCGGTGCATGCACATCCGCCTCCTGTCAATGAGGAGGTGTACAATGAGTCAAAGGAAGCTGGGGAGGACGAACCCGCCCCGCCTCCTCCACCGCGAGGCAACAGACCGGTATCTCACATCTCTATACCAACACCATCACCACCGGCCATTCCAGCAACGCGCCCTACGATTATCTCTCGGGAAAACTCCCAGGGCCAGGAAACAGAGATTCTAGACGATGAAGATGGCGGTTAGTACCTTTGTCGCGCGTGTTCTACGCGCCATGCGAACAATGCCGCTTACGCCCAGGTCTCGTGACAGATCCCATCGACCCTGGATTCTACAGCCCTCAAAGATCCCCTAGTTTGGTCGGAATTTTCACCAACCTACCAGTCTCACCCATTTCGCAAACCCTCAGTTCACCGACGCTCACAGTACCCCTCAGAGTGATCTCGCCGCCCTTGGTCGCCTCATCGCCGCCACCTCCTCCGCAGAGACTCGTATCGCCGCCTCCACCTCCTCCGCAGAGGATCGTCTCACCTCCACCCCAGCGCGTTGTCTCACCTCCCGTCGCCGATGATGCTCCACTGCGCCCAGCAGTCGGTGCATTTCCGCGCCCACCTATCTCACCTCCACCGGCCGAGCAAGAGGGCATCGATATCGAAGAACAGGATCCCGAGCAAGCCCGTCGTCGCACCATCGCGGAGCGCATGGCGAAACTAGGCGGGATCCATTTCGGGGCTCCACCCCCCGTCCCGGGGGCTCGCCGCCCTCCTGCTCCTCCTTCGCGCGAGGTCCCACACGACGACGGTGAGGTCGTTGAAGAGGAGGAGAGGCCAGAGCCAGAAGAACAGGAGCCCCAGCAAGATGAAGAGGAGGATGAGTTTGCGCGCAAGCAGCGCATTGCCGCGCGCATCGCCGGTATGGGTGGCATGCGTTTCGGTATGATGCCCGGCGCTGCCCCGCCCAAGCCCCCTGCACGTGTGCAACGGGATGAAGAGGAGGTTGGGGAGGAGGCAGCGTCCCCGCCGCCTCCGCCCCGCAGGCCTTCTGTACCTGTCCCTCGTCCCCCACCACCGCCCCCCGCGGAGTATGAGCAAGAAGAGGAGTCAGATTATCAGCATGTGTCTGAGGACAACAACGAAAGCGAGCTTGAAGAGGTCACGTATGCCGACGCGGAGCCCGAAGAAGAGGACGAAGAAGCCCCGCCTGTCCCCAACCGCGGCGCGCGACGCACCTCGACTGGTCCCCCACCGGTGCCGCACGTTCGTCCAACTTCTCCGCCCTCATTCCCTTCTGCCCCACCGGTCCCTCGCACTCGTCCTCCGGCCCCTCCCGCGTTCACTTATCCCCCTCCGCCGCCTGAAGCACGTCCCGCATTGGCCACGCACGAGACTCAAGGTGACTTCGTCATGGTAGACCAAGCCGAGGACACGGACGAGCCGCCGCCGCCGCCGCCGCCACCCCCTCGTGGGGCCCGAGCTCCGGGGCGCGCACCACCACGTGCACCCCCTGCAGCCCCAGCGGGACCCGAGGCTCGCTCGCTCAGCATCGACTTCGGAGGCGACGCCGACCTTTCGCTGTCCGGTCAATGGTCTGAGGACTCGACCAGCTACCCGCCAGCTCCCCCGGCTTCTGCAGTCCCACCTCAAACTCCCCCCGCTCCCGCCACGCAGGCGCGTGCTCCACCCCCCGCAGATCTTCAGCTCTCCACGGAAGAGCTCATGGCGACCTGGGGCCGCGTCGGCGTGCAGATGCACGAGGTCTCCGCCGCGCTCTTCGAGAAGTCCAAGAAGGGCCTCGTGGGGGACGGCACCTACATCGGTTTCGTCGCTGCCGTGCGCGCGCAGGTGCCCACCGCCGCGCAGGCAGGCGCGGGCCTCGATGGCCTCGGCTACCTCGTGTACGCGCAGGTCGCGGGTGCGGTGCAAAAGCGCGCGAGCGACATCCTGCCCGGGGACGTGATCGTCGTCTCGGACGCGAAGTTCAAGGGCCACAAGGGCCTCCAGACCTACAACCAGACCGTCGGCGTCAGCGAGCCGGTTGTGGGCGTGATTGGGGACTTTGAGGCGAAGAAGAGTAAGGTAAAGGTCTACCAGGCGAACCACATGTCGGGCAGCAGGTGAGCGTCTGTTGAGTGGCACGAAGCGCCCGTCGGGGCTGATTATCGGGTTTACAGACGTGGAGAGCGTCAGCTATCGCCTCGAGGACCTGAAGAGCGGTACTGTAAAGGTGAGCTTTGCTTTATCTCAAGGCGTGTGACCACCGCTGACCACCTGTCATCAGATTTTCAGGGTGCTGGAAGCATGATAAGGAACACGGAATCGAAGTCGCTTAGTCGTAATGGAAACGATGTATCATACCGGACGCCGCCTCCCACTTCATCCAGGACCACTTTTCACTCCCTCACACATTTCATAGGTGACACTTTTGTATCATACGAACAGGAAGCATTGAATCCATCAACATTCTTCTTACCTACGGGATGACACCAGCAGCACTGACCTTGAAGCGTGCACCGTTTAGACGCCGCCTTTGTTGCCGACACACTGGCATCCTTGCATTGACCGCCCCACCACAAGCACTTCCGCCTTGTGCCTGTCCTTTTGCGGTAGCATCATTGTTATTCTGTCGCACCCTTTGTTGAAACTCACTCTCACGACTCAGGTTGCAGCGCGCAGCGAACATGCACGCACATGGTCAATTTGGATTGAGCGCCTGTGCTCGGGTGCCCGACATCGTCGGGGACCGTGCGCGCCCCCTTCGCTGGCGGCGCGCACTGAGACGATCCCGACAAAGGATTTCTCGTCGCCGAAATCTTGTCGAAATGTATAAAAGCCGATCACCGACCGCGATCAGTCTCTCCATCCCGCCCTCCCGCTCAATCACATCCACCCCGGCCATCAGTCTGCTCTTCTGACAAGATGGATTTCATTTGCCACGATCAAACGACCGACTACCTCGCAGGGTCCCATGGTCTTCTTCACTCAGGCAGCCACTGCCTTCCGTCAGTCCACGCGCCGCTTTCCCTCGTCTTCACGCTTACCCGCTCTGTAGTGACTATGGTTTGATGCCGTTGGAATGGTGTATGTGACGTATTGCTATTATACTCTTACTGCTAACCACAAGGACACTAGGCTTCCCCCTGCAACCGACGCCCATACTGTCCGAAACAGGTTCCCCAGCAGAATCTGCTCTGTCGACACCGTCTTTGTTGGGATCTGCTTCGACTCTCCCTTACATCGGTCTTCGTACCCCGTCACCCTTCCATCTCTCGCCTTCCGGAATACCCTGCGTTTCCAGCCTTCCTTCCGATTTGCCGTCTCCTTACGCTCCCATCTACACACTGTCCTCTTCCTCATGCCCTTCTCTTCCTCCTCCTCCATCTTACCTTTACCCTCATGACCAGTATCACCCAGTACTGCTCCATTCAACTCTTCCCATCTTATGCTGAATTCTGCAAATCCCCTCCCCACTCCCAACCGTGCGCCCTCCCTTTCTCCGCCTTCCGATCGTCCTGTGTCTGGAGTCCAGCAATTCCCGAGCGAAGTTGATATCGGCGAGCTGGCCGATTTCAAGAAGAACAAATGCCTCGTCCCCGAATGCAACGGGCCTACGTTCACTCGCGTCACGGAGCTCCGCCGGCACTTCGGCATTCACCTCAAGGAGCACCGCGGAAGCTTCGCCTGCCTCGGCGTCCCCCTCCCTCCAGGCGCTCTCTCCCCTCTCCCGGAACATCGGGCGTACTATCATCCCCAGCACGGTCGATGGATGGTGCACGGGTGCTGGACGGTGTTCTCTCGCCGGGACGCCTTTCTGCGACACCTGAGGAAGCACGGCCACAGTGATCACCAGGTCTCGGAGGCCTTCTGGCGGGAGATCGTCAAGGCCGGGAGAGACGTGAAGAATGGGCACCTGTACGTCGTCTCTTTCGCAGAGGGGCAATCTCTTTGTGAGCGCGGTAAGGAGGTCATGAAGCACGGCAAGAAGCCGGTGAGCACTTTCTGCTCCGAGGGATTGGTTGGAGGCTCGTGTTGACATACTCCTCAGCATGGCAAACGTCAAACTTCCAGACGCTTGATATGACTATGTAGCGATTCCGTTTTTTTTCGTAAACAAGACATACTTATCTCCCGTACTCTGCTTCCGACACTTGCGCGATTGGTCGGGGACTGTAATCATAGTAGTCTTTCCTTATTTCTGGACACTTGTCACTGACGCTGTACTTATTTGCTATCTTCGACCTTCTACGGTTCCCATCATCCACCTATGCTTTCGTTATACACTAGCCCCTCTCAATCCATCTTTACTCTCCACAGACATGCGAGCATCCCCCAGACGACTATTCGTCATCGTGCTTGGGCATTACAGACCCTTCCGGCTGGCGGTGTCGCCACCACCTCAGCGGTCAGCTCATCAACCGCCGACGGGGGAACTGGAGGACCATCGCCCTACGCAACCGTCCGCATCAACCTCCACTCTATTTCATATCCAGCTCCCACACTCACCCAAACCCACCACTGCAGCCCCTCTCGGAGTACCGAGAGCACCTCCCCCGACTCAAACGAGCGCACCCTTCCGCTTCGCACGGGAGCGTCGTTGAGGTGCACCGTGCCGGAGACGACCCGCTTGCTGGCGCTCGACACATCCCGCGCACTTGGCCGCGGTGCAGTGCGTGAACACGCACACCTCACCTGCGTACGTTGACGCGGCGCACCACGCGCTCGGCTCGTCCGGGATGCGCCCGAGGAAGAGGAGGACCGTGAAGGAGGTGCCGAGCGCGTAGTGCTTCACGCGCACGCGCGCCTCCTGGGTGTGCACGGTCGGGGACGACGCCAGGGCGGAGGCGGAGGCGGAGGCGAAGGGGACGGAAAAACTCGTGAGGGAATCAGGGACTGAAGCCTGAAAGGCGGGGCGTTGGCGGCCTCCTCAAACCAGGTCTTCGAGCCGTAGAGGCTCTTAGCGAGCGCTCGGGGCTTTTGCCTGGCGAGGGGCTTGTTGGTTTGGTTAATGATGTTGCAGTCGAAGTAGGATACAGACGGAAGATTACGACGTCTGTGGTAAGCGTGCGTCCGGGAGGGACTGGAGGGATAGATATGATGAGTAGTGTATCTGGCCCACGGAATCGGTGGGACGGCGCAGGAGCAGCTTTTAACGGACCTCCGAGTACTGAAATCGGGGCTGGTGACAATGGCGGCGGAATCGCTGTCCTTGCAATGCGGCTCGAAGGCATGTGCAGCTCATGGTGGACGCAGCACCCAATATTGAAATATTGATTGCGGCGTGCATATTGAAGTAAATCGCTCGCTTCCACGTGACCGTGAATTTCTCGGGCGCTTTGTCGGTCCGACATCTCGCTCAGTCTAACGCATCTTCCCTCCCCTCCTCTTCATGCTCGCATTTTCCACATGCCTTCGAAAATCAAAGACAAGAAAAGCGCAGGTGCGAAGGCCACACCCTCAAAATCAAAGCAAAGAGCCCGCGCAGCCCGTGAAAGTTCTCAAGCGCGCAGCGGAATCTTCAGACGATTCCGACGAGGAGGAGACGGACGAGCTCGCAGGGGATGACGACGACGGGTCGGACTGGGAAGATGAAGAGGAGAGCGATGGAGAGGACGACGATGACGACGTCGACAGGAAGGCATGTCAAAGTTGATGGAGGCCTTGGGCGAAGATGGGCTGGATGAGTTCGCGCAAGAGCATTTGCGCGCACTGGCCAGCGAGGACGACGAGGACAGCGACGAAGAAGACGCGGGAGTGAGGAGAGCGTTCTGGTGAGGACGGTGAAGAGGGCGCGACGCGAGACGAAGAAGACGGGAAGGATGCGGAGGCCGGGCACAGTTCTGATCACGCTATCCCCGTCGACGACCTCCCAGAGGGATACGAGCTGGACGAAGACGCGGTGCTGCAGCAGAAGGTGAGGTTGACAACGAAGTGCGTGTTGCGCGACCGGCTTCCTACCCTCCTCTCATTTCGCGTAGATCGCTATGGAGCGCATACGCAGCACAATTGCGCTGGACCCTGCACTACCTTGGACCGAAACGCTAAGCGTAACGTACCCCGAAACGATCAACGTCGACGTCGATGACGACCTGAACCGCGAGCTCGCATTGTACGTGACCTCCTTTCCCGTGTCTAGTTTCGTTTATGCATGCTCACTGCGATTCTCCCCACCTCACAGTTACAAGCAGGCTCTCCACGGGGCCCAAGCCGCCCGTGCGCTAGCACAAAAACACTCGTTCCCGTTTACCCGTCCCTCGGATTATTTTGCGGAGATGGTCAAGAGCGACGCACACATGGAACGCATCCGGCAACGGCTGCTCGACGATCGCGCGGGGATGAGGCGTTCAGAGGAGAAGCGGAAGGAGCGCGAGGGGAAGAAGTTCGGGAAGCAGGTGCAGATGGAGCGCATCAAGGAGCGTCAGCAAAATAAAAAGGAGGTCGAGGAGCGGTTGAAGGGACTCAAGCGGAGTGCGTATATTCGTGCGCTACGAATCTTGACGCATCACTGACGGATGGCTTCTCCTGCAGAACGCAAGGGTAACCTGGACGGGGGCAACGAAGACTTCGACGTCGCCGTGGAGGATGCTCTCGCCGACCGCCCCAACAAACGCTCCAAGTCTGGTCCAGGGACGGGCAAGGGTCCTGGCGGCAAGCCCAAGCTCCCTCGCGGGGCGCGCGACAAGAAGTTCGGGTTCGGAGGCAGCGGAAAGAGGTCGAAACAGAACACGAAGGACTCTACGGACAGTTTCGTGCAGCGTGGTGGACCTGGGGGTAAGGGGAAGGGTGGGAAGGGGAAGGGTCCCGCAAAACGTCCCGGGAAGGGTCGGCGAATGGCGCAGAGGAGCAGAACGTAGTTCGTCAGTCATTTCTATGGTTTCTGGTTCATGTATGCTATGCTTCCGTAACCCATGGTTGGTACTGCTTTGCCCATATCTCGAGTACTATTGATGGTCCCCAAAACGTACGCCGATTCAGCGAGATGGTATCGCCGTCTTCACAGGCATCTGCGGATGTTTACGAGGGAGGACAGTTCATCAAAGACGAAACGGTGATTGTCGAGGGGCATTGCATGCACATTTCATGGTTCGCGTCTACTGGCAAGCAGCTCCTCGAGGCAGGTGTCCGTCCGACCTATGTCGCGCACTCTTGCCGGACGAAGGCCGCGACACTGTCCGAACGTGGCCTGACAACACACCGACTGTCCTTGAAGAAACTACGCAGTCGGTGGCTAGTCAGTCGCCATTCGCAATCGATACCCAAGTGATACGGAGACCTACACGAGAAGCCCTTCAGTGAGCTCAGGGTCGAATGGGATCGGCTTGCCGTCGGCATCAAGCGGCCGGCTGATTACGAAGTTCTGAAGCACAGACGCGATGTAGATGAACGCAGTGGCGTCCACGAAATGGCGACCGGACAGATCCTGAAGGGTCGCGCAAACAGTCAGAGGTACACGCGATGACTGAGATTCGAGACGTACCGTCGTCCGAGTCCAAAGGCGACGGCGGTCAAGTCTTTGACGGCCGGGTCAAGCTTGCCGTCCTTCATAAAGCGTTCTGGCTTGAAAGTCTCAGGGTCCTCAAAAACAGCAGGATCATGCAGGATTGCCCTTCGCGTCGTCAACGAATGAGCAAGGCTCTCCACGGTCATGTATCATCTAACAAATCACGTACCACGCGTTCACATTCACAGCCGTGCCCTTTGGGATAAAATACCCCTCGAACTCGTCGTCTTCCGAGGTCGCGTGTGCCAGCCCGGGCGGGATCGAAACGTGCCAACGAGTGATTTCCTTGATAACCGCGTTCACGTACGGCAACGCTTGCCTATCTGAAAAGTCGGGCAGTCGCCCCCGGCCGATGACGGCATCGATTTCCGCTTGTGCCCGTTCTTGTGCCTCTGGATGTGCGGCCATGGCAACGAAGAAAGCGTTCAATAGTCCATATGTCTGCCAATGACCTCGTGAGTGCCATTCACCCCCTCGAAAGCAGGCGCCTCACGGTGTCGAATCCAGCTGTTCGGCCATATTGGGATGTGAGAAATCAGTGATTCATGTACGCGTCGCTGCCCTGCGTACCTGCATATACCACTGCTGCGACGCTCTTATAAAGTTCTTCGAGCTCTGGGACGTCTTCCGGCGCAGCGGTAGCGATGCTCTCAACGAGCTCGCTCACGGTGCTCGCGGTTTTCCGTGGCCATCTTCCTGAATTACCATGGAACAGAATGACCAATGTGAGCCAATCCCCCGTATTAGGGTGCTTAGAACGCTTACAATCATCCTGCGAGCGTCTTCCCAAGCCACATCTCGCATCTTCTTGGAACACATCCGGAATTCCTCGAGCTGACGCAAAATTCCCGTTCCCGGAAGCGGCAGCCACGCGGGCACACGCCCAAGCGCAGGGAACGCCTGTAAGACGGCCGCCGCGGCGCTGGCGAGGAACTGCGGCGCCTCAGTCGCGCGATCGGCGTTGAATATGTACTTATCTCCAGTCGGAGCGGGCAATATGCCGTATGTCGACTCGATGATCGTCGAGGCCAGAGCACTATGAACGCCGAAGGTGAGGTCGTGCGTCGAACAACATGCGAGCCATGCACGTACTAGCGAACGTGTTCGATAAAGTTTTCTGGACCGTCGAGGAGCCGCAGCAGGAGGCGACGCGCTCCCTCGCGCTGGGCGGGTTGGTATTTGGCGACCGCGCCGGGATGGAACTCTTGCCAGACCATTCGTCGCTGCTGACGCCAGCCTGCGCCTCTCGGCAGGAACGCCATATTCCATTCCCATCCGATCCTTCAGTAAAATAAGCACTTCAGCAGAAACTGCGCATGTAGTGGGATTGCTTACAACTTGACCGTGCTCATGTCAACCCTGGAGGAGTAGATTGCTGAGCGTTTCTCGAATAGTTCGGTCGCCGTCGCCAGATCGTCAACGACCAATAGGGATTGTCCAAACACGTTCAGATAAATGAGCTTCGAGCCTGTGTGTGGTAGTCGTCACAGGAATATGCATGCTGAGAAAAGCCGAGTGTATGCCTCCTCACTGTACTTCTGGGATAGTTCATGGTAATGCGACACGGCGTTGGATGTCAAGGAAGTTGCCAAGGAAAGGGAGAGGTCCAGGTCCAGGGGGACAGCTAGTGCCACCAGAGTGAACACCCGGTGGGCGTCGAAGGCGTCGACTGCGATGCCAGCGGAGGAGGAGGATTATTGTCAAAATGGCAAACAATGCAGCCGGATTATTGAAGAGGCCCATTGCGGAGATGGCGCCTCACGGAGGAGGTTTGGGCGAGCAGAGTGACCCCAAGAAAGGTGACACATGGAAACAGGCGGGAGGCGGGAACTATAGTAGGCCTGGGTGGGCCTGCAGGAGTTAGAACGCGGACTCGCCTCCGTGACGGTGATACACACGTACAAGCCTCCAAAATGATATCCCCGGTGGTGTTCTATAATGGACGGCGTCTTCACGGCGCGTCCTACTCAGGATCCCCAATCAGCCGTGCCCCGCCGTGAAGACAAAGGCACCCAGTCTCACCCAGTGCACCTGAAGGGCAGCGAAGGCATTCGTGGACCGATCGGCGCCAAATGCGAGAGATCTTATCTTCTTGGCATAATAATCTAATCTATCGCCTCGGTCAGCCAGTCAAGCGCCCACCTGTTCCACTGCGCTCGGGTTGTTCTCACATGTCACATCTTTTCTCTTTATTCAAAACCCATCCGCGCTTTCCAGGATCAACCCACCGTCATTTAACTTCAATCACTCGATACTGTAGCGGGTTCCGTTCAAGGCGGTACATTGGGCAATTCGCCGTCGACATCCCGAACGCATCACTGCGTAGGCATGGGACTCCCAAGACATTTACAGATACACAGCATACATCACCAGCTCCACTCACCGTGGAACACGGGCATTTCGAACTCTACAGCACCCGCTAGTGCTCCTACGTACATCGTTCGGCGTGTCGCTCTATGTCTATCATAGCGACATCATGGCCGTCATGGGATCCTTTCGCCGGCTGCGGCCAGTTCACGGTTCCAGCAGGTACCTCTTCCGCGTCCCAATTCTTCTGTGGAAACTGTCCAAGCTAATCACAGTGTAAAAGTGACCATCGGGATCCTGCACCGCTCTCGCAGCGACCGTAGTCGCCGACTACTCGTTTTCCGCCCACGCCACCGGGCGCAAACTGATGATGGTCTCAAGCTATTACGACTACACATGGCTTGGACAACAACATTGGCTCTGGCGGATATGAGCCCGCATTCCAGAACGTTCGCTCAAAGGCTGCGGCTGTGGCGGACAGCTCTCCTGCGATGCTACGACTGCGAAGCGATGCTTCACTCCAGTCAGCGCGGAAGAAACCACTTCCGGCATGCGCGCGCCGGTAAGCACAAGTGCTGCAATAGTCGGATCTGTCCACTCTGACTTTGATTCTCCCAGAGACTGGGCGCATACCTCAAGGATGCGCTCGTACTTGTGGCGAATGGGCAGTGTTTCGAGAGAGCTTCCCGGTGAACAGCGAACAGTGAGAGTTCCCACAATCTGTGAACCCCAGACACTTCTAGATTCTGAAGTCGTGTCTCGGTCGGTGCGCGGTTTAGTCGGGTCGGACATCTCTCATAAAGCGCTGATAGGGAACTCAGCAACATCTCATCCAAGGGCGCCTTGAGCCGCAGCTTTAGAGGCACAGTTCTTGAACGGAACGCCGGTCGATTAAGTTGGAATCCCATTGGTTTGCACCCCGCATCCCGTGAAACGCACGTTATTCAGACAATAAAAGCCCCACTGTCTTTCCGCCAGATATTCACGAGACGCTGTCCCCTTCAACTCACTTCTCACTTTCCACCATGGCAGGCGCACCCCTCACTCTCATCGCCTTCCAGGCTATTGCAACGTCAGTCGCCATTGCACTTGGGACCTCCATCCTCGCTACTCTTTTTCTGCGCCTCCTTTCTTCCCAGAAACATCGCAAGCGCCAACCCTCGTTCCCGCCTGGACCACCCGGCGTCCCTGTCATAGGCAACCTCTGGGATATGCCTTCGGTTCGCCCTTGGGAGGGTCTCCGAGAACTCAACGGCCAGTACGGTGAGTCCCGGGGCGCCCTTCGATGGACTCACCTTTCTGATCACACTCGATCAAAGGCGACGTCATGGGCATGCGAATCCTCGGCCAGTCCATCGTCATTCTCGGTAGTGCCGGTGCGATTACTCAATATCTGGATCGCAACTCCACGAAGACATCTAGCCGACCGTACATACCCACCGTTGAGCTGTACGATCTGTTGCCTCACATTTTGGGCTTCCTGACTCATTCGATGTTCTCCACAGTCTCGGGCAGACGAATGGATTTTCCTTGATGCCCTACGGGTCAGAATGGCGAACCTGCAGGCGCGCATTCTGGCAGCACTTCAACCCCAAGGCGGTACCCAAGTACACGGCAGCGATCCAGTCGTCTGTACGGGTGGTCTTGCACAAGCTTCTCAACGCCCCGGAGCGCTGGGAGCAGCACCTCTCAGAGTAATTGCTCGTCCCTCCCATGCTTAGGTTGCATGCTGACGCCCCGCAGCTCCGTCTCCGCCACGCTCGTGAAGGTCGTGTATGACCTTGACGTCAAGGACGAGAACGATGAGGTACTCAAGGCCATCGAGCTTGGACTGGAAGGAGGACGGGAGGCGCTGATCCCAGGGCGATTCCTCGTCGACAGCCTGCCCTTCCTTCGGTTCTTGCCGTCTTTCTTCCCCTCCCAGCGTCACTTCGCTCGGCTCAGTGACCAGAGGAGCCACATGTTCGACCTCCCGTACGCTCTGCACAAGGCTGCTGCGGTCAGTACCTCGACTCGCCATACCCTGTGATGCCACAAGCTCACGCACTCGTCAGTCGCGCAACGAAGCCGGAGATTGCATCATGACGGACATCATATCGAGCATCGCAGGTGACACCGAAGACGCGCAATACAGCGCCAAGTCCGCAGAGGCGTACAAGGTAGCCAAGGCCGTGCTCTCGACCACGTTTGCCGGTACGTACTACCCCCTCAAAACCCCCATCACGTTCGCCCGCTGACGATCGATGGTGCAGCGGGATTGGACACGGTGAGCTAATTCACGGCACTGCCGCGATCTATCCTCTCTGAACGACGTGCGCAGGGCAACTCTATCCTCAAGACGTTCTTCTTGGCGATGTCCCTGAACCCGGACGTCCAAGCCCGCGCTCACTCCGAACTCGACGCGGCAGTGGGCCGCGATCGGCTTCCAGACCTCGAGGATCGCGAGGCGCTCCCGTACCTGAGCGCCATTTTCCTCGAGACGCTGCGCTGGATGCCCGCAGCCCCGCTTGGGCTCGTGCATTGCACCGATGAGGACGACACCTTCGGTGAATATTTCGTGCCCGCTAATACCACGATCATCCCCAATATTTGGTGCGCGCATAACGGCCCCGAACTCACCGAGTTCTTCGAGTTGACGATGTGCGTTCCAGGGCATGCATGCACGACCCGGACGCGTACGACCGGCCGGGAGCCTTCATGCCCGAAAGGTTTCTCCGTGACGGGAAGCTGAACCCCGCCGTCCGGAACCCGTTCGACTTCGTCTTCGGCTTCGGTCGACGGTGGGCGATGTCCTCCTCGTGGCGCCGTCCGTCGCGCACTCACGTCGTTCCGCGCAGGGTCTGTCCCGGAAGGCACTACGGGGACGCGATGCTCTTCCTGCACATGGCGTGCGTTCTCCACGTGTTCCGCATTCAGCCGTCCGTCGACAAAGACGGGGCTCCGATCGTCGTCGAGCCGAAGATGTTCAACTCCTTTGTCTCGTGAGTCGCGCTGTTTCTCCGCCGCCAGATGCCCAGGCTGATTCTGGGCCCATACGTCTCAGGTGGCCCGAGGACTGTCGCTGCACGGTCGTCCCCAGGACGAGCGAGCTGTCCGCGTTGATCTAAGCTCGAGCTTGGCGGCACGCGGTGGAATGGAAGCGGCGGGAGGTGAGGTGGGGGTACATTAGGGCGGTGTCATAGCCTCCGGTTTGGACTACTGCTGTTCCTGAAATGGATTAAATGTGTACATGTAGGATTCGAATCGCGTGCTTGCCGCGAGGACCCATCGGAAGGTCTCGTTTAGAAGGACGCGCTGTGGGGTGCCGTGTTCACTTCTACAAGGGTTCCAGGTACCCCCAACATGAAAGGCACAGTAATACACAGGGACGTAGGCGTACGTACTAGACCAAGCTAGCCCGCACTTGTTCGTGCATTTACCGTCTTGGCGGACCCGAGTGAGCAACCTGCAGCAACGAACGTCTGAAATTCTTTCAAGGGACCCTCTCCGAGGCTCCGCCGTTCACACCTCAAAACTTAATAGACCCGTGAGGTGCCGGGACTGCGACCCTGAGGCCTTAGGAGGCCTGGATGATCGAAGGACCCAGACACCTGCGCGGTTTCCCGGCAACGTCGCATAAGCGGACGACGCTCACCCCCGGCCGGAGCATCTTCGTACTGACACCCCACCCCATCGCTTCCTCCACGCCACCTCCGCAAGACAGCTGAGCGTCGGAGCAGCGGCGGACGCGCCGATGATACGTCCCAGCTCGTACGTAGTGGGATTGGAAGAGCATACCCCCGCGGGCTCGGCGATAGACTTTAAGCTACTTACCCGGGCGGCGGCACTGTTTCAACGCATGCGGAGGAAGCGGTACCAGCAGTGGCGGCAAGCCCAGACTCGAGAGGGCCCGAGAGCGGCCGGACGTACTGTAATTCCTTCACACCACCGATATAGTCCCGGTTCGGTGACCTGCACAAATCTGCCTTTGTTCGTGGGGCATGGGCCGACTTCGTGCCGCGAACGCTGTGCCCCATGTGTCTCCGTGCGCCTTATAATCTTCGCGGAACAGCATGCGGGTGACAAGTTATGGCAGTTGCTCCAAGTTGTACGTGTGGCAGGGAAGTAGCCAGGCCTAGTCTCCGTGTTGCCGGTCGTCCGCCAGCGGGATAAACTGGGGGTGCACAAACCCTACTTCTAAGAAACAGGCATGGAGACAGAATCACCGCAGCAGAGCCGGCGGTGGCAGTGAATTGCAGAGCAAGCGATGTGACCAGGACCCAGAACCGTGGGTCCAACAAGCGCGGCCAGCGGCGCAGCCCACGTGGTGAGCCAAACGAGCCCGACCTAAGATACTGAACGCCCGAGCCCTGGAGTTGCGAGCGCTGGCTTCGGGGTGGCCGCGCGACATACGTGCGCAAGTGCTACGGTAATGTCAGAGAATGGATGCTGAGAAGGGAACAGAACCGCTTCTCCACCGCCGAAGGTGTCATCGCAGCCAAGGTGGAGCGAGCGGCGGTCTGACATTCCTTGGTGATGTATAGCCCGCCAGCACAAATTCAGTGCTGTGACGGGCGGTCCGCCAAGTACACGGAAAAAACGACTCAACAGGGCTACTAAGACCTAAAATGCTCAATGAGGTGGATGCAACTGCGGACGAGTACTGTTACAGGTACGATGAGTCTGATCAAGGTATGAATCCGATGATAGGAATGTACAACAGCCGGACCTCAAGCAACTGTGCATCGGACCATGTTATGAACAAACACGCAAACCTTCTATCAACGCGGGCACCGAGCCCCGCCCGCACCAGGGTAGAGCGCGGAGAACTTGCCGCCTCACCCTGCACGTCACATTGACGTACGTTCGAGGCGGTCACGAGTGTTCGTGGTACGTCTGGCCGCTCTGCGTCTCCGCGTCGACCGCCTTCTTCTCCTGCGCGTGGCCCACCGCCCCGATGCCGCGGAGGAACACGACAGCGAGCACAGAGCCTATCGCCGCCGCCAAATTAATCAGCACCGTCCTGCACGGCATCCACACCACGACCGTGAACCTCACGCACCTGCGAACCCAAACGCCACCCCGGCCCAGAACGCGCTCTTGAACGCCGCGAGCTGCGCGGGGGAGCCCGGGGCGGCGTCCGCGCCGAGCTCGGCCTCCTTCGTGGCGAGGGTGGAGTTGAAGACCGCGGCGGAGATCGCGAGCCCGAACGAGGTCGCGAGCTGGACGACGGTGTTGAAGACCGCGCCGCCGACGGACTGCTCGTGCGGGAGGCAGGACTTGGCGACGAGGAGCGCGCCGCTCGCGAATACGAAGTCCGCGCCGAACACGCAAATTGCCACGGCCGGGAAGCCGAACGCCCAGTACGTCACGTTGGGGTCGATGAGCGCGAAGAGCAGGGAGGCGCAAGCAGTGAGAGTCATGCCGAACCCTGCGTGGGGCGGGTGAGAGCCTGCGGCGTACGAGACGGCGCAGAGGGGACAACGTACCGATGAGGACCACGATCGGGACCCGACCGACAACGAAGGCGATGATGACATTGCAGAGCACCCCGACGATGAACATTGGGATTAGATGGACCACCGTCAGGATGGGTGAGAACCCCTTGTATTCTTGGTAGTATAGCTGTAGGGAAGACAGTCGGCTGACTTCCAAACGCAGCAACTGAGCTACTGACCTGCTGGTAGAACGTAAAGAGCGTGAAGTTACACCACCCGAGGAACGTAATGGTAAACAGCGCAGCGAGCTTCCCCCGTGTGAAGATTGACAACGGCATCAGCGGTGGCGGCGTCCATGACCGGTTGCGCGGCCCCCCTGGCTCTTCGTGAATCTTCTCAAGGAAGCGCTCCCATGCAATGAAGCCTCCGACGAAGACGACTCCGAGAATGAGGAGGGCGATGATGTCTGCAGCAGAGGTCAGATGGCACAGTCAAGTGGTTATAATGACAGCAGCGTGCATGATGTCTTCCATCCGTCTGGTGCTGTACTCCCGTCGCTCAGGACGAAGACAATAAAAGTGAGGCCGACAGTGATTAGGAAGGCGCCGATCCAATCTAGACGGCTACAAAGCCAGTTGAGTGTATGGAATCACCGACGCGAAACGTAACATACCGGTCCTCGGAGTAATAGGGCTCATCAGCGTCGAAGGAGTACCAGGCGCCGACGCAGCAGAGGAAGCTGAGCCCGGTAAGCAAAAAGAACGTCGACCTCCACGTCTCGCTGTGCACAATGAGCTGTGTCCCGAGAGTAGTGGAGCTGGTGACGTACGCAGTTAGCTCGGTGAGAATACCGCCGATAGTGTTCCCCATGGCTCCCCCAACAGGAGCGCCCGCGGAAAAGGTGGCAAAGGCGATGGACCGGAGATGGGATGGTGGGAAGGTGTGGGCGAGGATACCAACGGCCGCAGGGATCGCAGCCGCAGGACCGATTCCCTGAAGCGCTCGGAGTATGTCGATGGTGATCTCATCTAGCAAGCCCAACGGTCATGAGGGGAAACGAGGAGCAGAAAGGCCATGTGCCGACCTTTCGCGAAGCCACAGCCGAGCCCGAATATGCCCATCCAGGCACATCCGAGCACGAATGCGCGCTTACGACCATACAGGTCGGCGGCACGGCCGAGGAAGAGAAGCAGACAGCCCTTCCGGCCAGCAGCATGAGCGCGAGAGAAAAAGCTAGCACTATAAGCGCACTCACCGAGGTGAGTGCGAACGCATTGACCATCCACTGAAGCCTGGCCTCGGCAATGTTGAGCTGTTTGCCGATAGTGGGGAGCGCGATAGACACCGCGGTCGAGTTCCCAATCTGGATGTCGGACGCGAGTAAGAGAAGAGAGATAGGACATGGATGTGTTGGACAGGTGACGCACGGTGATGATCTGGGCAAGAGTAGCGGTGCCGATGAGGATGGCATTCTTGAGCATTGGGCGTGACATGTGGGGGTCCGCCTTCTCGCTGACGACAACGGAGAGGACGGAGTCGTTGGGCGGCCCGCCCTTGGGCTGGACGTGGGATGAGCTACGCTTCATATTGGGTGCAGATGTGGTGCAAGCGAGGTCAATGGGCGAGAGCGGAGCAGGCAGCAGCGAAACCAGAGACAAGGGGGCCGAACGAGCACAGTGGGCAGAATGCAGCAGCGCAGATATAGAACGCTGTGCGGCGTCTTAAGCCTTCAGAGAGCCGGGGCAGCGCTGAAGACGCGATGGCGCCTTGGTGCCACGCCGACGCGTGCGATTTATGTCCTCCGCTTGGAGCGCAAAGCGTGAAAGGGCGGTCAGAGTGTACTCGCGCACCGCAAGCGCTGCGCCGTCATGTGCGGCCCGAGGGCGCCGCTCCTTCTTCCGCGGTCGCACGACCTACGGAATGTAATCAGCGCCTTGCCCCAGCGTCGCTCGCGTGTCCCGGATGCGCACCTGTGATATATGATAGCTGCCACTTGGGCCACTAAGCGGCCGTACGCGGTGTTTGAACGAATGAGAAGCGCAAGTGCCGAGCGAGCAACTCGTATATCCGCGCTGACCACAAAGGAAATATTGAAAGGAATTTCACCCCATGCCGAGAGCCAGTTGGCCGCATTCCCAGAGCTGGGTATACTGAACTATGACCCTGGGAGGGACAACAGGCTGTGAGACTTGCACAGGTTGCGTGAGGCTGTTCATCTCCACTTGCCATGTCAGATGTTTGACTCTTGTCAGAGTTCGACCTCCTGGGTAGGATTTTACACCGAACAAGCCTATTGTTTTGATGCACGGAGCAATCGACAAGCGCGGGATGCAGGAGAACACACCATAAGAGAAACCTTTGATGGTTGGATGGTCGTCCTAGGCAGAGGGAGCTATGTGATCCACCCCCTTCAAAATCAGTATTTCCTGGTCGTACTTTCGATTGTGGGTTGCGCGTTGCTGGGTGGGGAATGCAGGAACCAAGCTCGACGTGGACGCGTCCGATCTTGCGACAAGATCTTACAGCCATGACGGTGGGCGTGGAATGAGGGAGAAGACAGATAAAAACGCATATATTGCAGTTGTTGTATAGGTGGAAGGTGGCCATGGGGAGAGACAAAGGAAGAGAGCTGAGATGCGTGGACGACGCGAAACGAAGGCAACGCCGCACAGTGCGCCAGCCGGATCCCGGCCCGCATCTCGGCTGAGTCGATTTCGCTGACTCCTTGCCATGACGCGGTCACCTGACCTGCACCGCGAGCCGCGATGATCACCTTAGCTTCTCCTCCCGCCCCGACGCCGTCTCCCGTTCGGGCCAAATCTCCCGCATCCTCCTGCGGAGGAACTTCAGATGGAACTCCGTCGGGAATCTCAACGCGTCCGCCGTCTCCACCCGCACTCGCAGGTCCTCCACCTCCTCCTCAAGCCCCACCAGCATCCACTCCGCGGCCCTCGACCGGTTCTGCCCGAGCTCGCAGTACGCGTCCAGCTCCTTCAGCCGCGCGACGGCATCCCACTCGCGCAGTCCCCAAAACGCCTTTCCGCTGAGTTCCTCCTGGTCCTGCTCGCCGAGGTCGCAGACGAGATGCAGCGCGTAGCCGAGCTGCGGGATCCCTCTTCGGACGCGCTCGATCTCGGACCGGACACTCGCGAGGCCGTCCGCATGTGGCCGGAAGAACGCGCGCGCGGCGGCGAGCGCGGCAGCCTTGGGGCTCGCTGCAGCGAGGGAAAGCACCTGGGACCAGCCCGACGGCGGCGGGAAGGCAGCGGCGCGCGCGATTTCGTCGAGCGCGTGGTCGATGCTCCCCGTCATGCTGGGAGAAGGAATGGTGAGTACTGAGCGGCGGAGCATGAAGGAGGCAAGCGCGTACTAGGCGGCGGTACTGTCGAGCTTCTTCGCCACCCGCTGGAGGCCCGCCGACAACATATGCGTGCCGCCAAAGAAGTCGTCCAGTGCGCCTAAGATAAGGGCCCGGTTTTGTAGCGCGCTCGCCCCCCTGATGCGACCCTTGATGTCAGCCCCGGCGAGCTCTGCTATCGCGAGGTGCATCCTCCCGAACGCAGAATCGGCCGCGGGTTTGTAGTCGGGGCTCGGGGTGCACGTGGGCTCGACAACCGGGAGAGAACACAGAGCAGCCGGAACATAGATCGCGAGCGGGTCGGTGGTGTCGGTGGTGGTGATAAGAATTCCTTGCATTGCACGCGGCGCAACGAGCGGCAGCGCGAAGAGGATGCACGCGAGAGCGAAGAGCGCGACGAAGCCGGACCAGAGGGGGCCGATGGCGTCACGGGCACGGCCAGACCGACGCAAATGCGGAGCGCGCTTGGTGGTAAACCCGCGCGCGGTGACGTCGGGCTTCACCATCGGGGAAGAGCGCATTCGCAGAGGGTTGTATGGTACAGACGGAGGATCCATGGAGGTCTTCTGCTCGTCTTCGAGTTCGAATTCGTGTTGCGCATGGGGTTCGAAAGACGGATCTACCTTCATGGCAGGGCCTGCGTCGGGGAGATCTTCCCAGTCTGTGCCCGCCTCGGAGTCGAGGTCAGTGGTGTTCTGAACCTGATGGGACGTTAGGTTGGTGAATAGGCGATGATGAAAAGAAGACAAACGCGCCTTGTTGTCGATAAGCATGGTAAAAAGACACGTCGCTGGTGGGAAAATAGTTGTGAGGGAGCAACTTGAGCTTGAGGAGCACTGCAGCGGGCTCGCTATATAATTCAGCGAGTTCTTTGTCTTCGCTATCGTCTCGTGGCAAACAACCCGTGGAAGCCTCGCGAATATGGGTTATTCCTGACAATCTCTGTTGTCGCACGCGTTCCGCGAGGCTTCACGGCGTTGGACAAACGTCAACGTGAGAACACGTGGCATATTCGTGGGCGTACACACCATACATGGCATAGACAAAGAACTCTTTCCCATTTAATCTGAAGGGGGTACTCGCTAGAGTCGACGCGGTGTACCTTTGTGCCAGCCGATACAAGTTCTCGACCGCACGGTGCTCCTCGAAGCTCTTTATATTCCGGCAATGATGGCAATGAGATCATGTCCGCATCCCTTGAGTCCGTGCAGGTCCTTCATCTTCTCGCAAGGCTGTTCACTGCTGGAACGATCACGCTGCCTAGCGCAATGGATGCTTGTAGAGTGGCGGCGGCGCCGGCGAGGATTTGCGGCTGTCCGATGATTTGCGTGTTGGTCTGACAAAGATATGTTTGAACAAAACCTCGGCATGCTGCCGAACACCTCACAATCAAGCTCTTGCGAAGCGACGTATCCACATGCTACAGCAAATTTTCCAGTCAGCTATGAATGGGCATTATATGACGCACCTTGGACCTTGGTACTTCAACGTGGTGGCGGCACAACCAAAGAACGCCATCAAAGCTGGCGGAAAGATCTTATCTCGTCCCCTTATCGTTGGATCTAATCTACCAAGCTCAGCTGGCAGCAACACAACTAAGCGCCCATTCCCAAGCCTCAAATTTCAAACATGCTCTCCCATGGATCCGGAACTGGCATATGTGCGAGTGGTAAGCGGGGATAACGGACTCCGCGACGTGCTCCTCCTGCCAAATATCTCCTTTTTTGCAGTTTCTCTCATCAATACAAACGTTCCTCCATAACAGAGAGTTTTGTTACCGCAGCAAGGCTTCAATCCTTCCTGGCAAGTCATTCCAGCTGCCGTACCCGTCAAGTGCAGATTAAGGCATGCTCTGTTGTATTCGAGGCTACCCGTTCCGGTTCCGGAAAGTGCGTACTCTCAACCTGTTGCCTCCCAAGGAGGGAAATCGACTCTCTCTGCGGATAGGAATGTCACTCTCAGTAATCTTTTGACTCCCGAGGTTTCCCATGTGCCTTCACCGACACGGCCGCCTCGCCCATGACCTAGCTCTACCCCCACCCCATGCTTTTCCCGTCCCCTCGTACTTCCTCACCACCGCCTAGTCTTCCCTCACTCCTAATGAGCGGCGGAATCTGCAGGGCCCTCCTCGACGACATAGTGACCCCTTGTTCCTCGTTCAATTCGATTGGAAGCGACTATTGCCCCCCGCACCACCGGGAGTACGAGCAACACACGCATGGGTACAAAGTGCTCTCCGCGGAAGCCGCTGCGTTGAATTCCCTCGTCGACATCTCTCGGCTCTGTAAAGGCGGCCAGGGACACCCTAGCGCGGCTGGATGCGTGGCAGGAGAGGACGCAGTGCGAAGTCGACGCGTGGAGACTTCACCACAACAGGTTCTTTTCATTCCCGAATCCAGGTGCGTAGTCGTGTGAGGATAAGCATGCAGACGTTTGCACTGATACTCTCGCACGCATGCAGGGAAGGCGGGGCATGAGCGTTGGATCGCTGGTCTTCAGCAGGACGTCACAGAAGCCGAGCGCCTCATCGACGAAACCATAGAGACGCACACCGGGCTGGTTGTAGCCAGAATAGCAGAGAGGCTCCGCAAGATAAACGGTGAAAGGGAGTTACAGCGACTGAAGGACGAACAGCGACGGAAAGACGAACCACGACGGAAGGACGAACTGCGACGGAGAGACGTACAGGGACGGAAGATGATGCTAGAAGCGCAAAAGGAGAGAGAGGAGCAGGCGCAACAGCGCGCTCGTGTAGAGGAATGGAAACGCAGGAAGGACGCGGCGCTGGCGGAGGAGAACTTGGCAGAAGAGTACCACCGGGCAACGACAGAGAATTTCAGGCACATACGCGACGGCTTGAAGCTCAAGGATATGAAGGACCGGGAGGACCGCGCGAGCTCGACGCCGATGCAAGCAACGACACTGCCGAGTCCAACAGTGGTAGCACCGAATGATGCGCATACGCCAACAGCTGACGCTCGTTCGTGTCAGGTACCTGGAACTCTGGAGAAGGAGAAGGAACTGCCTCTGGAATCCAAGAAAATCCGGCGCCCGTTCGCTGTCCTCGTGGGTTTGAGTGTGAGTGCAACTTTCTCTGTCAAAAGTGAGATAATATATTGAACTCCGTCACAGAAAATGGTCCAACGAGGACTGCACAGAGTTCAGGGAACAGTGCGCACGTGATAAGTCTTCGCAAGGTCGTCTTACCATTACCAGAACGAGGCATCATGATAGCATTCGATGACATCTTGCACGTGAAGTTCCCAAGCCCGTATACAAGGGGTATGTTCCCGAGTCAAAGTTGCGTCTGGTCGACGTCCTGGCCACGCGCGCGCGTTTGAAAGTTCAGCTGCTCGGTAAAATTCACCGTCGTGGTCCTGCCGCGCACGGTAGGCAGAGGGTCCTTGCATCTCGACTTATCCGGGTAGGTGATATCCTTGAGTGTGGTAGAGGCCGAGAGCAGACGGCAGGCCGCGTACACCGCTGCCGAAGCCCGACTCCATGACAATGATCGAAAAAGCGTTGCTGCTCCCCTGAAAACTTGTGGCCAGAAGTTCCCCTGTGCCTGCGTCCTACGATCATGTTCGGGCGCAGGCCGACGCATCCAGCGCACAATAATGAAGTGGTCACCACAGGGCAGTATTGTGGGCGCTAAAATGCAGGCCCGACCCGAACGGCCCGACAATTCTGCCTGCACCGCAAAGCGCGAACTTCGAAGTGCGAGGATAAAATGCAAGTGAATTATCTTTGCGGAAGGGGATCTAAACGAGCGTAAAGTAAGTATACATCTACAACCGTCCGGCGGAGGATAACGCGCATGTTCTTACAGGCCACTACCAAAACGTACAAGCGCCCTAATGGCGCGGTCATCCGTCCATGTCTCTCCCCCTCTTCCTTTTCCGTAAAATTTCCTGGGTCATGGGAGCGGGAAGCAGCAGGTATACTGGGTACAGATAGATATAGAAGCGGCGATGGGGCGGGAGCGGGAGAACAGAAGGTGCGGGCTCACAGAGAAGCGGGAGAACATCACGAACCGCGTCCCACCATCTCCGCGGCACATTCGCCGTCTGTGCTCACCGTCCGCCGCCATGGGCGGCCGTCGACTAGACGATCGACTCCGGCTTCGCGTCGCTGTCTTCGTTTTCAGGCTGTCAGGAGTGAGAACGTCAATCGGCGTGGGCGATCGCGTTTGTGCAATCACGATCGCACGGCCCGAGAGCGACCACCGAAGCGAAACGATTTCCGTCAGACTTTTGTGCCACACGTCCGATCAAGACCGTACGCACCTTCTGAGACAGGCCAGGTCCCCCGCGCCCACTGCTGTGCGGGACGTGCGAGTATGGCCCGGTGTAGTCATAGACGTCCATCGTCGTCGTACCGCTCGTGTGCAGCGCTAAGTTATGCGCGAACTGTAATGGCTGCGTGATCGCGCCGTCAGATCCTTGTATAGACGCATGGGAAAGGGGAACTCACAGCGTGCCGGTCGGCAGAGTAGCCGGAGCTGTTGAGTCCCGGGGGCCCACCCGGCGCCGCGGAGAAGCGGGACGGGTGGGGGGGCGGTGTCTGCTCAAGCTCGGTCTCCATCGCTATCTTTCGAAGTGACATGCGCGCGTTAAGGCTGCGAGATACCGTGAGCACATCCTAACATCCAGAAAAGAAAAAGAAAAAGCATACGCACGTTGCAAGCATCGAATTCGCGTACACTGCGCACGGCGGATCACCGGGGCATAAAGGGCGGGCATGTGAGTGAGGATAGCCGAGGGAGAAGCGAAGCCATGCACCCCGGACAGTAACTGCGTACCTTTAGATAGGATGTTGTGAAACGCGATCCAGATCAGCGTGTTCGGTAAGCCGACTTTGGTGACAAGAGTGAGGACTTGCACGATCCTGGGGTCCCGCGAGAAGTTGATCAGCTTTCCTTGAATGAGGATTGGATGCGTGTGGGCGAGTACTTACGCTGCGATCGCTGCCCTGTTGACGAGGAAAACGATGATGCGGTTGAGCATCACGTTGGTTCTACATAGCGCAAAAAGATAGCCACTGTGTCAGGGCTTGGCGTGCAAACAAGCAATCGAGGAGGAACGCACTTGTGCCGGACCATCTGCTTGTCACTCCAGAGGTACCAACACAGAACCACAGTAATCGCAACGTCGACGATCATGCCGAGCACCCAGTTGACGGCAAGTGGTCGCTGTTGACGATCGCAGAGTAGGTCAACGTTCTTCTCAGACTAGAAAACGATTCTAACTGTAGGTACTTACAGTAACAGAAGGTCGATCTGTGTCTGTCCACTTGGTGTCATGTACACTACAAGAATTTGATTAATAGAACAGTCTACGCGAGAAAAGGCACTCACACTCTTGCGAAGATGGCTGGATGGTACGTCATTAGGTCAGCATTGGCCATACAATGCAAAGTGAACGCCGAGGCGCACCAATAATCATCACTGTGCGCACAGCCATCAGTGATCAACATTCAAGTGAGGAGAATGGAAGCTCACCCCATGATGCCACGGCAAGGACACCCTGAGCAGGTACGACGTCAGATGGGGCAGATCGACTGCGCAACGGCTGTGTGCACTTACAAGGATAGCTGGGATCCACCACCAATGCGGACGAACTGTTGCAATTAAACATCAGCGGGAGAGCGGGTCTCCAAACGGCGGAAATCTCACGGTGCCACATGCGAGTGATGAAAAACCTGCATAAGCGCGTGTTAGCGAACGAGAGCTTTGGCCCTGCTATGACGTTGACTCACAGTTGTACGACTAACACGACTGTGTACTGAACGTATGAGGCCCGGTGAGCGTGTAGAGTTCATAGTAACGCGATGTGGCTCACCGTAAGCAGCAATTCAATCTACGCAGATGATCGTCATATGAGCCGAACGTTCAAAAATACGTAAGATAAACTGACTTGAGCCGACCTATAGCGTGAGAGTACAGAATCAGCTCGAGACATATCGGAGGTCGCACATGCCACACGTACAAAACTTCCGTCTCCAGTGCTGGTGGATTGTTGTAATTGAGAATAAGATAATAGTAAACCATGTGGGTGTCCAGGATGACGGTGACCCCATCCATGCCGCTACATAGAAGGAATGTCGGCCATTAAGCGTTAAGGCGACAATGGAGGACTCACGTCGTGATGCCCACCTGAGAGATTCCGAGGAGTCAGTAAGTGTCGGCAAGGGCGGCGAGAGAAGCACGTACAGCAGCTTTAAGCCATCTTGAGTCCTGGGGGAACTTCCCAAAGTAGTATAGTGCTTGCAGGACAGTAAACCCGTACAGTCTGCAGGGGCGGTCAGTCGAAATCGGTACACAGGGAGTAAAGGGCGTACACTGCAGTGCCGACTGTAGAGACGAGCATGACACCGTAGGACGTGCCTAGGTCGCCACCGTTGCCGGCGGACAGGAAGGGGGAGGACATGGTGCTGAGAGTGGAGGTACGAAGGGGAGCCGGGGGTGTTATGTATGTACAGAGTGCGCCTGGGCGGCGGCGGAGTGGCGGGACCACATATAGCAATATTGGTGGCCGGAAACCTCGACTGTTCCCATAGGACGGATCGGTGGCAGTCTTCGTTACTGCTGTGCCTCTTCAGATCGGCTTGCGGTATCTGCGTAGCGCCTCGGTCATCCACACCATGTGGCCTTCGTGAGCCTAGAAGATAGGAACAAGCTACGAGAGGGAAAGTTCAGGACCGGAGCTTGACCCCGTCAGCGTGCGACGAACCATGCATACCACATACGTAACGTCCCAGATGCTGGCTGCAGGCACTGTTCACCGTCAGAACTACGACAGGGCCGTATGATCAATGTCTAGCCGCTGGCAGGAGAAACACGACATTTAGCATTCGCATGGCGAGGCTTGGTGGTGGGGAAGGGGAAGACAAGAGCTGCACAACCCACCACGAGCGTTGCAGGAATTCAAGAGGTGCAGGTGGAAAAACAACGGACGAACAGGCGCACAACGCGACATGTGCCTGGCCCGCTGCCTACAAGGGGAGCTAGCCCCCGTTGTCCGGGTCCGAGTCGCCGTCGCCCTCGTGAGCAGCAATGAGCAGAGAGAGAATATTAGGCGGCATGGTGGCGGCGAGCCAGGGCGAGCCACCGCCGGATACGTATAGCCGCCTATGACGCCCGTTCAATGTGCTTCTCCTCGACGACCACGACGGTGACCACAGCTAGCAGCCGTCTCTTGATCGCACTGATACGCGCACCTGCGGCGTTCCTTCGACATCCTTCCTAGCCATGTCTTCCCCTTCAACACCGGTTCCAACCAGCGGGTACGCTTCTCCTGCCCCCTCCTCCTCCACGACCCCTGCCCCGCCCAGTAAACCTAACGCGCCCCCAAAACCGAAACCGGTCAATGTGTTTTCTAACGACGGGTCTTTCCTAGAACGCTTTCAGCGACTCAAGAAGGTGCGCTACTCCTTCTTGCTTGCCCATGTGCAGCGGCGACGTGGTCACCCGAGGAAAGGCGGAACTAATTTTGTGTGTCATGCTGCAGGAGGAGGATGAGAAGAAAAAGCAAGAGGATGTCATCACAAAGTGCGTTTCAAACCCTTGTTGTGTGGCCATGGATCTCATCTGCTCTCGTCATCGCAGGAAACGGGAGTTTGACAGCCGTTTCGTGAGTGCTCCGCATACACCGTGCTTCTCGCGTCTCATCGTCCCTGCTCTGTTCAGAAAAACCGGGGCAAGCGCCGTTCTCCTGATACCTCGAGCCCAGCACCTGCCACAGAGAGCCCTACGCCCGCGAAGAAGGCCAAGGTGGAGGAACCCCTCAGTGCGCCATTCTCTTCAGCCACCGTGGTCTCACCGCTAACACTCACCCACAGACCAGTATCAGAAAGAGCTACAGAACTACGCCGATCGCAGCCTGAAGGACAGCGGGATTGGTGTCCGACCGCTCGTCAAGTAGTGGTATCCCCATCGCTTGTGAGGAGTCCTTGGGGTTCACTGAGGTCCGTGTACGTGTACCAGTGTTGCTTTTCATTTAGGATTGAGAAATCAAGCCGCCGTTGATGAACTTTCCCCATGGATGATCGATGTCTCCTTTTGCCTCTGCCTCTGCCTCACACCGGCGCGCCGCTGCATCTTCATGTAGCATCCCGAGCTGTCCAGTTGACATGTTGACATGTTCGCGGATCATTGTCAGCTCGGTGCTATCACCACGGAGCAGCTGTTCTCAGTCAACTAGTCCTCAGTGGGAACCGTCCCGCCGCGGCCACCCCCCTTTCTCACCTAGCGTACTTTCGTCTACAAATCGCAAGCCGTTCTGTGTCCCGGACATTGTTTCAGCCAGCTGACTTCTATCCGCGAACCTAGTGGTAACGCCGCATCATTGCCTCTGTTACTCTTCTTCGGTCTCCGGTCGGACATTCCGCCAACGCACTTCGCGCTCCCTGAGCGTGGGGACTTGTGGGGCGTACCGACGCTACGAGTCCTCTTGATTGTCCTGCGGAGGCTGCCAAGAATTGCCCCTGTAGGTGCACAGAACCTCCTCGACGGCCACCGATAATTCGGACGCGGGGGTCATGTTGTCGCGCTCACCACTGGTAGGGAAACGGAGCAAATCGAGCCCTGATTCGGCGTTACCCGCCCCCGTCCTTCTCTGCCCAGTGATTTTGATGATGCCACACTGCGGAACATGATCCCGCTGCGCACTTGCTGCACACCGTTGAAACGCGTCGCGCGAGCCTCTGCTCTCACTCCCGTTTGCTGTCGGGGCCTCGTGCAACCGCCTCGCACAAATCTGCTTACCTCTCCCGGGCGGTCCGGCCCGGACTTCGGCACAAGGAGCACGACCGCAGCACGAACTGCCGGAACGGAGGCCGAGCAACACGTCTGTCCAAGGCCGTCTCGTCCGACGCTGAGAGCTTCGAACCAGTGCCTCCACTTTGCCGATGCCTCCTCTGATTTTCCGAACCGCAGATATCAAGACTGGTTGGCGTCACTTTCCCTTCTTCCCTTCTGACCGGCCTGTTGACTGCGATGGCCGCAGGCGACGCGCCCTTCGCATCGCTCGTCTCAGAGGTAGTCTGGGAGTGTGCCCCTACCCCGCCGGCCTTCTCGCCTTCTCCCATCGCCAATCTCGTGATTACATCCCCCTCTCGAGCTTATGTAGGTTCACTCTTCAACCTCGCTGCGACCAGCAGAATCCGCGCAACGGGTGTCCTTCCCTTCGCGGTGATGGCGCGAGGCTGTGGGCGCAACGGATAGCCTCCGCAGGATGTGAGCGAGCAGCTTGGCCTCGGTCCAGAGTATCCACCTCAAGTGTGGGAAGAGGAGACGGAAGCAGGTAAATGTGGCAGTCAAGCCGAACGATGCATGTGCCTGTCAAGGATGGGATTGACACGGGCACCGGGACCTACGAGGAGGCTATCCGAGACGGCTCTGGTCTAACACTGTCGCGTTCATGATATATACAAGAGAGCCGCATGTCAGTAGTAGTAGGCGCAATATCGAGCTGGAGCCGGATATCGCGGTGATCAATGAGTCCGTCGAGGCGAAAAGCATACATGGGAATACCCACCCAAAAAGTCCTGTCCAGGAACTGCTCTTTCTTGAAACCGCCGCTGGTCTAGTCGCGGACTTGCACAACCACATTTCGCCGCATCTCCTTCACGTCGTCCCACCCAGGATACTTGAACCCCACGACGAGCTTTCCCACAAACCCCCTGTCTTGAAGTTTGCTTTTGAACTCTACCACGACCTTTGTGGCCTGTTTTGTGGCGAGCGGCACCAGCAGCGCATCGCTCGATGCCGTGAGCCTGACCAGACATCCAGCCGTCAAGCACCAAGGCATTTCAACACGCCGAGAGACTTACTTGCAAGAGTTCGAGCGCGCTGTGACCGTTTGCATAACCAACCCGGCTACCTTCGGGACGATAGTCACGATTATCTGCTTTCCTCTCCTGGCCTGGGCGGCTGTGACGACACCAAAGTCCACAGCACCCCGATGAGAGACCGTCAGAACGCCGTCGACGATGCCCCTCTCCTCGAGCTCCGCCTTGTAGAGCGCGATCTGCTTGAATATGGTGTGCTTCTTGGTACTGGGATGACCATCGCTCGATTCGTCTGACTCTAAGAACCTCTTGCACGTTAAACAGTACGCCTCGTCGTGGAACTCGGGGTTGCGGGGATGGACGAGCGGGTGATCTTCGCGGCTCGCGAGGTGCGCGTTCCAGGAGCGTATGCCGAAGACGCTTACGTCGCACTCCTCGCAGTGGAGCTCGATGACGTCGGAGTTGTCGGGCCGGCTGGTCCTGCGTAGATGGCCTGCGGAGGTCTTGTGGGACTTCAAGATGCCTCCGTTGACGCATAGCACTCCGCACGGCTCGCAAAGGGACTTGACGTTGTGGGAGAGAGGACAATAACGGCGGTCGGAGCATTTGCCATTGAATAACAGGGAAGGGCAGTACTTCCTGAGGTGAAACCCGAAGTCACGACCGTGTGGTGGCATCGGTGAAAAAGGATGTGGAGTAACGGTGAACGTTTTAACGAGGCAGTGAGGTCGAGGGAATGGACGTGCACTGTACCCAGCTGATAGTGATGGAGGCACGATTTAACGTTTTAACGCTTGTGTGCTGCGGTAGGTGCTGCAGGTTTGGAAGCGATGTCACCTGCTTCCCTATCTCTCCCACCACTGGTTGCCCCGCCCTTCGTGCCGCGGTCCAGTCGCCTCCGCGCTCCACTCGTACGGCCTCATGCTCGCGTGTACCCGCTTCCTTCTGAACTGCGCGAGCGAGAGACGGGAGGGAGAGAGGTGGGAACGGTCGCTGAGGCTAGCCAACGGAACGGCTGGCGTGCATCGTGCACCCCCCAGTGTCCATCGTGGACAGCCCAGTGCGAGTTCGCAAGCACCAATTTCACTCTATACAACATGGATTAATTTGGCCTAAAACACATAACACATTATGGGACTGCGGGACCCGGGTGCAGCCTCGGAGGATACCTTCTTGTTTCATTTTGTGCGGAGATACGGGGTGGACCTAGAGTTCCCGCGTGGGGCCGAAATCCTACTCTCACGTGTCAATCCCTGTTTCACAAGCAAGAGCGCCGAGCCGCACACTCACCAGATCGCGGAACCTGCTGGTGTGGACTTCGAGCGCTCTCCTCGCATGGAAGGCGGGGAAAAGCTGGGCGAGGACGAGGTGCGCATCTTCCACCGGGGCCGGAGGACGGAAGTCATCCGACACCGAGGTGTCCACGACCTCAAAGATGAGCTTCAGCTCGGGGAAGTGCTGCAGCACGTTCGAGACGACGCCCCAGGGCGTTTGGTCCAGAACGGGGTCTTCATGGACGTCGTTGAGGTCGACATCGGGGAAGTACGTGATGCAGAGTTCCAGGCGTGTCAGTCGCGTAGGAAGAGCTGAAAGGACCTCGCCAGCGAGGTCTTCGATGGCTGAGACGTCCATCCCGTTCGGATAGGCGTACAAACTGCCTTCAGTGTCGCACTTGAAGGAACGTAGGTTGGGTAAGAGGGGGAGAGTCTGCGCGAGAACGTTGTAGCTTTGAGGAGCTGTTGGACGGTGGAATGTCAATGAGCGGCGACGGCGGACGTTGGTTACACACTCACAAAGAGGCGCGACATCGAAATTGATAATAGTGTGTCCAATGTCGCGCAACATGACGGGAAGCGTTTCGAGGTAACACTCCAGCATCAGTTCGTCTTCGAATCGAAAGGTGTGCATGCCAGAGCGAGGCAAAAGTTGTCGCAGGGCTTCGCCGATCGGGGGTTTGGGACGGCTAGGTTGGTAATCCGCGCACTTGAGGAAGAAGGAAGCGATGTCGAAGGGAGGAATGGCCTCTTCAATCGGGCCTTGTGGAACGAGCTGGTCTGCGTCTATGGAATCATCCGGGTTGACCATCATAGTCGGTGTCCAGTGGACCTCTGCATGGTCGACTCGAAAAAGGGAGAGCAAGGCCAACAGAGGAATCATGCCGACGGCGCAGTCCGCGATAAGCAAGGTTTCCAGGTGGTGCCTTTCCCCGTTAAACTTGGTGATACGAGGCTCGACCGGGGGAGGCAGGATGATCAGTCCAAGAAGGTGAAGATGCCTAAGACGTGGAAGGCTCGTGGCGACTTCAAGGATACGGCCTGTTGTGATAGAGCTATCCTCGCCGGCGTTCGGCCCCAGAGAGAGCTTATGGATATGATGGACGATGTCGATGTTGCGGGCGAGGAAATGCGTAACAAGTTCGAAGTCCCCCTCTGAATCAGGCGGGTCTATGGCAGAGAACAACTGAGACCGGACGACTGAGTGCAGCTTTCGCGAAACCAGAGAGCAGTCTGAGAGGGATGGTGTGTCTTCGAGGTAACCGACGATGTTGTGCAGGAGTTCCGGAGGGAGACGTTCCATGGTGCCTGCACGCACGACGATAAGCACACACAGCCAAAGGTAGACGGAACACAGTCACGCACCTCGCGCACGCATACCCATTGAAATTCCCAAGATTGACGGAAGTCAGTGGAGGAACAGCGGATGGCCCAGCGGCGGGTGACGCGGTTGCGAATCAAGCGGCAAATTGGGGGGCTTGAACGCTCTCCTGGACAACCGGTACCCCTTATATAAGCGGGCGCCTAATGGGTTGCTCTTGTCCTAGGCCCGGCCTGCGCACTCTCCCAGTGGCTCCATCACAGTTTCAATGACTTGTCTACTGCACCGCTTTACTCCCTTTGTTGACGGCTTCACCACGCGCACAGATAGGAACGAGAATTTAAAAGGGGAGGTACCTAGATCGGCGTGCAAATCTTGCATTCTCCGCAGTTGCGTACTAGAACCGCTGTGTCGTCGCGTCAGGTGATCGCGTCGCGATTGCTTCTAATAGAAGGGCTGCCTAGGGGAGACTAGATTGCTTCTGGAATCCGAATACTCACACTTGTCTTCGGTCTCGGAGGAGCAGCTTCTACATTGCTCGGGTTCGTCGCCGGTTAGGCCTCATAGGGCCGCCTATGAATGGCTCTCGCGTTTTCAGCGCAAAGCCTGCATTTACAAGCAGCTGGGTACTAGTATGGCAGTCGGGTATTGGGAAGAGGTCGTATATCGTAAGCATCGTATAGCTGCTATGCAGCCGCGTCAACGTCATCTTCATGGGCATGGTCCCTAAAGCCCCTTGCTGCCGCTCCTGGGGAACACGGCGGGCGTGGTAGATCACCGTCGTCGTCTCCGCGTCCAGCGATGGACGCTCATTTTGCCTAGTGGCAACAGCGTAAGTACCGTCGCTTAGATCGCCGCCTTTCCCCGCGGTTCGAACGGCAGGAGGAGCGCGATAAAGCCAGCGACAATGAAGAGCGTTCCCGAGACGTAGATTGGGACCGGGGTCGAGAGGTCGGCGTAAAGCGCGATGATGGGCGCCTGCATCCACAGGTCAGCCAAGAGGGAGAACGAAGGCAAGGCGAGACGCACCATGATACCAAAAATACGATTGGCGGCAGACACGATCGCGTTGCCCGTGCCACGGTCCTTGGTGGGGAAGAGCTCGGGCGAGACGGCGTAGAGGACGCCGTACATGACGTTGCTCGTGAACGTGTAGCCGCAGTTCCAGCCGAGGAGCGCGTCTGATGTGCGCGCGGTGGTGGAAGCGAAAAGGAACACGCCAGTGAGCGCTATTATTTGGGTCGCTCTATTCAGCTGCGCAGACGGAGCATATCTGAGGGATCTACGCACCGGTGGAGATAGCGAGGGTGCCCTTACGACCAAGCCAAGGGTGCTCCACCAAATACCCGGCGAGGAGAGCCCCGGGAATTCCCATGATACTCAGGATGACTTGCTGTAGACGCATGGGTGTAAAGGGCGAGACTCAGCGAGAAGGAGGACAGGCAGACTTACGTTACGGTAGGTGATATAAAGTGAGCCGTCACCGAAGTCGGCTCCCCTGCTAGCCAGGAAGACGGTGACGAAACCGTTATAGAGAGGGAAGGCGAGGCCAATGAGGGCTGGCATAGTATCCGACTGCGTTAGGACCGCAAACAAGCCAACTACATCTCGAAGCAAGACTCACCCCATGTCACAATGAGAAGCGAGGTCGAGTACGCAAGCTTACGAGTGGCGAAGAGCGACTTGACGTGCTCCGTGTTCACCATCGACACCTTGCGCATCGCGCGCGCTTTCATGCTCGTGTCCATCGCCGGCATGACAGACTGCTCCGCCTTATCCTCGCTTTTGACGGCGGTCAGCGCGCCTCCTGAGCGCGCCGTGCGTTCGGCATTCTTGAGCATATCCAGGGTGAGGCTGCTGGTCTTTCCGTTATACCTCGCGACCTCGTGGATAACCTCGACCGCCTTCTCGTCCTCACCCTTGCCCATGAGGTACTTAGGGCTCTCGTATAGGTGGAATACGAAGACGCGGAGGAAGAAGAGGAACATCATCAAGCCACCCATCGTCCAGAGGTAGTAGCGCCAGCCCATGTTCGCGGCCTTGGTGCAACCTTCCGTGGACGAGCACGTGAAGTTGGCAATGTACGGCCACGCGACCTGCAGCGCGTCACACGAGCGGTCAACAGTGGGTCGCGCGACATCTTCAGCGCGAGCGGAAAAGACTCACGAGTGAAGCCACAAGCTGGCCGATCGCCCACCAGATGGAGAGTACGGTGAGGAGCCATTGGTGCGATGCCGGCACGAACTCGAGAAAGACCGCAGAGTCGACGGGAAGGTTACCGCCGACCCCCAAGTTCCAGGTGGCAATGAGGGAGCACAGCGCGATCGCGGTGGGCGCTCCTCCTGCCGCGAGCGCGAAGATACTCGTGATCAAAAGCGTCATGTTGAAAGAAATTCTAAATGACGTCATGAGATGCGACGAGCGGAGGCCATTGCGCGCGACTCACCTCCGTCCCCAAATGTCGCATCCGACGCCCCAGAAGATGGCGCCGAACAGGAGACCGATACTTTGCGCGAGGATGAGGAACGGGCCCTTGAAACCCGCGAACTCCATCGTGACCGGGTTGATGATCAGGCCGGTCAAGCACTGAGCGAACCCAGGTTAGATTCTGCATTTCCCCGGCCAATACACGACGCGAGAGCTCACCAGCCACAGATTATCGCTGCAGGTCACGAGCAAGATTCAGAAACGGACAGGCGCGCGAACCGAGAGACGCTGCACTTACGCGAACCAGCCGAAACCAGCAACGAAGAACAGGTACCACTGCGAAGATAAGGCCGCAGCGATGAGCTTTCTGCGCGCGCATACATGCAACCCTAGGGCAAAGGAGGATGCGCACCTGGTAGTGGCCCATGCCGATCTCCTGGAAGGCCAGGTTGAGGACCTTCGCCTTGGCGTAGTAGACGGGGTCGATGGCGGCGTCCTCGCCCTCGTACACATCGTGTTCTTCAACATGGACCGCGAAACCGGTCTTCTCGACGTCGCCCGTGGGGTCCTTGAAGGACGGAGCCTTGGAGTCGGCGGATGCGGGACGGGAGGGCATCGTGTAGCTAGGTCGCGTCTAGGGGTTAACTCGAGGTGTCCCTGAAGGCGGAATGCTCTTCGCGCACGAGGACGGCAGCGAGGAGAGCTTGAAGGGGCGAGAAAGGAGGCCGGACCGGGGAGCGCGGCCTTATATGCGCCGTCACTGCCGTTTGCGCGCGCGGTGGATGGCGAGGTCGGGAAGAAAATACACGATGCACGCGATAAGGGCGGCGCTCTCTGACATGGAAGAAATGTTGGCTGATGCGTACTTCTGGGTCAGCTGCTTCCCGAGTCCACTCCACCCAGAGTTTGCTCCCCGGTGCGTCCGGCTGCCTCGGACCTTCGCTGCTTCCCGCGCGCCCCACGCTCTCCAGAGCTCTGCGCTAGCGCTCAGCGGTGGAGGCCGTAGTCCAGAGACGGCGGATTCGAGTGGCCGTCTATGAACGTCCACGTGTGCCAGAAAAGCGTGTTGCGACCGCCGCAGCTGCACCGGAGCAAGCGAAGTCAAGCGAGGGATAAGGCCAACGTGAATCTGCTCAACCTCCCGGCAAGGTACCCACGTTCGCGCGTGATGTCATGCCGCGCGACGAACGTGCCCGAGCCACTAGGCGCCCACCCTTAGATCAGCCCGGCAGGGAACCTGAGGCCTGAATGTTGGGACGACTTACCGCATTAGATCCCATGTACTCGATCTCGAGCCTGTTTGTCGAATCATAGTAGTCATTGTTGTCTATAAATTACATCCAAAGTACAAGCAGCCCACCTATGTTACACGAATACAACTGATGATCAACACACCCCAAAGACTTCGCGCCGATAAATAGATGCGGGGAGACCGGTCATAATGCAGTATGTTCATGATGATCGTGATAACGAGACTTGACAGAGTCGACGAGGAGGAAGGAAGGTCGTGAAGCAGGTCGTGACGATGTGCCGTGCGCGTTGCGAATTCAATATTCAGAGGCGGAGGACAGTTAGGATAGCCACCAGCCCATCTTGCTCGATGCCGTGGTTCACGCCTGCACATCGGTGGCACTTCCGTCAGTTTCTAGTGCGATTAGAATTGGGGTATAAAGTAATGGACGAACCGTGCTTGCCCTTCTGCAGCAGCCCCGAACGCCATTCTACTTCCGCCTTCCACCACTTGCCCTTCCAGTAGCTGCCCTCAGTGGCACGGTCGACAATGAAGTTCCGTCCGCGATTGTACCCGTTCTCCACGATCATGTGGTTCTTGGATGAGTCCATCTCTTCGGAGGCGCTGCAGGGATAGGCTGACGTCAGTTGTGTTCATAGACCACGAGACCCCATCCACAAGGAAGGCGTCTCTCCACTGGCGTCCGCCTCATGCCCAGACCAATCGTGCGGGATCCCTGGCTAGAGGCCTGGAAACAGTGTTGACGTGCGAAGCCCGAAGCCTAAACGTCTAACATCACCGCGATGCACGGAGTTGCATCTCCGGAGATCCGTCGACCGAGAGACAGGCTCCTGGGATATCGGCGGCCGCCACGGCCCATCGAAAGGACCGCAGAACTCACCCAAGAAACCACGCCCCACTATCAGCCTCCGTCCCATTCTGCCGCCAGGCCCGAAAGTGGTGTCCGCCCCGGACGCTCTCCCAGCAGGTGCCCATGATGGGGAAGTAGTGCTGCCGTCCCAAGAACTGCTCCGCCTTGCGCCCAAAACCGTCTCCGAGGTCCGCTTCGTGGATGTGACCGTAGTGCAGGCCGAGGCACTCTCTGTTGAACCCAATAGATCTGAGAGAGATGATCAGTCAATGCATGGGCATCAGATGGTGTGCGACCGGGGACCCACTTGATGTACGTCTGCATGCCGCTCTCGCTGAGGATGAAAGGGTCGCTCTCGGACGAGATGATGATATTCAGTGGCTCGCCCAGCTTCTCCGTCGTGTACTGTGCTCCCCCAAACGTACACATGAGTTCGGTGGAAGAAAGGGTACGATGTAAATAGGGACGTACGTCGATGAGCCTGCCCCTTTCAACCGGGGGTCTATCCAGCCCACCGTGCCGGTGAGAGGAGGGAGCTCCCCGTGCTCGTACCGACGGCCATCCTTCCCCTTCTTGAAGTCGCCGATCACAATCTGGTCTGAACCCGCGGGGAGCGCGAGCGCGCTAGAGCTAGAGAAGAGGGCCACGAGGGCGAGGGCCCAGAGCACGAGCATGGTGGGAGAACGGAGGTGCGACGGGGCTTCGGCCTAGGGGTTGACCGCGGAGGAGAATCGGCCTACGGCCCGCAGCGCAGGGGTCTCGAGAGGGTGGGTGGGTACGCCTTGGGTGAGGGGCAGCTCAGACGGGGGTGGAGGGGCGACGAGAGGGTGGTAGTGACAGTGGTGAGATAAGTCAGCTTAGCCCGATCTCTGGCCTGCGGTGAGGCGGTGGTCGCAACACCGGCGACGGGCGTGGCCCCACCGCTCCGTCAGCGAAGCCGCGCGCCCCGTGTGCGCCATTTCTGGTTGTCTTGCTCGCTTCCTGCTACCGCGAGGCTATTTCGGGCCGTCTCGCGCCGCCAGCTGCGGGACGCTTGTGTGTCGGGCGTGCTTGAGGCGGACAGGCTTTCCCTTTGAACGATCTGGTGAGTTCTTGTTATGAGGACGCGGCCGTAGTATACGGCTCGGCGCCTCATCAGTGTTACGGAAATTTCCCTTTTCCGGTAATCACGCCAGTCACGGTGTTAGTAAGCGGGGCGCGCGGTCCCGACGCCCAGCTACGAGGCTACCGCGCGTCGCTCAAGAGCTCACTTGAGCGCCTCATGTACCGACCGGGCCGCTGCTGGCTACAGTGCGCTCCTGCACGTTGCTCTTCGTGCCTGGAGCGTACCCAGGCCCTGACTACGTAGTTACTCCTTCCAGTATCGTACGAAGATGCCTCGCGCCTCACGCGCGTTTGTTCTTTGTATTTCCGTTGACTCTGTGCGACATGTGAGCGCAAGCAGGCAAGCTAGCGTTGCAGCGTGTATGCGCGCGAGCGACTCATGTTGACTCATGTACATGGTAGACAGCGAATATAAAAGAGCGCACTTCTGGAGGAGCAATCTCCAGAAGCTGCTTGGGCTTTCGTACCTCCAATCTCCCTCGCGAGTCTCGGCCGGTGCGCTATCTAATCTCGTAGATAGCCGCGCGCGCTAAGGCGTCTCATAAGCAGCTTCTACCCAACCCCCGCCTACTCAAATCCTCCTCGCCGCGGAATCCAGCGCGCGATCACACGAGTACGGCCATCCAAACCTCCCCACACTTTGTACGCTAACGCGACCTGTCTCCAGTGTCCGCGTACAGTGAATCCTCCATCCTCCCGCTTACCTCGCTCTCCGAGGACATCTTCGCCGACTCCTCCGCCGCGTCTCCGCCGCGTGAGATCCGCCGCCCTCACCTCCTCAAACACTTTCCGCCTCCCAACGCACGCGAACCTAGCGTGCGCGAGTTCAACCAACTCCATCTCCATCTCCTTCCTACCCTTGAGCGCCAGTTGCGTTTCCACGCCCTATAGGTTCAGACAGTCGTGTAGACAGAACCTCGCCTCCCAAATCAATTCCCACGCGAAAAGCGCTCAACCGCCTGCCCCCCGACTTGCCCGAACCGCTCAAACTCCAGCAAACAACGCTCCCTCAATCTGTCGCGACAACTCCGGTGTGCAGGGCGCTTCCACGCGCACAACGTTGAAGAAAGCTACGACGCGCACAGACCCGAAAGCAGCCGCCAGCTTCAGCGCTGTGAACGCAATCCTTGCCCGCACAGATACGACGACACAACCAGCGGCGTCCAGCGCTTCATCTTCGCGTCCGCACGCTGGGAAGAAATCACCCAACCTCAAGAAGAAGAAGAGACGTTCGTCGACCCTGACGAAAACACCGCCGATCCACCTGCAACACCCCCTCCCGAAGAGGCCGACGCTAGCGACGCCGCATCCGAACCTGATCAAGGCGCAGACGGAACTCCGCCACCAGTTGTACCACCAACAACGCCAGAAATGGCAACGATCGACCCGGGACAGTTCGCCTCTGTGCTCCAGCTTCTCACACTCCTCACAAACCATGCCGCCACACCTGCACAAGTTACTGTTTCCCCTGTCACCGTGAACGCCGCGGTCTCGGCCCCAAAAGTCAAGCGCAAAGACCCAGAAGCGTTCGCAGGAGATAGAACCAAGTACATCAATTGGCGAGATGAGATGAGGATCATTGTGGAAGGACTTACCCTCGAAGACACTGTTGGGTGCGTGCTCTCTTACATGCGCGGGACGCGCGCGGTGGAACAATGGAGAGCTGCGTTCCGAACAGCCAATTACGCCAATGGCCGGTGGACCTTCGCAGACATCGAAGCTTTCTGGACCGCGGTGGACGATGTGTTCTTGGACCGAAACGCGAAACGACGCGCCTACCATGAGCTCACCCTAGTACGTCAAGGCAGCATGACCGCGCAAGACTTCTTCACTGAATTTGAGCGGTTGGTATACGCGTCAGGCCTCACGCTCACGGACACAAGTATAATCGAGATGGTACTACACAAAGTGCGCGGCGACCTACTCAAGGACATCTTCCGCTCCCACCAAAAGCCGACAACGTATCAGGAATGGAAGACGCGCATCACTGATCTTGATGATGCGGATCGCGACTTCAACCTCATGCGTCGTGATACTCATGCAACGGGCAGCACCACACGCGCGAACACGAAGACTAGCACAGCCGAGGTACCGCCCCGGCCCGCGCCCTCGCGGCCACTGTATGACGCGCGATCGGACCGTCGCGATCACACCGGCACCACCTACGGAGGACACGGTCAACCTATGGATATCGACAGGTTGAACGCGCAGAAGTGCCGCAAGCCTGAGTGCGGCGCGCGGAAAGACCAGGCCGGCACGTGCGGATCACCCTGGCATATCCCGAACCGCCCGACACAGACGCTGCGTTCGTGGGAAACCGCCGAGCGCTCAGAGTTTGTCGACGCCATACGCGCTTGGGTCGCCGAGGAGCCCGAAGACTTCCTATCGCAGGGTTTTTCGTTCGGAACGGAGTTGCTGCACGACCCCGTTCCCCCCTCGTAATCAATTCTGTTCTCCCTCAATGTAACATAGCCACCAAGAACCGTTTCGCTTGTCTCCCGGTATACGAAACCCCAGACCAATCGGACCCTGTAGACTCCTCTGTTCCTTATGTATCTACCGAGAGAGCGTCTTCACCAGTGAAGCGTGGCGGACGGGAATCCGTGCTTAATTCTCTCCCTAATATCAAAAAAATAACGAAAACTCCGAGTGCAGCGGAACCAAACACACCCAACGCCTTTGGCATCAACCGGATCGGACCCAAACTGTTTGGAGTGGTTAGAGCTCTCGGTTCCAAGCGTCAGATGGATATCCCTCTAGAACTTGAGAACCCCGAAACCACCAAACGAACACGGGTACAAGCGCTACTAGATACCGGGTGCACCGGTTCTTGCATACATCGTGACCTCGTACGACGAGCTGGTCTAACCATGCGGGCATACGACAAACCCATACCAGTACACAATGCGGACGGTACGCCAAACATAGGAGGAAGTATCACCCACTACGTGGAAGTATTCATCACGGTCGGAAACCACCGCGAGATGATGCATCTACTAGTAACCGACCTAGGCAAAGCCGACCTATTCCTCGGGCACGAGTGGATCCAGCACCACAACCCAGTCATAGACTGGCAAAAGAAACTTGTGGAATTCAATCGCTGTCCCCACACGTGTGAACACGTACTAGATGAGGGCGAGCGCGTCTTCATGCTAGACGTACCAGCGTATATGCACGCACGAAGAGCATCAGTGGCTATGGATATCGCTATAGAACAGAGCAAGAATCGCGCACCCATAACCTTTGAAGACGTGGTACCTACACACTACCATGACTTCCGAGACGTGTTTGAAGACAGTACGTTCAACACCTTGCCCGAACGACGTCCGTATGATCACGCCATAGAACTCCTACCCGACGCCAAGCCCTACTGCGGGAAAGTCTATCCCATGCCCCGGGAGCACCAGAAAGCGTTAGATGAGTTCTTAGACGAGAACCTACGCACTGGACGTATCCGACCGTCTAAGTCACCATGGGGCGCTCCCTTCTTCTTCGTCAAAAAGAAGGATGGCAAACTGAGACCAGTACAAGATTATCGCAAATTGAACTCAATGACCAAGAAAAACAAATACCCGTTGCCCCTCATGTCGGACATCTTCGATCGCCTAAAAGGAGCTAAGTACTATACAAAGCTTGATGTGCGATGGGGATACAACAATGTCCGCATGAAGGGTGGAGACGAGGAGAAAGCGGCTTTCATCACCAACAGAGGGTTATTCGAACCAACTGTCATGTTCTTTGGGCTGTCGAATTCACCCTCAACCTTCCAAATGATGATGAACGACATTTTCCGCGACCTCATCTTACAGGGAAAGGTCATTGTTTATCTAGACGACATCCTAGTACTCTCGCAGGATCTCCAAGAACACCGACGCGTGGTGCGCGAAGTCCTAAAGATACTGCGAAAGAACAAGCTCACCTGTAAACCGGAGAAGTGCGAATTCGAGGTACAAGAAACCGAATACCTAGGTCACATTATAGCGCCAGGAATCATCAAGATGGATCCTGCAAAGGTTGCCGGTGTGACGGAGTGGCCAACACCCACCTGTAAGAAACATGTTCAAGGCTTCCTAGGTTTTGCCAACTTCTACAGACGCTTCATCAAGGATTTCTCCAAAGCAGCTGGACCACTGAACCGCTTGACAGGTGACGTAGAGTGGCAATGGACGAACGAAGAACAGAGTGCATTCGAAGCTATCAAGAAGCTGATCACAAGCGCACCTGTCCTCGCTATTCCTAACGACTCGGATCCCTTCAAGATTGAGTGCGATGCCTCAAACTACGCACTAGGAGCCGAGTTATCGCAAAAGCAAGATGGACACTGGCGAACGATAGCATTCTTATCGAGATCCCTCACCAGTGCGGAGAGGAACTACCAGATCTACGATCGAGAAATGCTCGCAGTCATTCACGCACTTGACGAATGGCGACACTTCCTGCTCGGAGCGGCACATCCTGTGGAGGTATGGACAGACCACAAGAACTTGGAATACTTCCGGAACCCTCAGCGCTTAACCCCCCGACAAGTCCGATGGTTACTCACAATCGAAGAATACGATCTGGAACTTAGCCACCACCCAGGAAAGACTATGGGCAAGCCAGACGCACTGTCGCGACGACCTGATCACACAGCCGACAAAGAAGAAATCGAGAACGAAATACTGTTGAAACCACACCTATTCCGCAAGTCTACAATAGATGGAACTACGAATATCATCACATCCGTTACAGAATCAATGTCTAAAATGGATAATGATATACGTAGTCGAGTGGGAGTAAACGAGGACTACGTTCAGACCGAGGACGGCCTGATCTATAGGAGGGGGAAGCTTGTCATTCCTGATGACAAAGCGCTCTGCGGACGCATCATCGGCGCGCATCACGACTCTGTTAGCGCTGGCCACCCGGGCCGGAGCAAGACTCAAGATCTCGTTCAACGCTCATACTGGTGGCCGACGCTACGCAAGGACGTCGCGAAATACATCAAAGGCTGCACAACATGTCAACGAATGAAGATTCGCACACAAGCGAAGTCAGCTCCACTGCACCCACACGAAATCCCAAGTCGAAACTGGGAATACATCTCAGTAGATCTGATCACACATCTCCCCAGATGTCTCGGCTTTGACTCCATATTCGTGTGCGTAGACATGAAATCCAAGGACACTATCGCAGTCCCATGTCTCGAAGCACTAGACTCAGAAGGGTACGCAAACATCCTACTCAAGCATGTCTGGTCCCACCATGGGCTTCCACGCAAGATCACGTCAGACCGAGGTCCGCAGTTTGTATCCAACTTCACGAAGAGCTTGTACCAGAAGCTTGGGATACAAGGAAATCCAAGCACAGCGTATCACCCTCAGACGGATGGACAGACTGAACGCATGAACCGGGAGATCAAGAATTACCTACGCATCTTCATCAATCACCGACAAGATGACTGGGTCGACTGGCTACCCCTCGCGCTCTTTGCGTATCGCAACCGGCAACATTCTGCTACCAAATTCTCCCCCTTCTACATGACGCATGGTTTCCATCCGTACACAGGGGTAGAGACACACAAGCCGGCAAAGAGCGAGTCAGCCGAACAGTTCAAAACACGCATGGATGATATTTCCGAAGCCGCTACAGAAAGCCTGAAAGCAGCACAGAAAATCATGAAGGAAAAATACGACCGACACCGCAATCCCGCACGAGACTACCAAGAAGGAGATCTCGTGTGGCTAGAAGCGCTCAACATCACCACTGTGCGTCCAAACAAAAAGTTGGAGCACAAGCGCTATGGTCCCTTCAAAATCCTCGCGAAAGTCGGTGCAAGTGCGTACAAGCTGAAGCTCCCCAAAGCGCTCAGTGGTATTCACCCCGTGTTCAATGAAGACCTGCTCACCCCTGCGTTTGCCCCCGAGTTCGACAACCAAGAGCGCTTAGAGACCATGGCGCCTGAAGGCGTTGACAAGCCCGAGGAACCCGAAGCCGTGGTAAACTCCAAGTTCGAATCCGGCACTGTGCAATACCTTGTCAAATGGAAAGACAAACCCATCTCCGAGAACACTTGGATCCCTCGTGGAAAGTTATTCGATAAGTACAAGGATCTAATCGAAGACTACCACAAACACAATCCCACCGCTCCTCGACCCTTCCGTCTCCTAGGACCACGCGCGCGCTTAGTCCAGCTAACGGACCCCCTAGATCACGAGTGGGACCAATGGTCGCGCAAATGGGATCGATGGAAGGGAACGTTGACCGTTCCGCTTCGCGTATGGACTCTGGCCTGAATCGTGAGGACACGATGTTAGAGAAGGGGGTGATGTTACGGAAATTTCCCTTTTCCGGTAATCACGCCAGTCACGGTGTTAGTAAGCGGGGCGCGCGGTCCCGACGCCCAGCTACGAGGCTACCGCGCGTCGCTCAAGAGCTCACTTGAGCGCCTCATGTACCGACCGGGCCGCTGCTGGCTACAGTGCGCTCCTGCACGTTGCTCTTCGTGCCTGGAGCGTACCCAGGCCCTGACTACGTAGTTACTCCTTCCAGTATCGTACGAAGATGCCTCGCGCCTCACGCGCGTTTGTTCTTTGTATTTCCGTTGACTCTGTGCGACATGTGAGCGCAAGCAGGCAAGCTAGCGTTGCAGCGTGTATGCGCGCGAGCGACTCATGTTGACTCATGTACATGGTAGACAGCGAATATAAAAGAGCGCACTTCTGGAGGAGCAATCTCCAGAAGCTGCTTGGGCTTTCGTACCTCCAATCTCCCTCGCGAGTCTCGGCCGGTGCGCTATCTAATCTCGTAGATAGCCGCGCGCGCTAAGGCGTCTCAATCAGGCTTCATCTTCATTGATTCCATTCTACATATCGTGAATTGCAGCTGCATCTCACACAGCCAGCATCCCTGGGCCGCACTATAACCCCCGAAATCCCTCTACCCTTCGCAACCGCACAGAATATCTGGATGTGAGTAAGTACTTGCTCTCTGGACATTGCGATGACGTATGTCTTTCGCTTGCCACCAGATCGTCGATCGCCGTGTGAACTGGCTCGTGATTTCAAGTCCGACATAAGTTGTGCATCCATCGCACGAACCGATTCAGCTTCCACCTCGAAATAATTTCGCCATTCTTACTGGACGTTCTAGGGCCTTGGTCGCGACGGAGATATTGCTGACTCTCGACCATCACGTATGTGACATCTTGATTTTCTTGGCTGGTCTTTGCTTCTGTATTTTTGATCGAGCGGTCTTGTTCAGTCAACAGCAAGCAAGGGGTCCACAAAAATGGATACCATGCGCTGCAAGACATGTAACAATTGGGAAGCTATTGAGTATCGGCCCGACACTCTAAAACCAAGTCTTCGTCGCTTCGCATGCCAGGTGATTGTGAAGAATTGCTTCATGGTCTTTGCCGTGTCTCACTCACCGCATTGACCCAAGGCCCTCTGAACAGCAAGCGCGTTTATGCTTGGCGCGAGCATGTCTTGTAAAGGTGTCCGTCAAATACTACGCACCCAACGTCATTTGGAGGTAGTCACTCTCGCCCCACTACCCCGCCACGAATCGCAGGCGATCTCTTTACCTTTTATTCCCTCTTCCATGATTGTGCGTCTTCCGGTTTCTTTATTTCAAACGACCGGCTGACTTGACGATTTCAGTCGAACAGCGTTACGTATGCCAAACCCGTGGGCAAGAAGCCGCCAGATGATGTTTTCAAGTACCCAGACTCTGACGGCCTTCTGGGAGATGTCTGCGCTTATCCAAGACACATCAAGACTCTCACCTTGGGTCCGATGTCTCTGGAGAGCTTCTCGTCGGTTCAATACATGCTGAAAGGACAACTCCGAGATCAAATGGCCTCGCTCAAAGAACTCAACATCTTCGTTGATTACGACTGCGATATCAGCGTTCCTCGTGCGGACACCTCTCTCGATCTTTCTTTTGACGCGTTCCCTAACCTGCGCATCAGCCGACTTCGAGGCGTTCACACGAACTGGGAAAGCCCCATATTCTCATCGGTCACTACATTCGAGCTGCGAAACTGCCCGGTCTCCCACACAGGCTCCATAGCAACATTCACTCGCGCCATCTTGGGCTGGGCAAGCCTCACCAACCTCTCCCTCCACCACGCCTTCCTACAGGCTGGGGACGCCCCCGCTTTGCCCGACCTCTCCGAGTCCGGGATATACCAGCACACCAACCTGATAAAGCTCATCATCGAAGGTCCCATCTCACTGATCTCCGCCATTCTTTACCGCCTCGACGCGCCCCACGCGGACGTGCACATCATCGGGCACGCCCCCGGACCCCACCCGGGCGATGCACGCCACTCCATCTTCGACGCCATGCTCCCCTTCGTCGACTACCTCCCCAGCCACCTCGCCCACGCCGTGGCCGCGCGCGCCGTCGTCACCCCAAAACCGGCCGAAATCTCAGGCACGACGGCCGACGGCACGACGGTCGCACTCGAGGTCCGCGGCCTCGACCTCTCCACCCCCGCCGCCTGCGCGCACCTCTTCGCACACGCCGTCTCCGCGCTCTCCACGGCCTTCGGCGCGCGCCGCGCGCCGCTCGGCCGTCTCGACCTCCACGGGGACGGCTCCCTCGCCCGCGCCGAGTGGGACCTGTTCCTCCACAGCCCCTCCGGGGCGTCCCTCGAGGCCATCACGTTCCGCGACTCGAGCGCCTGCTGCGAGGGCGCACGCCACCTCTTCGACGCGCTCGGGCGCGCGCACGGCGCGAACGCGGACGAGTCGGTGTGCCCGGCTCTCCGTCGGATCGGCGTGTCGACGGAGGCGCGCGCGTCGCCGAGGCTGGTCGAGCACATGGGCGCGGTGCTGGATGCGTGTCGGGCGCTCGGGCGGGCGTTGGAGAATCTCGACGTGGAGTTTGCGGACGCAGTGGAGGGGGTGGAGGAGTGGGTGGAGAGGCTAAGGGTGGATGTGCCGGGAGGTATTGTCGCGTGACAATGAAGTGGGTGGCTTGACTATAGGGAAAGGACGAAGATTTATTACGTACTATAGCATGCCGAGAGACACATCAAAATCGAGTATAATTCCGCTGCAAAAAAACTAAATTGCGAGCAGCTGGCTAGCTCAAGTCCGGGCGGGGAGGAGGGACGGTTTCCGGCCTTAATCAGAGCCCTTCTCCTTCAATGCGCAACAGGTGTAGCGTCCTGGATTTGTCACATTTTACTAGCTCACGTAACAAGTAGTATGCAGGAGTCGGTTTGGCTAGTAGAACGCACCACTGGCATAACGCAATTCCAAAACGTTCGAAACCGCACCCCGCCGGGCGGCGGAGACATCTTCAGGGTCAGACTAAAGGCGGTGAGCATCGAACTCGGCTTCGCGGCGGGTACTAATCACAGTTCAAATGTTCAGGGTCTGAGGAGCGAGAGCGCAAGTCGAAGTAGCTGAGCCTCACTGTCAGTCACTGAGGCCCGAGACAAGCCCGAGACTCAGATCTTGCTCAGATCAGGCCCCTTGGGGCCAAACACGATCAAATAACGCGTCCCAATTGACGCGTCCGCCAAGAGCCACTGTCGCCTTCGCAACTCTCTACCCATCTCTTTCCCCCGCTCCCACACCCACACTTCACCACCACTGTCCCAAGTCACGATCGACACCGGAACACCATGACAAACGCGGCAGGCAACAAACGCAAGCGCACTCTCACTCTCGCCAACGGAGGTGTGCCCGGCGCGTCCGTTATCAAGACGCCGTTTCTCTTCTTTGGTGTACCGCTGACACCACACTCACACGATAGATGATGTCGACTTGACTGTTAAAATCTCGACATGTGATGAAGATGTCAGTTTCCTTATTGCGCTCAACGGCTGTCCTGACCGTGCCTCTGCAGATCGTCGAAGCCATGCGGCTCCGCATCATTGAGGTAAGTCTTCTCCAGGCTTCTTCTCACCCAAGGATGTTGTGCTGATAAGCGCGGCCCACACAGCTCGAAGACCAGGTCGCTGAGGCGTTGCCGGCTGCTAAGCGGCAGAAGACCAATGCCGGCAAGGCCCAGCCTGTCTCCGAAGCGCCTCCCGCCGCATCTGGCTCCAAGACCGCCGCTGCCCCAGCAATGTCCAAGGCGGACGAGAAAAAGCTCAAGGCACAGATTAAGAAGCTCTTCGACGGGTATGTCGTGTCCTCCGCATTTGCTTCACCCTCCCACCTCGTGTCGTTTGTCTTTGACGCCACTGAACTTGTTCCCACCACACCCTCTCTTCCCGCGTCCTTTCATCCTTTTCGCATACCTAAGCGCTAATAATGTCATCACAGACTCAAAAAGCAGTGCAAATCTGCGGATTGCAAGTTCCAAGGATCGCGAAAGAGCGTCAAGCTAGATGAGGTGCTGGAGAAGGACGAGTTCGACGCGATCTTCAAGACCGGTGATGGCGAGCTTGGCACGCTCATCCAGCCTACCCCGACCAACAAACCAACGTCGACTGTGACCATCATCGAGTACTCTGGAGCAGACGCTCGGGATCTCCTCACGAACGGAGGCGCAAACCTGGGCCAGCTTAAGGGTACGCGCTGGAGCATTGGAGGTACGTGATAATGTCTCGCCTTATGCCCCCTTCCCGTTGGCCTGGACAATGAGCTGACGGCGGCGTGTTCTACCTAGGCGGCCGGAGTTTCCGGAAGTCGGAGAAGCTCGGCGCATGCGATGTAGAGATTGACTTTCTCGAGGTGCAATACTCGCGCAACACGATGAAGTGCACGCTCAAGTTCGAGGTATCCGAAGTGGGCACCTGCGGCGCTGTATATGGTGCGTCGCACAAGTCGCGTGGCTTTGGCGGCTTTGGCATGAACCGCGGCTTCTTCTTTTGAAATTGTTACTGTGCTTCCACGAGCCCATATGACCTCATAGAGTCATAGCGTTCACTCGACTGTTGTCCCTACCCCGTGCTCGGCTGCTCTCTTCATTGTGACCCTGGTACGATGATACCATACGTGTCAAATAGTCCTACTTTACCATCTTGATCTCTTGCTCGCAGTTCGATTCCCTGTTGTACATGTAAGTCATATGGTATAGCTCTACATTCCCCTACGCGTTCGTATACTCCTTCGCATTACAGCCAGCCCCAAATAATCGCAGACTTTCCAATATAGGCCTATCAGGAAGTGTATCGGTCGATTGATTGAGTGGTGTGTATGCATTCTTAAAGGGCCGCCTCTCTGACATCAGGTTATGTAAAGCACCGTTACATTAGGCCGGGAGCGCATTTTCCACAAACACCTGGTCTCGTCCCCAGCCGCTCTGTACCGCATCCCACCACCGCCTACACGAGGTGGGGTGTGGTACAGAGTGGCCGGAGACGAGACCAAAAATACCATTAGTCCGTGAGGAGCATGAACTGCTATGCAGCTTGCACGTACCTGGTACCCGTTCCAAAACAACAACGTTTCAGCTCCAGAATAAAAGATGTCCAAGACGCACCGCTGCTATTTCATGCGCCTGGTGAGGAAAGATTATCCAGATCGACGTGAGGCTCCATGCAGTCTTCCACGACGGGGGTGCAAGGCCTCCGGCCTGCCTCAGTGAGGCTGCCTGGCGTCCATAGCGCTTGTAGCGGTAAGTCGAACCGGCCAAGTAAGAGAAGGGGTAATTTGACATCAAGTCGGAGCATTTACGATAACTACAGATAGTTTATCGAAGAGGGGTGCAACGGTGGTGAGTTGCGAACTGTGTTGAGAGTCGTCGCGGCCCGTGGCAGACCTGAAGACCAAAATCCAATATCGGACCGCCTTCTCCGAGATTTCGACCCCGATTCGACGCGATGAGTCACATTGATTCGCCACATTTGGAAATGAAGTGACACCAGCACATGACGTGTGACTAGGGTGCCATGCCGGCAGCCTGTCCAATTATTACCGAATCCCCACACCTGTCCTCTCTTCCTGGCTTTATACCCCATCTCCCACTTGCCAACTGTTGAACCCAATACTTATTTATAAGTTAATCTCAATTTCTTCCTTCACTGTGCTCAGGGCAAAGGAGGCACGCCTGTGCTACTATTCCAAGCACAACTTACCCGCCTCTCATCACAAGGACTCCAAACTCTTGCTCAGCACGTCCATTTCAAGTTCACTTCGTCATCGTGATCGGTTTGCAAGAGTGTGAGCGAGGTCGCCACCAACGCGTGCTCTTTCGCTCGGCCCCGTGACTCCTATCCGTATTGTTCGACGAGCCGAGCCACTGGTGAATCCCGCAACAATCGCCTTCTTGCTCCTCCACCTGAACCCAGCCAATGCCTCTCGGAACTCCTTACAACGCCTTCATTCCGCCCTACCCCATCCGCGTCGATGACTTCAGCAACCCGACCGCCACCTCCGTCCCAGCCACCCCTGGGCCCTACTCCTCGGCAGATATCCCGACAACAGCAAGCCTCTATCTCTTGAGCCATACCCATACGGACCATCTCAATGGGCTTTCCGCACGCTCCTTTGGGCAGACTGTATGCTGCTCGCACGACGCTAAAGAGATGCTGCTCCGACACGAGGTGTACTACGAGCGCGCTCTCAAAACTGCCGAACTGCGCGCAGAGAACGTCCGGACGTTTGCGCATCTGAAGATCGAGCCACGTAGGTTGGAGGACGGCAGTCTAGACGTTACGGGTTCACGGGATCTCTTGGTGAGTGCAAGCACGTTTTTCTGGGGTGTCGTCACTGAAGACAAGGCTCTGATAGCGCCCGTTGCATGCGCATATACCGACCAAGTTCACCTTGAGTGAGGAGGAGGAAGTCGTTATCACGCTACTCGACGCCAATCACTGTCCAGGCGCTGTCATGTAAGTGCTATCTGACATGCCGTACGTAAACCTGTCTTGACCCCGCGCGTCTCAGGTACCTGGTCGAAGGCTCGAAAGGCGCTGTTCTCCACACCGGAGACCTTCGCGCAGAACCATGGTTTATTGATTCCCTCACACGGAACCCCTATGTCCAGAAGTATCTTCATGCCGAAGGAACTTTGAGCTCATCAACTCCAAAACTGGAAGCGATATACCTCGACACCGCGTGTGTCCTCAACGACTATGAAGTCCCCTCGAAGGTGAGTCATTCAAAGCTCCTGTCTGACCTTCTTCTGATCCAACGTCACACTGTCCATAGGATGTATGCGCCCGACAACTGACAACCCTCATGGGGCTATTCCCGTCATCGACTCGCTTCTTCCTCAATCTGTGGACATGGGGCTATGAGGATATATACAAGGCAGTAGCCAAAAAATTCGGCGCCAAGGCGAGTCCAACCACACTGTGTTGAGCGCAACTTCTCATGCTTTCTTTCAGATTCACGTCGATCGATACAAGTACAGCGTGTACACGCACCTAGAGAGCGATCCTTTTATGAGGTCCATCGTGACGAAGGACGAGGACACCAGGTTCCACGCCTGCGAACGCTTCGAGCGCTGCGAGTACGTTCACGTCAATGGGCGTGAGTCGCATACACCGAGTGGACATCATGTGGTGTACATCAACCCGGTCAATATGGACACCGTGTCTTGGGAGCGATACGTGGTAGACACCACGCAACGGCTGAAGCATCGTGCGCAAGTCAATAGCCTGGTATGAACATGTTGTTCTCATCCGTTCCACAAATCTCACCACATGGCTTGCAGCTCGTTCCCTTGGCGCGACATTCCACCCTGCCAGAGCTTCGAAGATTTGTGTCTCTGTTCAAGCCCAAGCGGGTAGTCCCGAACACGCTCGACCCAGTTCTTAAGGGTCTCGACGCTGTTTGCATCAGTGCTATGTTCGCAGGCTGTATGGCAGAAGAATCAAAGGCGTCTCCCCCTACTTCGTCGCTGGCCGGTGTCGATATGGCGGATGTCAGCTCGGTGTTGCACAGCGAGGCGGAAACCAACGAAGACGTCGCGTTCAAGAACTTGGAAGGCGCCGACGCCCGCGCCATCGCGGAGAAGTGGGCGGACAGCGGTCGAATGAAGAAGAAGCTCGCCACGCTGAAGCCGTATCTCCCCGCCGAGCTCTCTCGCACCGTCGACGACATCCTCGCAGGCAGATGCCGAGCTCCCCCTCGCGCGTCCAAGCCCCCGCCGTCCTCCGCAACCCACACGCGGCAGCCCATCACCTCCACTTCCATATCCCGCCCGCCCACATCTGCTCCAGACCCCGCTCCACGCACCTTCCAAGGCCGCGCGACGTTCGCCGAGACTGAGGCAGCAATGTCGCGGCTCGCGCACGTACGCGTCCCGTTCTACATCCACCACCGGGCGCCAATGCCGAAGGAGCTGCGCTCGCCCTCGCCAGAGACGCAGATGGACGACGGCGACGTGGACGCGCACGATGTGATGGCGAACTTCTTGTGGGCGGACGAGGAGAGCACGCCGTACAAGCGTGCGTGCCGCGAGGTGGACCGTGCAAACGAGCTGTCGTCGCCGCTCTCTGCTATTGCCGTGGAAGGGAGGGGGGCAGACTCCACTGCGGGACCGTCGAACCTCGTTGTGGGGGAAGGACAAGCACCTGCCACTCCGAAGTCAAGGCGTCCGTCGCAACAGGCTTTCAAGAACCTGTCGGCGTGGCTGCGGTCGTCCTCACCTGCCCCGGCAGAGACGAGTGTCGAAGCCGTCGAAGAGCGCGGTACACCTGCCAAGAAGAATGACCACCCCGCAGAACCGCGCACGCCTCTGGGCTCGCCCATCCAGCTCTTCGGCTCGCACAAAGGCAAGGAGAAGGCAACAGAGGTCGCACTCCCCATCACCCCAGACACAATCACCCGCAGACCCACCCGCGCGCCCACGTCGCTGCCCTCGACTCCTCCCACGCTCACTGCGTCTGGACGCCAGAGCGCACACCAGCGCGCGAAGGACCCCGCGCCGCGGCCCATCCTCATGAAAGACGCAAGCCCGCTCGTCGACCTGCGCGCGATGCGCAAGCGGCCGCGCCGGTCCAGCACATCACTCGGCCCGAAGCGCCTCACCGAAACGGCACAAGACGGTCGTCGTGCCCTCGATTCTTTGCGCCGACGGTCCCAAAGGCAAGCGCGCTCCGCCGAGTGTCAAAGCAACGTCGCGCGCGGTCGAGGCGAGCGCGCCGTCAAGCTCGAAGGCGTCTACGAAAGCTGACCGGCGTCAACGGGCAACGCCCATGGACATCGACGACCCGCTCAGTCCGACGACCAAGCACCAGCGCCTCGTCGAGCGACTCCGGCGCGTGAAACCTGCTCTCACCGCCACACGCCTTAACTTACCGGAGGCCGAGCGGTCGGGCGGTGCGATGGGCAAGGACGCACCCTCACGGACGATGGAGGCCATTGGGTCCTTGCGGCCTCTGCCGCGGGGCATTGCGCGTCTGCCCACCCTGGATGAGGTGATGGATCCGGAGGCGGCCGCGCGTATACAGGCGCGCAGAGCTGATTTCAGGCGGCAGCTTGCGGATGGGAAACGGCCTGGACTCGTGGTTCCGCGACTGCAAGCTTGCGAGAGCCAGAGCCAGGAGGCGGAAATGGTTGCAGCGTAAGTAGATGACAGTAGGTGCTGCAGTGGTATAATATAATGATAGCAGTCGTATTACAACGAAGCGTGCAGTTCGACGTATGGGTAGTACCCCGGACGAACCGCGCGGAGACCACTTGGGCGGAGCAGCGCTGTGGCCCAGAGCATCCCGCGGATTACATAGCATGGATGATGGAAGCCAGATAGCCGAGAGCAAACTCGTCATTATTGGCGCTTGTTCTCCACCACCTCTGTATCCCCGGATAGATGGGCCACATGTTCGCGACTTCCATTGTCTTCAACCACTTGCAGGGTTCGCGATTCGCGAGCGCAGACGTCGCTTGCACGTTCGTTTCCGCAGGTTCATAACGGCATGAGCACATGTATGCTGATCAATCCCTCTCTCTGGGGCCACAGACGAAGCCAGCAACTCCGGTGACCGCCCCGGCAAGGTGGAGCCCGCCTACAATGGCATCCAGAACGCCTTCCCTTCGCCGTATCGCGAGCGCCCCTCGCAGTGCATATAGTCCACCGCCGAACGTAAAGTCTGCCCTCTTCGCCTCTCTCCCTCCCCGCCCTGCACGCCCGTCCCGCACGATGGCATCCGAAACTGGCGTCGCCCCCGTTCAGCTTTCGCGCGAAGGGTCCTTCAAGTCGCGCGAATCCTCGGCCAAGGACAGGCTGAAGGGGGACGCCGAGGCGCACGCAGTTCGCGATGTTACTACTCACGATGTTTTCGATGAGGAGGACTCTGGTCTAGACCCGGTCTACCAGGCCAAGGCGCGCATCTTGAACGACGCGTTCCAGGAGATTGGCATGGGCAGGTATCAGGTCCGTCTTTCCATCTTTCGGCTGGTGAAGGACTCACATGGGATGGGGCGCGTCGCAGTGGTTCCTGTTCATCGTGGCTGGGTTCGGATGGTTTGCGTGCGTGCAGTCTTCGCCTAGTCCCTCTTCAATCTCCTGACGAGTCCATTCTAGAGACAACTTGTGGCCCGTAAGTACTTAAGTGGCCGAATCAGATGGTCCTCGTGAGCGTCATTGAGCGAGCTAGCCGTATCACAGATTGTGTCCGGACTTATCTTCACTCCGGTTGTCAATGAGTTCCACTTCCAAGGTCCGTTTCTCAAGCTCGCCCAAAACATTGGTCTTCTCGTCGGAGCGGCATTCTGGGGCGTAGGCTGCGATGTATGGGGAAGAAAGTGCGGTCTATATCTTTCATGTTTCGCGCATATACTCACCATTATGTGCAAAGATGGTGTTTCAACCTCACCCTTTTCATCACCGGTGTCTTCGCAACCGCGGCTGGCGCATCGCCGAACGACGTTGCACTATGCTCCTTATTCGCGTTGCTGAGCATCGGCGTCGGCGGGAACCTCCCCGTCGACTCCGCTGTTTTCCTCGGTGCGTTTGTCTCATTGGGACATCACCTAATACCCTCTCACCCTCCTCCAGAGTTCATTCCGGCTTCGCACCAATGGCTCTTGACCGTACTCTCAATCTGGTGGGCATTCGGCAACTGGCGGGCAGCCTGGTGCGTTCCCTTCTCCCTCGCGAAGTCTTTCAGTCCTCTCTGAACATTCACCATAGATCGCCTGGCCGCTCATTGCCAACTTCTCCTGCGCGTCCGCCGCAAACTGCCCGAAGTCGTCCAACATGGGCTGGCGCTACTTCATGTTCACCATGGGCGGACTCATGCTCCTCCTCTTCTGCCTCCGTTTCTTCGTCTTCCACCTCTACGAGAGTCCCAAGTACCTCATGGGCCGCGGGCGCGACGCTGAAGCGGTTCAGATCGTTCACAAGGTCGCGGCGTACAACGGCGTGCACTCGAGCCTGACCCTCGAGATGCTGCAGGAGGCGAGAGGTTGGCGGGCGGCGAACGCAAGGGACAGCAAGAGGCGCTGATGGACACAAGCGCGAGGGGCGCGGTTGCGCGGAAGTTGCGGGCGTTCAGCGGGGAGCACGTACGGTCACTCTTCGCGACCAAGAAGATGGCGTACTCGACGACGCTGCTCATCATCTTGTGGGGTGAGTGTGCTAGGTCCTCCTCCCGCGCGCGTCGAGACTGAGGCGTGGTTGCAGCGTTCATCGGCCTCGCGTTCCCTCTATACAATGGATTCGTGACGTTCTTGTGAGTCTTTCCGTTGGCATCTTCCACGCGGTAAGGCTGAGACTCCCATGCAGCCTGCAATCGCGCGGCGCCGACTTCGGTGACGGGTCCCTCAACATCACCTACCGGAACGTCAGTATCCCCTGCGCGATCCACAGACCGTTCCGCTCACATCCACGCTCTACAGCAAGTGATCCTCAGCGTCATCGGTGTCCCAGGCGCCCTCCTCGCAGGCTACATGGTCGAGCTTCCCCGTGTCGGCCGCAAAGGCACACTTGCCATTTCCACTCGTAGGTTCAACCCCCTCGCGCACACGCAATTCCGCTGACGCCGCGTTTCCTGCCAGTGCTCACGGGCGTGTTCCTCTTCGCGTCGACGACCGCGCGCACGTCCAACGCGCTCCTCGGCTGGAACTGCGGATACACGTTCACGAGCAACATCATGTACGGCGTCCTCTACGCCGTCTCGCCCGAGCTCTTCCTCACCAAGGACCGCGGCACGGCAACGCGATCGTCGCATCCGCAAATCGTGTTTCGGTATCATGGTGCGCGTTCCTTTCCCCTGCCATGTACTCCTCGACAGCGGGGCTGACGTGACCATCGCGCACAGGCGCCCATCATCGCGCTGTATGCGGACCTCTCGACGCCAGTTCCTATCTACGTCTCGGGTGCACTGTTCGTCGTGTCGGGATTCATCGCGCTCCTCCTGCCGTTCGAACCCCGGGGAAAGGCGTCCATCTAGACGGCCTTGCCCTCCCCCCAAAAGCCGTTATGTCTCCATATCGTCCATGTCATACTTCACCATGTACTCTACACATACCATCCATCCCGTGTGTTCCAGCCAATATATACCTATCGATACATTTCGTACACCCAATGCTCGGTAAAAAGGAAAACAAACGACTGCACGCCTCACGGCGGTGCCGGCCCCTGCCCGAAGTCCTCCGCGCGCAGCCACGCAACCGACTCCGACCCGTGCAGCCGCGGGTGCCGGTCGATCTCGGGAAAGCGCGGGAGGAGCGCGCGCGCGTCGCGACACAGCGCCGCGTGTGCCGCGCGCCGCACGGGCTGGGCCGCGCCGAGGAGTGCGCCGTGCACGTCGCGGAGCGTGCCGACGAACGCGAGCACGGCGGTGAGGTGCCGCTGGTTCTCGGCGGTGAGCTTCGCGGGTGGGGCGTGGTGCGCCGCCTCGTCGGCGAGGGAGGCGGCGAGCGTGGCGAGAATGGCTGTGTGGCACAGCGTGTGCGTTTCGGTGGTCATCAGGGGGACGTGCGTGAGGAGAACGAAAGCGACGGACCTTCGAGGAGGGGGAGGCGCAACTCGGAAAATTCTGTTTTGCTGAGCTGAAAGTCCTGTCCGGGTGGAGGGGGCGGGAGGATGGGCCCGAGTGCGCGGAAGAGCGGGTGACAGAGGTTGTCGATCGAGAAGAGCAGCGCCGCGTACTGATGTTCGAGCGTGACCGTCGTGGTCGCGAGTGCGCGGAAGAGCGTCTCCACGAAGTCGTCGATGTGCGCCTGTCGCCAAGCGGGGCGTTAGTCTAGCCTTACGTGAATAGAAACCAGTAGCTTACGGGGTATGCAGAAGGGTCGAGCTGGAGCAGGCGGTACATGAACCGGAGCCCAACGCGACGCTTCCAGTCGGGCTCGATGATCCTGCTCCACGACTCGCTCCCGTAGCTGAGGTAGTGGCTCCAGTCGCGGGCGCCTTTCTGGACGACGACGGCCGCGCAGCCGACCCAGCAGTCGATCCACTCATCTGCATCGTTGAAGGATGGCTCGCCGCGAGCCTGGTACGTCGCGCTGGTGAAATGCTTGCAGACGAGACGGTAGACTGCTCCGGCGATGCTCGTGTTGATGATCTGCGGAGTGTGATGTGAGCCGAGAGGACGAAGAAGTAGTAAAGGAGATGAGAAGAACGCACATCGGCGACGAGGGCATCCTTCCGCTTATTCTCCTGCTGGATGGGTGAAACCTCTGGGTCGAGGGCAGCGATGAGCTCGGGATCGTCGAAGTCAAGGTCGTCAAAGTAGTCCTGACTCTCTTCGTCCTCTGTAGGCGGTTTACGAGGGGGCCGGCCCGGTGCAGGAATCACTCGCGCTCGAGCATCCAGGAACGCTTGCACAAGGCGACGGATCTCGTTGCCCGTTCCGGGTCGCTGCCACAAGTCGGAACTGGTCGAAAGAATGCGGGTGACCCAGGCTGGCGGAGGCGTCAGTTCTGGTTCGAGGATATACAACACGGACTTACGGCCTTGCAGAAACTCGGGATCAGGATATTTGGCCTCGTCGTCTCCACCTTCCGCATCCATCGTTGGCGTCTCCAAGAAGTGCCGGACGGCACCCAGAATGAGCTGTAAACCAGTTTCGGGTGACGTCTTGACGCGCGGCCCCGTTGTTGGTGGCCCAGGTGCCTTGGAGGTTTGCTCGTACTCGTTGATGTAGACGTTGGTCATGTCTTCGAGCCATCCGAGGATATCCGTAAACGGAAGCCTCATATGTCGAAGAAGGATGGCGAGCTGCTTGGCCCCTCGAATACACGCGCGCCGTGTTTGTTCGTCCGCGTCCCGGAAGTTGGCGTATCGGCGGGCGTTCAAGAGGCGGTGATGAACACTGGAAGGTGAAGGCTCCAAGTAAATCGCAACCGCAACTGCACTGAACCTGTTGTACAACTGGGAGAGCTCATGCGCTGTAGGTTCCTTCTCCTTCGTGAACGGCACTGTGCCCACAGGAAGGATAAGTGAGAGGAGCTTCTTGAGCATCGGGGGTGTGGTCGCGGACTGTGGTGTGGGGAGATCTTTGCGCATGTCGTCTGCCGCACGAACAACCATCTTCAAATACAGGGCGAATGCCGTATCGCTGTCTTTCTTCTGCCGGAGGAGCGAGAGGTCGTTCCGGCGGAGGAAGCTGGGAAAGTCGGCGGATTCGTCCCGGAGGTTTGCGAAGCGTCGGGACTTGAAGATATGGGCGAGCTCATTGAACACCTTGTCCGCGTCTGGACTATTCAGCGACCAGCGCCAGCCGAGATTGAGCCAAAGACACCGAGAAACAAGCAGCCGGACGTATTTCTCGAGCTTCAGGCGAAGACGCTTATCCGCAGCCTTCATTACGGGAGAGTCGGTGGAGAGGGGGGCGAGCTCGATGATACTGTCCACGACGTTCCACGATGGAGGTGCACGAAGGGAAGTGGACGTCGCACCGTGGAGGGTGAACTGGGAGAGAGCGCATATGGCGAAAACACTTCTCCACATGATTTCCTGTGTATTCAATGATGCAGAGTAGACGCCACTTGTTTGCCGCGTCGCGAGGCCTTTAGAGCGCAGTGCTTCTAGGTAGATAGTCCAGAACGACGTATCTTGGGCGAGGTATGACTCTCGAACGATGGCATCGTTGCAGAGATTGAGGACACACACCCACAATTCTAAAGTGAGCTGGTTGTTCGATCGGTGGACGATCCCTTCTTCCGTGAGATTGACTGGCTTGCTGAGCATACCGAAGGTGAAATCCCAAAGTCGGCTGACGAGCGTCCCAATCCTTGTCTTCACCAGTTCCTTGTCGACGATATGGGAATGCTGGCGATTGGCGCGAGCTATACGACAAGTGGTTTCGACGAGAAACCACAGCACTTGTAAGACCAAAGGATTGGGGTTCTCGTCCTCAGGCAACACCTCCGTCGGCGCTTCCAATAGGGCTCCCAGTCGCTCCAGGAATGATACGGCTTCGGAGGCGAGAAACGCATACTCGTGGGCTTCGACCTTGGAGAGGACGAGGGATGTGTACTGTGAAAGGGTGTAGAGGAAAGACTGCCATTGGCGACACCCGTCGTAGTCGGCGGGCTCACGGTCTCCGAGCACAGCTTGGTGAAGGGCGTCATAAACGGTGTCCAGAGATGCTGTGAAGTCGGCCATTGACATATCGGGGGAAAGGTGGCAGTCGAGAAATGTGCACGGATGCGGAGCAACGGCGTCCTTCGGGTCAGAGAGGAAGTGGACGAGATCATACAGCCAGCCGTGTCCGAGGAACGTCGCTCGCGGGAACGCTATGCCAGCCGGTAGTGGCTGGATTCCCATGTCAATGGTGAGGCGGTCGCCGTGTTGCCAATGGCGATCTTCATGGGTGGACCGAGTGTGTTCTTGCGACAATGGGGGATCCGGAATAAGCCAGCCGTCAGCTTGATACTCGTCGTTCCTCCAGAAGTACTCCAATGTCGCTATGTGCCCTGAGGAAGAGCGACGGATATCTCTGTGCTTCCGTTTTCGATGATCAGGTTGGGGCTGGCGAAGGGCAGTTTCTAGCCCAGGCGCGATATCGATTTCTTCGTCGACGGTGATGGGAAGATCGTTCGTTCTCCCAGTGACCAGATGCGAAGTACCAGAAGAGAAGATGTGAACGCCGGCGGGTTTGGCTTTCTTCTTCGCTGCTTGTTGCTTGGCCAAAGCGGGTTCGTCGCCCGTGAACTGCACCTCATTCAGGAGAAGTGGTGACGGAGGTGAGGCTGGGCACAAACGTAAGTCGATAATATAAAGAAGAGCTCTTCATGATATTCTCACCGAAATCCTCGTGCTCCTCATGAACCTCCGGGCTCGCCAGTTTCTGGAAGGGGAGCAGGCTTTGCCGTCCAGGACCATATCGCTTAGAACCAGCGGTGGTGACGTGGAGTCGAGCATTATGGCTACCCTCCTTAGGTCGTAGGCCTGTTTCACTGTGGTTGCGCCGTCCTGTCTGCCTGCGATTTGCGTCTTCTTGATTCCTTCTACCAGTGCCGCCACCTCCCGTACGATACCCGGAAGTCCCCACCTTCCGCCGCCCGCCTTTCCGTCGCTTCTTGCGCTTACCACTTGAGATGTTGGTGCGGGAGAGCATTCGATCAATCAGATCGCCCTCTCTCACTTCGTCGTCGAATGCCCGTCTTCGTCGCCTTTGGGCTTGAATTCGGTCGTTGTCGCTGAAATCGCCCACAGACTCGTCATTATCCGAAGACAGCGAGATGTCATCATCTGGCCGCAACTTCGGTCGAGGTCGATGGCCAATGGGCTCAATCACAGCGCCATCCATGTCCAAAGTTTCGCTTTCATCTGACGATAGTAATTCTGGGAACAAAGGCGCTGGCGCGGAGGAAGGGAGATGTGCGGCGGGAGGGTCAGCGTCGGAGCTTTCTGGTTCTGAACCATCCTTGATCTGCAGAGCTTGAGTTGAATGTGTGGGTCTGATGCGCTTCCGCGATTGGCCTGGACGGAGTTCCGGTTCTTCGGCTGGTGGGGGAGGCGGCGTGCGACTTCGAGGTGCAGGCTTATCGAAGAATTGGCGTTCAAATTGTTTCCTGATCCAGACACCTGGCATTACGTGGGCGAGAGCTTTTCTGTCCTTCCGGTCTTTCCGGCGCAGAGCCTCATTTCTGCTGTCTGAGCTATCCGAGTCTTCCGAAGAGGTCGTTGGAGCATCATCGAGACCGTTCATCATGTCGGAGGTGGGCGGAGGCTGGGCTTGTGAACTGGCACTCGAGACGGCCCGTTCGGGTTCGGGTTCGGGTTCGGGTTCGGGTTCTGGGCTCATAGATAAGTTCATCACGAGGGGTTCAGGAAGGGAGCCAAGACCGAAATCGCCGTCGTCATGATCTCCGTTTACATGACCTGTAGGACGAGTTTCCTGCATCTTGGAGGAGAAGGTGACGCTGCGCCGGAAGCGAAGTATGGGGGGTGGAGAGTCGCCTTCTCCGTCTTCACTGCGTTTCCTTGGTCGTGGTCTTGGTTTGGGAGGAGGACCACGAGAGTTTAACGGTGAAAATGGAGGCTGTGACAGTGGCTGAGTCGGAGGTAAATGCTGATGATAAGAATGCGTACGGATGTGTGATTGGCAGGAGGCGAGGAGCGGAGATCTTGATCCTTGAGAGGGAAGGCCCTTGGCCGTCTGCGGTGCTGCTTCCCTTTCTTCTTCTGCGTCTTTGCAAGCAACAGAAGATCGTCGTCGTCGCTACTGCTGCTGGAAAGGCCCTTGAATACGCGCTCAAGCCATGGATCCGTTGTTTTGCCATCATCACCAAATGGATCCTCCGATGCAGACTGCATCGTGCTCTCTTCTTGCGGTTGAGAATCTTCGGCTGGCGCGACGTATTCGTCTTCTGCACCTGAAGAGTCTTCACGGGGTTCAACCGTGACAGAACGTCGGCGAGCGACGTCTTTAACTACTGCATCAGGATTGGAGCGCATCTGACGCTTGTACAGAGCTCTGTCGTACTCGTACGGCTTCAGCTGATTGGGTTTCCGTGCTCGTAGGGAATAGCGCCCTAAGTCGTGATCACCCACGTCGATCTCGTTGTGGTAATCAGGCTGGGCAGTAGAGGGACCCGGGGTGAGGGAAGGGTCGTACGGCGGGTGCGTTGGCTCCTCGGCACTGAGAGAGGACTTGGGAGATTGAGGGGAGGACAGGGGAGTGATTGGAGAGAATGTGTTGGGTGTTTTGACGACCAACGGCTGCGACGAATCGCACGAACGGGAGGGGGTGGACAGGAGAAGTGGGTCGGGGGATGACGAAGGGGAACGCGAGCTCGCCTGGTGATTGTTGACTCCATGATCCAGACTCGGGGAGTTGTGATACCCGCTGCCTGATACCATAATATCTGACCCTTCCGTAAACGAGTGTGCGAATTCTGCGCCATGTTCAGCCGTCTGAGACCGTCCAGGAGAGGGTATGATGAAGGACGAGGTTGGAGAGCGAGGCGACGATGGGTGCTGGGAAACTAGGATCCTGGAATCAGAGAACTGTGAAATATAACCGATTGTACTTCTTACGATAATGCAAAGGAGAAGCAAGCATGCTAGAACCGTGGTCAGGACTAGAGTCGAGCTACATCATAGTCAGTACAGGTGGACGACGCGACGGCATCTACTCGCCTTCCTCTTCTTTCTCGGCGGCCCATGCGGACTTCTCGCGCTTGTTCGAGCTTGGAATCTTACACTTCGTACAACACGGTCACAGGCGATGGCAGCCCAGTAATCTTGCCTGTTCACGGCCTCTTCGTCTTGCTCGTCTTGATCGGAAGTGGGTATTGTGTCCTCTTCATGGGGCATATCTAGAGTATTCCGTGGTGAAGCAGGGTATAAAACAAAATAGCGTGAGTTCGGGATGTTTGGGCATGCGGTGTCGCGGTGTGGATCGCGTCCGTGTCGCTGATACTGAGCCTTAGCAGCAAGAGTCCCGTTGAGTTCCCACGGGGCCGAGGATGGTGACGTGATATCACGTGCATTGTCACATCGCGTTTTTGGAGAACGTTACCTCTGATAGACGCTCATGCGACTCCTACCTTATTTGGCCCACTGCGGAACGTGGATGTCTATGCAACATTATTTGCCAGAAATGAGATACAGAGGACGTCGCCCAGCCGGCATTGAAATGCTCGTCATAAGCCGTAAGCACGTACAGTTAGCTCGTCGAGTGAAGATCTTCCTCGGTCCCGGTCCCGACCCTGGCAGCAAAGAAAACATGAGCAGCGCGCCCTACGTAGTCGACGCCGCTTCTGGATGTAGACGCGCTGACTCCGCTCGCAACGTTCTCCGTCGTTCACCTGAGCACAAGGCTCACGGAACTTGTGGGATACGGGACGCTGAGCCCTGACACGATTGTGCCCTACCTCAAAGGCGCCCTCCGGTGGCCGGGCCCAGGTGGTGGTGCCAGAGCGTGTTCAACAAACCATGAATGTATTGTCTTCCTGACTCCTATAGTGCTAAGTATTCACAGGATCCAGGGAGACCGACGTCGCAAGTTTGCCCTCGCTGATGGTGGCGAAGCCCATCATCTGACGCACATGTGCCCACGTATCCAGGAGAGACTTGAATTGGAGGTTACACTGGGGAGCTCGAGGATGCCGTCATTCAGCATGAGGTACTGAACCTGTTCGGGGATGGATGGATATGGCGGTGTACTAGGATGACAGAGAATTTGTATTGCATCTTGTTGCAGTGTTATGTTGCAGTTGAGCGCATCATGACCAGAGACACGAGACTAGCTGTGTGTATGATGCAACAACAGCGCTATCAATGTAAAGGGATGCAGCTAGGCCCAGCTGAAACGTGGGAGGTAAGCCAATTCAGGCCCTTGTCGTGTAATAAACGAGCACGAGCACGAGAGTCTGGATGCGATCCGGTCGTGGTTCTTCAAGGCCTCAAGATGCAGACCGCAGTTGAGCATCGATTCGGAAATTTTGGGAAGACACAGAGCGTTGCCACTGCGGGATTGAATATTGAAGATCAGATCCACGTGGAAAACCTATGGCGAACACAGATCTTGAGGGGCAATGAGCGCCTAAACACAGATCTGAGGATTGGTCCGAGTCGGCAACAGCCTCCTCAGCCAACGACGCCCCCGGTGTCTCCAGTGTCTCACCTCACCTCCATCTCTTCTTTGGTCCCCGCTCTCTCCTTACGCCTCGCTTTCCTGCTGTTTTTCCTTCTCGTACTTGCCCGGAGCTTCTTTCCACCCGTCTGCTGACGCCGTCAGTCCCACCACACGGATCACCCGCCATAGCCGCCTTCGGAGCGACTTCCAGGATTCACCCAACGCCGCTGCCATGGCCAGTCCCATCGACCATTCACCGGAGCCTTCTCCAATTCACTCTCGACTCTTTGCGGAACCCGAAGACGACGATGACCTCCACTCTGAGCCGCGTTTCTCAGATGGGGACACCGCGTCCGCCCGTTCTATCACACTCTCTTCACCCCCACGTTCCCCTCGCGAGTCCATCTCGTTAGGCGTCCCGCAGCCGCAAGAACCCGCTCTCACCCCTGTCACAATGGCCCGTCAGAGCCTTTCTCTGGCCAACCTCGCCAAGCGAAATACGCTCGACACGGAGAGCTCCCCGAGCTCCGACATGGACGCCGACGGAGATGACAGAAGCTTCTTTGCGCGCAAGTACGATGAAGGAGAGTCGCCACTCTCTAGTGTTCCCCCGTCGGTGCACGAGGTGGACAAGTCCATGGCTACTCCTTTGCCGCCGTCCCTTCCTCCGTCTGCTACGCTGTCGTCTTCTAGGTCGTCCGCAGCATCAGCCACCGGCACCTTCCCCCACCTCGACCACCTGAAGAGCGACACAGATAGCATCGCATCTTTCGGGTCGGCCTCTACGTCCTACTCTAAGAAGGCTCGTCCAGAGTCACTGGTGGTTCAGTCAACGAAGGGACCGTTGGTGTTGGGTATTGCGCTTGTGGACTTCAATCACTTGGTATGTACATGTCTTCATATGTTAAATGCGGTTCTTAAAGGTGTACGTGGCAGGTCGGGCCAAAGATTGATTTCTCCCGAGGCGACATCTTCGACGATGAGGAGATTGCCAAAATTCTTCCCTTCCTAGCACTTCCTGATGGCGCCCATCTCGTAAGTCCTGTCCATGCCGTGTTGTGCGTCGCCCCACCAACAATGTGTAGACGACGGAAGATTACTCTTACTTCCATCTTGTGCCGTCAGTACCCAACCCCTCAACCATCTTTGGCATCTCGTAAGCACTTCTTCCTCTCAGGTTACGGCTCGTGGTCAACATATGTCGTAGTTGCAACCGTCAGATCAGCGCCGCCGACCTCCTGGTGAAAGGTCCAGACGTAACGCGGTCAACAGTGCAGAAGGCGGTGGTAGTGCTTGCGTCGAAGCCGGTATTCGGGCCCGTTCGGTGAGCGTCCTCATCATTTGATGTCGTCCCAAGCTCACTATGAGGCCTCAGGGACCGGCTAGGGGTGATCACGCGAACACTCTTCTCGCAAAGGGACTTTACAGACGTCAGCATTCTCGACGACTTTTACTCGTCTTTGGAGGTTTCGCTTCGTGGTCAAATGACTGAAAGTGGTCTTTACATGGGTGGGTGTATTGTGCCTACTTGCAGCGTCCTTCACACAAACCATCTTGCAGGCACAAGTTTGAAGGAATTGGTTCATAATTTCCGTCAACGAACTTTGACTTTGGTCAAGGCTCTGATGCTTCAGAGGAAGGTAAGTTTTGGCGCAGTTAAAGAGTGGTCAGCCAGCTCATTGCCACAATAGGTTATGTTCTATGGTCACCCTGTGGAGCGTCTGTGCACATATCAGTATTCCCTTGTCACATTGGTACCTGGTAAGTGTAGTTAACTGGCATGACTTTGATAGCGCTAATGTTACCGCAGGCTTGTTCCATAGCCTCGAGGACTGCGGGTCGCCTCCACTTGCGACCCGTGCAGCGACTCTGCAAAAGCCGAATTCGCTCAAGACGTCAGATCCCAAGAGTATGATGGCATACATGGGACTTCCACTCGATCTTTTCGGGAGGGTACGATATTCATGCAATGAGCTGCTTCGTCCGTAAAACTCACGCATGAACCATAGGATTCCTTTTTCCAGCCGTATCTGCCCTTGCAGCAGCTCGATCTCCTTAAGGATACACCCTCTTGGCTCTGCGGCAGTACGAATTCAATAGTCACCCAACAGAAGGATATCGACCTCCTTGTGAATGTTAGTATTTCGCTCGCACTGATGGTGTCTTGGCTCATCATGTTGGTAGATTGAGACGGGAGCAATCGAATTCCGTACCCCAAGCGTTGAACGAATGGTAGCCCTAACTGCCGCCGACCGGAAGTGGATGGACGACATCGTGACTGATGTCAACAACCAATACACCACGGATTCCGAGATGACAGGCATGCAGTGCGTATGCCTCCTCGTGTGTTACGGCTGCATACTAACACTGGCGCAGTTTCAAAGGGAGCGACGACTACATTCGTCAGAAGTTTGAGGAATACCTGATGGCTGCTCTATCGACGGTCAAATACGCCACGTTCCTCGGCAAAGGTCAGAACAGCGGTGTCATGATCGCGGATGGCGGAGACTCGAACGCCGTGGCCGACTTCAACCCCGTCTGGCTGCAAGAGTTCAGGAAAACGCAAAGCCACGAAGTCTGGGAACGCGTCACCGATTCCATGCTATTCGACATTATCGAGGCAAGACATCCATGCGGCGAGAAGCCCACCGTAGTCTCAGACATCGGTCTTCGTCTCTCCGAGGGTATCCAGGAGCTCAAACTGGACCAGCAACTTGCCCCCACGCGCGAGGCGATTTCCCGTACCCTCGCCGCTGGTTCGACCAACTTCTTTAATGCTGTGGCCGGCGTCCGTGAACGTTGGGGTCAACGCCAGCCATCAACTGACAGTGTCCCGACAACTTCCTCGTACCCAGCGTCTCAATTGATGCCTATGCGTGTCGACACGAACCACTCGCACGCCGCTCACCTGGAGCCGAAGAGCCCCGGTGGGACCTATAGCACACCGAACACGCCAACGACGCACAAGGGACTCCGGCCACTCAGCATTGTCGGTGCGCAGAGCCTCCAGCAACCGGAGCCACCTAAAACCACCCTCGGGGGTTGGGGCGCGAACATCGGTTCGTTCTTCTCTGCGCGGACGTCTAGCCGCATGTCCGTCTCATCCACCACGAGCAACAATGGCGGTTCAAACTCTCGGCCATCAAGTATTGCTAGTCTCTCGCGCTCTGCATCCCCTATGCCTCCGGTTCCCCCAGTCCCACCATTGCCGGCAGGAGTAGAGAAGAGCGTACCGCATATACCGAAGGATGTTCAGCCAGTCCCGAAGGACGTCCCTCCGGTCTCCCCGCTGCCGAAGGACCCGGTCCCGGCCGAAATGCCGATGAACCTGGACGATGCGCATACGGGCAGCGTGTTGGAGCCGGTGAATCATAGGGACGACGACGCCAACTCGACGGCGTCGTCCCTGAGCGGGACAATGGCGATGTGATTCGAGAGTCGCGGTTACATTTGGGCTTCAGTGGTGGCTTATAGAGCACGATGGTTTGACGAGCTTGATGTCTCGGATGACGGTGATGTTGTATTGGGCACACCGGGTTGTGTACGCTCGCTCTCCTTCTCCTTCGCTGTCTTTAGGTAACGTCTGTCATGTCCCTGGCAATAGTCGGTAAATTATTTTGCATGTCACAGTCGTACAATACATCTCACATTGGCCTTCGTCATGTATTACTACGGACTAGAACGCAGACCGCTCATCCTCTCGGCGCTAACTCGCCATTTCCTTCATCCGCCACCCTCGCCTCCCAAAAAGGTTGTTGCACTATCCTGGCACTATCTCGCTTCCTGCCACAAGTTGCCTGTCCTGCCACAGGTGATCCGGAACATGCGTTTCTCGACAACTCTCACATTTGAATGACGATATGCTTAGCCTCGCCCATCCGCGCCGTGCCTCCCCGAGCGTGTATGATCTGCCGGCAAGAAGCTGGAGCTGCTTAAGATGCGCACAACGTGTTCAGCGGCTGGATGAGGATAAAAATCGAGGCGCGTAATATTCAGGGACAGTTCGTCATGCGCACCCACCCTCCCTCGGCCTTGGCTCCCGCACTTCACCGGCGTTGGAAATGTCGCCGGAGAACACACGTTGCTTCACGCATTCGCGATGCGCGGACCCCGTCTTGCGACGGCAACGTGTCTCTCGCAAGGCGTGTCGCTGAGTTGTTTAGCGGAGACCTGCGGAGACCTCCCCGAATGTCTCTTCGCACCCCCACACGTGAACTGCCTTCCCCGCGCAATCTGATCATCGCCGCCCCGCAGTGAACGGTTTCTGCCTAGCTTTCTCGGCCGCTGCACGGCGCCGCACTCGGCGGATAGGGGCACTGAGCGCCATTCAGACGCATATATACCCTTCGTCTCGGCGGCCCAACCCTTCAGTGCTACCTGCCCTTTCACCCCCTCTATATACACAGCAGCCATGGTTCAAGAGTGGGAGCCCGGAACCCAGTACAACATCGGCGACGTCGTCGCCTACGAAGGCAAGTCCTTCCGAGCTCGCATCTGCTCCCATCCTCATCTCCGTGTGCATCCAGGCCATAGGTACAAGATTATCCAGGCTCACAGGTCTCAGGTATGCGTCCTTGAACCTTGGTCGCACATTGCACGAGATATAACGCGTTTCTCCTAGTCGGACTGGACGCCACCCGTTACCCCGGCGCTCTGGGGACGCATTCCGGAGGAGGAACGGCAGCACCACGAACACCGTGAGCACCATGAGCCTCGCCATGACCAGCCACCGCCGCCTCAGCAATGCGGCGGAAACGAGAAGCCTTGGGATCAGCACACTCAGCAGCAGGTTCCCATCCACGAGGATGAGCGCAAGCACGGCTGGGACGGCCTGAGCGACGAGCGCAAGAAGCAGATTGAGGTTCGTCCGACCGCTGGGCTCTGTCCCTCTTCTCCGATCTTCGACGCTGACCTCGTTCACCCAGGTTGGTGGTGGTCTGGCCCTCGGTCTCGCGGCTATCGGCGCTGGGGTCTTCGGATACAAGATGCACGAGAAGAATGAGGAAGAGGTAGGAGCGCTTCGCCTGTCGCGCACCTGTCCTTCCTTTGTCTTGGCTCACGCTGTGATCGGATGCCTCTCAGAAAAAGGCGCACGTCTGGGCTCTCCAGAACTGGATCCACGAAGGAGAGCAGCGCACGCGCGAGTACTACGAAGGCCGCACTCGCGCGCCAGCCACTTGGATTCTCATTGACGGCAAGGACATCCCTACGAACATTGCCATCGCCGGCGGGCAGGAGCACGGCCAGCCGCACTACATCTGCCGCGCCTTCCACGAAGTGAGTTCAATACAAGTGTAGTAGACAATCTATGAGGCCTAACGAATCTTGTGACATCAGGGCAGTCTCCGTACGTCTCATATCGTTCTCATTGCGAACGACATGGACCTCACATATCCGCAGAGATCGGCAAGGCCTCCCCCATCTTTGAGAAGGGTGGTGTTATTGGATACGCGCACAAGGAGTTCCACGTACGTATCCCACCGAGCCATACCCTCGTCGCACCTTGGACAATGTGCTCACATGTTCGCCGACAGATGCCGAAGTTCGAGGTCCTGGTGGGCGACCCCCGGGCGATTAGGTGGATTGACATGGAAGGCCGCTTTGACCCCGAGAAGCTTGGCGGCGCTCGGCCCGTCGAGGGCGGCCGCGAGGCCGACGGCACACCGCTGTACGTCGCTCAGGGCATGTACAACAACGCGATCATCCCCGGCAAGTGCAGCACCCACCTCTCGGCTGCGTTCGTCCCGTATGCGCAGGGCGAGAAGGAAGTGAAGGTTCGTTTGTCATTTATTCAATGCGGTCGGGCTTCGCTGACATAGGGGCCTCCTGAAGCATTACCGTGTCCTCTGTTGGGCCTAGGCGAGCATGCTGTGAGCTTGCTGTGTGCAATCAAGGACAATCGTGGCTGTCTTAACTCTGTACTGTATGACCCATTCAATGCAATCGATGTACATGTACAAAATCAATTTGTGATCACAGTTCATGGGATGACCGCTGATGTCAAGTCTTCTTGAGCAACCCGTTTTGAATGACCTCGAGACCCGCGTACACCAAATCTAGCTTCGGCGTCGACACTCCGTTTGCACGCGCTCTCTTCAGGACCCCTCCGACGATCGCCTGCACTTCCATCGGCCTCCCACAGTCTAGGTCGACGAGCATCGAGGGGCGGAAGATCGATGCGGCGTTTTCGTGCTCGATGATTGCATCCACTACGACATCCGAGAGAACTTCGTTGACGAGAGAGGAGGGTTCTAGCGAAGCGCGCGCGACGGCAAGGACCTCGAACATGATGTCGCGCAGCGCAGCACGGGAGGGTTCGAGCGCGAGCACGGCGCCGACGTGCGCGCGCGTCAGGGTGCAGATGGTCGAGAACGAGGCGTTCCTATGGGATTCTCAATCAGCCCGCCTCCCACTGCACCATGCCAAATAGTGCGCGCTGACCAGAGAACCTTGCGCCAGCGAGCGACATCGGTATCGGGTGCTGCCTCGACCGCAGAGCCTCCCGTCTGGAACAACGTGCATAGTTCATCCAGTGCCTCCCTCGAAGTATCTTCTGAGAACCACACCTGGCCTGTGTTGGAGGTCGGTCGGTGGAAGCCCAGGACCAAACGCTCGTTTCCATGTTGCGTGATCTTCCGCCCGCCATCGACTGTGGTAGTGTCGACCCAGCAGCACCCGGACACGACTGCAGCCGGGGCGGCGACGTCCACAAGGGCGGAGATGAGGTCATCTTCGATGCCTATGCCGTTTTGGAGGAGCACGAAGGTGGTGGGACGATCGAGTGTTTGTGTTTTTGCAGAACGTAGACCGTTGAGAAGGGGGGTAAGGAGTGCGGGCGTACTGGTCACTTCTGGGACACATTTGAACGCGCAGATGACGTAGGCGTAAGGTCTGTCCGCAGCCTCCGCTACGGAGCGGACAACTGATAGATAAACGTAAGATAGTGTAGGACATATGCTTGGTATTATCACCTCGGTAGGGCATCCAGGAGGCAGTTGAACCGAATTTCTCAGACTCAACGTGCAGGCCATGTTCTAAGAAGGGAATTATGATTAGAGAATCTGTACCAGTGAAAGCTCCAGAGCCGCGCTCGACCTTGAAGGACGTCGTAGTTCGAGCTGCGCTGATGATTACCATTTTATCAATTACGCAGAATCATTGTCATTTACCGACAGACCGCCGTCACTCTGACGCTCTCATTCTTGTCAAGACAGTACGCATATAGGGCGCCAATTGCTACAGGGTTTATGAGCGTTCGCGCGGTCATAGTGGCTTTGTTTTTCTACGTACCACCGAATCCCACAGCGCAGATGTCGATCATATTGGATCCGTCGAGTCACGGACGTGAGCAAGTCAAGCACGGCCCGAGAGGACCGGCGAAGCACCTGGACCTCACATCAATCAGGTCCCCTTAGCCTGGGGCACGGGGGGGGATGGCCCGGGCTAAGGAGACCTGAATCCGTGCTCCCGCGCATGTTTGAATAATGTCCTCAATAAACCCGAGGCAGTTTCCGGGTTCCCTGAAGGGAAGTATTCGAACGCCCTCCCTTCCAAGTCCCCCAGCCCATCACGTGTCCCCATCCTTCAGATCTCCCATCAGTCCGCGTTATCTCTCCCGCCCCCGCACGCGTTATCTCCCGCGCCCGCGCCCACGTTATCTCCCGCGTCGGCGCCGCGCGCCTCCCTGCCCCGCCACCCGTGCTCGCTGTGCCCGACAGTGAGCTCGCTGTCCCTGCACCCTGCCTCCCCCTCCGCTCCGTTTCCCTCCGTTCTTTTTGTAATCTACTTGCATTCACAATGCGCACCTAATGGTACACAATTCAATGGCCACACCTTCCTGGGTGTGCCTGCACTGAGCCCTCAAACCTCCCAAAATGCGTGCAATACAGGAACATATACAAGCACTCAAATGATCGGCTAAGTGCTGCATCAGATAGTTGTAGATGAGAGCTACTCTATCATAAAATCGCAGTTGGATAGCTAGAGGGGTGCAGGTATGATGTCATATGTTATTTCAGAATGACATACCCCACAGTGATATGGTATATGCATATATCGTCTTATGTACACCCCGAATCGTACCTAGAGGTCATTCAGAGCGCGTTGCAAAAAGAAGCAAGCGAATAAACGATGTCGTGGTGAGGATATGACATATGCACAGAAGGGGGAGTTGGCTCGAAAATGCGGCCTTCATATGTTTTTGTGTAGACCTCTGATCACTTCGCATCTTGTTGCATTACGTTTATATGTATATGGAGAGCTCAGATCGTCAGTTTTATGCTTATCGGTGAAGGATTGAATACAGGCCATGATATGTCATTATTCTATGACATAGAGTATAGCGAGATAGCATGCGCTCCGATTGTTGTTCTGAAAGGCGGAACAGAACGGGGTGTTCTTCTGCTCAACGATGCAGAAAGAATATTGAAGAATGGTCGAGAAGTGGTTGAGATATGTCAGATGGGTCTAGAACGGCAGGTTGCACAAAGGACGCCCTTGAACCACCTACACTACTTTGCACACTTCAAGCTCATATGGCATATCTCAACCACTTCTCGACCATTCTTCAATATTCTTTCTGCATCGTTGAGCAGAAGAACACCCCGTTCTGTTCCGCCTTTCAGAACAACAATCGGAGCGCATGCTATCTCGCTATACTCTATGTCATAGAATAATGACATATCATGGCCTGTATTCAATCCTTCACCGATAAGCATAAAACTGACGATCTGAGCTCTCCATATACATATAAACGTAATGCAACAAGATGCGAAGTGATCAGAGGTCTACACAAAAACATATGAAGGCCGCATTTTCGAGCCAACTCCCCTTCTGTGCATATGTCATATCCTCACCACGACATCGTTTATTCGCTTGCTTCTTTTTGCAACGCGCTCTGAATGACCTCTAGGTACGATTCGGGGTGTACATAAGACGATATATGCATATACCATATCACTGTGGGGTATGTCATTCTGAAATAACATATGACATCATACCTGCACCCCTCTAGCTATCCAACTGCGATTTTATGATAGAGTAGCTCTCATCTACAACTATCTGATGCAGCACTTAGCCGATCATTTGAGTGCTTGTATATGTTCCTGTATTGCACGCATTTTGGGAGGTTTGAGGGCTCAGTGCAGGCACACCCAGGAAGGTGTGGCCATTGAATTGTGTACCATTAGGTGCGCATTGTGAATGCAAGTAGATTACAAAAAGAACGGAGGGAAACGGAGCGGAGGGGGAGGCAGGGTGCAGGGACAGCGAGCTCACTGTCGGGCACAGCGAGCACGGGTGGCGGGGCAGGGAGGCGCGCGGCGCCGACGCGGGAGATAACGTGGGCGCGGGCGCGGGAGATAACGCGTGCGGGGGCGGGAGAGATAACGCGGACTGATGGGAGATCTGAAGGATGGGGACACGTGATGGGCTGGGGGACTTGGAAGGGAGGGCGTTCGAATACTTCCCTTCAGGGAACCCGGAAACTGCCTCGGGTTTATTGAGGACATTATTCAAACATGCGCGGGAGCACGGATTCAGGTCTCCTTAGCCCGGGCCATCCCCCCCCGTGCCCCAGGCTAAGGGGACCTGATTGATGTGAGGTCCAGGTGCGGCGAAGTTGTTCAGTGCGCTTGACTTCCTTATTGGGATTGGCAAGATTTTTCCGCGCGGGGGATTTTTGGACGCTTGTCCCGCGGGCTCGACCTCCCTTGCCCTCCTCACTGCACTCGCGTCTCTATTGCCGTGGGCCCTCCAGACCCCGGGGTCTTCTCATTCGCGAGACAGCCATGACGGAGCAGCATACCCCCTTCCCCGACCCCCTCCGATTCGACCTCAAAGGCCAAGTGCAGAAGCTGCACGACCTGCTCCCCGCCAGAATTCCCTACGCCAATGCTTCTTTACAAAATGCGCCTTCCCGACGTGCTCTTCTCGACGCTCTCTCTGCTTTGCTTCATGTCCCACATCTCACCATGACAGTATCAACCCTCTTTCGGCCAATCCTCATTGACCTTTGCGCACGGTGGCTGGAGGAAGAACTCGAGTTGCTTGACAAGCTAGAATCACTCTGTTTGATGTTGGAGGTGCACCAAGAGCTGTTTCCGTACGTCATATTTCATTGCAACCCTCGCAGGTACTCATAGCTGCCTATATAGTGTTCTGGCTTCGCTCTTGCGGTTGCCGGTCCTTGAGCGTGGTCCGCTCCATGTGGTTCCTTCAAACCCGCCCCCGTCTAATGACATCCTCCAACGCATTTTACTCGTATATTACCGGATCTTGCAAGCGAATCGAAGTCTTCCCCGATCATTAGGGTGGCCTCTTTCTCCCCTCTCGAAGCTCGTCGGGGCGCAAGATCTCCCAAATGGCGTTCGTTTTCTCGCCATCCGGTGTTATTCTCTACAAGCTGGGATGATGGAGGGAGAACGGGTGAAGCTCGAGAAGGAAGTGCTGGGGGAGGTTTCTCAAGTTGAGTGCAAGATCGCCTTCGGTTACGGCGAGGACGGGAACCCTCGCGAAGTGGATGGCTGGGTCCTACCGGTACTCGAGCTAGAGAGAGTAACCCAGGCGAGGAACGCGTTCGCGCATCCACAAAAGTACTATATCAACGACGACACGGACTCAAGCGAGCCTATTCATCCCGCTGAGCTGAGGTACGCTTATTGCCTTACTGTGAACGACCTTTCGTCTGACGCGATGCAAAGCCCTCTGATTGCAAATATACACGGTGTCTTAATGCTGCGTTCCGATCGCCCAACTCCCCAATCCTCACCACTCGTCGATACACCAACTACGAGCCGAGCACTACAACAGATTGCGTTGCACTTGTCACTAGACGTCCCCATCCTGCTCACCTCTGCTCCGTCTTCCGGCAAGAGTCTCCTCATCTCGCACTTGGCTCAAACACTCCACCCTTCCTCCAGGAATCATGTTGTCACTATCCACCTTGCCGACACATCTCTTGATCCCCGATCGCTTTTGGGCTCCTACGTCTCTTCCCCCTCCCGACCCGGTACATTCGAGTGGAAGGAAGGTGTCCTTGTCCGTGCCATGCGTGAGGGGAAATGGGTCGTACTCGAAGACATCGACCGCGCGACAATGGAGATGTTGGGAGTCCTCAAGCCCCTGGTCGAATCTTTGGGCGCCGACAAATGGATTGGAGGTCGAGCACGTTTGAACGTCCCTAGTCGCGGAATGGTTGAAGCCCAAGCTTCTTTTGCCTTGTTTGCTACGCGCTCCCTGCAGCTGTCTCGCCAGGGCACATTCCCTTCCCCCACTTTCTTCGGCGCCCACAAGTTCTACGAAGCCGTGATGGACTCGCCAGGATCCCGCGATCTCAGGACCATCGTGGACAGTAAGTTTCCTCGTCTCGCCGGTGCTCTCGCGCAAGGTGCCATCAATCTTTGGGAGGGCGTACGGGCTGTCGGGATCTCCGCGTCGATCCGGGACCCTGGCATTCGCGAGCTTGAGAAATTTTGCACGCGCGTTGGTGGACTCCTCCCTTCCAACCTCCAGACCATGGACTGCGACGAAGACCTCTCACAACCTCTCACCCTCGACATGTTCATTACCAACCCAACCATTCGCGAGGATATCTACCTCGAGGCGCGCGACGTTTTCTTCGGGGTGGGTGCGACCACCGCCTCTGGACGCGCTCACCTCGATGCCGTCGCTCGTGTCGCAGCGACCCATCTGGGTATCACGGAGGAACGAATGCACTGGATCCTCAACAACCGCACCTCAGAGTTCGACATCGAGAAGGACGTCAACGGTCGTATCGTCGCCGTTCGTGCAGGCCGCAGTCGTCTCCCAGCCCGCGCAAGCTCGGTGGATATGGCTCCCGCGATCACCCGCCCGTTCGCGATGCATCGTCCAGCGATGTCGCTCATCTCCCGCCTCGCCTCGGCCATCGCACTTGGCGAGCCGCTCCTCCTTACGGGCGAGACCGGCACTGGCAAAACGAGCGTCGTAACACATCTCGCAGCCCTCCTTCGCCGGCCTCTTATCTCCCTCAACCTTTCCAACCAGACCGAGTCGTCAGACATCCTCGGAGGCTTCAAACCCGTCGACGCGCGCATCCCTGGGGGCGAGCTTTACCAACGCTTCGTTGAGCTCTTCGGGGCGTTGTTCAACAGGAAGAAGCAGAATGCCCAGTTCGAAGACGCTGTCAGGAAGGCGGTCCAGGAGAGGAAGTGGAAGCGGGCGGCGGCGATGTGGTTGGAGGCAGTGAGGATGGCGAAGGATAAGCTTACGACGAGACAGGCGGAAGAAGATGAGTGAGTGCCTTTTCATTTGACTGCGCTTAGTGACGGTGTCCTTACTGTTTCTATAGCAAGGAACTGGAAGGAGGGACCTCTCGTAAACGAAGAAAGGCCAATCCAAACTCTGGTGTCTCAGTCGGTGCTTGGGAGGCGTTCGAGCATGACGTACGGACATTCGAGATTCAACACGTGCAAGGGAAGAGCAAGTTCGCGTTCGCGTTCGTGGAAGGACCGCTGGTGAAGGCGCTCAGGAATGGCGACTGGTATGTCGTAAGCATCTTTGAGTTGGGCCCACCCTGACACCATTTCGAAGGATTCTGCTTGACGAGGTCAACTTGGCCACGTCCGAAACATTGGAATCAATCTCCAGCTTGTTGCACGGTCCCACTGCGTCCATCACACTCACTGAGCAAGGATCATTAGAGCCAATTCCTCGCCATCCTGACTTCCGCCTCTTCGCATGCATGAACCCAGCCACTGACGTCGGCAAGAAAGACCTCCCTCCTCATATCCGTTCGCGCTTCACCGAGCTGGACGTCCCGCCACCGGATGCCGACAAGGACACGCTGCTCACCATCGTGGCTCAGTACATCGGCGGTTCTGCAGTAGGCGACAAAGGAGCAATCATGGACGTCGCGGAGTTCTACACCGCGGTGAAGGGGTTGGCAGAAGAACGACAAATCGCGGATGGCGCCAACCACAGGCCACACTTCAGCATGCGAACCCTTGCCCGTGCGCTGACCTTCGCATCAGACATGGCCCCTTCGTACTCGTTGAGGAGGGCGCTGTGGGAAGGCTGTCTCATGGCTTTCACCATGGCCTTGGACAGTCCCAGTGCGGCCGCGGTGACTGCGTTGGCACAGAAGCATCTTCTTGCAGGAGTCAGGAATCAACGCTCGTTGCTCATGAAGGAACCCTTACCCCCTGGAGACCCCTCTGCGTTTGTGAAGCTCGGTCCGTTCTACCTCGAACGAGGCCCTTATCCTGAAGATATTGCAGAAGATTACATCATGACGCCTTCCGTCGAGACCAAGCTCATCGACCTCGCGCGTATCATTGCCGCCAAGCGCTTTCCTGTACTCATCGAAGGCCCCACGTCTAGTGGCAAGACTAGCTCCATCGAATACCTCGCCAAGCGCACGGGGCATCGTTTCGTTCGGATCAACAACCACGAACACACGGACATCCAAGAGTACATTGGCACCTATGTCTCGGACCCGATCACCGGAAAGCTCGTCTTCAAGGAAGGCCTACTCGTCAGGGCCCTCCGTCAGGGCGATTGGATCGTCCTCGACGAGCTGAACTTGGCCCCGACCGACGTCCTTGAAGCTCTTAACCGCCTTCTCGACGACAACCGAGAGCTTGTCATCCCCGAAACTCAAGAGGTCGTCCGGCCCCATCCTCACTTCATGCTCTTCGCTACCCAGAATCCTCCCGGGCTCTACGCGGGACGCAAGATTCTCTCGAGGGCGTTTCGCAACCGGTTCCTCGAGGTCCATTTTGAAGACGTCCCACAAGCCGAATTGGAGACGATCCTGTGCCAGCGGTGTCGCATCGCCCCATCCTACGGTCAACGCATCGTCAGTGTCTTTAGGGAGCTTCAGAAGCGCAGGCAGACCAGCCGAGTCTTCGAGAGCAAGCAAGGGTTCGCCACCCTCCGTGATCTGTTCCGCTGGGCTGGCAGAGACGCAGTTGGATACGAGGAGCTCGCGACGAACGGGTACATGCTCCTTGCCGAGCGCGCGCGCAGAGACGACGACAAGGCCGTGGTGAAGGAGGTCATCGAAAAAGTGATGAAGGTCCGTATCGACGAGTCGTCTCTGTACGATCTCCAGCGCCCCAAGTTCGATCCCTCGGACTACCTTGGATGCCCTATGCCCTCCTCGACCCAAATCGTATGGACCGCCGCTATGCAGCGCCTCTTCGTCCTCACGGCACGTGCCCTGCGGTTCAATGAGCCCGTCCTGCTTGTCGGCGAGACTGGGTGCGGGAAGACGTCAGTCTGCCAGCTGTACGCGGAGGTCCTTTGTCGCACCCTGCAAAGCGTCAATTGCCATCAAAACACGGAAACTGCGGACCTCATCGGCGGACTCCGACCAATTCGCAACAAGGCAGCGACAGAAGTCGAAACTGTTCGCGAGACCGTCGCGGTACTGTCGGAACTTGGGATCTCGCTTACCGCTCGGGATCCCGAGTCTCTTGTCAAGGTCATCGACAAGCTTCTCAAATCACCAACCTCGTCTCCAGAGCACATCACCACGTTGCATGAACATCGAGCTCGATTGCAACGCCTTTCCGCTCTGTTCGAATGGCGCGATGGCGCGCTTGTCGAAGCCATGCGCAACGGTGATGTCTTCCTCCTCGACGAGATCTCCTTGGCCGACGACTCGGTTCTCGAACGTCTCAACAGCGTTCTGGAGACAGGTCGCACCATCGTCCTCGCGGAGTGTGGTTCCGACAGCGCGGAGATCCCAGCAATCAAAGCCGATGACGACTTCAAGCTTGTTGCGACTATGAATCCTGGTGGGGACTATGGCAAGAAAGAGTTGTCTCCTGCCCTTCGCAATCGCTTCACCGAGATTTGGGTGCCCGCCATCACCGATCGACGGGATCTAGAGTGTATCGTGCAAACGTTGTGGCAGCACGACTCCTTGAAGGTCTTCACCCAGCCCCTGTTAGATTTTGTTGAATGGCTTTGCTCTACTGTCGGTGATCACACATTCGCAAATTTACGAGATATCTTGGTGAGTAGTGCTCCTCGCGTCTCTGGCGTTGTCCTCACCCAGCAAACAGGCTTGGGTGTCATTCTCAAACGCGACCCTGTGTGAGACTACGGCGTCGTCCATGACGGCGAGCGAGATCTTCGTGAGTATTGCGTACTGTCACCCCTCAATTCAAACTCACAGCCGTGCAGCATCATGCAGCCGAGATGACTTTCTTGGACGGGCTTGGAACGATGCCCCAACTTGCAGCGTACTCAAAGGAGGCCCTCGGCCGTCTCAGGTCTGGTGCTGTTCTCAAGCTGAACGAACTCGCGCCAACCTCGATCGATCCCGAGAAGCAAGCGCCATCGGGCGATGACAAGAATATTCATTTTGGTCCCTTCGCCATTCCTCGCGGGCCTCTTGCCGCCGTGGTTCCCAACTTCAGCCTGGAAGCGCCCACCACCCGCGACAATGTCATGCGCGTGGTCAGAGCATGTCAGCTCCCGAAGCCCATCATGCTTGAAGGTAGTCCGGGAGTTGGCAAGACGAGTCTCGTCGCTGCGCTCGCCAACATCTGCGGGCATAGTCTCTGCAGAATCAACCTTTCCGACCAGACAGATCTTGTCGACCTTTTTGGCTGTGACCTTCCGGTAGAGGGTGGCGAGCCTGGCCAGTTTGCATGGAAAGACGCCGAGTTCTTGCGCGCCTTGCAGGAAGGGCACTGGATCCTCCTCGATGAGATGAACCTCGCGCCCCAATCTGTCCTCGAGGGACTCAACGCGGTCCTCGATCACCGAGGCACGGTCTACATCCCGGAGCTAGGAAGATCATTCGTCCGCCATCCATCGTTCCGCATCTTTGCCGCGCAGAATCCTCTTCATCAAGGAGGCGGAAGGAAGGGTCTACCGAAGTCGTTCCTCAACCGCTTCACGAAGGTCTACGTACAGGAGATGTCGCCCAACGATCTTCTCCTCATCTGCCGCAACCTCTTCCCTCGATACCCGGAAGACCTTTTGCAGAAAATGATCTCCTACATGTCGGTTCTCAACGAGGAGACGATGGTCATGCGATCGTTCGCCCGAGAAGGCGCGCCCTGGGAGTTCAACCTTCGCGATGTCATCAGATGGGCCTCCCTCCTCCAACATCCTCAATCCCCCGTTCATCCAGCGCAGTTCCTCTTCCCCATCATACTCCAGCGTTTCCGGACACCGGAAGATCGCCGTCGCGCGTACGCTCACTTCTCGGCAATCTTCTCTACCACGGACCCTATCACCACCTCCTCGCTTTCAATCTCCCCGTCAAGTCTTCAAATCGGCCACCATCAATCAGCTCGCGCGACTCGCTCCTCGACTTCGCGTACAGGGTGCATCCTACAGGCGTCCTTGTCTCCACTGGAATCTCTCGGCATGTGCATCAAGCACGGATGGCTTGCTATCCTGACCGGCCCGCGGGATAGTGGTAAGACGAGTATAGCAAGGACTATTGCTGACATGTCAGGACATATCCTTCACGAAGTTTCCATCAACAACGCCACAGACGCCTCCGACATTCTTGGAAGTTTCGAGGAGATAGACCTCAGCTACTCTGTCAATCTCATCGCTCAAGAACTCCTCGACATCCTCGACGACGTATCCCGTTCTGTCTCGGGTCCTCGGTACAACGCGGTATCCGACTACCTAACCACTCTTCAGCATCTCCCCAGCCCTGTTTCAGCCTCAGATCTTCCCGCAATCGTGCGGAGCTTTTCACAAGTCCTCGATAGCCTGGAGGACCTTCCGAGTCAATATCGCTCTAAATGCGCGCGGGCGCGAATCGAGGTGGGGCAGCTGTCATCAAGATGTCCACAAGCGGCCCAACTTCAATGGGTCGATGGTGCTCTTGTTCGTGCTCTGAAGGAGGGACACTGGATTCTTCTCGACGGAGCTAATCTATGCAACCCTTCCGTTCTTGATCGACTCAACTCCTTGTGCGAGATCGGGGGCTCACTGACGCTGAACGAGCGAGGCGCGGTTAACGGCGAAGTTCAAGTGCTGAGACCCCATCCCAACTTCCGACTCTTCATGTGTGTCGATAGCCAGTACGGAGAACTTTCCAGGGCCATGCGCAACCGTGGCATCGAAATCGCACTATCATCTACCTGGAACGACGAGGACATCAAGCGCATACTCACTCACATCCGGTGCTTCCCTAACACCGTTGATAATGAATTTAGTCTCAAGAGGTCCATCATTCTTCAAGCCCAGATCAGACGTGGATTGCAAGATCTCGAGACTCCCGCATTGTTGGACATATCTTCTTGCCGACTCGCTCTCGAGGACTCCGTCAACGCTGCAATCGCCGATCTCGTTCCAACTCTACGTCCTTCGCCGCCCACTCACCCAAACCGCGCGTTAAACTATTTCATCGCAAGCCACGTAGCCCCTCTCTCATTCCATCATCATCATCGATTCCTCTCCAGCACACCTTCGGAGACGTTCTGTTCAGTCCGGTCACTGTTGGAAGCGCTAGAATGTAGTCACATTTGTTCTACTACGATCCAAATGCGGATGGATTTCAGCCAAACCCTTCACGTCCCGTCTGATGCTCTTCTTGCGCAGGTGAGTTGTGCGGGTTCAGGTGAGTGGGTTGCAAATTGCTCATGTTTATCTCAAGCCGTTCGCCATCGTCCCTCAATCAACGCTCGTGATTGAACCCGGAACAAAAATTCTACGTCTACTCCGGCTGCTAGTCTCCACATCAGTTGATTACGGTCAGCCTTTGGAAGAACCGGTCTATACCAACGGTGCTGTTCATGGCACGGATCGCGTTCGCGCACAGGCTCAGGCGGCGGCGAAGGCCAAAGCACTAGTTGAGATCATCAAGAGCGCTGCGACAGCATTCCTCAGCGAGGTTGATCTGAACCGCGTTGAAACAAAGGTATGTTTGAGTATCGTCGAGGTGCACTGAGACTGACAAGTCCATCAGGACATCGACATGCTATCACAAACGGTATCGTTCGGACGCTTCCTGCGTCAGGCAATTGACATCTCGGTGACTTTTGACTTCTCGCTGGCGTTTGCAATGGTCGAGTGGTTCCGCCAAGCTCTTGCAACTACGACTTCAGATGCACTCGGTCTCAGATCCATCGTCGACGGGGTCAAAGCACTAGAAGAAACCGTATCACTAACGTCCGGACTGGCGCTGACGGACCTCTGGCAAGCACTCTCAATTCCTATTGCTATTGACAGGACTGGAGGCAAAATAACTGCACTTGAATGTGCAAGTCGTAAGGTGCATGATATCGGTATGTAACGTCATAGGTTCATCAGTCGGTGGAGTACTGATTGCATTATACAGAATTGCGAACACAAATTTCCGATGTCATGGCCATGTGGACGATGCCTGCCTCCAACGTGGCTCAGGAAGACGTCTTGTTGGCTCTGACCGTACAGCTTGAACTAGTTCGTGAATCAAATTCATAAATATCCTCGTACTCACCAGTTCACAGCGCCTATCTGCAAGTTCCCCCTCATCGGCGGATGAAAGTACTTCTGGTCCAGAGTTTGCTTATCTCCAAGCCCAGCTGTATGCTTTCGCGGCTCTTTTGACCTCTTCTTCCCAGTCTCTCACGGTAAGAACCTTCCTACATCCATCTATGCATGGCTGACCACTGCTCTACAGATTCTGAAAGAGCTCGTGGACTATGGTCACTCGGACCCTGAGGCTCCGCTCAAGAATCTCATGGTGTTCAGACGCCTTGCGTGGTTCGTAGATTCTCAAGAATGTACGTAAATTTAGTCGCGGGCCCGGACAAGCTACTAACACGCTTTTAGCCCCGCTGTCTACCTTCACGCAGGCACAAGCGCAGTGGCTGAACGACTTGTGGGACGCATCTTCCGTTGGAGAAGTAAGTTGTCTTGCATTACAGCGCCACTTCCATGAGCTTACGCACATCTCAGCTCTCGGGGCCCTCAGCACTCTGCCACCCAGTGGAACTTATCAGCACGGCGCTCCTCTGGTGAGTGTGATACCACAATCTAGGTGAAAACGTACTTATGTCACTGGAAACAGTGACGAGACTCGCAGAGCTATGGCCAAGCTGTCCTCACACGAAGCAGCGCTGCGAAGACGTATCGGTTTCCTCACAGGTCAGCTCATGGGACACACAAGTCGCGCATCACAGATGGCAAATATGCTGGCTGGGACCGTCGTAATCGTTAGTAGTTCTTCCGGCCCTTTCGACAAACAAGTTTTACTAACTTGATGGCAGGTTGCGTCATGTATCACGTCGACTCAAACTTCGAGTATGTGGAACTGGGGCCGTGATGCTAATCTGGAAACTGGGATCGTTCAGCTATTTGACCAGAGCGTTCCTGCGTCGCTCTCTGGCCCTTACCACCGACATCTACGCCTCCCTCTTTTGGCCCTTATGGGACACGACGACACGGCATCTTTCTTGAAGTTGGGCCAATGCTGGATCGCCCTCTCGAGGTTCCTGCTAGAACTCTACGTTCCCAACATCCCAATCGACCCGGCCGCGATATTGCAGTGCTCTCAGAGGTTTCTGTCAGAGCAACGTGCCTTGTTGGAGGACGAACTAGCACTGCAGCGCGCGTACGAAAAACGGACAATCGGGCGACCGGACAACTTCATCATCCAGCACCTCTCTGAATCGCTCCAGACCCTCATCCACAACATGCCCACACTCTGTAGCACCACAAGCAACCGCACGAGCATCATTCAGCTTCACGCCTACTGGACGGAAGTATCGCAATTCCTTGATCAGGTGATCTCACCAGTGAAGATAGACGCGATCATCTCAGCTCTGAAAACCAAGGGTACATCGGCGCAGATGCGAGAGCAGGTTGTTCAAGAGTCAATTGCTGCGTTTTCCAGGAGGCTGGACTCCGTCTACCCCGAATACAGAGATATCAGCGGACCCATCCATCTGGCCCTCCTTCAATTGAGACTGGGCCTGCGTCTCTTAGCCGACGTTGCAAATTCCGACGAGGCTGATATCAAGGACCTTGGTTCCACCGCTGGCACTCTCGTTTCGTTCCCGCCCTCCATTGCCAGCCTCCGTGTCCGCCAGTCATTAGGCCAGCACCCGTCCAGTTCCCAGTTTTCTCATGTCCTTTGGAGATTGGCTGCAGCGTCTATTGACGTGTTCTCAGGCGCGGACTGTTCTGTGTACATCCCCCAGATCGCCGAGATCTACGAGCAAGCCCTTGGTCTGTGGCTCATCGATAAAGCGAGGAAAGAGGAAGCAGAGCGTCAAGCACAGTCTTTGTACCGGAACGAATCGAATGCGGTTGCCACTGAGGCGGAGAACGAGGAACAGGACTTCCTCTCTCTGTTCCCTGAATACGAAGACCTTCTGGACGAGGATGCCCCCCAAGTCGGTTCCTCGACCTCACGCAAATCCTCCGACCTTGTCGGTGCCGATGATGTCAGAAGATTGTCGACAATTCATCTGAGTCTGTTCGTACAAGACACCCCTCAGCTCAGCCCCAGTCACATCGATTTACAACGAAGACTCGCTCGGGAAATTCTCATCACCCATTCTGCTGCTCTCCCGGAGGTACTCGATAGCTCAAGTCGCCCGTACCAGATCTCAATTCTTCTTGACCATCTCTCTGTCCTCCACGGCGCTTCGCGTAGCGTCAACAAACCCTACAACTTCTATGCCGACCCCAACGTTCCGGAGATCAAGAAGCTGTCTAGCATCTTGGAGCGCGTGACCACACGGCTCGTTCCTTGATCAAAGAGTGGCCCGATCAAATGGTACTTCAACACCTCCACGCACGTTGTGAGGCCATCCTTTCCCTCGGTTCTATAAGTCCAGTCGCGAAGGTCCTGTCAGCGATCGAGCAGCTTCTTCTACAGATGGAGGATTGGGAAATGTACGCGAACAGGGAGAACACCCTCAAAGCTTACCAGCAGGATTTGGTCAGCACGGTTGTCTCGTGGCGCCGCTTAGAGCTCTCTTCGTGGAAAGGGCTGTTACACACGCAGGCACAAGAGTTCGCGGAAGGCACTTCGGAGTGGTGGTTCCGTCTGTACGAGGCGACAGTTCGAGGCGCCTCCGCGGCTGCTCAAGAGGAAGACAGCAATATCAACGCGCTGGCCACCTACTTGGAAGGCCTCGTGCCGCTCCTGGACACGTTTATCACCTCGAGCCCGCTTGGCCAGTTCACTGCACGTTTGGACCTCTTACGCGCTTTCGAAGTCTTCGTCACGGAACTTGCCAATATCCAGATTGGAGAAGCAGCCGCTGCGTCTCGCCGCGTACACAATATCCTCTATTTCACCCGCATATACTACTCTCAATTCACCCAGAAGGTCGCGGCCTCTTTGTCAAGTCAGCAGAGCTCGTTGGAGAAAGAGATCCGCAACTTTATCAAGCTCGCGAGCTGGAAGGACATCAACGTGCACGCGCTCAAGCAAAGCGCTCAACGGACCCACAGGCAATTGTACAAGTGTATACGGAAGTTCAAGGAGGTCCTTCGGCAACCCATCACCGCGCATCTTGTCCCCGGCGCTGCTGGCTCAGACGAGCAGAACCCCGACCACGACCCACTTACTCTTCTCCTTCCTGCTGAGATCGCTCCTCTTCCCGCGTTTTCCGGTACAGTCGCTCTTCCCGACCATCTGCTGCACCTTGACAAGACGATTCGCAATTTCCGCGCGGTCATTGGAGGTCGCATATCTTCCGTCATCGGTTCTCTGGTACCAATAGATCTCGAGGAGCTCTCTGCGGACATCATCACGAACATGCAGACCCTTGCTTCCTCCAGCCCCCCTCCAGCGACAACCAAGGAGCAGAAAGAAAAGTTCTACAAGGCGCTCCTGGTCCGGAAACGCAAAGCTTGGAGCGACCTGCTCAAGGAATTGAAGAGGATCGGGCTAGCCGTCAACATGAAGCCAGAAGTGCTGGAACAGCAGAGTAGTCCACGTTGGCTGAGGGAGCAGCGAATCGCCGAACACGACGAAGCTCTCCCTCACTTCGACAAGAGCGAGAAATACCTCATGCGTCTCACCAAGCTGCTCCCCGAGCTCCGTGCCTCTCTGTCAAGCCATCACGATGACATAGGATTACGCGACCTGCAGCGTGGCACCAACCTCGTCGAGTCTGCGTTCTCGTTTGCACTCGAGGCCAGGGCTTCGTAAGCAATCATCTCATTATTGTGATGCCACTCCGTGCTCATTATAGGTACCTAGCTTCGTTGAAGCTGTCAACGAGTATCACCAACTCCGCATCAATGTTGCACGACTTCAACAGGCGTATGAATCTCCCCGAATCGCTGCAGTCGGTGTAGAAGCTTACCACCGAGTAACGACGATGAAGGAAGACTTGGGTCGATTATGTCAAGCACTCGACGAAATTGTCGTTGTATGGAGGCGATTCCTGCAGGAAATCCCAGAGACGGAACCCTTGCCTGTGGTCATCGCGGAAGCCGAGACGATACTGTCCTCTTCCAGAACCTTCCTTGGCCGTTTGGTGACGATCGCGGAGACTTTGAAATCGTCACAAATTCCAGCTCTTCTCGAAGGTAAACAAGTCGCTCATACTCATCCCGTCTCCCACTCACGTATCTTTCTAGGTGAAGCGGCAGTCATAAAAGAGACCCTTGAACACGTCGAGACGGTCTCTAGGTTGCTCGTGGGATGGAACAACGCACCCAACGTCGTCGCTCACTTCACAAAGCCGGTTCTTGAGTGGCTGCAACAATCTTCCTTCTCTCTACGGTCCCAACTCACGCATGGCCCTCGAGAAGTCGCCTCAGACAATACTGGTGGGCTCATCGACCGCCTCCTCCTTAGCGTACAGGGCATCCTCGCTCTACCCATGCCCACCGCCTCCGTAGAGGACGACGTCAACGAGACGCCCGATCGCTTCCTCCGCGACAAGACCCGCCTCATTTCCCAGGTGACGCGTGCGCTCAAGATCTCCGACGTCCGCGCGCTCCTCGACGAGGTCACTGCCGAGACCCTCCACGCCCACCCCGACGAGCTCTCACGGCGCCTCGCGCGCGCCCTACCCTTCCTCGACACGTACCTGGCGCTCGCGCTCGCGCAGCTCGCCAACCACTGCGCGTGGACGAAGTCCCTATTCAAGCTCGACTACGTCATATGCACCGTCGTCCGCGCGGTCGCGCGCGACGGGTTCTGCAAGCCACCCGAGGGTGCAGAGGGCGAGGCTGGAGAGGCAGGGACGCAGGACGCAGACGGCATGGGCCTAGGAGAGGGCGCGGGCACGGAGAACGTCAGCAAGGAGATCGAGGATGAGAGCCAAGTCGAGGGATTGCAGGGCGAGGCGGACGCGGACGAAGACGTCGAGCGCGCGGAGGAGGATAACGCGGTAGAGATGAGCGAAGACTTCGGCGGGAAGATGCAAGACGTGCCGGAGAAGGAGGACGGCGAGGGCGAGGAGCAGGAGCAGGACGAAGACGACGTGGAGCCTGAAGAGCAGGTGGGCGACCTCGACGCGATGGACCCCTCAGCGGTGGATGAAAAGCTGTGGGGAGACGAGAGTGGGCCAGATGATACGCGCCAGGACGACGGGAAGGCGGACGATCACTCGACAAAGCAGCAGGAGAAAGAGTCTGAGATGGCGGCGAAGGAGGATCAAAAGGGGAAGCGACCCAAGGAGCAGCCGAAGAAGCAAGATGAAGGGGAAGCAGCGACGCAGGAATCGGGAGATGGAGAGGAGGAAGAGGCAATGCAGGAGGACCGCTCAGAGGATGGGGAAGATGAGACGGGGCAAGATCAGCAAGGAGGCGCACCCCTTGATGACTTTGTCCAAGACGCCAAGACTCTGGATCTTCCTGACGACCTAGATTTCGGTAAGGAGGGCGAAAAAGACAGAGACATTGACGACGACATCGAGATGGAAGACGGAGACGGCGAGGAAGGAGATGAGGAAGACGAAGCAAGGCCTGGCGACGATGTGTCGGAGGAAGCGGAAGATGGGATGGTCATCGACCCCGACAACCCCCAGGTAGCGCCAGACGACCAGCCCCCTCCTGAAGGGGTGACAGAGGATATCGTCGACGGAGCGACAGCACAGCCTGATCTGCACGCTGGCTCTGGTCAAGACAGCGGCGAACAAGGCGAACAAGCTGTTGCAGATGCTACTCAGGGCGAGGGCGGCCAAGGACCCTCGTCGTCGGGAGAAGCTGGCGTACCTGAAGAACAGCAGCAAGCCAAAACGGAATCTGTTCAGGATGAGCGGTCTGAGGATCAGTGAGTACTATAGACCTAATTTGTGAACCCAACTAACCGCCGGACCCCTTGCTAGGCCCACGGAGCCTGTAACCAATGCCAATGAGATGGTCGAAGCGCAAGATGGTGCTGGTGCCACACATGCTCAACAGGGAGCGGCGCCTTCACAAAGCAAGCCCCGGCCTCTCCAAAGCAATCCCTTACGCAGCCTCGGCGATGCACTTCGAGAGATCAAGCAACGGATGGATGACATCATGGAGAGCGACGGAACGCAGTCTCGTCCAGAACAGAACGCCCCAGAGGCTCAGAACTCTCAGCTGGAGTATCTTCGTCCTGAAAACGACATTGGAGCCGAGGAGATGCAGGCTTTGGGTCCCGCGTATCAAGAGGACGTTGCAAAGCTGAACGACCTCAAGTTCCTCGACGAGGACATGGAAGATCTCAACACTGTACCACCCGTGGAGGACCCTCCTAGTGCAGCTTCCGACGAAACAACTCTTCCACCGCAGTCATTTGTCCTTCAAAGCGAGTCCACAGGCCACGCATTAAGCAGCGACGTCAAGAGTGCTTTGACGCAGACTGAGATCCGCTCTCGGCTCCCCGATTCCTCCCAAGACCATTCGGTCGCCCCTGTCTCCGCCGACGTATCGATGTCCTCGGATGAGCCTGAGGAGCAGGATGCGCAGCAGAATATTGAACTCGCTCTTCGCCAATGGCAAGCCGAAGGCCAACCTGAACTCGGCGCCGAGGACATGTGGCGCAAGTACGAAGCTCTGACCCATGATCTCTCCTACACCCTCTGCGAGCAGCTCCGTCTCATCCTCGAGCCTACGATGGCTACCCGTCTGCGCGGTGACTACCGCACCGGAAAGCGCCTCAACATGAAGAAGATCATCCCGTACATTGCCTCCGAATTCACGAAGGACAAGATTTGGCTCCGCCGCACGCGCCCCTCGCAGCGGGAGTACCAGGTGCTCATCGCGCTCGACGACTCGCGCTCGATGGCCGAGTCGCACTCGGTCCACCTCGCCTTCCAGACCCTCGCGCTCGTCGCCAACGCGCTCGGCAAGCTCGAGGTCGGCGACGTCGCGATCGCGCGCTTCGGCGAGACCGTCGACGTCCTTCACGGCTTCGATGGCGGGCCCTTCTCTCAGCAGGCCGGCGCGCGTGTCATGCAGTCCTTCCGCTTCGACCAGCGCGCCACGCAGGTGCTTTCACTCGTCGAGACGAGCCTCGGCGTGCTCGCGCGTGCTCGCGAACGGCGCGCAGGCGGCGCAGGTTCCGCCGCGGACCTGTGGCAACTCGAGATCATCGTCTCGGACGGTATCTGCGAGGACCACGACAAGTTGCGGGCGGTGCTGCGGCGCGCGGAGGAGCAGCGGATCATGGTCGTGTTCGTCATCATCGACTCGCTGCACTCTAAGGGTGTAGCCGGCGCGACCGGGCAGAACGAGAGCTCGATCCTGTCGGTGGTGCGGCCAACGATCAAAATGGTGGACGGGAAGGTGGACCTACAGATGGCGCGGTACCTCGACACGTTCCCGTTCGAGTACTACGTCGTGCTTCGGAACGTCGAGGCGCTGCCGGACGTCTTGGCTGCTACCCTGAAGCAGTTCTTCGAGAGGATCGCAGAGGCTTAATTTCATGAATGTCGCATGCTACGGAGTAGTTACCTCATTGTATCGTGTCTTATGTATAGTATCGGTCCCACTCGTCTTGGTCCAACACACGCGAATGATATTTTCGTCAACCATTCTGAACTTTGGTCAATATCCAGTATTTGTTGCCTCGTCTTCGAGCCGAGAGTTGGATCTCGAGTGCTTGTGGCTGGCGTGTACCGCTCTGCATCCTTTCTCCCCATCTCCATCACTGCGACCACACCCCTTATGTAAACTCAAGAGCCCGCCTATACATGACGGCCAGCGAAATGACGTCCCCAACTTTGCCCGGTACGGAGGGAGCATGATCGTCGCAGCAGCCCTCGGACATCTTCGACCGGCATTGTGTTCAATCCGATCCTGAGCGCGCACTTCTCTCCAACTTCTCCCATCCTTCCACCTCTTCCCCTCGTCCAGGTGTACCATGACGGTGGACCCGAAGACCTCTCAGCTCTCTCCGGAGACAGTTCCTCTCGGTACTGGCCTGCCGACGCGAGAGGAACTATTCGTGCACTACCCCGCGAAGTTCTCCTGGTACCAGCTGAAAGTCTTCGTCAACTCAGGGTGCCTTCCCAAACTTCCCATTGCAGCGGATCTTGTCTGATACCCTTGGGTGCATATCAGTGATCTCGGCCTGCTGAAGCGGGACAGAGCCCTCCAGCGTCGATACAACGCCTGGGCTGTGGGCATCAAGGCGGAGTATGGGTCCATCGGTGAGCACCCTTCTCTCACCATCGCAGTCCAGACGGTCGAGCCAACGCATCATCCGTGACCGTTCAAGTCAACTACCTCTGCACATACCGGCTGCTCTGGGGCCAGCCCGACACCCTCACCCTCCTCCGCTCCTCCCTCGACCCCGCTCCCTCTGCAAACGACGCCCCCGTCAAGCCCAGGCGTTCTTCGGGCGAGCTCCCCCACTCCCCCCAGATGCACCCACGCACTTCGTCGCGGACACGCCCCGAACTCTACTTCATCGCCATGAACGACTGGCCCTACTCCGGTGCGTCCGCGGCCCCCCCACCGCCCTCCGCCGCCAGACGTTGAGCGCACCCCGCTCTCCTCCACATACGAGCAGTCCCCCCAGAGGTCGAGCACAGCCTGATCTGGACGCGCCTGCCCATCTACCCCCCGTCGCTGCCCGCGCCCGCTGCGTCCCCGCTCTCCGCGCGGCTGCACCAGGACGGCCTCTGGGGCTTCACGGGGAACGACTCGCCGCCGCCGTCGCCGAGCGTGATGCTGTCGTGCCTGCCCGCGCTCGCCGAGTGGGGGATCACGGAGGACAAGCTGATCCGGACGCCGCGGGGGACGGCGGAGGAGGAAGCGGAGGTGCGGCGGTACGGGGAGGAGATCGCGACGTTCGTCAAGCGGCGCTGGGTCGAGCGTGAGTGGGAGACGGCGTGGTTCGTGAACCCCCCGGTGAGTGTGTGCGGGGTTTCGAGGATGGCGCTGCAGCGGGCTCATGGCTTGCGTTCACAGAGGTTGCAGAGTGTGCCCGGGTTGGCGCACATTCACGTCTTTGCTCGACGCAAGATCCCAGACGAAGTGGCGAATTAAGTGGTGGATCCTTTGCTTCACGCTGGACAGTCAACTATAGGTGATTCGATGTAGACAAGGCCGACAGGCCGCATAGAAAGCCAGGGTTGGTATACATGTTAGATGGATATTCGATGGGTACAGAAGACAAATACGAACTGGATGTGGATGTGAGTGAGAGGTATAACACCAGAATTACATCGAACCGTCTAAACCAAAACCTCGAAAGTTACTTGATGGTCACCTTCTCGAGCATGTCTGCTAATGCATCCGCCGCCTTGTCCGTCTCGTCCTGGACCACGGCGGGTTTCTCCTTAGCCTCCTCAGCCTCTTCCTCCTCCTTCCTCCTCCTCCTCTTCCTCCTCATCGTCGTCCAAGATCAGCTTGCCGCCTTGTCTCCGGAGGGCGGTCAAGAGCGCAACGACGCTCTCGTCCTCCGCCTCGACCTCATTCCACTGGAGCTCGACCCGCTTGAGCAGCGGCATCTTGCCCACGACGCCCGCCAGGATGGCGCACTCCTCCGTCTCCAGGTTGTCGTTCTGGAGCTGGAGCAGCTCCAGCTTGCTCTGGAGGCCCTTCGCGAGCGCGCTCACCACCGGCGACACCTCGCCCTCCTTCCCGATCACGCAGTCCGACAGGTTGAGCACCCGCAGCGCGGGCCACGCCCCGCGCGCGAGCGCCGCCGCGACCGCGTCCGTGCCCGGGTCCCCGAACGTGTTGTCCTGGAGGTCAAAGTGGGCGAGCGCCGCGTTCCGCGCGAGCGCCTCCACGATCCGCACCGCGCCGTCCATCCGGATCCCGTTCTGCGGCATCCGCACCTCCTCGAGCGTCCCGTGCGCGGCGAGCGCCGCCGCCCACGCCGCCGCGGAGCCGTCCTCGAGCCGGTTCCGGCCGCAGATGACCGTCCGGAGCGCGGAGGGGGTGCCGGCGGGGAGCTCGCGGGCGAGGGTGGCGAGCGCGTCGGCGATGACGGTGCCGCCGGCGGGGCCGAGGCCGTTGTTGTTCAGCTTGAGGACGCGGAGGGAGCGCGCGGAGGAGAGGAAGGGGACGATGGGGTCGACGGAGCGCCCGCCGAAGGCGTTGTCCGAGAGGTCGATCTCGACGAGCGTCGGCTTGCCGATGAGCGCGTCGCAGATCGCGGAGAGCGCGGGCGGGATCTCGGAGATGAGCCGGCCGGTGAAGATGTCCGCGAAGTTCGCGACCTGGGGATCCCGCGCGGGGTGCGGCCAGGGGAGGAGAGTCCGAGTGGCGCGGACGGCACGGGGGGAAGGCAAAGCTCGTGAGCGTGAACGGGCTCACGACGGGGGAGAGGTTGACGCACCCGGAGCTTCGTCGTCTTCGCGAGGAACTCGGCGAGGGCCTCTGCGGCCTCGACGCCGACGGTGTTCCCGCCGAAATGAATCTCCTCGATCGAGGTGGGGTCGAACTTGGCGAGATGCGGCTCAATGTCTGCGCGGGTATTGAGCTTGAGGCCCTGGCCAAGGAGAGAGAACGTGGTGCTCATGGCGGTCGTGGACGGCGTGGGTGTGTGGCTCGTGTGCGGGAGGAGGAGAGAGGCGGAGAGGGAAGAAAGCAGCAAGCGAGACGCGTTCGATCGAATCCGAGGAAATCAGCGGCACGTGCGCGCGATATCCCGCCTCGCTCCATCCGGGACCCTAGTCTCGGGTCTCGCTCTTACCTGATCCACCATGACGCCAGGAGTCGCTGACTGAACATATACTTGACCACCACTTCCACAAGTAGATTCTGCAGAGCATGCAACGCAAATTTGTTGCGGAAGAAGAGCGCACCGAGGGAGCAGTTCATGTGCTCCTCATCACTACCGGAAGCGTAGCCTCGATCAAAGCGCCTCTCATCGTCTCTGAATTGCTTTCTGTGAGTGCACAAGCAGATAATCCACTAAGCACCATTGACAACCTCCTATAGTTCAGCTCCGTGAAAGTGGAAGTAGTGTCCACCGAGAGCTCACTGTCGTTCTTCGACCACGAGGCTATTGAACGGAGCGGTGTCCGAGTCTGGCGAGACAAGGATGAATGGGGAAAATATGTCCGTGACCAAAGACGGCGCTTGTAGAACACGACTCTTACCGAAATATCCATAGGGAGAATACAAGATTGGAGACCCGATTCTACATATCGAGCTGCGTCGTTGGGCCGACATAGTGCTCATCGCGCCTTGCTCCGCAAACACGCTCTCCAAGATCGCTAACGGCTCATGCGACAATCTAGCAGTACGCTGTCTTCGTTTCTGGGTCTCTTGTTGAGCTAATGTGAGGCACAACGCAGACCTCTCTCCTGCGTGCGCTTTCACCGTCCACTCCTACATACGTTTTCCCGGCCATGAACACCCTCATGTTCGAGCATCCGCTCACAGCGCGCCACCTCCAAGTCGTGCGCGAAGTTATCGGATACACCGTCGTCGGTCCGATTGGGAAGATGCTCGCATGTGGTGACGTCGGTGCGTACCCCCCTGCTGTCCTTCCGCTTCCCCGTATTCACACCGCGCCCCTCCTTAGGCCTCGGGGCCATGACGGAATGGCGCGATATCGTGCAGATTGTGCTCGACCGTTTCAACCTGACAAAACGGGCGTGATATGATCACGCGCCGAGGTGTTCATTCAGTCCTCCTCGGGGCTCGTCTCCCGACATTAACCTTGTGCTCCTGCTTCTCCAGTATCGATAGGCACGGACACCACAATTAGCCCTACTCAAACCTCCCTCGAACCAAAATACATCCCCCGCTCCCGCAATCGCACCCACTATTGCATAGATCCTCATCCCCGGACCCGCGCGTCACCTCACCAGCACCCACCGCCCCTCCACCGGGCCCGCGTCGCCCTCCTTCCGGCGCGCCTCGCCCCGCGCGCGCCGGCCCTCGAGCCAGCGTTCCACGACGCCCTCCGCATCCGCGTCCTCCTCCCACGCGCCCAGCGTCAGCGAGCGCGCGAGCCAGGTCGCCGTCGTGCCCGTGGGCTCCCCGGGCGCGCGCAGCGAGAGCTCCCGGTACGCGGCCCTGAGCACGCCCCACGCCGTCGCGCGCGCGCGCTCGACCAGCGCGTCGACCAACGCGCCGAGCGCTGCGGTGGCCACGGCCTCGCGTCTGTCTCGCCTCGGCTCTTCCGTCCGCGCTGGCGCCGACGGCCTCGTGCGGACGAACGGGAGGTAGGCGTCCGGCCGGGCGAGTTGTGCGAGCGACGCGTAGTCTCGCCGGCGGAGGCACCGCGCGAGGCCGCGGAGCCACTCGTGCGGCGAGGCGTCCTCCCCCGGTCCTTTGGCTTGCTGCGAGTCTGCGATAGGGGTCGCACCACCCGCGAGTTCAGGCTTGGAAGGCGGGGGCGGTGGGGTTTCTGAGGGCGCAGGGCACTCCGCCGACGACGGTGATCTCGGTGAGGCGGAAGAAGGCTTCCTGTGCGATAGGCTCGCGGGGGCGCGCAGAGCGGCCTGGAGAGAGGGGTGCAACTTCCGCAGTTGTGTGAAGAATGCGACTTGGGATGGGTATGCGGTGGCGAGGTGGTGCAGGAGAAGGATCAGGGTCGACGAGAGCGCGCCTGGGCGGGCATCTGCTACTTCTTCTGTCGTTATGGTCGCTTCGGCATCTAGTGAAGAAGGCGGAGGTAACGTTTCCCTGGGAGAAACGGTCTTGGAGCGCGTCGAAGAGGAGGTTTGGCGGGGATGCCGCTGTACGACATAGAAGTCTGGAAAGAGGTGCGACAGTGTCGAGGTGATTTGGACCGGAGATTTGAATAGGACGGCGAGATGTAGAGATGTCTCGTACGCTGCAAGCATACAACACATGACGAGGGGTCGGTGAGAGATGGACGCCGAAGGGACTGGATCTGTCTGGTGAAGATGACGAACCTTCTTGTGCGAACGCGTCTCGCCGTTTGATGGACAGGAGCCCCTCGCGCAATTTTCCTACGTCCGAACGATCAACTTCTGCGGGACGCACGGGGGGTGTTGGGCGGGATTACTCACGGAGCAATATGAGAAGGTTACCCTCTATCTCCCTCTTGTTGATGGCATCTTGCTCGCTCATAGGGTCATCTCCGGATCCAAGAGGATATTTCACCCAATACGCATCTATCTACCGCAAACGATTGAGATCGAAAGCGTCCATGATACCTTTTTCCAGCTGGCAGAGCATGCAAACCTTTTCTTGGATGAACGCCCGATACTCTTCCTGAACCTTTGGGCTCAGCAGCCTGAAGCCCTGAGACCCATTAGCCCGCCGACGTCTTGGACTGATTGGACTGGAAGCCACAGGCACACTCACGCGTTGCCGTCTTTCTCCAGACCGCTGCTCCTGCTCACTGAGGGTATGAGCTCCATATGTCGCTTCCCAGGGGGGTAGACACGGTGCTGAGGGGCGCCGCGGTGTCCCCGCTTCGGCGGCATGGTTGGATGTTCGACAAGCCGCGCCAAGCACAGGGTTGTTGTGGTTAGGAGCAACTGGGCTCGATGATCGCCTATCGGGCCCGGATGAGATATGTCGGCCACGTGGCCACGGGCGTCGGCAGTTGGCGCCGACCGTTTGGCACCAGCCCCCATCTGTCTTGCGACTTGCTCGTCGTCGCTGCCACGACGCTGCCGACCTCGCTTTCCGTTGCCGGTGATGCCCAGCGTTGACGTTGGGCTGCACCGCCCACATCTCTTCCAGGACTTTGCTGCATGATTAGCATCGGTCGCGTCATCACAGCAACGTTGCCTGCACAATCTCGCCGCGCACGAAGCTTCTGTACACGCTGCGCTTATGGCAGGGAGGAGACCTCGGCTGGCGCACACCCCTGGCTCGCGCCACTCTGCCCATGAACGAAGAGATGAACGCAAACCACTCGCAGCCCCGACGGGCAGCCGCCCCGGCGACTCGAGTTTGCGAATACCCTCGACGGTCCCCGCATGGGCACGAGCCCACGACCAATTGGGTCCTCGTGCGTCGCCCCTTCCCGTCATGATGCATGATGCTGAGCGTGCAGTCCCAGCTCCGGAGCGTCGACATCAGCGGGGCGCACGACGGGATCACCGGCAGCTGCCACGGTCCCGCACCCCGCCCGACGGGCCGTGGTATCGATAAGCAGCGACGACGCGGCGGAGGAGGTGACGTCTGCGAGTGTCTCGCGCTGCCCGTGCCCGCGCGACACGCCCTCGCAAGGGGGTCGAACGACGTCATCGCCCAGCTCACCCCCGTTCTCTGTCATCCGAACTGTTTTCGCACCGCAGAAAAGCCCGGGGTGGACAAGCGGGCGGTATCGCCGCCGAAAGCCCGACAAGTCGTCGACGCCTCGACTCGGACAGACGCACGTGGCGTCGACCGCCACGACACGCACTCCGACCGCGTCCGACGCGCTTCGACAGGCCAGACAAAGACACGAAGCCAGCTCCAACACTCGAGCGGATTCACAGGCATTTGGAGTGTGATCATCAGCCCCGGCTGCAGCTCGGAAGTCGTGAGTGCGCATGATCCGCGTGCCTGGACAATTGACCGTCGCCCTGACCGGCGTCTCTCCAGATCCAGCTCGGTAAGCGATGTGCAAAAACCGTGTTCGGGCGGGTGAGCTGTGGCGGCTGCGAGCGCGACGGTCGCATGCCGCTGCGGGGGCGCGCAAAAAAAAGGTCCCGCTAGGCCGTCCGAAAGCCTCTTTCGAGCCCTCAGCGAGGACTGGTGCGTGTGGGACTCGAAATCCCGGTCGGTGAGCTAAATTGAACTGGGCCCATTCGCCGGGGCACTGGAACAGGGTTTCTGCGCGGCAGGGCGACATTGCTGTTTCGTCGCGGGGCAACGGCCTCGTAATATTCGCGTCGGGCTTGTTAGCCGAATATTTAGGAGATCTAGGCCGTCGATCAGGAACACGGGCAGCGCAGCGGAGGATGGATGTTTGCCCGCGCGCAGGGACGGGCGGGCGTGCGCTGCGGCATTCGAGGGCGTTCGCAGCCCGGGCGGGCAGGACACGCACCGGTCTTGGAGGCGCGCGTGCCGGGGCGGCGGCGCGGGGGTGGTCAGGGCAGACGCGGGCGGGCGGGGATTGCTCGCGGACCGTCCGGCTGCCCGGCGATGCTCCCAGGCGTCCTCTTCTGCACTCGCCCAAGCCGGGCCCTGCGATACAAAAGGCGCACTCCCCGCACCTCGCTCCCCTCCTGCCCGCCCTCCCAAGCGCACACCCCTCCCTCCCTCGCTCCGCCTCCGCCCGTCCGCACGAACAACAATGCTCTCCCTCCGCTACCTCCTCGCCGCCGTCGCCGTCGTCGTGACCGCCTTCTCCGCCGTCCAGGCGACCCCGGTGAGTCAAGTGCTCCCGCTCCCGCCGACCGCCTCGCGTAGAGACGATCTCCGCGCGCCCGCGCGCCACACCTTTCCCGATCCGCACGCCCGTACTCAACGCTCGCCCTTTCTGCCCCACAGGTCGAGGCCCGCGAGCCCGAGGCCTGGGTCACCGTCGCCGACTGGTGAACGCGCCCCGTCCGCCGCCCTCCCCTCCGCGCGCACACCGTAACCCCCTCCCGCGCCGATCTTGTCCCGTTGGTTCCAGGTGAGCACCCTGCCCTGCCTGCCTGCGCACCGCCTTCCCCCGTCCATCCGGCAGCGTGCATCGGGCCGCCTTTGCTCCCCGCCCCTGTCCCGGTCCCTTCCCTGCGTCCATTGTCATTAGAGTCTCGGAAGCTGATGACCGCGTGCTCGTCCAGACTCGTCCCGACCCCGGCCCCGACCCATGCCCGCTCCCCCTCACCCCCGTCCGTCGACGCCCTCGTCGGACGGTGCGTAATCGGCGCGGCGAACTCCGTCGCGTGTATATCGGCCGCGCAGATTGCGAACTCGAACTGTACTCCAGCTACTATCGTTATCACCGTCTTTAAATCTATCTGCGCGCCCACCCTACCCCAAGTTCGAGCCCGACCTATCTTGCGATACCTCCTCTGCCACGTCTGGTGCGTGCGCCCTTCAATGCAAAACCAAGTCCGCGCGCTCTCGCTCGACAGGAGCGCGACCATCCAGTGTCCACCACCGCAGATGATTCATCCGTCCACCTTTGATCCCGCGGCGTCGTCGCGATCGCAGCAACATTAATTGATGTCAATTATCGCAACATGCACCGTCGATGGCGCGTGCCGGCTGTTGCTTTCTCGCTGGCGCCCGTCCGTCGAGCGAAAACTTGGAAGTTGGAAGAAGAACGACGTGACGATCGAGTCTGCGCTTCGGGTTCACCGTCAACCACCAGTCCTGCAGTGGGTGAGCTTGAAGCCGAAGGTGTGATATCGCTACGGGTGCTTGGCGCTGCTCTGCGACGTTGACGAGGGCGCCATGTGCCGCTAAGTGTTGCACGCTGCAGAGGCTCCAAAAAATCTCGTCCACGCAGCCCAGCGTCACGAGGCCGGGCTTCGGTGGTGCGGCCGGAGCGGGACCCGGACGGCGTTCCTGACATGGCTTCCGGACGCCGGCGTGAGTGCTCGACTTTCGAGCCGACCGAAACCGGGGTCCAGGCTCCCGCTCCCGGCAAGGGAGAGATAAGTAGCAGATTGATGCGACGTCTGCGCAGACTGCAGCCCTCGAGAGTCGAGGCTCGGGCACTCCGAGGCTGGGCGGTGGCCGTGTGCCTGCATTTGTGCAGCTTGGGGCTGTCTGACTTCTATTCTCTGCTCGCGTTTGCCGAGGGCGCGCGGGCTTCTTGCCGGTCTGACTCCCATATGTTCTCGTCTGCACGCTGAGATCTGTTGGCGGCAGCTGTCGCGGACGTGCCAGGCAGATTGGGTTCGGGCGGGTTCGGGACGCGGGACGGCTGGGCAGTTGAGCTGAGAGCGCGGTCTGGGCTTGTGCGGCAAAGAGAACCTCGGTGCTCTCGGGTCTCGGAACTTAGATATCTATCATATTGGACAACGGCGAGAGTTGCGCTAGAAGCGGTGAGATATTACGTCGAGAGGATGCGACACAACAGAGAATCACGCTCACTATTGTCAACTGCAAGACTCGAATGTGCTTCGAAGGCGAATTGCATCCGCACAGAGGTCATGAGGAGGTCATGAAGAAGTGACGTCAACAACCGCAAGAGACATGAGATCCTGGTGGGAGCGCACTCCCGTGTTTAGGTGCACGCCAGCCCACACTTGACGAGCGTCGGACTTAGGCGGGCCAGAGTGCCGACTTGACTGAACATGTTGAATGGGATGCCCCAATCGGAACCGCCTAGACAGTAGATTAGATCCTCGCTGATAGTCATGTGAGTTTTACTGAATAGCACGAGCAACAAGCCCCGGCGGATGGAAGCGGGACCTGGAGACGATGGGAAGAGGCCAAAGCAGCAGCGCCCTCGTGCGCCGCAATAACGGGGGTGGCGCTCGCACGCCGTCCATGTCGGGAGAAAGCAGGCCTCAGTACCTCAGTCGCGCCGCCGCGCGATCCGCGACAGGACGGGAGCGTGCGCTACTCTACGCCGACAGCACCGGACGGGAGCGACGGCGCGTTCTTCGTCCTCCACTGTAGATCACAGGGCGATAGAGTTGGAGATTGGACGAACGTGCGGTGCACTGGGCGGGGATACCACGCACCTCGGCAGGCGTCGGAAGCTCGACGATTGAGCGAGTTGAACGAGACGTTCGGATTTGGCGGGGGGCTCAGACGGCCTATCCCCGCCCTACTGCACGCGGGAGGCTGGTGCGCGTGGGTCGAGGCCGCGCTTGGGCCCCAACATGCGGCACGTCAGGCGGTATAAATACCCGCCTGATGCGAATGCTGTTCGACTTCGGAACGGTGGCGGGGGCGGAGGCCACTAAGGCAGAGGCGAGACCGGAACTTTGTTTCTGGAGCTGTGGAGGACACATATTTAGCGTACGTGGGACGCCGAACAGTCGAGAGCTGACAGGAGACGAACTTTGGACGCTGGGAGCCCGAAGGCAGTCGGAGCAGTCTTGGCGGGGTCGACTGCGCAGGGTGGGGGCGAGGATTCGGGGGCGAGGACCCACACTGGTGTTAGACGGGGATCATTGGGACGCGGTATAGGCAATGTAGCTAACAAGCAGCGCAGACGCGGAGTGTGGGGACGACCGGGTGCCACTGCGCAGCGGGAGAGGTGCAGATCGCGGAAATACACGCACGCCGAGAGAGCGAGGGTGAGAGCACGGACCTCACACGCCGTGTCGAGACTACTTCGCGTGGTGGATCGCTCGTCGTTGAAGGACTTTCCAGGGATGCGCAGCAGGCCAAGCTGCCTTGAGACTTGCAGGACATGTCGGACGTGAGAGTATTCAGTCGACGAAACATCTTGACAGCGATAAAAAAATCTTGGCGTGCATGCATACGGCGTGTTTTGTTATGAAAGAGAGGGTCGTGGGGAAGGAAACAGACGAGCCAACGAAGACGGTCGTCCCAGTTCAAGAGACAGCACCTGCGGAAACGCCGCCTGTTGCGTCATCACAGCAGCGGGCCGGCCTACCCGGGGACTAATCACTCGAGTATGTGATCGAGAAACCGATTTATGGGAAAGTTTATAAATGTGTTTGGTATGCGTGTAAGTAGTATTATACAATGAGAGCTCAAGGTGATGTGTGGTATCGCATCTATAGGTCGCCAGCGACCGTGCGTACTGTAATAACGTGCTGAGTGCTCTATGCGACGCACTCAACCCGGGCCTCCATGGTCAAATCCTCGAAGACCCCCTTCCCTTCCGCCTTGTCGCCCCAGAGCCCTTGCGCGATGCGGACGATGTGCGACAACTTGAACAACTCCGACGCCGGTCCCTCGCTGTCCTCTCCGGTGCTGCCCGAGCCGGTGAGTGGAGGCAGACTCTTCGGAGTCACCTTCTTGACCTCCACCACAACCTCCTCCACCACAACCGGCCTGACCACAGGCGGAAGCTCCAGGTACGCCGGGTGGTGCCCGTCCGCGTCCGCCGGCTGCCCCACCCCGTACCTGTACGCGCTCCAGACGTCCCGCACGTGCCCGCTCCCCTGCGCGATCTCCGCCTCGGTCTGCCAGAACGAGTCGAGGCGGACGATCGCGCGCCGGAGCCCCGCGAGCGGCAGCGCGGCGAGCGGGTCGAGCGCGAGCGCCTGGCGGAGGACCGCCGCGAGCGCGGGCGCGAGCGGGAGCGCGGTGGCGAGGAACGCCTCGGGCGCGGCGCAGAACGCGCGGAAGTTCGGGTCGTCCGCCGCGCACGCGCGGTGCCACGGCAGCCGGCCGGTGGCGAGGTGGACGAGGAGGACGGCGAGCGCCCAGATGTCGTTCCGCTCGGAGTTGTAGAGCCCGGTGGAGGGCATCGTGATCGCCTCTGCGCGTTGGGGGCACTCGGTCAGGACCACGTTCGAAAGCTCGGGCACGAGAGAGAGAGAGAGACGCACCGGGACACAAGAACTGCGGCGTCCCGCGCCCGAACGCGTCCGTGTGCAGCTCGCGGTTCGCGAGCCCGAAGTCGGTGAGCGCGACGTGCGCCATGTCGGGCCCGCTGACGAGCACGTTCGTGAGCTTCAGGTCCGTGTGCGCGATGCACTTGGCGTGGCACGCCGCGACGCCGTCGAGGATCTGGAGGAAGACGCGCTTGAGCTCGGGGGTGTTGCCCGCGACGGGCTGCCAGCGGCGCAGGCGCAGGAAGTCGTAGAGGTTGCCCCCGGAGTAGTAGTCCATGACGAGGTAGATGTAGGACCTGTTCCAGAAGACGTGGTCGAGCGTCGCGACGTGGCACGCCTTGGAGACGTCCAAGTGCGTGGTGATTTCGCGGAGGTGGTGCAGGGGGAGGATGATGTTGTCGTTTCGCATGATCTTGATCGCGCGGGGGATGGGGGGCTTGTTGCCCTCGCGGAGCTCGAGGGCAGCGTAGACGACGCCGAAGGAGCCGTGCCCCAGGCAGTCCAGAACGCGATAGCTGCGGTCGGTATAGGAGAGGGTGTCGCCGTAGGAGAGCTTGGGGACATGTTGACTGGTGAAGACCATGATGAAGAATAGGATTTCCGAGATGAGGATAAAAGAAATAGAGAAGGAAGGTGAGAGGGTGAGAGGGTTGAAGAAGTGAGCCGTGCTGACTTTTGGCGGGCGAACGACGGGGATTTTATATCCGTCTGGTAACATGCTTGCCCCTGAGATTGCCATGTCGGATATGAGAGTATGGTAGGCGTTGAGGGAAGGATTTGGATATCCGGTCGGATTTGTGAACGGACTGGGGCGAGCCGTAGAAACCTCCTTCCGCTCCGCTGCTGCGCGTCGGATGCCCTCCCCTCGGTGCGTTGTGCCGGTTGACGGCAAAATTCCTGCGGATATGAGCAACATCTTACTGCATTCCTGCAATGGATCCGAAGCTGGAAGTACGACGGCACTAGACATGATCCCGTTCCGACAAATGTGCATAGGAAGACTTCTCGTCCATTTAAACCTGGACAATGGCGGCAGTCGGAACGACGGATACGTTCTCGTTGAGTTGAGCGACGCCTGCCACGTTCTGAACATTTAGCCATACCTGTGGCGATACTTGAGATGTCCACATGTTGGCCCATGCATCCGAGATACGCCTGCATTTGCAGCGTCTGAGTGAGTGCGGCATGATTCCACTGCACTATGAACACCTACGTATAGCTTGCTTTAAAGCTGGTGAAAGTGTGATGTGGTTATCACGGGGATTTGTACTTGGCTCGAGCAGCTTCATGCTTTGAATATTCGGGACCGACCTGTTGCCGTGTGGAAGCCGTGAAGTACATTCATCTGAGGCTGAGCGCTGAGCATCCTTCGTCAGCACGCTGGGTGGAAAGCCCCCGCGGCGACGTGCGATGTGGGCGCCCCGAGCCCTATATAAAGAACGCGGCCCACTGCATCCGTCACAGAATTCAAACTCGAGTCCTCGGGCCTCGCGACGACGTGGCACAGTCGCCCGCACGTCGTTCGCACCCTTTTGAGACCTAGTATCGGTGGAAAAACCTCGCTGCGTACATCAGCAGATCGCAAACCGCGCGGTATGTTGCCTTGCGTCCGCCGTTGATAGTCCGACCGAGGAGCACATAAAGTTCGTGGGCGATGTGGGCAGAGTCTAGGACCCTCCTATCTGCGCTGTGGCCTCCAAGATGAAGACCCGCGCCATCGCCGCTGCACTGGGCCTGTCTTGTCTGGCCGCCGCGGCACCTCTGTCAGCGATCTTCTCACAGTGTGGAGGTATGGACTGGTACGCACCGTATATGACCTTCTACTGCGGCCGTGTATTTAATGTCACCCGTTAACACGACAGGACGGGGAGCACGGCTTGCGTGGCAGGAGCTGTATGCGCCCAGATCACTGAGGGTAAGTCCGCTTGCTCCGTCATATAACCACACACTCACCTGTCCGACGCAGAGTTCTCGCAATGCATCCCGGCGTCGATCACTACGGTGACGGTGACCGCGACTGCGGACGAAGATGCCGTGCCGACCGCACTTGACAAGCAGGACAGGGAGCCAGCACCATTAAGGGGTTCACGGATACGCACAGGAGGCTATTTCTTGCAGAACGAAGGTAAGCGCCCTATCCATATTTCCGTTGTGCGAGTACAAACGCACCTGCACGGGCAGACGGAGTAGCGATCCTGGGGCCTGCATCGTCGGCGGGGTACTTCACCTTTGGGAGCACGAACGGTGGGACGATCGCCCTACATAAGGACTCCGACGAGAATTCGCGATCGGACGCGACGCCTCTCTACCTCAGAATCAACCCCAATGATCCGTACGGTGCCCTCATCTTCGATGCCGATGAACCTCCCCACAACTGGTCGATACAAGGCGGATACATCGTCCCCACTGCGCCGACGGGCGCTAGATTCATCGTCTGCTCAAAGGACAAGGCGCTGAAGACCTGGCGGGTTTACGTTCAGGTCGAGGGCAAGGACATGGTGCCTCCTGGCGTTGTCAAGTGCGCGATCACGAGCTTGAGCCTTTGATAGTGATTTGCAGACTATGAGAACAGAGTCTATCGTTTCACTGGGAATAGGTATCAATGTACTGTACGCCATTAGGGGGGATTGTGCAGTAGACGGCGCGAAAAACCAGTACCAACATCAAGAGACAAACATAAAGCGAGCCATAGCAAAGAAACGGCAACAAAATCCTGCGCTCACAGATCGACAACCTCCACCATGTCCCCATCCTCCAAGTCGGCCTCTCCGATCTCCACGTCACTGCCCATCTTGTCGCCATCGACGCTCAAGGCTGGCATCTTCCGCACGGCCGCTGCGCCACGCTTACCGCGTCCCTTGACGGGCAACGGGTTGGCTGAGTACTGGCTGTCGAGGCCAGCCTTCTTGAGGAACGCGCGTACGATAGCGCCGCATTTGGTGGTCGGCCGAACAAGGAGCGAAATGTCACCGGAGGTCTTCGCGGAACGTACGGTTAGGTGGAAAGCCTGGCCAGGTGTCTCTTCTTCTGGCTCATGTTCGTACTCCGCGGCGCCTCCGTCGTTCTCCGCTTCAGCTTCACTCAGCATCTCGAGCGATGCAGAACGATCCCGTTGGAAATCGTGACTGTCATGAGGGATCACCGAAGGTGACCGCACCCTCTTGTTCTTCTGGATGTGCTCATATGTCACCCTGTCGCACCCATCTTGTTCACAGCCATGTTAGGCAAGATGTAGGGGGGTAGTCGAATAAACTCACCAAACTCAGCTTCCGACCAGATCCCCATACCGAAGGGGTTGGAAGACGGGAAGACTTGTTTGCCGTTGAAGCACACAACCAGGTTGCTTTCCGGTATCCCCGCAGTGTCGGCAATGTCAGAGAATAGCAAGAAGAAGTTGTCGTGCTAAACCCAAGGATTTAGGATAGGACAATGAGAAGTGGGTCGGGTACTCACCCGCTTCTGCGTAAATTCCCATTGTTCTTGTCGACCGTTGGGATTGAGTGGATGGGGCCTCCAGACGACTTTGAGCTTAACGATGTCCGAGTTGTCGTTGACTCGAGGAGCCGTTGTGTAAGCCAGCGCAGCCTCCTGCTTTGCCTGTTGCGCGATCAAAGCTAGTTCTGGATCGAGGACCACCGCACCAATCGATTCGTCCGTATCATCGGTGGGAGAAGGGGCTCGACGGTGCATCCCAACGAATTGGCTAAGATACAGACAATATAAGCGCATGGCTCGAAGAACTGCACGCGGACGTACTTGACAGCATCCCTAGCCCGCTGGATCTCGTATTGGGACAAGGCAGGAGGCGGGGTGAGTGAACGGCTGCGTTGCCGTCTCAGCCTGCCCGTCCGAGGGGCCTCGTCTTCTTCATCGTCTGTTGTTCGTGATCGCATCTTTCCTTCGAGGATCTCGAAGTCATCGTCAGAATCCGAGGAGAGGCTGCGAAAGAGTGGTCAGACATGATCGACGATGGAAGTAGAGTACCCCAGCATATTGGTCCTGGGATACAACCACGCATATCTCGAGTGATTGAGAAGGAGGCGCAAGCCACGGGAGGAAACACTAGTACATTGAGAACTCACATAATGTCTGCAGGCTTCTGCTTTGTCCAGTCGAGCTGACTTTGCTTCTTGAGAGGCGCTTTCTTCTTCTTGTTATTGCGGACCCGAGGTGTGTCCTCTTCCTCTTCCGAACTCTCGTCGCTGGACTTCCGCTTGCGGCCATTGGTTTCTACACACGCGGAGCAGGGGGCGTGTTGGCAGGGATGTGATGGGAAACACGTGAGCTGGAAGTACTCACCCGCAGCTGCGGCTGCTTTTCGGAGCAATGCCCAGTCCTTGGGATCACGCTTGCGGATAAAAAAAGCGTCCTCTTGTTCAAGAGCACTCAGAGTAGGTTGTGAGGCGAGGTCTGACGAAGCGCTGGACTGCGCATTGGAGGTGGAGGGAGGTTGAGGGGCGAGAGGAGCGCGCGCGCGAGGTCTTGGCTTGGGACGCGACGACATCGCGGTTCTAGTCAAGCTGATACCGTGGGAATCAATTGACTTTCGCGGAGTTTTGTTACACAATCACGTGACCGTTCAGCGCTTCTGGGATTTCGCCCATTTCGCGATCTGCAGCCTCGAAAGGTGTTTACAGGCACCACAACCTACCTCCTCTGAGCTCTCTGCCCCGACTTGCACACGACCCCAACTGCTGCTTTGTGACCGCTTCGTTTTTGGTGCACCAATGTCGAATGCTCCGGTAGTGTTCAAGCGCAAAGGGAAGGCAACGCAACGCGCTCGTGTCTCGACCCCAGAGGCGGAGGCCACCGTAGTGGACGGAGGAGATGCCGAGGTCTCGGAGTCGCCAAGTGCGCTGGCAGCCAAAGTCAAGAGGAAGACTCGCACAAAAGCAAAATCTGCTTTGAGCTTCGGGGGCGACGAAGAGGTGAGACCTATGGCATCTGGTTAGCGGTGATCTCTGATAGGTGCGTCGCGTTTAGGAGGAAGCTGGAGAGACCTTCAAGCTCAAGAAGGGAGTCTTGAGCAGCAACCTTGCGAAAGGAAAGGCTTCAACAGGGTGAGCGTTAGTCTACTACCGGTCGATGCAGATGTTGTGCTCGAGCTTCCATCTACACAGTTCATACAGAAATCCGGCGAATGAGACCAGTTCACAAAGCTCCCTCCGTCAATGTGTGCATGGAAGCTCGAGCGCAAGCTCTCAATTGTCGACCGCGGTTCTCATTCTTCACTTGTACCTCTAGGGTCTCATCCTCATCGTTTACACCGCAACAAACATCGGGTCCCACGTACGATGCGGCATATCTCAACGAGCTGAAAGCGAGCACACCCTCTGCGCGGCCCTCACTGCATTCAAGTGCGCTGGATACAGACGTGTCTATGGACGTTGACGATCCGTCTCAGTTCTCAGCGATCACAGGTGAGCAGATATCATGTGTAGTCGAGACTCCGCTGCTGAATCCATGCGCAGACGAACAATCAGAGACAGCAATACCCTCCGCCTCGTCTATTCTGTCAGCCAAACAAAAAAGAGAACGTCTCCGCGCCAATAAAGGCAGCGAGGACTACATCTCACTCTCACTCGCAAAACAAGATGACTTCTCGCGGGGTCCTCATCCAGAAAGTAGATTGATGAGAGAAGACGACGAGCTTGGAGACGCTGATGATGGTATGTTTTGGCTTTTTGGACAAGTAGGTGACTAAATACGCTGCAGAATTCGCCGAGTATACCAGCGCTCAAGAGAGAATTGCGCTTGGGAAGAAGTCGAGGAAGAAAGAGGCTCAGAAGAGGAGGGTCGAGATGAATGACATGATCGTCGATGCGTAAGTATGCATATGCCGTCGCTCGGGAGGTATGACTAACGTTCCCCGTCAGAGAGGAGGAAGACGAAGAGACCAAGGAGTGGGAGCAAGAGCAGCTCCGACGAGGAGGCCTGCGGGCGGAGTCGGTAGAGCCTGCACCTAAACCAGTGTACAAACCTGCGCCAAGTAAGCCCACCCTCTTGGTGTCACATTCGCTTCTGACTGCCTACAGTACCAATGGCTACACCCATACCTACTATGCCTGGCGCCATGGCACGTCTCACTAAGTCGATGTCAGAATTGACAACTTCACATGCCGAACACTCTGCGACAATGGCCAAGCTCGGGGAAGAGCAGCGCATCCTCGACCAGCGAGAAAAGGAGATGCGTGAGATGATCGCCAAGGCCGAGGATAAGCGCAGCTGGTTCGACGCGTTCAGGGAGTGGATAGAGAGCATGGCCACGTTCCTCGACGAGAAGGTACGTGCCTTCACTACTAGTCATTTCAAAGGTCGTTGAGTTTTCGCAGTTTCCTCCCCTAGAGAAGCTGGAAGAGGAGCACATCAATATCCTCAAAGAGCGCGCAGGTATTATCGCCCAACGCCGTAAGGCCGAGGACGAAGACGACCTCGTCACCTTCCTCGGCGTCCCCACATCCCTTGCCCCCGCCGAAGACGTTGTCGACGAGCTCGGCCGCTCCCTCCCCTCCACGACGTCCCCCGCAGCGCGTCAGTCGCGCCTTCAGGCCCGACAGGCACGTCGCACGCTTCGCCGCGCGACCAACACGAAGCAGGCTGCGTCCGACGAAGAGGGGTACTCGACCGATGCGACACTCCCAGCAGGCGACAACGAGGACTATCGGACGGCGATGGGGCGGCTCGTGGCGGACGGCGCCGCGCTCATGGCGGACGTCAAGGCCGAGGGGTTCCGCAACCCCGCTGCGGGGCTGGGGAAGTGGTTCGGGGAGTGGCGGGCCAAGTTTGCTGACGTGTATACGGGTGCGTGGGGCGGGCTCGCCATGATCGGTGCATGGGAGTTCTGGGTACGGCTGGAGATGCTTGGGTGGAACCCGCTTGAGGTGAGTATTTCGTCAAGCCTCTCCTGTTGAGGCCGCTCACGACGCATTGCACAGCGCCCGCGGAGCCTGGACTCGTTCAGCTGGTACGGCGCGCTCTACACCTACTCGCGCCCGTCCCCCGACGACGCAGGAGTAGACGAAGAGGACGACGAGCCGCCGCTCGGCCCCGACGGCGACCTCGTCTCCGCGATGCTCACCACAGCCGCGCTCCCCCGCCTCGCCGCGCTGATAACAGCTGGCGCGCTGGACGCGCACTCCGCCGTCGCCCTCCGCCGCCTCCTCGACCTCCTCGACGAGCTCTCACTCTCCGTCCCCTCCGACCACCCGAAGCTCGAGCTACTTCTCAAGGCCACAAATGCGATCTACGTGGATGCCGTCACGCACACCGAGGACGTCCTGAAGCCGTTCATCGAAGTGCTCCGTGTCGGCCAAGTCCAGGCCAGATTTGACCCCGCCGCAGTACCTGCTCGCCAACGGGTGCTCATGCGTCAGCGGAAGCTGCTCGCGGGCTTGCTCAGGTGGCGGAAAGCCGCGGGGGACCGGTTTGGGGCAGGCGCGCTCGTCACGCGGCTCGTCCAGGACAGCATGCTTCCCATCGCCGAAACGGGGTGGGAGGTCGGCGGGGAGGATGTGATGCGCAAGGTGAGTTCGCCATCTGCATTGGTTAGTACGCCGTGGCACAAACTAATGTGCACTTGTAGGTCGCTCAGTCGCTCCCCATGGACCTATGTCCGCCGTCACTCCAGTCGTTGCGGTAGACCCTCCGTTCGCGCGATAGGGGATCGGAAGAGAGCAGACCATATTGTATTACGATCAGCATTTTTACAAATTCACGGATTCGACATGCGACATGGCGTAGGCTGTGACGTCCCGAACCTGGCGGGACGTGCGCGGCGGACGGCTGGATATCTCATACAGTGCCGGCGCCTTCAACACCCTTGCCCTTTTCCTGCGCCCAAGAAGCGGACGACTCGTACTCCTCGAAAAGCCCAAACGTGAACTGCATCTCCTCTGACGGCGTAACCGCTTCCTCCTCATCCTCGCTGTCCCCGTCCACGCTGGACCCGGAGGAATGCAGAGAACGAGGAGTGTCAGCCGTTGCATTGACATTCTCTAGACAACGGCGGACGTCGTCCATATCTGTCAAGGGCTCAGCCACTAGGTTATGACGGGCAGGACGAGTGAAACACTCACGGTGATCCACCAAGGACACGTATGTACCACCAACAGCGTTCGCCACAGCGCGCAGTGAGCTAGACTCCCCGAAGGAGACACTTGCGCCCGCGTCTTGCATGCTCTTGTACCATGTCGCCAACCTCGAGAGTTCTATCTGGTACGCCACTGGGGTGTGTGCGGGATGGTCAATAGCCGACTCCGCCTCGGGCGTGGGCGTGGACGTGGACGTAGACGGGTCGAGTGGCGGGTACCAAAGGTCAGGGATGTTGTCCATCGGCAGCATATGAGACAGCGAGTCCAGGTCATCCGAAGCGTTGACCGGCAGGGGGAGAGGCACGTCTAAAGCGGGAGACGGTTGGAAGGGCTCGTAGAGAACACTATGCAGGAACGCGAGCTGGGAGACCGTGGGGTCGCAGGAGAAATCGAGGTCTAGGTGGGGCATGACGAGAGTGTCTAGGGGCGCAGTGGCGGAGCAGGAGTTCATATATGCGGCGACGAGCTCTGCTTCGCGCAACGTTCGAGGGGCGAGGGGGTCGGAAGCGACGGACGGCACCGTCGGACGTTCGTTTGGAGGACGAGAACGCACGTCATCGTACAGACGGGCCGCATCAGAGAGCTCGGATGGAGGTAAGTCCGAGTCGAATTGTCCAGATGCATCCATGCCGCCAGAGGGTTCGCCACAGCCAAACGGCGGTGCAGACAGAGAAACAGGGTTGCCTATGAGAAGCGGTTGAGCTTTCAGTGAGTCGGTTGAAGTCTCCTCTGTGGCCGTCGACGGTGGTGAGAATTGCTCCGCCTCCATGGGCCAGCCAGCAACTTGAGCCCCAGTACCCCTCGAGTCTCCGTGCGTCGGCCAGGGCGTGGGCTTCGGGCTCAACGAGTATTTCCGCGTCCCTTTGCTCTTGGTCGGTGACGGCCTCTTCCGCCGCTGTCGTCCAATCCAGTTCCGAATCCACTTCGGGTTCCTACGAGGACAGGTCAGTTCGGGAGCTCGCTGACCCCATGATGTAAGGGAGAGAGAGAGAAGGAGGACGCATACAGGCCAGTTTCAGACGACGCCTCATTCATCTCCGCCTTCGTCGGTTCTGGGCCCGTTTTCTCGTACCAGGCGCGGAGGACGGTGACCTGCTCCGGGCTTGCGACGGTGCGGTTGACTGGTTTGAGAACAACGGGTACGTCGGGGAGCTCCGCCTTCCAGCTCGGTGGTTGGGCATTGAATGCGGACCGCAGGAGGCGATTCGGAGACGACTTCTGTGGGAGAGAGTCTGCGTCGGCGTTCATAGCAAATTTGTGCGCGACCAGGCTGGCGTCGGAGGGCGGGGGGGGGGATGTGGAAGAAGAAAGAGAGTGGCAGAGAGGTGCGTTGGCGGGATGCGGAGCATAGCACCGTCGGAGAGGCTCTTGGGGACGGGGCTTCGACGCTACGCTATTCGGGGGCAAATAGGCCGCGACCCGAGGCGCATCTTGAGTGATTTGCGTCAGATTGCTTGCATCCAAATTTCGAACGTGAAGGCGTCCGAATGGAAGGGCGACAATGTGTATCACGACAACATAGACCTTGTTTCCCAGTTTTTCAACACCAACAGCGTAAGTGGCAAGTGGCAGCGGGATGGTTAAGGAGGTAAACAAATCGAGATGCATACGAGCTAGTAAAACAAGCCGAGCGTCGAACGTCTGTAGGAACGTTCACTACCGCAGATGAGAATACAATGTAGCGACCACGAGAGGGAGGGAGGAAAGTTCGGGCCGAGGACCTATACTACTTATTCAGTATTACTAGCGAAGTCCAGACACAACGCCTCCACCGGGACCAGTCTCGGAGTGCTCCCGCGGTCGTCCGTAGATCATGGACAGCAGTGTCCATGTCAACCTCAGCGTACATCCGCCTACTATCCTAAATCTTACACCACACAGCGACACAGTCACCAACGCCCAGCAATGCGGCCGGCGGCCCACACGACGCCACCACCGCCCACTGGCAGCAGAAGCACCCATACGCCGACGTCCCAGATGAGTCGGCGCCAGAGCCGGCGACGCTGGAGCGTGCGCTCCTTCGCCTGCAGGAGCTCGTCCGAGAGACTCTCGCTCGGCTCGACGAAGTGCCCGACCGTCGGGGTAGTGGGCGGGACAACGATCGAGAGCGGCTGGCGGAAGTTGTGAATGACGATGTGGAGCAGGGCGGGGACGACATAGGTGCTGAGGAATGCTAGCACGAGGATGACGTCGCTCCCAACTCGCGAAACGCGAGCAGGAAGGACGGAGAGGCAAAGTGCGAGAAGGTAGATGAGAACTTTGGAGAGGGAGGGGAAAGCGCGGCGGAGCGTGTAAGGGAGGGGAATCGCGGGGCTGGGGATGAGTAGGGCCGGGATGGAGAGGATGAGCGAACAGGCAGCAAAGACCGACACGGTGGTCTGAAGATCTGGGGTCGGGAGACTGAACCCCTGTTGAGCGTACGTGAGTATGCGATGTCTCACAGGCCCAGACGATGTTACGTACCCGAGGGCGAAGCGACGCTCCAAAGACTGCGAGAGGCAGGATGAAGGCTGCAGAAATGGCAACAGACAATACAGACAAAAGCTTGAATGATTGTAGGCGTCTTGATTTGATGTTGAGGGGGTCAATAGTGCCTTTCAAGGAGGCGTATAGAGGTACAGTGGAGGTAGTGGTGAAGGTGAACGCCAAGGCCGCTATGAACTCGTCGAATGAATAAGGTTCGGTCGTGCTGAGAGAATATCAAAGACACGCACGGATTCCTTGCCACAGCTGGCCAAGAGACTGGGGATTCCAGGTCGGCACCATGATGTGCTTAGCATGCATATAGGTGGTGACCGAGAACCAGGCCACATAAACGACTACCGAAATCCAAGTTGTCCGCACGACTCGGCGAGACGCAAGCGATGTAGCGGCATAGATTGGTGCGACAAATGCAGCCAGGATGATAGTGGCAATCGCCCGAGACGGAATCACAAGCGCGTCCGGGAAGCACGGCAGCAAGAGGTCCACGGCATCTGTAAACAGTACAATGAGCCTCCGTCCAAACATAGTTGCATAACGTGAACGCACATCTGAGATACAACGCAGTCAGGATTATCCTAAACACTGTCCCGGAGGACCGTACGGCTTGTCGCAATGCTGCGCGCCGAGACTGTTTGCCGCGCCCTCGTGCAAACGTCTCAAGAACGATTTCTTCCATGTCCGCGCGGCGTACATATCTCGCAAGCATGTACCAGATCTGACGAGTGAAGGCTGAGAGGGCGGCAAAAAGCAGGAGTGTGGGCACCGCAACCCGCGTCGGCAGCCCTGTTGCAGGTACGAGCAGTACGCCGAGGCGAAGGTACGGAGCCAAGAGGTAGAGGAATGCGCTGAAGGATGAGAGAGGGGGGATGGCTGAGGAGCGTACGCGCGCGAGCTGGAGCTCCGCCTCGTCGACCTCTATTGAAGCATCGTCGCCTTCGCCGTCGACATCGAAGTTGAAAGTAAGGCTGGTGGTTGAAGAGGGGGAGGCGACGTCGGGGACGAGGATGAGGGCAGCGGAAGAGTCGAAGCCGTTCAGCGGGGAACTGCGACCGGAGACGAAGCTGTCGCGGTCTGAGTCCGTCGACGAACGCGGAGATGCGTCCATGACTTGAGACTGGGGAGAGGGATGCTTGAGCGTGGGCGGGCCAGGTTTGCGGGTTGGCAGAGGGGGCCGGTGAGGGTCGGAAGCAAAGGTGGGGCGGCGCGGAGGACGGTAGAGTGCGAATGGAGGGGAAAAGGAGCGACGGATACCAGCTGCAGAACCAGCCTGCGCGAGACAGAGCTGAGAAGAGGGTTGAGCTGGTGGGGGGAGGCAGGGGGGAGAAGAAGCCTCGGCGCGACGAGACTTCCCAAGCGGCCTTCCGAGTGCCTCAACTGCGCATCCGACGCGCACCCCGATTGCGAGGGTCCCGATCGAGCCCGGCCCGGTGCGTTCTCATCTGCGCCACCAGAGTCAGTGGTGTTTTGCTTTCGACACTCCTTTCGAGGTTGCGAACTGCATAGCAAACATGCCTCTGGATCTTCCGGGTCTCTACTGGGATGAAGAGAAGAAGAGGTACTTCCCCATATCGTCCAAACCAGCCGGCGCCGTTTCAAGGCCCATCCCACCTTCCGCGCGTAATGACAACCGACAAAGGCCGCGTCCGCGTCCAAGGACACACGGAGCAGAATCCGATTCGGACACTCCTCCATCGAAACGACACCATGCAGGGTCTTCAGCCAGAACCAGCACTACGTGGGACGTATGGAACGGATTTCGGGAGTCCGCGCTGAGCCTCCAGCGGGGCCGGTCCAAGCAGTACGCATATTTCGCTCTGCATTCTCAAGAAGAGTTCCAGTTCATGCGTTGCTGCAGTAAGATACGTGCACAGCAGCTTTCGGATTGCAAGCTTGATCAGGCGAGTGCACCCGTGTCACTGGGTGGTCTCGCCGTAGGATTGTGCACGAGGGTATGCCATCTCGCTACCGCCCCCACCGTGCTGCAGTTCAGCTAGACTCTGACCTGCCGTCAGGGACCTCCAAAAGACAAGAAAATCCTTGTCGGTGACATCACCGGCTGGTTGTATTCCATTGAAACAAAGGACCCCGAGGTAGCGATGCCCGAGTTCGGTGTTCGATCGCAGGTAAGTGCCACCACAGCGTCGTTGCGAGAGGGTGAACCATTCACATGGCACAGATAACCTCCGTCAGTGGGTCGGGCGAAATATGCATGTAGGTGCCATGCATCACTGAGGAACATACCAATACTGTAACTCAAACCTAGGGTGACCTCGTTAGGACCTCCCGGCGCTCGTCTCCTCGTCGCCCGAGAAGATATGATGGAGTTTGTTACATGGTCTTGAGTTGACGATGATCATCAGCCGCTTACCATGAGCAACGCAGGACATGGATAATACGCGTACTCCCACCGAAGATATGCGCCGACGTGTGGTGCGGTGAAGCCCACGGACGGAAGGCAACCCTCGGTGGCCGTAAAGCCGCGTTGTACTTTCCGGACGCAGCCGAGAGGGACGAATACACACGCATACCCCGCACCAGCGATGTGCTGGCCATGTGCCAACAGAACGAGGTCAGGAACACCATCCTTTCCCGGCGGTGTAGTACTGATAGTGAATTGACTCGGATAGCACATCACCTACCTAGGGATGCGCAACGGAATCGTGGATCGTTGGGATTCTCGCGAATCCGTGGGCAAGACCGACCTTCTCGTGAACATGACGGCGGCTCGACCTCCCTCTAGCAGTAACTGGGGTCTCGCCAGCGCCTCCGTCGACTACCTGCGCGTCGTTCACGAAAACGCACTATTGGTTCGGACCATGCGTGGAGACGTGTGTACCGCGGTGGATCCATCCGTCTTCGCACCGCTTTATTGACGAGAACCACACACCCATTGGTGCATTGATAGCTAGAGACTCACGACTTGCGGTTTATACGCGGCAACACACCATTGCTGCAGTTCTGCGGTCACCCTCAAACTGTCGACACGAAACTGGTAAGAACCAATCGACTCATGGCAGTGAGTGTTTGATAACGAACTGGTGCGCTTAGGGCATCACCGTGGATCCGGGAGAAGATTTCCTGTTCGCAGGTGCCACAGACCGCAAGCTTCCCATCTGGTCTTTGCGCACAGGCGAGCCACTGCCTTCACCAGTGTGCCCCGCGAACGACATGAACATCCAGCCGGTTCGGGTGATGGAGATTGTCGAAGAGGACGATGGGATGTACATTTGGATGGCGCGAGGCGGTAGGGTCAACCGAGTCCTGTTGGGGCCGCGCGGATTGTTCTTCAGTGTTCCCGAGCCGGATCGCAGTACTGATACTATTCTGTCGTCATCGTAGCACGTATGCTCGTTTGGTTGCATTCCCTTCGGGCCGACTGCTGTAATGTATGGTACATGCCCAAGGTGACCCCGTTGACGCCACGCTAGAGCCGCCTGTGATGTTTGTCGTGATCGATGCATGGTATCCGACGAACCGACCGTCCTAAGACATGGCTCGTCCCGCCGACCCGTCTATAGTCCTATGAATTCGCTGCCGTCCGTGCCCCGTTCCCCACCTGCGCTTAGGACGACTCGCCGAGGATGCCCATCTCCTTCCACTTCTCCCACAGCGCGCCCACGCCGACGAGCGCGCCGGGCTGGCCCTTGATGTCCTTGACGTCTAGGAGCTCGTACTCCTTGCCGAACGCGAGGAAATGTGCGAAGAGGGAGTTGAAGTGGCCCTCGGAGCGGAGGTGGAGGATCTGGGGGTAGTGCGCGTGGTAGAGGTGCGCAAAGACGCGGAGCAGCTGGCGGTAGACGTGCTTGACAGTCGAGGGGAAGCTCGATGAGAAGTCGCGGCCTAGTCGCAGGTCGTAGTTGGCGAGGTGTGTCGAAGACGGAGGGGCAGGCGTGCTGTCAGCATGGCGACGCGAGGACGCGCGGCGACCGCGTTGACGCACCGGACTTGGTGGGGAAGACAGACTCGTCGTCGAGGAGGTTTTGAACCCAGGTCATCACGTAGTCCACGTAGGTGGGCGCGGGGAGCTGCACGCTTTTGCGGTCTTGGTTGATCCAGGTGTAGTTGAGGCTGAAATGCCGGTCAATCGGTAAGAGGACTCCTAGAAGATAACCACGCACCTGGGGCCTGCAGACATAGATGGGCACGACTGGGCCGTGCAGCATTCAGCCAGCACCCCGTAGAATTGGTTGAGGTTGGTATAGAAGTCGAAGACTACAGACCGAGACAGCAGAGGGCGGAGCGTACTATTCAGGCGTAGAGCAAAGCGTAGAAAATGATGACGCACTGTTCACCGCAACCCACTCCATCACATCCGCATACTTTGGCAGCATGACGATCGTTTTGAAGTTGCCCTTGACGAGCGCCGCCTCGACGAAGGGGCTGCATAGGTACAGAGGCTTCTGCCCCGACGGACTCGTCGGGGTCGGGGGTGGCAAAGAGTCTGTAGATGGGAAGTTGGCTGAGGTGGGAGTAGTAGAGCGTCTAGGAGGGCGCTGGTTACGCTGCATAGAACGGCTACCGAACCCCGCGATGAGTATCGATTCAGACGGTGGGTCGTTTCGCGTGCTGGACGCACCCAATGGAATTGAAGAATGACATGGTGCTCGAAAAACTGGGTCGTCACGTAGCGGTCGGAAAGCGAGGAGAAGGAGGAGGAGGAGAGGTGGCAGAAGAGAGAGATGTTGTCGCTGGCCGCTGTCTTCGGCTCGTACACTTCGCGACGCGGGTTAGGCCACCCACGTGACCGACGTAAGTAGCACTCAGTGTTTGCGCGTATTGAAATCCAAAGCCATTGCCAAATACAGACAAACAACTTCACGCGGCGCACTACGCGCCACCGAGCCTTGTCCTCTGTGTTTCCACTGCACCTCCGGGTCCTGGCCCGCCATGATGAAGACCCGCAGAAAAAGTAAGAACGCCGCGGCCGCGGCCGCCGAAGACGCGCCCCCCACCCCCGCCATCATGAAGGTCGACGTTCCCGAGGACATCGACCTGGACCTATTGTCCTCCTTACTCCCTGACTCCGACTTCACCACTCCTACTCCTGACTTCATCGCCTCTTTGTATCGGATACTAACCGAACAAGTCGAATCATCCGACGCGGCCCAACGTGAGGTGGAGGGTGCACGTGCCGAGGTCCAGCGCAAGGAGGTCGAGCTCGACCAAGCCATTCAAGACCGCGAAACCGCGACGTCAGAATTGGGAACCACGCTGGAGGCCGTGCAGAAGGAGCTAGCAAACATCAAGCAAGAAAGAGACACCTTTGGTGCGTATTTGCGTCATCGAGGAAGATAAGCCCCTCATCCCAGCGCATATAGCTGCTGAGCGTGCAAAGCTCCAAGCTGGCTTGGATACTCTGTCCAACTCTCAGTCGACCTCTTCTGTAGAGGCGCAGACGCTGCGGCAACGTGTGGATGAGACGGAGCGGGAGAAGCGAGATCTCATGGGCGTGGTTAGCCGACTACAGGAGGATGCCGTTCAGCGTGACTCAGAGATCCAGACTCTGCGCTCGGACTTGAAGCAAGCTCGTCAAGAGCACCAAGGTCTGGAACGCCAAGTTCGGGAGCTCACGTCCGCAGAGACCTCGATCAAGGTGCGTGTACTCATCGCAATCCACATTCTCTTTATCCATTTACAGCCATACAGTTCAAGGTTGACTCGCTCACACAACAACTGGAGCTGGCGCGGACAGAAACTGAGCGCAGTGCCACGGAACTCGCCACTCGGTCGGAAGAGTTTGCCAAGTACCGCCGTACGAAGCACGCCGAACTTGCTCAACTCCAGGCTGCCCACGACTCTCTTGCCCAAACTCACGCATCATCGGAAAGCACCCTCAAGGCGCTGCAGTCCGCGCACGCCGCACAGTCTCACCAGCTCATGCAAGCTCTCACCCGCGTTCAGGACCTCAAAGGACAACTTGCGGAGCAAGAAGCTACATACTCGAGCGAGGCGGCTGGGCTGCGGAGGCTGGTGGCGATGATGGAAGACCGTGAGGCCCAGGCGAAGGTTCTTGTTGACAGCATCGAGAAGGACTACGCGAACGTCGGCGAAAAGGCGGAGAGGCGAGAGACGGTCCTGCGGGAAGAGATCGACAACCAGAAGCAACGCGCAGAGGAGGCAGAGAAGAGAGTGGCAGACCTGCAGGCCGTCATGGACCGCATGGACCGCGGTGAGTTCCCGGTTCCTGCCTTCGGCGGTTCCGTTAGCACACCCGGTACGCCCGCCCGCGGTATGTCGACACCTATGCGTGGCGGCAACACGTCGGACATCCTCTCGTCAGGAATGTTCGGCCTCAGCCCCACAGTCGCCATGGCTAGTCGTACACAACGGGGCGGCAAGTCGTTCACCGAGGTCTACTCGGATTTCGTCAAGCTTCAGGACGACTACGCGCGCAAGTGTGCCGAATACGACGAGATGGACCGCACACTCCAGAGCGTTCTTGTTCAGATCGAGGAGAGGGTATGTATAGTGAGGTATTTTTGGTCATACCCATGCTAATTGTGCAATATAGGCCCCCATTCTCTCGCAGCAACGTATCGAGTACACACGTCTCCAATCTGAGACGTCGCAGCTTACGATACAACTCGCGCAGGCGCTCCAGGAGCGTGAGGCTTTTGCTACTGCGGCATCTGAGAACAGCCAAAAGCTGGAGAAGAGCAGTCGGGAGAATGAGCTTCTCGGCAAACAGTTAGAAGACCTTGGCCGGCAGCTACGTACCCTCATGAAGGAACTTGGCCGACAACAAGACGCATCCATTCCTTCTGACGACGTCCTGGAACAAGACGAGTCCATTCAGCCTGCTGAGAGCATCGAGGCTGTCATCACAAACAATCTGGTCCTCTTCCGTTCTATTCCTCAACTCCAAGAACAGAACCAGAAGCTTCTAAAAATTGTGCGCGAACTTGGTGCTAAGTTGGAGGCCGAGGAGAAGGACTACAAGGAGGCACTGGAACGCGAGCAGAGCGAAGCCGTACGCGAGGCACACGAAGCAATTGGCAAGCTGGCTACGGAACTCGAGAACCACAAACGCAGCAGTGAGGTGACCATTGAGGCGTACAAAAAGGAGCGCGATGCCCTCCGTAGCATGCTGTCTCGTCAGAAGACGTCTATCGCCACTCCTCAGCTCACCAACGGCATTGATGGTCAACCTTCCGAGCACTCCGACGTCGCCCAGGAGCTCGAGGAGGTTCAGAAGCAGTTTGACGCCTACCGCAATGAGATGGGTGTGGACTCTTCTCGCCTACGTGAGGAGTCTCTTAACTCGCAGCGGGAAGTGACTCGGTTGAGCACTTCGTTGGCCAAGGCTCATGCTCAGATCGAAGTGCTTACGGGTGAGTTCAAACTACAGTCTTTTCTTGGTCATGTTAGGGACATTCCACTTTCTAGAACGTCATCGGATGCTTCAAGAACAGATCATCCACCAGAAACAACAGAATGATGATCTTGTCAAGCGTAACCAAAGCCTCTACGACCAGTACACACGCATTGACATCGAGTGCAACCGCATGTCCGAGGACCTGCTCTCCAACAACAACACTCTCGAGATGCTCCGCAATGAGGCTGCCAACCTGCGTGCTGAGAAGAAGATCTGGGAGGTGTGTCTACCGGAATCACTGTTCTTCCAACATCTAACCAGTTGGGACCCAGAGCGTTCAATCACGACTAGTCAGCGAGAACAAGACGCTTGCCACGGAACGTTCTCACTTGTCCGATCTCATGGCCAACGTCCAGAAGATGCACAACGACCTCGAGCGTTCTGGTGAGAACGACCGCCGGCGGATGGAGAGTCAGCTCCAGCTGCTGGAGAACCAGACGTATGTCTGACTCGCTTGCCTCTTCTTTGGTCTAACGGTTCTCCGTAGCCTGGACCTCCGCACTCAACTTTCGCAGGAACGGGAATCTGTCCGGCGTCTGGCACTTCAAAAGGACATCGAGCTTAAGGAGGCACAGAACAAGGTCGAGAAGGCTGTAAGTGGCGTAATCAGTGCATGGTTTCAGACGTACTCATGGTTCCGAGCAGACCCAGGGACTTAGCAAGACGCGTGAACTCCTTGTCGCAGCGGAGACTAGCAAGAAGCACCACGAGGAACGCATCGAGCAGCTCTCGAGGCAGCTGCAAGGCAACGAAGAGAAGCTCGCTGTTTACGAGCGCAGGGGTCCCGCCACAGGCGTGGAAACCCTGTCCTCGCACTTGGACGATGACGTGCCTCATGAACAACAACTAGAGTCTGAAGTTGCTGAGCTCCGGTATGTGTTTTGAACTCATGGCATCGTCGATTTGTTACTGAACCCACGTACAGTGCCGCTCTCAAGGTTGCGCAGGTGGATCTTGCCACGGCACGCGGTCACGTACAACAATTCCAGCAGATCAGCGAAGCCAATGAGGCTGCTCTCGCCGCACTCAACTCCACGCACGACGAATACCAGGCGTCCACTGAAGCGGAACTTGCCAGGCGTCAGGTATGAGTAGGTGTTATTTTGCATCCACCATACTGACACGGTGCATCGTAGTCTGAGATTGAGGCCCTACAAGAAAGGCTTCGTCTTGCGGAGGAGCGTCTCCTGGAGCTCACGCAAGCGAACACGGACATCCAGCGTCAATTCGATACGGAACGCGCCGCTTGGATCAGCGACAAGAAGACACTCGAGGATACCATCGTCGACATGAGCACCTCTGCGCAGTCAAGTCAGACCGACCGTACCTCCTGGGAAGCCGACATCCACCAGCAAGAGGAGCGCGCTAAGGTACTGTTGTACACTCTCTATTGCATAATCTCACTGAGAACATTAACAGGCCGCGGAGGAACGCTACTCCAAGGAGGTTGTCGCCCATGCGGACGCTTTGAAGGCCGCCAACGACCTCAGGGAGCGCCTCAAAGAGAGTCAGGTCACTGCTCGGGAAGGTCGTGCGGCTGCAGAGACCGCCCAAGCCAAGCTCGCTAGCTCCGAAGCCAGCTGGCAGCAGCAGCGTGAGGCTCTCGACAAGGAACTGGCAGACCTTCAGTCCAGGTGCAAGGATCTCAGCGAGCAGAACAGCCTCCTCCACCAGCACCTTGAGTCGGTCAGTTCGCACGCAGCTCGCATCAAGCATGCTGCGAGCTCTGCGGATATGGAGACTGCCTCGGCAGAGTCGGTGGACGACGCGAAACTTTCAGACCTGCGCACTTTGATCTCCTACTTGCGCAAGGAGAAGGAGATCGTCGAGCTCCAGCTTGACCTTGGTAAGCAAGAGAGCACGCGACTCAAAACTCAGCTCGACCATCTTTCTACTACTCTCGATGAGACTCGCAAGTCGCTGTCCGAGGTACGCCTTTCTCGGCTTTGTGCGCTTCCTCAGAGCTCATTTTGTTTAGGAGCGCGAGCGCGCCGTCCAAGCTGCCGTGTCCGAGGCCCAACACAGTCAGCTGGCAGAGAAGGTCAATCAGGTCGCGATTCTCCGCGAAAGCAACGCCACCCTCCGCGCCGACTGCGACACGTACTCAAAGCGCGCCCGCCAACTCGAAGCTGATCTGCGCAAGGTCAACGAGGAGATGGAGCCCATCAAGGAGCAGCTTCGTGTTGCGCAGGCCGAAATCGAAGTCAAGGACCAGCAGATCAAGCTCCTCGAGAATGAGAGTCAGAGGTGGCAGCAGCGCAACTCTCAGCTCCTCACCAAGGTGCGTTGGAATATCCTTATTGAACGTTTTGTCGTTGACGTGCGCGGCAGTATGACCGTATCGATCCGGCTGAGGTTCAGAGCCTCAAGGACCAAATCGCCGCGCTCGAGACAGAAAAGACCGAGATCATGAAGCTCGCTGATGAGCACAGCAAGAAGGCAGCGACTGCTCAGGAGAGGGTTTGTGGTCCTTTCGACGTTCTTTGTGCTTCCCGCCTGACGCGGTCCGCCCTCAGAACCAGAAGTTGATCGGCATTAGTCGTCAAAACGATGCGAAACTGAAGAACATCAACACTGCCAAGGAGGCGGAGATCGTGAGGCTCAACGGTGTCAATGAGGAGCTGAGCAAGAAACTCGAGGAGTTGCAAACGAACGCTGTCACGGCTGCCGCCCAGGGTGTACAGATTGACCCTGCGCTCACCGAGGAGTTGGAGGCCCTTCGCGCGGCAAAGTCTAGCCTTGAGGAGGCTCTTGCGACGGAGAAGGCAACTTCTCTGCTCGCATCTTCACAAACGGCTGCGCAGACGGCTGAGCTTGTAAGCCGTTCATCTCAGGGGAGGGATATTTATTCTTTTGTGCTGATTCAGGTATAGGACCGTCTCAAGGCTGAGCGCGACAATCTTCTCAACGAGAAAGCATCTTGGTCAACGAGTGCTGCTGTCGAAGGGAGTGCCACTACCGCTGCTCCGGCAGAGTGGACCGCCGAGCGTGAACAGCTGGTCAAGGCTCGCGAGGATGCCGAGAGTCGTGTTAAGGTAAAGTAACGTTTCTTATGAAGATCGGGCGTCATTGACCCCAAATTTGAAACAGGAGCTGGAGAAGAAGGTCGCAGAAGCCGCTGAAAGCGCCGAGAGCGCGAAGGCTCAGACCGTACGTGTTTTGTTCCCAGTGAATATACCATGAACGCCGACTAACAGTCCGGAATAGGGCAAGTTCATTGAACGTATCAAAACCATGCAGCACGGTCGTTTAGCTTTGGACGAAGAAGTCAAGAAGCTGCGCCAACAGCTGCAAGAGGCGTCCACTTCTACCAGATCCGACCCCGCGGATGCAGCCAGACACGCTGAGGAGCTGCGCGCATTGGAAGAACGTCTCGTGAAGAAACACGAGGAGGAGCTTCAAAGCGCGGTAGAGGCCGCGAAAGCTTCTGCAACTGCCTCCAGTGCTCCTGTCACCCAGGATATACAGGCCGCGATCGACGCCGCGTTGACTGAGTACAAAGACAAACTGCAAGAGGAGCACCAGAAAGCTCTCATCGATGCGACAGAAAACGGCCGCAAGGAGTCCGCGATGCGATCGAAGATCAAGGACCAGCAGCTGGTGAAGACACAAGCAAAAGTGAAGGAACTCGAGGCGCAGATCATCGCTCTCGAAGGTGGAAACATCACGGCGTCTACTTCCGCACCTGCTGCTGTCACCCCGGCGCCCACGACCGTAACCCCCGCTATCACCGCTTCCCCCACCATCGCCAAGGGTGCCTCCAGCCTACCCACGTCGCTACCTCCCAAACCCTCCGCCGGACAACGAGGAGGGGCTCCGGCTGCCCGTGGTCGCGGCTTGCCTGTTCGCGGGGGTTTGTCGATCCGCGGAGCCGCCCCAGGAGCCGGCCGTGGCGCACCCGCCGCCGCCGCCGACGCTGCGACGAACGGCGCGAAGCGTACTCGCGAAGGCGACAACATCGTCGACGACGCCACAGCGAAGCGACAGAAGCAGGGCGGTGCACCTGTTCAGCTGCGGCGAAACCGCGTTGATACGCCGCCATGAGCGGCTCAGTAGACGAACTCACGGACTCAATTCTGCCTTCGCTCCAACCTTGTCACTCTGCCTCATCCTCCAGACTCTGTACCTCACACATATGTATTTTTATGTCTTGCATGCCATCCTTCTCATTCCGTTGCTATTGTACCGTATCTACATGTCGAGCTGCTGCCGAGCTTACATAATTTTCCCCGAATGCCACCTCTGGAACATTTCACCCCACCACGCCCTCCGCCGCTGAGGTTGATCTGATTCTTGCATCACAACGTGTGTGCACCTTCCGATGGTTACTGTCAGGTTCTCCACGTCTAGTGGGCAGTCAACGCCGTCGACCTGCCACGACCCGACCAAGGTTGCCATGTCCTGAGGTCGAGGTTGAGCTACCTGGATGCACCTGTAGTATCTCATTTAATCTCAATGTCGAGGGTGCTGAACGCTGAATGACCTAAAACGGAGAACAGGTTCCTAGTCGAATCAAACTGACGTCGGCGACGGCCTCGAGGCAAGCACGAGGCTGCAGACGCTGGTTGCCCATCATCACCGGGGAATGAACGGTTGAAAGCACACGGGTGGGATAATTAACTGGTGCCTTGCTTAGCAAATGCGCGCCTTGGGGAGAGCTTGTTTCCGCGTCGGGCGATATGGCACGTTTGGCCACGCTAGGTCTCGGAGCATGTCTTTAGGCTTCTGTAGGGGAGAGCATTTGCAGAACTCTCTTTTTACATAGGCGCCTAGAGTCATCTGTGAGAGGAGGGCGTGGGCGCCTAGGGGACGGACGCGGTGGCGTGAGCGGGGTCCGGCGCGTCGCGTCGCGGTACGTAAGGACGCGGTTGTGGCGACCTCATGCTAGGCGCGTTCTCCTTCTCACGCCCATGTTCGACTCTCGCCCGTAAGCGAGTCTCAACCGTGATGCGTCCTTGACCTCCAACCGCCTCGTCGCTTTCGCTCTGTCCTCGTCTCGTCTCGTTTCTCCTCTCTTGTCTGTAAATCTAGCTGTCGTCGCTCTCCCTCGCCCATGATTCCGCCACCACAGCCTCCCAATGAGGCGACCGACATCTTCTCCATCTCCGACCAGGTCCTCGCCGACAGGCTTCAGTTCATCGAGGAAGTACGCATATCAGCCTCTGCTGCGGCTTGAGACACGTCGGTGTTCATTTTTTCACTCATGCAGATCGGTTTCGGAAACTGGGGAAGCGTCTGGCTCTGCTGCCCCAAGGGCGACACATCCTCGAGCCCTCTGCAAGACAGCAAGATCGCCGTTAAGCTCGTTCACCGCTCCAAGACCTCCACCACCGCAGCTCGAGTCCGGTCATTGTACGTTACCCTGGTGTTGCTCATTCTCTTTACTCTCTGTTCATCGCTTGCTTGCACAGATGGAACGAAATGAAGGTCGTCCGGTCGCTGAAACATGAGCCCCACCCGTCCATCATCCCCTTCTACTCGTTCATCATCACTCCCTCGTATGCCTTGATCACGATGTAAATATCTCCCCTTGATGGTTTCCACCACACACCTTCTGACGCACTAGCAGGGCATACCATCCCAGACTAATCACCGTCGAAGTTTCTGAATCCCACGCTAAGGAGTGGTTCCGATCGCTCTTATCTGGTGTTGAGTTCCTGCACAAGCACGGCGTTGTGCACAATGACATCAAGTACGCCACATTTATTCATCTCTGCATTACGCATATACTCATTTACACAGACCCGCAAACATCCTGCTGTCCAACGAGAACGTTCCCGTTCTAGTCGACTTTGGCTTTGCTGAGCGGTATGATCTGCAGTCCTCGGAGGCGTTCCACAGTAATCTGTCGTACGGCACCCCCGAGTATCTCTCTCCGGAGCGTGCCCGTGGTCTCCCTCACGACACACGCAAGTCAGATGTCTGGTCCCTCGGCGTCACATTCTTCGAGATCCTTGTCGGCCGGACAATGTTCGAACTCTCCGAGGGCGAACAGTTTTCGACGAAGGCGGATTTGGAGAAATACTGGGCGCGCACCCTCCGCGGCAAATGGGTCGGCACGTGGACCATGTCCAAGGGCGTTGAGAAGCTTCTCCGCCGGATGGTGCTCCCCAACGCCGACCTCCGCTGCACTGCCTCGCAGGCGATGGCCGACCCGTACTGGACTCAGGCCGAGTCGCTCAAGCAAGTGCACAGAAAGTCTGCCAGCGTGTCACACTCGCGGAGCTCTTCTTTGATTCTGGACAAGGAGATGACGAAGCTGTTGGATGTCATCCCACCATGGGCTTCCCGTGGTAGCAAGGACAAGGACAAGGCGAAGGTCGAGAAGGATAAGGGCAAGGCCGAGAAGGACAAGGGCAAAGTTGCCGGCAAGGAGAACGTTGTGCTCGGGAAGAAGGACGCCCAGGCGGCGGCCCGCTCAGGACACGGACACACACGCTCTGCTTCTCAGCCGAAGCTCCAGCTGTCACCCGAAGGTATGGTGTCTGTCGTTTCTTGTTGCGGCCAGATGCTAACGTCGAAATGACAGCGCGAGGTGTAGCGCAATCCAAGCGACAGCACGCAATGCCGTCCGTGTTCTCTGCCCTATCTCCCATCAAGCACTCGCCCCCTCCGTCAACTGCGACGTTTAGCGCGATGGAGAAGGAGAACCCCGGCGCAGAGCGCTCCAAAGGCCCTCGTGTTGCACGGAAACCTCTCGGCCCTCGGTCCCCGTCGAACACCCCTCCAAGCACCCTCGGGCGCCACGCGTCTAAAGAGAATGCCCATGCCGTTGCTCGCGTCCACACCAACGAGAAAGCGGCCACCGCAGAACGTCGTCGCAGCCGTGCCCTACGCGATGTCACCCACGGTGCGAACGTCTCCTCGCCCCCTCCAGCCCCCTCTGCGCGTGTGCGCAAGGCCGCGGACAGCGACACCCTGAAGTCAGCGGACACCAGCAAGGACTCGGTCCGCAGCCGGATGATGGACTGGGAGCGTGAGCGCGAACGTCTTCGCGAACTGGAGCGCCAGAAACTACGCGAGGCGGAGTCAGAGGTCGACGACGACGGCGACGCAGAACACGCCCGCGAGGAGGAGTGGGCACGGGAACGGCGGCGGATGGAAGAGGAGACGAAAGCTCATCAGGAGCGAGTCGCCCGTGACGAGGAGGCGGAGCGCAGGGAAGTGGCAGAGGCGGAGGCGGAGGCGGAGAGGCAGGAGCGTGAACGGGAACACCTGGATCGTGAGGAGCGGAGGCGGCGGGAGTACATCCTACCGAAGATTAGCGTGGGTCCTGCGCTGGTGCCCGAGACGAGCCTGTCGACCTCGCCGCTCAGTCCGCTGTTTGAGGGTACGGCCGTTTCTCATCGTTGCTCGCCGTTGTCGCTTACCGGTCGTGCAGAACCGTCGGAACCGCCAGCGACACCACATGCCGAAACCAGCATGGGTGCTCTCAAGCAGAGCCTGCGAATGTCCATTGGTACGTGGTGTGGCCCCTTACTCGATTTGGCATTGCTGACCAGTCCGTAGGCAACGCGGTGCGGCTATATAAGTCGTCGACCCATATGCTCGGTCGCTCGACGCCCGCGCTGACCCTGGGCTCTGGAGACGCTGATGACGACTCTCATAGTCTCAGTGAGGATCCGTCGTGGGACGACGATGGTGGGTCATACTTGAGCGGATATGATCAACCAAACGAACTCATAACTCCCCCCCAATAGCTCAACGTGAAGAGGCCAGAATGGATCGCATGACTTTGTGGATCCAAAGTGTCGAGCGTACGTGCATTGGTGATGTCTTTGCAGACTTCTTGCTCACTCTGAAGACTTACAGGGGTAGTGGACGAGGCTCGGCAGAACTTCGAGGCGAGCTCGCCTACTCCGATTGTCACTCCCGCTGCTCTACCCATCGCCCCTATCTCACGTCGCTCTTCGGCCAACCACTCGGGTCGTGGTCAGCGAGTACCACGCAAGATCCTGGCTGCCAACGAGATCTTCGTCAACGACTATGAGCCCGAGACGTACGCCCGCAACGCAAGCATGCTCTCCGACAGGAGCGGGCTCTCCTCTCCTCTCCCCAGTCCCTCTTACCTCAATGCCACTTACCACCCAACCATCGACACCACGCTTCCCACTATCCCCTCGGAGGCTCCAAGTACCTTCCTCGATACGTCACGAGCGCTTTCGGAGTCTCCTTCGCGGGCGAGTTCTGTTGGTCCGAGTGAGGTCCTCCCACCTCCTCAAACCCCCTCTCGGAAGCGCCGCGCGACCGTCGTCACCCGCTCTCCGGATAACGTACGGGCAGTTAAGAGCCTTGATCTCGACCTCTCCCCATCGAAACGGCGAGAGAAGTCGCGCAGCCACGGGGACCTCCTTCGGCCAATCACCCCCATCACCAAGCTCGAGTTTGAGCTGGAGCGTCGTACGTCCATTTTATACCCAGCTGCCTATCTGCCACTCAGGAGCTGACCATCGGGGTATAGTGTCCCAACCCGCTCCGCCGCCCAGGCTGTCTTCGGTCGTTGACAAGAGCCTTTTCATCGCTTCCTCGCCAATGCTCCAGCGTGTCGACGAGAACACGTACGAGACGCCGCAGCGGCAGAAGAACGAGCTGACCGCCTCTCCTCTCCACATCGAGTCATACCCACCAAAGACTATGCCGGCGAAGGGGTCGGTCACGCTCGATACACCTGCCAAGCGGCAGATTGAGGGCGTTTACGACAGGTACATTCTTTCGATTGCTTTATACTGCGGCCAGATATTTACGACCCGGCAGATTCCTCATGTCCACTACCGGTGTTAAACGCAACGGCAAGGGCTACCAGTCGTACAATGCCAATGCGCCGGTCGAGAACATCAACCCTGTGCGCCCGCAGACCTCGATGGCGAAGCGAAGCCAGAAGTTCTTTACCGCGCGTCCGAAGATGCCGCCGCCGGTCTCGAGCGACGACATCCGCCGTCAGTCGTCCTTCGACGAGTTCGGTGCGTTCATGAGCACCCCGGCGCCCGGTGCCCAGGAGCAGAACCACAAGACCATCACCATCGTCCGCAATGCGTTCAAGGCCATCGTCACCGGCAAGCCCACCTCACGCGTGGCAAAGCCGGTATGGCATTGACGCCGCCGTGGACTTTCCGTTTTTGCTTCGTTTTTCTCTCCTCGTTTAGTGCACTACCCGGTCTTCGTTCCCGTGTCTATATATCCCCTCAATCTTTCGCTCGTCCGCTGCACCGCATACATTGCATCTTACGTCTTCGCTAGTTCCCCCCTCCGTTTCCCACCACTCGTCTGGCCCCCCACACCCTACCACACCGCCCACATCCTTGCCCACTCGCCTTTCGCATGTCGTCTCCGTCGTCGCTATCTAACCCTCGTCCGTGCTGCTTTCGCGTTATTCCAGTATCTATCGACGCCCCGCCCTCGCACGACCCGCCCACGGACCCTCACGACCCCGCAGCCCTTCTTGCTTATCGTTCTACGCTCTGATAACGCTCATGCTCATGTAGTTGACGTCTCCCAATACGATATTCTTCACGGTCTAGGACCATCTGTCCCTGGTATGAGGATGTGGACACGGGAGGATGCACGGGTATTGGGTCGGCCATGCAAACAATGGAATCTCCGACATTTCCGATAAAAAGTAACAAGGTCTGTAGTCATAGCCCACGGCGAGGGTCGAACTCGCAACCTTGAGATTTCACCAGCCCGAGGCAAACCTGGAGGCTTAAAAGTCTCACGCTCTAGCCGATTGAGCTACGCGGGCTTAACATGTATACGCCAGCACTAGATTGTGGAGCTGCTCGCATCTACGCGCCTCGATCGAGAACGCTCGTGCGTCTGTTGCATAACGTCATCTCCTGATGGCGCCTGTGGCCGTCCGAGACTCCGAGGCGCGCCTGCGTCGCCGCCCTGGCCAGCACGCCTTCGTTCTCACCCTCGTCTCCCATCCTGCTCGCCGCTCGCACCACTCTGCTCACCGTCTCCTTCACTGCTTGACGATGATGGCCTCTCGCTTTGCCCACCGCCTCGTCACCGCCGCCCGTCCCGCCGCACGCGTTTCGACGCGCAGCGCAGGCCGTCGGTTCGCCAGCTCCGGACCTGGACACGCCGCGAAGGAGAGCAGCGACACGCCCTGGATGGTTTGTGACACGCCCGCTCTCTCCAGACGTCGACTAACTTGCGGCTTTACGTAGATCGGGTCTGCGCTCGTCTTCGGGCCTGTGGTGAGTGCGCACGCGCGCCGTGGCAGATGGTACGCTCACTGTCCTCTGTGGCTGTCGCCCTCCAGATCGCGTACCTCCTGTTCCCCTCCTCGAAGGAGAAGGCGAAGCACACTGCGGCCCACCCCCGCGCGCACGACGGCCTCAGCCACGTCCCTGAGCCCGTCGCGGCAAAACAGCCCGCGTCCGAACCTAAGCCCGAAGCGCCCGAACCTGAGGACGTCCAAAAGTCCACCGCACAGGCCGTCGTACGTCTCCTCTTCCTTCTTCGCGCCCATGTATCGACCGCGAACGCCCCCGTCGCAGGCTTCCGACTCGCCGAAGGACGCGCAGAACGCAGAGGAGACGGTACGTTCCCGCAGGCTCGCTTTACGGCGGCGCTGACGCGCACGCGCGCTTCCCAGGGTTCGGACTCGGCCTCCGAGGACGGCAAGGTACATGGCTCGCCCGCGATGACCGACTCGGAGGGCACCACCGCGTCTGCCGAGGAGGTTGACGAGTCGATGAACAAGGCTTTCGTGCGTGCTCGTTGCGTCCTCTTATTCCGCTGAGCTGACGCGATGCGTCAAGCAGAAGTCCAACCTTCCCACCGACGCTCAGGTGGCTGAGGAGAACGCCAACACCGCGCCCGCGCCGGCTGAGCCCGAACAAAAAGAGGAGCCCAGCACTGACGCTCCCAAGGTGCGTCCATCGAGCTTGTCGCAATTTTCACAAGCTGACTGGACACTGATACCTAGTCGGAGGATGTGTCAAAAGAGGAGTCGAAGCACTAAATTATACACCTTTGGACGCTGGTGTTTTTTACTCTTGAGCCCCCGCGTATATTTCACTGTTCACCGCAACATGGATATATGCCCCTCGCGCCTTCTTCCGAGTGTGATGGCAGCAGTTGAGCACGACGGACGCGGTAATTACCCAATGCTAATGTAGACCCAAGCCTCCGCCGCGGAGCCCCCTCAGGCCTCCTTCGGGATCAGATACTTGGTGAAGAACGTCAACACCTGCGACACCACGTCGTCCCTTGCCTTCCGCTGCACCGGGTCCTTCAAGTCCGCACGCGTCGTCCAGCCGTGCTCAACGCCATCGTACACCACGACCTCCACCTCCAGCCCCATCTCCTTCCACTTCTTCTCCGCCTCCTCCGCCCTGCTCTTGCCAAAGTAGGGGTCCTTCACCCCGGTGGCGAGCGAGAACGGCCGCTCGACGAGCGCGAGGTCCGCGGGGAACGAGACCCCCGACGGGTGGCACGCCGCGGCCGCGTCGAAGAGCTGTTGAGCGTGATCGCGAAGCCGCCGCCCCAGCAGTAGCCGACGAAGCCGACCGCGGCGCCGGGCGGCGCGGACGCGCGGACGGCGGCCGCGAGCGAGGTGATGAGCGCGTTCTGGCGCGGCCGGTTGCGGAGGACGAAGGGGACGATGAAGAGGAGCGCGGCGGGGAAGAGCACGAGGCGGTGGAGGATCGGGACGTCCTTGTCCAGGGAGGTGAGCGCCCAGAGCGGGACGCGCGAGCCTGGGCGGAGAGACGGGTGAGCGGCGCGCACGGGGGGCCGACGATAGCGCATAACACGGCGGAGAGAAGGAGGGAGAGGGGCTCACCGTTGAAGAGGTCGGGGAGGATGACCTTGAAGTTGCCCTGCGGGCGTACTCGTCCGCGAGGAGGCGCGTGTTGGGGAACGACCAGCCAAAGACGTCGGAGCCCATGACGATGATGCGGAGCGCGTCGTCGGGCCCGTCACGTATGCGTCCACGCCGTCGAACTTGGTCTCATTCCCCACGGGCGTGCCCGTGTGCAGCGCACCGCGCACGCAGTTCTCACAGGCCATCGGCGGGAGCGTCGGAGCGAGGCGGAGGCAGATCGGAGGTGGAGGGATGTGGACGAGGATGCGGGCGCGGGTAGGCGGGCACGGTCGCCCGCCCGAGACCACTTTATAATAGTCTGGACAAACCCACGGAAGAGGGTGTCCATCAGGAAGTCCGAACGCTCTCAGAGGCTTTCCGGGTGCGGAGGGCACACGGTGCGTGGCTGGTCCGGGTATAGTCATTAAATTTGAGCCCGACCCACCTTGTCGTCCGGTTTACTGGAGTTTCCGAGGCAGGCTAGTAGTTGGTGTCACCAGAATACATCGGCCGATCTTGGGGCTGCCAATCAAAAATGAAATTCAGAGCTGGTAAATCTCTTACAGTGCCAATCGTCTCTCAAATGGGCTGCTTGCTACAAACATGTTCCTCTGCAACGGAGTTCATCTCGGCGCCTCCAAAAATCCCGGGGATCCTACTGCGACTTCGTCTTCTGAGGCCCAAACATCCCGTGCCCAGCGGAGCACGTCCGGCTTTCACGTCGGCGACATAATGCTGGCGCTTCTCAAGGTCTGTATGATGTTGTTTAGTCTACGCAAAGAACACTGAAGCCCCTCGGCACTTACCAACAGCCCACATCGCGGCACCGATGCGGTTCGAAATCGAGAAGACCAGCCCGACGATGGGCAGGCGTTCAGCGAGCGCTGCCGTGAACCCGAACGCTATGATTGCAATGACAGACGATGTGCATTACTTTCAGAGGACCATTCAGTCAGGCCGAGAAGACCCGCACCTCTGTAGTCCCACTTGCGCTCCTCGATGAAGGTCGCGACCTGCTCGGGCGTCATACCCTTCACTTTGTAATACTGTCGGGTGTCACAATCGGCGGGTCCTTGTACCTGTGAGCAGTGGAGGTGCTTACCGGCTCGTGGAGGTACTTCGCCGTCCCCAGCGCGCGGAACCACGCCGCGATGACCATGCCCGCCAACGGGATGAAGTTCAGCGGCAGGGCGATCACTAGCGCAGAGCGGGCGTGCACACCGTCAGCGCCGCTTCTCCCCGTCACACCCGTGCGTGAATAGAGTACTTACCGTTGGCGACGATGCGGCCGACGGGTCCGCTCATGAGGTCCTTCCAGCCCCACCTGACCGGCTTCACGCGCGGGGGATGGTCCCACTCCTCGACATACGGCTGCCAGAACGCGGTCCCTTTGGCGCGCGACTGGATCGTCTGCTCGTACGCGCGCTCACGTGCGACGCGGAGGTTGCGCGAGAGGAAGAAGTAGATGATTGACGACACCTGCGTCGAGAGGAAGAAGAGCGTCGCGTCTACGGCAACGGGGAACCAGCGGTCACGTGAACGACGGGGAATGGCGGCAAATGGGGGCACGTACAGGTGGTGAGGTCGAATGGCATCTGGATGCCGAAGAGGGTCTCCCGCGAGAGACCAGTCACGCGGGGGGAGCTTTGGCCGTGTTCGAATCATGAAGAGCTACGCTGGACTAGCGATAGGGGGTACGCACTTGATGAGGAAATATTCGACGAACACCTTCTGGATCTTGTACGACCCAGCAGTCTGTTAAGTGTAAGCATTGCTCTCAGACACTTGCAGGCCACATCACTAATCCCAGTGCACTCCCCTCTCCTCATTCGCCCCATGCAACTAGGAGGACGCATATAGCCACAATGACACATGTCTACTCACCCAAATGAGCCCCACGGACGCGCCGCGCACAAAGCCGTGCCTGCACTTCTGCCATGCGGGTACGCGCAAGTTGCGGTCCGTGATAAGCCTGTAAAAACCCACGGCGACGTACGATGGCGGAAATTGGAGCCGCGATGTCGCGCGACGGAGGTTCTCAGGGATGTCCTCTTCATACGGCGAGAGCGCTGTCTCGCCCTGGAAGCCCCCCGGGACGATCTTAGCTTCCCCGGCAGCGGGCACAGACATGACGGCGGAAGATGGTGATGAAACGATAGATGCAGGGAGAGAGCGGATATGCGTATTGAGGAGAGGGATACCAAGCACACGACGGCAGTAAGGAAGGGGCGACGGCGGCACGATGACGCTGCCTGGTGAGCAAACACGCGCGCACCGCCCGCGAAACGGAGCGCCCGAGTGCAGCCGCGGCCCGTGGCAGAACGGCCTGGGTGCCAGTCTTGCACACTCACTCCCAGTCACTCCCCTAGCATATTCGCTCGAGAGGGGCGCGAGCGCGGCTGATAAGGCGAGATGGTTTGCATTTATACACTTCTACCACTCTTCTTCGTAGAGCTCGTTACGGGGATACAGCCGCCAATAAACAAGTCGTGCACTGGGCGGGGAGTGAGGGGAAGGGTTTCGAGCAGGAGGTCGCGTGAGCGTTCAGTTTCCTCGCGCAGCCTTGTCCCGGACTGCGCGGTGCGGAGACGAGGGTCCGAGATGGAAGGGAGAGACGACGCGATCAGCCTGAGTGGAAGACCGTGGAGTAGATGGAGCACACGCACCAACATCCTCAGCGATCTCGCTGTAGTCCGTACCCTGGATCTCGACGGCGATGCCGACCAGTGCGCGCCGCAGCGCGTCCTTGGACGAGGCGAACAACATCTTCTGCTTCACCTTCGCATCATCGGGCGACCTGATCGGTGCGATCGCACAAACGCGCGTCGCGTAGATAACACAAGATACCGTCAGCGGTGTTGAAACCAGGCGCGTCGTGCAGACGATGTCTCCAAGCAGGTGGACAGGTCCGGGAAAGACAGAGCCGCACAACGCGACTGGAATGCGCGGTAGGCGAAGGATACTCACCACGAAATAAAGGTAAGCTTGTTCCGGATCCCACCGTCCTCCCGCTTGTACTCAAAGTCGTACACCGCCCACCTGCATTCCGCCTCGGGAAGCGAGGCAATGAACTCGTCATACGTGCTCGTCTGCTCGCCCGTCTTCTCGACGATGATCTCGGTCAGGTCTTTCGCGAGCGTGAACACGACAAATTTGGGCTTCTTCGCCTTCCCGAGCTTGAGCTCTTCATAAACGGAGAGGCACTGCGCGTTGACGCCGACGCCAGAGGCCTGTCGCACGGATCCCGGGTGAGATCTGTGCACATCGCGCCGGCATGGCGCGAAATGGTGCGTACCATGGCTGTGAGTGAGGAAGGGAGGAGTGGGTGTGGGTGGAGGAACGCTCGGGATGGAGGTAGGAGCAGCGGAGAGAGCTGCTATAAGTATATCACGATGGACGACGCCGGCGATTGCCGCGCTCTGATTGGGTGAGGCGGTGGCAGACTCGCCTCCTGCGCACCGCGCACCGTACTGCTTGGCCGAGCCGGTAGATGATACAGTAGTCTATTTCGTAATGTAGAGGAATGTCCCAGGGGTGCCAGACTTGGAGAGCGAGGTAGGCTACAGAGAAATTTGACAGTTGCGTCGTCGAGGCCTGCCACGGCGCGAACATAGCATCCAGGCGGTCGAACTGATAAGTTGCAACCTCACTGTGCTTCCTGCTCAAACACTTCCTCTATCCAGCTCTCGTAATCGTATTCGGGTTCTCCGATGTCATTCTGTGTCAAGGGCATCGCTTGCCGGAGGAATTCGATCGCACTCGCTGGTAGGCTGGCTACACGGAGATCAAGCTCCGTGACATACGGCTGCGGCAGGTTTATCAGTCTGGGCGTCCACAGTTGGACTCGATGCGGTCTCACCTTGTCCGCAGCAATTCCTCTGAATGATTCGCGCAGCTGTGCGGGCGTTGTCTGATCCTCCATGATGTCAACCTAACAAAGGGTGAGTTGCGCTGTAGGACACTACGTCCACACAAGCTTACCAATAGGTTGATGAACGCTTCGAAGGTCACCGCGCCGTAGTCCGCCATGAGCTGGTCGAAAATCAAGTCCATATCCTCGTCCTGCGGCACAGTATCAGTGCCTTGCCCCAGTACCTTAACCTGGCGACCTACGGAATACACGATGCCAAGGCTAGCCAACGCCGCAGTCATTTCCGACTGGCTGAGGGTATTTGACTCGTCTTTATCAAAGTATCGGAACGTACTCTCGAACTGCTCGAGCTGCGCCGGAGTCAAATTGGTCATATTGCGTGACACGATCTATCGCCAAAGGTCAGTACTAACAATACTTAGATCTGATCAAGAAATCGCACCTGATTGTCGACGAAAGCGATCTTCTTTGAGACACTTTGTGAGACAAGTTCAAGCTCAAACCGAAGATCTTCTACGGTGAAAACTGTGTAGTCGTTCTCATCCACTTTTGCAGCTTGACACTCCGCGTCAGCCTCTACAACGATTTGTAGGGAAGACGAGATTGGTGGTATGCGGGTTTGTAGCTCCCGGATCTGTTCCACTTGTTCTTCCAAGGGACCTTCTATGGACACCAGTTCCGAGGATATCTGTCGTAGGCGGCGTTCGAAGTCGTTCGCGAGGTCTGCATATTTGCGTCGGAGGTTGTCTTTGATTCTAGAAGTAGGATGAGACACAAGCATTGCGCAAGAAAGAACCGCTTACTGTCGAATCTCGGCATTGATGGCACGCGACCGCGCAGCTTCCGCCTTCAGCAAAGTGTTCCAAGCTCCATCAACGTCAAACAAGGAAAGGCCTTGAGGAGGGACATATTCCCTTAAACCATAAGTCTTGAGCTTTGTTTGCACGTTCCCAAACAAGGTGGCAACATCTTGCTTCTCTGTAACCCATTGTCGTTTCGTGGTCTGCTTGTAAGTCTGGAATGACGCCGTGTGCTGCACGGCGTCGGCGTATGTACCAACGAAGATCTTGGCGTCCCAAGCTTCCTGCATATCTTCCATGGACCGCAGCAGGACCTTGACGCGCCGTTCATAGTCATTTCGACTCATCCAGATGGACTGCATGAGTTCTGCGAACTTCTCCACGCGTCGCGACACGGTCTCTGTTTGCTCTGCAGTAAAATGTGAGCAGTGTGTGCAACTGGAAAGGCCCATGATACGCACCCATCGACGAAAACGCGTGGAAATATCCGGCAACATACGTCATGACACTACGTTCATCCGGGTTCTGCGTGTCGCAAAGATCTGCAACCTCGAGCAGTTGCTGCATAACCTCGTGAGTCCTGGAGTTTCCGAGAACGCGCAAAGAATGAGCTTACAGGTATTCCAAGATGGTCTTGAGCGACTTGAAAAGCCAGACGCGTATTTCCATGACGGTCCGTCTTGTCCAGTTTGGCATAGTCGATGAGATCAGGACGATGGGCGTGGATCAGCGCGCAACTTGAAGAATTTGAGACCTAGAGCATACATGGGAACAACACGCATTGACTCACAGTGCAAGACCATCTGACCAACTATACGAGAAGTTTTGGACGTCGACCTCCTTGTATGGGGCGGTCTTGCGCTGACACCAGAGGAGCAAACCTTCCTTCGCCGAAAGACCCTCTTCGCTTGAAGTGGCGATTTCTCAGAAAACTGGGACGTACGGGCGAAACGATAAGCCGGAGACGGACCTGATGTCCGCAATGGTGAATCGCAGGATGAGTGTCCAGATCATACCAAGTATGAGCTTCAGGTCGCCGTCAACAATGTCTGTGCTTCACTGTATGAAGAAACGTGCTGGATATTCCGAGTATTTCTCCTCACCTTCAGCCCCGATGTTTGTAAGCTTCACTCCTCGGGATGTAATGAACTCCAGCGCCTTATTCACGTTCTCGGCCTTCTGCACGCGCATTCTTGGATTCTTGTTATAACGTCCCAGGGAGACGTCGCCTGGAAATTTTGAGCTAGATATATCAGTGCAAAGGGCGGTCGTTTCATACCCATGATTTCCTAAGGATCATTCAGCCCCACCAACATATGCAGAGATGTGGCTGAATGCTCACCATTAGCTGAATCAAGCGGACACCATCAGACAGATCCCGGACCAGCGACGCCATGGGCGGATGGCCATTTGCTTCTAGTTTGGTGTTCAGCCTAATAAAAGGTGAGCTCCACAAGCAACCGGAAGTTGAACAACCCTACCATTTGCAGAACGTCCGTTCTTGGACGTCTCGAGACCGCGACTCGAGAGTCTCGATGGTATTGGGGGATAGCGGAGAGAGGATCCCGGCACCCCACGAGGCGCGGGCGGGGTTGTAGGCGATGTCCATGACGGAGGGATGTGTGGTAGCAAAAAGCGATAGGCCGAGGCCGGAACGAGGACGGCGCGGGCGAGAGGCGGAGGACTGAGGCGGAGGCGGGGCGCGCGCCGGTAGAGGCGCTCCGGCGCGCTTGCTTGAGCGCGTATTCGAACTCCGAAACGCGTCCCACTCGCGTCGTGCACCCTGCGCCTCCTGCGTTTGCACCACCACCGTCCCCCCTTCCTTCCCTGTGGCTCCAGCGACCATGGCGACGACGCAGTTTGACGGGATATACCATGCGCTCTCTCCCGAGGTCGGCAGTATGTATCTGTTTGCTCGTAGAATGCGCTTGGTGCAATCGCTCAATGTGGCTTTGCCCGTGTTCACGCAGAGTTCCGTATTGCTGTTAGTGGAATGGCGTGGAAGGCCGAAGAAGGGGAGAAAATGAAAGCAATAGTATCCTCCGACATCAAGTGGGCTCAGTGGAACCGCGTCGCGCGTAACTACCAACTACGAGTGGGGCTGAAGGACAGGTCGAAGGAGACCTTTGATGGTTTTGTCCGGGAGGTGGGTGGTCGTCCCCGTCTTACGCGCAACGCCACCTAAACCAAGACGTACATTTTCAGGACCACGACAGGCTCGCACAACTGCTCAAGCAGCATTTCAGTGTTACGCTGGAAACGAGGGAAGCGTCGTTCAAAGGGTGGAACTGGGGCGTCACAGATTTCCAAGGTGCGTACGGACACGCGTCAAAGTTTGACAGGCTCCTCTCATCCGTATGCAGGCCAAGACCTCGCGTTCCTTGTTTCCAACAAAACTGCGTTTGAACTTCCTTTGGAGAATGTGGCCAATTCTAACATTGCGGGTCGTACCGAAGTCTCGCTCGAGTTCGCTACCCAAAACGGAAAGCCCTCTCGCAATGCACCGGACGAGATGGTCGAGATCCGCTTCTATGTTCCCGGCACACAGGCGAAGGGTCGTGGCTCTGATGCGGGATCTCAAAAGTCGGACAACGAAGAGGATGGCCAGGAGATCAGTGCGGCGCAAGCTTTCCACGACATGGTGAAAGATCTGGCGGAGATTGGTCAGGTCTCTGGCGATATCATTCTCAGTTTCGACGAAGTCAATGTACTCACACCCAGAGGTCGTTACGACGTCGACATGTATCCGGAGTTCCTGCGCCTCCGTGGGCGAACGTACGACTACAAGATCATGTTCAACAGTATTTCCAAGCTTTTCCTACTCCCAAAAGACGACCTGCACGTTTTGTTCATCGTACGTGGTTATGACTATTGTCTATTAAATGTCTCTTAACCTATCGGTTTTAGCTTGGTCTCAACATTCCCATCCGGCAAGGTCAGACGCGGTACCAATACCTGGTTATGCAGTTCAACCGCGAGGAAGAGATCACAGCGGAACTCAATATGCCCGAAGAGGATATCGCGAAGTACGATAGACTGAAGAAGAACTACGAGGATCCGACATACGAAGTGGTCTCGAGCGTTTTTCGCGGTTTGTCAATGAAAAAGATCGTTAAAATGGGGACCTTCCAGAGGTACGACTGCTTCAGGCGGTGCCTGGCATTTCTCTGACTGCTGTCTCTAGTCGCGCCGGCCACCCAAGCGTGAAGGCAAACTTGAAGGCTGTCCAAGGAGACCTCTTCCTACTGGAGAAATACGTGTTCTTCGTGTCGAAGCAGCCCACGCTCATCGAGCTCTCTGACGTTCACCAAGTCGTTTTCTCTCGTCTCGGCTCTGGAGCTGGCGCCACTGCGGCACGCACATTCGACGTCAAGGTGGTGACGAAGAGTGGGAGCGCGGACGTGAACTTCACCAGCGTCAACAAGGAAGAGTACGACAACGTCAGCGCGTACCTGCAGGACAAGAAGGTCAAGACGAAGAACGAGATGATGGAGGGTGAGCTCATCCTTGGACCCGACGACGAGGACGAAGAGATGCAGAGTGTGGCGAGTTCGGGCGAGGAGGCTCCCAGGCCACGCCGCGGTAATGACGACGACGACGACAGCGAGGAGGGTGAGTCTACACGTTCGTCGCTGTACCACGCATGTAATCGACGCTTGTTCCAGACGACGACTTCCAGGCTTCCGATTCGGATGCGGGTTCCCCGACTGACTCGGACTCATCCGATGAGGGAGGACAGACAGCCTCGGACGCCAGCGGTGACCGTGACTTCATGAAGAAGGGCAAAACCAAGGCGAAGGCGGCGCCCAAGAAGAAGAAAAAGACCGAGGCTAAACAGGGCAAGTCCAACGAGAGCGACGCCGATGGCGACGACGGCAAGCCGAAGAAGAATGCGGCTCCGAAACCGAAGCCAAAGCCAAAGCCTAAACCTAAGGATGGAGACGACGCGATGGACGTAGACGGCGAAGATAAGCCAAAGCCGAAAGCCAAGCCAAAGCCAAAGCCCAAGGCGAAGGAAGACAACGACGGGCCGGCGAAGAAGAAGCAGAAGACAGACTGATGTTTAGGTGAACATTTTGAGCCGTTACCCGTCCTCGTGCTGGTAGGAGTTCTCGCTCCGTTGCAGTCTCGCATCTCTATCTCTTGTAGATTACATCGAATCCTGTTGTCATTCATCGCTATCGATTGCACTGCTGTACCATATTTTTGCGAGGGTCAACAACGCCGCTAGATCATATATCACGACAAGTCTAATACAAATGATGCACAATACGTCTACGTGAGTGAGCGCATTATCCTTCAGTCCCTCACTCATTGAACCGAAGATAAATCCCAGGGAATGATGGTACGGCATGGAGTCCTAGCTCACTCGGGCCGTCTTGTCCGACTTCTGATACCCATTGGAACACAAAGTCAGCCCACGCGAATACGAAATCGTTCGTCTCACTGACCTTACGCATCACAGCACTAGCGGGATCATTCAAGAGAGATGGCCCCAGCACAGTAAATATCACGGCCCACAGCGTCGCCACCATTTGCCGCAGATCCCACCATTGAAGACGGACCCTGTGCCTCACCGCCGCCCTCTGCCGTTCCATCCACCTTCCGCTCCGAATCCCCTCCAGGTCGTCGCACCAAGTCGCCTTCTCCTGCCCCCTGAACACCGCCTGCGCCATCGCGAGCGCGAGGAGCACGCAGAAGGCCACCGCGCCGTCGCGGTCCGTCCCAGCCTCAGCTCCCCGTGCGTGCGGTGGATGCGGGCCTCTTGGCGTCGGGGTGGGCGTGGGGACAGGCGTGGGGATCGTGGGCAAGGGTACGACGGTGCTCGCCGCCGCGAACGTCACGACTCTCTCTCCGATCGTTTGCGGCCGAGGCGGGAGAGCAGGGGCACCCTCAGGGGACATGGCGAAGCGGCGGGCGTTGGTCCCGGTCGCGAGCCAGGGCGGGTCCGCGAACTCCATGGGCACCAGGCGCTGTTCTCCCGGCCGCTCGCCCGGGAGTGCCACCCACGCGGGGCGGCCGCGGCTGCGCAGGCGCTGCAGGACGGAGACCTGCGCCGGGGGGCGGCCGCGGCCTGGGACCTTGAGGAGGGCCGTGTCCGGGATGTGTGGTGAAAGGCTGCTCGGGATACCGCTAGCAAAAGGCGCGGTGGCGAAGATGCCTTGGGTGCATCCGAAACGCGGCGATGGGCTGCTAGTGGAGGAGGGCGACGGGACCGGCAGGTGAAGGATGATGTGGCAGATAGGTGGGTTTATAGGAGGCAACATGCTGGGCGCTGTAAGGAAGCGGTTGGAGTTGAGTGCAAGAGACGGAGGGATGGTGTGTGCTCTGACATCCCCATTCTGTGTCCTCCTTAAATGTTCGTTTTTGCATCGTACAGGATGTCGAGCAGTCGAGTCTGAGGAGCTTCGGGTTGCGGTTGCCGCGCTGACCGATATCCGACATCCGCCTCCGGCGCAGCAAGCTGGTTTCCGGTGCCCCTCCATGTCATATTCCCAGTTTTACGCGGCAATGGGCGTTTGTTATGGTTCTACCAAGACCGATAGCGGAGAGGGGGGAGCGCACTTCTGATCGATCTCTCCCTTCCGACCCCCTTTTACCCCCTTCGCTTTCATTTCTGCTTCTCCCGCTCCGTCGCTGTTCAGAATATGCCGTGCTCGATAGAAGACCGTCGACTTTCTGCCTCCGCCACCACATGCGCGATACGGGTTCCTCGCATATACAAGAGTACCCCGGTTTGTGGTTAGTAGTCTGCACTCTTCTGTGGAAACTAATGGTCTGTGTGTCACTGGACAACTGGATAGCCATCACATACGATTTTGTCAACCGCTTCAACTTGAGCTTGAATATCTGAATATCAACCATCTTACGATTCGGTCCTTAGGCGACGCAAGCTGTGACCAAAACACCACGTGCGCCCCCGATGAAACCAATTGCATGTCCAACATCTGCAGCCTGCTAACCGGCGAAGCGCCCTCGCTTCTAGCTCAGCTCGCCGTTCTCAGATACGAAGGCTTCCCAAGTCCAAGTGCTCAGCGCAGGCTCTCCCTCGTGACCATCGGTAGGGCGCATCTGCGGTCTCGGTCACGCTCGGCCGTTGGACGAAGGACGTCTCGATTGAAGTCGCCGCCGATATCGACGTCGAGCCGGTCTTCTGAGGTGGTTGCTACTGACGATATGGGCCGGCCTCCCTCGTTCTGCAGGTTGTCATGCGGCGTCTGCTTGGGTGCTTCCTGGTAGAGCGTGAGAGGCCTAGTGGGAACAGTCTGAAGGCCCGACGCGCTAGGGAGCGGTGGGTGGGTTGCGCTTAGCAGCACACTCACCCACCGTTTGAAGGGATACTCAGCCTCCACCCCTACCGCACACCCCTCGCAGCACCTCCCAGTACGAGCGACCCGTAGGACTCCCAGATAGATTCTCCCTTGAACAACCGCAAACAATATATTTGTATTTCCACTGGACCGTTGGTGGGTGCAGTGACGTCATTAGAGCTCCGTTAATCGAGCAAACGTCAAACGACGTACCGGGTGCAATCGCGGCTGATGATCGCCGAGGACCGGAGCCCAGCGCGCTCTTGCCAGGGTCCGGTAGCCTGCTTTGTCGTGGCGTATGGCTCGACGGGGCAACCATACAGAGGACGCCGGCGTGCGAGTGATGCTGCCAGAGCTACTTTGGAGCATGAGGAAGGAAGGGGGGCGCCGCAAGGACGTAGGGAGAAGGGGGAGACGAACGGGGGAAGCCGTCCAACCGCGGGATGGCGGACGCATCATTCGACGTCGCGACGGAAAGTGTCTGCTCCGACCCGACCCGCCGAGCCTTTGGAAAACACCATGGCTGAGGGAACTGGCCAGCGACGAGGGGAAGGTCGGATTTCGGACAGGATCCGTTTGGGACTGCGCGGTGATGTTCATGCATCATGTCGAGCTCCCAAGGCATTTCAGCAGAGGTGGTGAAACTAGCCGCTGATCCTTCAGACATCTCGACAGAGAGCGACTTGTGCGGCGAATGCGACTTTGTGCCGTGGACGCGAAGAATGGGGTAGTGATCATTTCGGAAACAGCTGTAACGGCGGATGACAAGGAGTACCCCAGGCGATGAAGCGCGCAGAGTCGTCCGCACGCGCTCCCGCGCGCCACATCAGCAAAGTAGGTGCGGAAACGATAGTGTATGATCGTGCACTGGGGCATTTGTAGCGTACGATAGTTAGTGCTAGCGAAGACAATAGAAGGTAGATTAGTATCCAAAGAATGCAGTATCCCGTATTGTACGGCCGTCTGCTTCTTCCGCTATCAACTGATGATCGATTCTCGCGGGCAGGGCTATCAAGTCTGAGTGCGCGCACGACCGTATATCGGTCATCTGCGGCGCATGAGATGATAGTGCTACACGATAAGAGGTCAGAGTTAGCGGAGGAGATGACAGAGAACCTACAGCATCATGCTGAACATTATCGTCTTCTGTCGCACACTAGGGCTCGCGTATAATCACGCAGATATAATTCAATTGCGCAATAATCCATTTGGGATAAATACAAAACAGCAGGTATGGTACACAACGGACACAAGAGCAGAGTTAAGGGCTTACGTAGTCAGCAATGTGGCCGAGTATCAGCACGTCGACATACTCCCCGAATTGAGGGAAGTGTTCCCTCTCGTTAGTACTATCGGAGTGATCAGTAACAGCATGTAGAAAATTCGTATCTAGACAGTGCTGACCTGATAGAGGGGTCAATGCGGAGGGGACGGAAAGCTCGGTCGAGCGTGGCGAGATAAACACGTCAGGTGTGGAGGGGCGCCATGGGCGCGAAAGGGGGAATTGGTTGGGCGCAGGGAGATGGTCGCCTTGAGCGTAGATGCTCGCGTCTTCATTGTCTTCGCTCCCTCACTCCTCACCATGCTCTTCCTGCGGCTGCGTCACAAACGGGGAAGGGGAAGGGGGAGCGAGGCTGAAGGAGAGGTCAGCGGGAGCGGCGACGGGGAACACCGAGGAAGAGAGACGCATCCACTGGGTGATCTGGAACGCCTTCACGAGCCGGATCATCTCCTCGACCGAGCGGTTGATGGGGAGGTTATTGATCGTGATTGTCTGTCCGGCCCCACCGAACGCACGATCAGCCGTCGAACGTATGCTGCTCCAATACGGACGCACCTGAGGATACCTTCATAGAGTCGATGAGAAAGAGCCCGCGGAGGGCGATCATGCCCTCATCCTCAATGAAGACGCCGTAGTCGTGAGAGATTGACATCATGTCGGGGCGCGCGATGAGCAGGAGATCCAGGCCAAGACCACCCTGCTTGCGAGTACAGCGAGTCGATCGAGGGCACGCGAATTGGTGATAGGTCAGTGGTTACCGACGGAAGCAACGTTGAGTCGTTGACACTGTCGGCAAGGCTGAGGAATCAGTGTGAAGAGGAGGAGAAGAGGCGGAAGGGGATATTTTAACCAAAGTTCACACCTCGTGTGGACGGTGGCTCATCACATGTGACCGACCCGCCGCTATAAGCGCCATAACTTGAAGCCTCTCGTTCAGGAGGTGCACCGAGCTCACCCCGTTGCGAACCACACGTTGTGACTCGTGTCTAGTCCGCAGATGCGGAAATGTAGAGAGAGGGTGGTCGTGTTGGCTTCGTGGAGGTGGAACCTAGGGCGCAGAGTGGCGGCCGTGAGGGCAACAAGACGTCTGCCACGAGAGGGTGTTGAAAGCCATGTCGATGTCGATAGAAGTGTGAGTACGGTGAACGAGATGCTTGGAGCAGAGAATGATGAGGAACTCACCACGTCTTGATAAATGGTCGTGCGCGAGCGTGAGTGGCACATCGCACTTGGGGGATGATGGCGGTCGCGGGTTGAGCCCAGTAATAGGCGCGCATGCCCGCACACGCGCCCATGTCTCGGAACAACCGAGTGGAGGTCAAAGCGGGACGCCACTGCGGCGCCGCCGCATCGAGTCACAACAATTAGCAAGGAATCACCGTAAGCAACCTTTGGACTTCAGAATGTCGCTACCAACACGGACCTCCATATTAGTAAGTCTCCCCAACGATATATATCTTGACTTAACTCTCGACCCACTCACTGCCCTCGCCCAGTGCCCAGTGCGGGCGTTTGCCGCGCTGCTCGCGACGACGATGGCGTCGAACAGAGCGCTTCGCTGACCCCCGTAGTGGTGGTCCGCGGGGTAGGCCTTGCTCCTGCCATCGCCCGTGGGGCACACAGGCCTCCAGCATGGCCCGACGATCCACATGGTCACCATTCCGGCCTTGAGCGCAGTGGGGGTGCCGTCAACCCGCGCATGGTTGAAGTCATCGACGACAAGAATCGCAATGCGGCGTGGTTTGATCGTTGGCTCGCGGAGGGAGAAGGCGGCGAGCTGGGAGAGCTTCGCGGAAAGAGGGTCCGGCGTTGGGCCACGCAGGTTTAGAGGAGAGTCGAGACGGACTCGCCGAAGTTCTGGACGACCTGCTTGGCGAGCTCGAAATCGACATTGTTGAGCAGCTTCAATTACGTGTTGTATGCCTACAGGTTGCCACAGTGGGAGAGCTTGAGGAGGCCTAACTTGGCGGAGAGAATGGAATTTGACAAAGAGTGCATTGAATAGCATGTCTGGCAGCTGGCACCAGGGACGTAGAAACACAGAGAGGATAGACATACAGGTGTTCACCCCGCACATCATTCGACAAGAGCGCGGGATTCTACGGTTGGACATGGCCCACATAACCATGCGTGCGAATAAAAAGCGGCATGCCCTGAGCGAGCGTCGCGGTGACGGCGAGGTGCGACCTCGCTATAGCTCGCGGTACGTATAGAAGCGGATAAAAGCGTCAACGTACCACGCTCCCCCCAGGAACCCTGGACGGTGCTGAAGCGCACATGGCTACAACGGGCGCATGCGTATACTTGGCCGGCCTATCGGGGCACCCAGGGCAAGCGAGATAGCCCGACACGGTATGATTTAGACGTCCACCATGAGAGGGGGTGACCAGCGCACCTTGGAATACCCATACGCACTGGCCTCACGAGCACGGACCACGCGCTGGGCGTAGGACGAGCCAGGTTGCGATGCCCAAACGACCCCGCCGTGCGATACCACATTTCTCCTGTACATTTCACGAGCTCGCGCTCGCATGTGAGCGTCGTGCGAAAGGTCGAGGTCCTCCAGGTGAGTGTCATGGTTTTGCTCCCGCGCATATTCTGCCACCGCGAGAGTGAGGACTTCGTTCTATGTGCAATGAACTATTTGCTCCCGCATCGCTGTCTGGGGCTGGGTCGCTTCAAGGAACGCAAGGGAGAGATGAAATGCGCACCTAATGGAAAACAATGCTCAAATGAGCAAGGACACGAGTCGATGTTCCGCGTTTGGATCGCGTGTCCCACTTTAGAAGCAGACATTCTGATGAAGAAGAGGATTTTCATAGCACGACGAGGTGCCGCAGAGAAGCAAAAAAGAAGAAGCGTCAAGAACAAACTGGGGGAACAGAGGAGGATGGGAGGAGGCAAGGTGGGACTCGCCGTCGCCGCCGTCGGTCTGCGGCCCGTAAGCGATTGAACAGGCGCCCGCGCCGTCGTCCATCCATCCTCGCGCGCACCGCGTTCTCTGCCGTGCACACTGTTCGCGTCTTTGCAAATCGAATGTATAGCTCAATACGAACCTCTTATGCACCCCACGCGCCCCATGATTCACCCTTGAAGGAGCCCATGATCATCGACGATCATCGACTACAGCTTTCTGTTTAAGCTACTAGTGCCGGTAGTTAATACATCATATCCTGTATGCGGCCACAAAATGCGATCAAATGTCATAGCAAAGACGAATTAATGTCAGCTGCTACCGTTCTGCTACCATCATTTATCGCGCAGACAATAGATGACCTGTCCCGATATGGCGGTGTCGCGTGTTATCGGGCGCTACCATGGAAAACACCTTTTGCTGATGCATGGCTCAGCTAGCCCACCATATGATGCATCATACGTACCCCGCCCACCACCACCGCCGGCAATCTTGGAGTGAACGCATCACTTGGTCAGTATCTCTTTTATCTTGACTGCATGGTTTCTGAAGTGACTAGCCCCCCGTACATCGCAGTGACGATTCCAGGCGGCCGGCATCAGCAAAATGGGCGCGGAAACGGTAGCGTCTGATAGTGGACGAGGGCATTCGTAGCGTACGATAGTTAGTGATAGCGAAGACAATAGACAGTAGCTGAGCATCCAAGTACTGCAGTAACTCATAGTGTATTATCGTCTGCTTCTTCCACTATCAAATGATGATCGTACCTCGCGGACAGTGCTATCATTTCTGGGTGCGCGTGCGACCATATATCGGTCATCTGCGGCGCATGAAATGATAGCACCTCACGATAAAGTGTCAGATTTAGCGGAGGAGATGACAGATAACTGCGGAACACTATCGCCTTCCGTCGCACACTGGGGCGCACGTATAATTCCAATCGCACAATAATCCATTCGGGGTAAATACGAAACAGCCGGTATTCTACGCAACGGAAACATGAGCAGAACAAAGAACTTACATGGTCGGCGATGTGGTCAAGCTTGAAGCCTCTCGTCCAGCACGTCTCCCCGAATTGACGGAGTGTTCCCTATTGTGAGTACTATCGGAGTGGTCAGTAATGTAGAAAACTCGTATCTGGGGATTGCTTACCTGATAGAGAAATCAATGTGGAGAGCGCGGAAAGGTCGGTTGAGCGCGGCAAGATAGACAGATCGGGCATGGAGGGGCGCCATGGGCGCGAAAGGGTGAATTGGTTGGGCGTGGAGAGGTGGATGGTTGCGTCGGGGAAGGGGGAGGGAGGCGGGAGAAGTCAGCGGGAACGGCCACAGGGAGCGCGGAGGAAAAGAGACGCACCCGGGTCCCGGGAGAACTGGAATGCCTTCACGAGCCGGATCGTCCCCTCGACAGAGCAGCCCACGGGGAGGTCGTTGATCGTAATTTACTTTTCCAGCTCCACCAAACGCACAATCAGTCGTGATTCCCGGACGTATGCCGCTCCATCAAGGACGTACCTGAGGGTACCCTATAGGGTCGATAATGAGGAGCCCACAGAGGGCGATCCCCTCGTCCTCGATGAGGACACCGTAGTCGTGGGAGACAGACATGTGGACCGACTCGAGACCGCTGCTTGCGCGGGGCAATCGCCCAGGTGAAGTGCGAGTACTGTGACTCGTCGGTCGAGGCCGCTGTGGACTTGGTGGAATGAGCGGCTGTAGAACTGATCTCGGTAGAGAAGGAAGAGGAACACAAACCAGTGAGCTGCTGCCTCTGCAGAACGGGTGGCTGCTCGGGGCGGACGCGTCGCGCGCGTTCAGCAACGCCTACCGGAAGCGGTCGCACGCAGATCTAGCAGCAGGAGCCCAGGATGCGCGGGTTCGACCATACGGTACACCGTGATATCCTGCTCGCCTGCCGCGCTCGGACGTTCTGAAGACATACCTGTACACCGTGCTCTCACGGAGCCGGTGGCTGCCGCACCGCCTCCATATCGCCTTGAATCCCCAGTGGCAAGCAAATGGTCAGTGTTGGGTCGCTGGCTCGCATGGGAGCGCGCGGCGCCGCGTCGAAACTGTCGGCGAGGCTGAGGAATCAGGCCTCACATGTGACCGACCCGTGTCCATAAGCAATGTAAGTACTCAAGCGTACCTTTGTACCCGCAGTCTTGAGGGCGCAGGTTTTCGCCGGTGTGAGTGCGGTGTTAAAAGCCATGTCGATGTCGACAGAAGTGTGTATGTGAGCGAGCCTATGCTGATGAGTGAGGAAGAACTGACCGTGTCTTGATACATCGCGCGCGAGTGTGAGTGGCACATTGCGCTTGGGGGATGATGGTGGTCGCAGATAAAGCCCAGTAGGCGCGCAACCCAGCACACGCGCCCGTGTCTGGAAACAATAGAGAGGCCAAAGCGGGACGCCACTGCGGCGCCGCCGCATTGGGTCACAACAATTAGCAAAGAAATCACTGCAAGCAACTTTTAGACTTCAGAATGTCGCTACTAACACGGACCTCTGTACGTCTCGGGCCCCAGCGATGTATATATCTTGACTTAACTCTCGACCCCTCGCCCAGTGCCCTGTGCGAGAGTTTGCCGCGCAGCTCGTGACAATGAGAGCATCAAACAGAGCGCTCCGCTGACTCTCGTAGTGGTGGTCCGCGGAGTAGGCCTTGCTCCAGTTCACGAGCTCGCGCTCGCATGTAAATAGAGCAACGAAAGGGATAAAAGGCGTCAAGAAAGATTAAGGGAACAGAGGATGGGGCTCGCCATCGATGCCGGACAGAGGACTCCGCGCGCGGCGCGTAAGCGGAACAGGCGCCCGCGCTGACGTCCGTCCGCATATCGTCGCGCGCATCGCGTTCTCTGCCGCGCGCAGTGTTCGCGTCCTCACGAGCCGACCGTATAGCTAAATACGAACCTCTTATGCACCCCGCGCGCCCCGTGATTCACCCTTGAAGGAGCGCATGATCGTTTACTATCATCGACTACAGCCTTCTGTTCAAGCTACTTGTGCCTGTAGTATATCCATCATATCCTGTCTGCGGCCACAATATTTGATCGAACCTCATAGTAAAGACGAATGAATACCAGCTGCTACCGTTCTGCTACCATCACTTGTTGCGCAGACAATAGACGACCTGTCCCGATATGGCAGTGTCGCGTGCTATCGGGCGCTACCGTCAAAAACACCTTTTGCTGATGCACATCATGGGTTCACTGCTTCCTATGGTTTGCCTGAGGTCTGTGTATGGTCACCCAGCTGCGGCCCGATGGTCGCGGGCAATTATCCTGTGAGCAAATTCTTCACGCACGACCAATTGCTCTCCGAATGGCTGATCTTCGACTCAGGACTGGGGGCCGTGACCATGCACGACCTGATCGATGCAAGTTCAAAGTGATGTCTAGCATTGAAGTCGACTAGAAGTTCCCATGTTAGAGCGACTGTGGGACCATTCTACATGTCTCACAGGCGACCTCGACTCATTCCAGGCCTCCGCGGGCTCGTTTAATGCAAATCTCCACCCTGTTTGGTGAGCTAATTCCCCGGTATGCCAGCCGTGCCCACGGTTCAAAAATTTCATAGATTACAAGCATGCCGCGATCATATGTACATATCCACTGCTTGGTGGAAATTTGAGCTCCAGCTCCGCTCACTCGGCAAACACTCGTCAGCAGGGACGCTGAACACGAATATTCTCTGACAGAACTATCGGCCGATATCTGTCATGTCGGCTTTCGGGGTCTTTGCAAACCGGGGCAATGCTCTCCAACAATGTCTGGACGTATAGTAGCGGGACGAAATCTGTGGTTGTCGTGCACCTTGATTAGCGCATCGCCGATCAAGAATGCTTTGCCCTGGGGTCGGAAGGTATATAGACAGACACATTTCTGTGCTCGTGTCCAGAGCAACGGCCGACCTCACTTTCCTCACACTACACACTGACGCACTGTCATGCCTGCTCTTCTTTCAAATTCTCGGCGTGCCGCGAGGTAATGCTTACCCTCCTGAAGAATGGTCGCCCACTGACCATCTTTGCTGACTCCCAGTGCCCCAAGAGCGACTCCATGGGGCCGTCAAGGACGTTCTCCGCTCCTTCCTCAAACGCAGCTCCTGGACACACCCCCACACACCCTTGACCTCGCACTCCGCGCCGAGATCGAGCACGAAATCATTCTCTGGGACGCCTACCCGGACAATCCAGCGGGGGTCGTCCGGCTCGCCGATGTCTCCTGCTCGATCGCAGAGAAGGCGTACCTGCTCCTTTCTCCTGCCCACCGGCGCTTCGTCGCGCTCTACACCGCCTGCCTCACGCACATCGACGACAACGGGTCCTCCGCCGCGGTCTCCGCCGCGCAGCACTTCAGCCGCCGCTTCGCCCGTGGGGAGCGTCAGATGCTCCCCGCGCTCGAGACCCTCGCTCGCCTCCTCCGTGAGGACGTGTACGAGCTTTTCCCAAGCGTCGGCGCGGACGCGATCGTCTCGAACAGCATCGACGCAGTCACGTCGATGTATCTCGAGTACAGCACCGGGAGGATGGCCATCACGCCCGGGGCAACGCGGTGGCCGGACTACTTCCGCGCGAAGACGGGGATCTGCGCCGCTTACACCTACTTGATGTACCCGAAGGGCTTCAGGGACTCGCCGGAGACGTACCTGCAGATGGTGCCGTGAGTGTCTCGGCTTTATTATATCTATATCTATATATATGAGGACACCGTTCTCATCTTTTGTGCAGGTACATGGACCACTGGATTGGGGCAGTAAAGTGCGTTCTCGCTGTCGTCCTGCCTCGCTGCTTTTACTGACAATTGCTTCCGTCTCACTTCGCCGGCCGTCCGATCTCCAGCGACATGTAGGTCTCCATCGCCGAGCACCTTATGCACAGTCCTCACGTCTGAATACCCGCTCACAGCCTCTCGTTCTATAAAGAAGAGCTTGCGCACGAGACGAACAACTACGTCTCCGTGCGCGCCGCCGCCGAGCGCGCGCCTCGCTAGACGTCCTCCACGCCCTCGCCGAGGAGACGCTTACCGACGGCGCCCTCCTCGACGCCACGTTCGCATCCGACGCGGAACTGGACGCCGTTTGGCAACACTTCAAGCAGGTAAGCAGTCACCGCCGCTTTTTGGCCACTGAGGTGATTTCTGAGACTGATTCGTGGGGCCGGCCTGCCTGTTTGTAGGGCTACATGGAATTCCACGTCGAGACGAAGAGGTATAGGCTCGCGGAGGTTGGCGTGTAATTCAATGTCCTGGGACGCACTGCGAGGGTGAGTACTGAGTACTGAGGAGCACGGGCCGTCAACGAAACCTACACGGTCAGGTTTAGAGCTATAGACCTCCACGATTTTACTAGGGTGCCAGGCGGTACTGATTAAGATCTGGAATAGAATGTAACATTGAGATGTGTATGCTTCGGATTGAACATGATTCGTGGGGCTTGTTTACGTTTTATGTCGTTTCCTTTCGCCCGTCGATCTCAATGATGTACTTATATACGTGTGTTCTAACTTCTATTGGCTTGAAAGCATTTCCCGTTTCTTGCAGTTCAACTTCACTTCTTTCAACCCAAGATTTGAACGCCATCAAATATCTCCTCAACGTTTCTAACGTCCCATTCAGCACAAGCGAAAGAGAATTACCTCTATAATTTTGCCTGAATTTTGAGGATCATTGCTCATGAGGTTTTGCGTCCAAGGAGAATGACATGAATCTTTGCATATGTGTAGTAGCAGGGCTGCACCTGAATGAATAGAGATGCTGTCGACCGGAAATGGCGAGTGAGATTCGTTAGAAGGACCTGATTTTCGCCCGTTGAGCTGTAAGATACAGTCATACCCGCACCAAAGGAGACTGTGAGGGCCTGAAAAGAATCGTAGTCATTGATGAGAGTTCCGAGTCCTGACGGCAAGATTACTGGCGCCTGACGCGGTTGAGGGCAGGCCATCAGTAATTAGGATCAAGTAATCAATATTGACTCAGTATCAACTTGGGTGACTGCTACTCAACGCTCTGCATGGCCGAAATACAACTCCTCTGCCAGCTCAGGCCAACCTGGAGCCTGGACATCATGCAGCGGTTTTAGTGCGTTAGCTGTGCACCTCGGCTCACCCAATTCCTGCTTGCTTATGGCTATGATGTGCATATCATATCTCGCCTCAAGCCTCGATAACTTCCACGCTGTCAAATCAATGACGGACCCGCAAGCACTGGCGGCGTGAGTCAAGGCTTTGCCGAGGGACAATGGCACCGATCATCGACAGCCCAATTCGGAGCGCAGATGACTTCCAGCGGGCGCCAAGGTCTCCGACCGACCTTCGCTCTGCCCGCCATTCATATATCGTCCATGTCGCACACTCACACGCCCCCTCCTCCTACTTTCCCCGCTCGATGTCGATACCCCACTTGGCTTTCTCCAGCCCCCTGCTAGCGGGTTTTCTCGCCCTCTCTATCTTCCTATACACCCTCTGGCTTGCTAGATGGCGCGCTCGCTCCCGCGGCTTGTCTCTTCCCCCTGGACCACACAGACTGCCTATCGTCGGATTCAAATACGATCCCAAGAGCGGGTTGATCTGGAGAGCATATCATGACCTCTGTGAAACTTACGGTCAGTATCTGGTCGGAGCTCGTGCATTACGTTTACTGACGCTCGTCATGCCTCCAGGAGACATCGTCTACATCCCGACATATGGGACCTCTATCATGATTCTGGGGAGCTCCAAGGCTATCTTTGAGCTGCTCGACAAACGCTCGGCCGTTACATCCTCTCGGAGAGATACACCGATGAGGCACTTGTAAGTCCGCACTCTCACCCTCAGCGCTCACCACCAGACGTCACGGCTAGTGCTCATGACCACCATGTGCTTCTCTGGCGCCATTCTCGCCCGCTAGAGTTGGACAGTCCTTCAACGTGTCAGGGATGGAATACGGGACGAGTGGAGACGCCATCGTCGTGCGTTCTGGCAGCACTTCACTCCAAACGCGACCAAGAGATATCTCGCTATCCAGAGCGACTTTGCGCATATGTTCGCCCGAAAGCTTCTCAGTGATCCATCTGGTCTGAAACAGCATGTCCGCTAGTGCGTATGGTTTAGCAAGTGGCGCCCTGGCGTCTATCACTTCTTCGCTGACTGTTTGCGCCATAAATTAGCACTTTCGCCGGGGCGATCGTCAAAGTCGCATATGGATTCACCGTTGGCGAGACTAACGACAAGTACATCACACTCATGGAGAAGGTGACGGAGGGACTGCAAGCATTTGTACCCGGGAGGTACTTGGTAGAGTTCTTGCCTATTGTTCGTTTCGTGCCTCCTTGGATGCCCGGTGCTCGTTTCCACCAAGACTTTGCCGTTTGGCGTGGTGCTGCTGATGAGGCACGGAAAGGGCTCTATTTAAGGACGAAGCAGGGATTGGTGGGTACAAACACTGGGCCGCTTGTTGCTGTCTACTGACGTCTGGCTATCAGGAAAGCGGAGAGACTTCTCAATCTGTTCTAGCGAAACTTCTGGAGACAGTTGGCGACGAGGGTCATGAGAGGGAGATTGCAGAGAACGTCTGCATGGTCGCCTTTGAAGGTGTGTGTTCCTAATATACTGCCTTTATCCTGGTGCCCCATTTGACACCGGTTATCAAGGGGGCGCCGACACGGTGAGCATGATATTGCACCATCACTTCTAGCCTTTCCTCCTGACAAAACCATGTCCAGACCTACTCGACACTGCAATCTTTCTTCCTCGCCATGTCGCTCAGCCCAGAAATACAGCACCGAGCCCAAGCAGAACTCCACTCTGTCGTCGGCCCAGATCGCCTCCCCACCCACGACGACAGGCCCGCTCTCCCATACGTGAACGCAATCATCAAGGAGTCCCTGCGGTGGCAGAACGTCCTGCCCCTGGGCGTGCACCATACCACGACGGAGGACACCGTGTACGACGGATATTTTATCCCGAAGGGCACGATGCTCTTCCCTAACACCTGGTGCGCACCACTTCTCTCGCTCCATATACATGGTTCCCTTGCGCACCGCCCCCCATTTAAAGTCTAACGGCTGCCTGCGCTCCGCAGGACATGCCTCCACGACCCGGAAGTCTTCCCCGACCCCGACCGGTTCTGGCCCGAACGCTTCCTCGGGCCCGACGGACAACTCGACCCCGCCGTGCGCGACCCGTCCAAGTACACGTTCGGCTACGGCCGCAGGTGAGAGTCTGTCCACCCCCGTCCCCGTCTTGCTTCCCCCCGGTTCGGGGATCAAACGCTGAACGCGTGTTTCCCGCGCGCGCAGGATATGCCCGGGGAAGCACTTTGCCGACGCCTCTCTGTTCATCAACATGGCGACGGTCCTGCACGTCTTCGACATCTCCCCCCCGCCCGATGAGGACGGGAAGCCGGTGCGCATTGAGCCCCGGATGACGAACGGGATCATGTCGTGAGTGGTACCGCGACAGTGGGACGGTCGTGTGAACTTACTACGGGGCCCGGTTCGCTTTTTCCAGGTACCCCGAGGACTGCAGGTGCACGGTCACCCCACGGTCGCAGCGCGCGAGGGAGCTCATTTTGGAGGACCACTGACGGTGATTAACGCGTTCCGCACGTACACAATGTAAATGTACCGAGATCTTACGTTGGATATATGGATGCATTCCTATGACTCTTCGTGGTGGTCTGCGCGAGCCAGGAGCACCACAAAATCGATCCAATTTCTCATTGGCATAACGCCTCACGTGAATGTGACAGATCGCGTTAGGACTCACACAATCTTCGGTCAAATGGACGCAATGGTTATCAGCCGTACACGGCGCGTACAGTACTATGTGGTCTACAGCCTCCAAGCACAACAGAATGGTGGCGACACTAGGTAAGTAAGTAAATAAATGCTCGAGCTCTCTGAGCGGGCCTGATGGTTAAGCGAGGATGGACGAAAGACGGCGTCGCGGGCGGGGGCGTAGAAAAGGAGGGGCTGCGCTGAGAAGGAGGGTATTGCGAAGGATGGTAGTGTGTGCGGGGGCGGGGTCATAACATTACACGGGGTTTCCGAGAGGTTAGTGATCGTTATTGGCTTGTTGAACAGGACGGGGCTGAGGGTACAGAGGGACGGGAGAGAGAGGCGAGACGGAATCGAGGCGTTGAGAATGTAAGAGGGAGGGGGATCAGCGACGTTCAACGGCGGGAGAGGAGGGATCCGGAGGGCGCCTCGAAGTTGCTGGGCGCCATCATCTCGGCTTTGGAGGGCATCACTTGGAGGAGGGGTTGCGCGGGACGGGCTTTGCGGGTACCAGAACGCTGCAGGCCGCTGGACCCGCTGGTGGCGGCAGCCGCTGCTGGGACGGACACGACGTTCCGCTCCTGGTAGAGAACATACGACTTTGGATATGAATAATGTCAGCAGAGGAGCTACAGCTGAAACGTGAAGTACTCACACGAGCAAGGAGGATCTTCTCGAGCCAGTTCTTGCCCTCAGACTCGCCGCAAGAGAAGACGTGGACGTAGTCGGACGCGTCCTCGAAGTAGCTGAGGCTGTCGGTGGACTTCACCGAGAAGACGTACGGTTTCGGGGCCTTGTGCACGCGCGAGACGTAGTAGGCGTCGAAGTTGTTGAGCGAGCAGAGGAACGTCGCGTCCTTGCCCGTGTTCCGCTTCGAGAGCCAGATCGAGTGCTCGCGGAGCTCCATCCAGCGCTTCTGCCACTTGCCGCGCTTGTACTCCCACTGGACGTACCCGCTGCACATCGGCGAGGACGAGGGGATCGCCTTCGAGCTGAGCAGCGGCGCGAGCAACGTGCGCTTGACGACGAGCATGTTCACCGCCTTGTCCGAGTTCCACGCGCCGCACACGTCCTGGAGCATCTCGAAGTTGCGGATCGGGCGCTCTGTTATTGCAAAACAGCGGATTCGCAATCAGCTCATCACCATAGCGCCAGCGCGACATGGCGGAGAAACGGCTGCTCACCCATTCCGAAGTCCTGGGAGACTTCCCACAGCATCCAACCCCCGCTCGCGGCGGGACCCTGCTCGAGCGCACCCTGGCCGTCCACCATGTTCAGGACGTCGCCCGCGCTCGTGGCCGAGCCGATCTCCACCAAGCAGAAGCGCTGCATGTTGTCGATGAACACGCGCTGCTGCCACATCTGACCCTTGCCAGGCTGCGTAAACACCGAGGCAGGCGCGGGCACCGAGGGTGGTGCCGCTCCCGTGTTCGCGCGCGGGCGCGAGAGCACGGCGAAGCCCGATGACGAAGACTCGGCGGGCATGGGCGGCACCGGCGGGCGCTCAGTGCTGGGTCGGCGAGAATCCGACTTGACCGAGCGCGAGCGGTCGAGTCCTGACGAGGGCAAAGGAGGCGGCGCGAGGTCCTCGGCGGCCGGTCGTCTCCTCGAGCCCACGGTGCCGCTGCGTGCGAGGCCCGCGCTCCCGGCGCTGGTCGTCGCGTTCGCCGATGGCATCGGCATGGGCGGAGCAAGATCGGCTTCACGAGACGGGTGATGGAAAGAACGTGAGGGGCGGAGCGTCTTGTCTTGAGGCGCGCGCGACGGCGCGCGAGAGAGGGACGCTGCGTGCGACAACGTGTCCGCGGTCCCGGTGATAGCGCGACCGCGCTCGAAGGAGGAGCGCTTCGACTGTGAGTGAGCATGCGCCAAGGAGGGTAACGGCGAGAGCGAGGGGGAAGGAAGGGGTGGGGAGACACCGGTGGTCTGCAGGCCGAGCAGCTTTTTCGTCAAGTCGCCGGCTGACAGCGGGCTGTTGATTTTACTTGGCAGCGTCTTCGTGCGCGGCCGGCCGACAAGCTTTGATGGTGAGGCGTGTTGCGAATGGGACTGGCCGGGGAGGGCAGGCTCCGCCGCCGGCACGGTTGGTTGACGCAGTGCCTGCTGCGCGTGTTTGGCGCGACGCTCGGCGCGTTTCTGGTCCAGCTCGTCGCGCACTTGCCGGCGAATGGTGCGTTGCGCCTTGAGTGCGCCTGGGATCTGCCGCGCCAGTGGCACGTCGTCGTCCGCTGGTTCTTCGCTCGTAGAACTCGATGCGACTGGGGGCGCAGAGACCGGTGGAGCGTGTGGGCGAGTGGTATCGCGGCGCGCGCGGGGGAAGTTCTCCGTGCTTGGGCTCTCCTGCCCGTAGTCGTCCGTACCGCTGTCTTCGCTATCTGAGTCGTCCTCATCTGAGTCCGACTCCATGTCCAGTGTGGACACCAGGTGACGCGATGGTTGCCGCCTCCGGTCGTCGTCGCTGTCGTCGTCGCCGCCCCCTCTGCCAAACCCTCTGCCGCCACCGCCACCACCACTGCGAGACCCAAATCCACTACGGCCGTTTGAAAAGCCCCCAACGGCGGGTGCTTGACTGTGAGCTCCGTCGCTTGGACGCCCGGACCGGCTCGCGTGGTGACTGTAACCGCCCTCGGCCGCGTCAGCAACTTCACCGACAGGCCCGAAGACGTCGCCGTCCTCGTCGTGAGAAGACGAACGCACGGAGCTAGACGGCGATTGGCTCGAAAGTGCGAACCGCTCGGTCAAGTCCTCGGCGAGCTCTTCGAGATCGGTGAAGGTGTTGCTCGCGATGCTGCCGCTCGAGCCGCCCGAACCCGAATCTGCGCTAGCTTGCTGCCGGTGGGTTGAAGGCCACGGAATGCCGTAACCAAAGACCGGAAATCTCTGGGCGCTGGTGGGTGACCCCAGAGGATCGCGGAACGCCCCAAGGTCGTACGAGTAGTAACCATCGTCTTCCGCAAAGTCGTACTCCGAAAAGTCCGTCGACGATGCCGTCCGCGAGAGTACCGGCGAATGAGAGCGACTGCTCTCCGCAGAATAGTCCTCGTAGTTGGCTTCCATCTCCGTTGGTGATCGGCAGTGAATGTCGCTGGCCTCTGTGCTCCATCGGGAACCCTCCGAGAAATTAGAGTTTTCCCGGAAGATGTACGTGTGCTGTGAAGCTATAGAGTCGCGGGCATTGGGGACACAACGCGCTTGATCGTTCCTGCGGAGGACCCAGGCTCGAAGTCGCCGGAAGGGAAGAGCGAAGGACTGCGTGGAGGGGGGCTGAGCTGGACCACGGCATCGGAATAGTCATAGTCCAGACTCGCAATGAGGTCATTCATGAGAACTTGAGTATGCCGGTGATGCGCGAACGCTACCGACTCCCCGGTTGGCCGGGTGTGGTCTGCGTGTGGGGACTCATTCACGACCACGCTGGGAAGTGGGGGCAGAGGGGAGTGGGCGTGGGTGGGAGAGAGGTACGGAAGATGGCCATCCACCGATCCGGTCGAGTGCGAGGTGGGCGAAGACGAGAGGGACGGGACTGCGGAGCGTGTTGAGAGACTGGATGGAGACCGGGAATGGCACAGACTAGGCGACTTCGGAGGCGGCGTTGGCGGACGGCCGTTATCCTCCGGCTCCTCCGCTGCGTTGTTGTCTTCTTGGTCTAATGAAAACGAAGCTTGAGATGCACCATCTGCTTCCGTGAGAACGTGATCCCCGTCGAGCGATTCGGGCAGCGGCGAGGCGCAGCTGGGCGCGGGCAATTCTGAAGGTTCCCTTGTTTCGGGCGCTTCCAGAGCGGGAATCACCTCTTCCGCGTTTTCCCCGTCGAAAAACATCCGCGAGTCCCTGATCACGCTGAGGGTTGGCCGACGGGAATGGCGCTGGCGGCGGCGCGCTACCGGCGAGGTCGAGAAGCTCCTTGGGCTCACTGGAGATGGCGGTGAGGGACCGAACGGCGCCGGATTTTCCCATGGCTCCAGTGGCAGATGAGCGCCGGGCCGCCCTCTGCGCACCTGCGAAACGGACGCGGTCAGCACATCAGCGAAAGTCCGCGTCAGCGCCAGGAGCGCAGCATCGGACATTACCTGAGGGAACTGTATGGTCGCGCTCGTGAGCGTGTTCAAGTTGGAAGAGACGGGCGTGGCGCGAACGCGGGTCGTGTATATGCAGGATGGACTTGGGAGATGTTTTGCTTCGTTGAGGAGTTCGCGGCGACATCATCGGAGATGGAGGAGGGGCTAACGGAACGACATCATTGACAGGTCGCAATGACGGAAGGCTCTGTAAGCTCCGTGGCCGATGGAGGCCATCGCCTCGAGACAAAGGCGACGGGGGAACCAGCAGAGGTTGAGGTTGCAGCGTAGGTTGAGAATCGTGGAATACGTCGAAGACGGTTCGCACCGGCGATGTCGCGCGAGACCCGCGGAGAGATGGGGCGGGTGACAGGTTGGCAAACGGATCTTCATCAAGGAGGTCTGGAGGCGGAGAGTTGCGCGACGGCGTCACGGGCCCAATGGACGAGAGCTCAGAGCCCGGGGAGGTCGTGGCAGAGCATCCCGAGTAGAAAGAGATCCAGTCTTCGGACGCGACGCGCTCGCTGGGGCTGGGCGGACACTGGTGTTCACAGGATGCGCGCTTGCATCCGTTGGTGAGGCCGGAGGGGGCGACAACGCGGGGTGGAGGAAGCGGCGCCGGGGAGAAAAGAAGGGACGAGGATGGAGGAGAGAGAGCGTCGCTTCCTAGTCATGTTCGGAGGAGGAGCGAACTCGTCCGGGGACGAGGTACGCGAGCGGCGATGAGGGTGGTGCGGAGTGGAATGGGGAGGATGCTTGCGGTTCCGCGGGGGGTGGGGGAGGGGCTGAAAAGGCGGAGGTGAGTGATCTGACGCGTCGAATAATCGCGTAAGGACGGGCGGAACGCGTGTCCGTAACGATGGGACGCCCGATGCTTTAACGAGAACAGGAGGCGTCCGAGCGGAGGAAGGGGTGGGCAACGCCCGCAAGGCTCGTGTGTTCCACGAGGAAGAGGGTGCCTGATGTGGGACGGGCGGCTCACCTGGTCGTTGGGCGGCTCGAGATCCAGGCCGGGGGCGCAGGGAATGAATCCGAAGTGCTTCCAAAGGATGTCGTGTGCGAGAGCTGCGTCCGAGTTTTCAGAGGAAGAGCAACGGTCATCGGCGGTCCCGGAGCGGGGGAGGGGGTCGGAGAGACCGGGAGCGGGAGCGGGGTGGGATTGGGCAAGGTCGGGAGGAGAACACAGCCAGGCCGGAGCAGATGGTAGCACGGGAGGAAGCTGTCGTCTGGAGGGCTGCGACGTCGTCATGGCTGGGACATGCATGCGGAGAAAATGTAAGCGAAGGACGTGTGCTGGAGACGAGCAGGCCGCACATCCCTCACAGATCGGGCAGGTTGTTCCCACCGTCGGCCACGCGCAGTCCTCGCGGCGACTCTCTCTGTCCTGCGTCCTCGTACTTTGATCAGGGAGAGACCTCCTCGCTGCCTGCAGTTTGGCTCACATTACGCACACCAACGGGATAAAAAACCGACCCATGGTTCGGACTTACTACTGTCCCTGCACCCCAGATTCCATCGGGCACGGGCTCAGGCAACGGGCCTGGACCAGTGGACCGGCCACTGCCCTCGTCCCGGACGGCCGTCGCACGCCCCGAGTCCGCAAAATTCTGAAACCGAGTGCCGTCGTCGCCCGGCATCGCCGCTGACGTATTCCGTCCAATCCGCGATACGACCCAACAGACCGCGCCGGGCGAAGCTCGGCGAGCGCGAACTGCAGAGATGCATTCCCGACCGAGTGATCAGTGTTCAGCCCGCTGCGAGATAATTTATGCTGCAACCCAGTAGATCCGCAGACAGCACCAACGCCGGCTTGCTACAAATCAACCGAACGCTCTCACAGTCAGCGACGGGCGCGCTCGGCGCAGTTCTGGTGGCGAGTGTGAGTCGCATGCAAACCCGATTGGTGGCGACACACTCTGAAACTGGTACTTACGTGACCATGGGCCCACATGAGATAGTCTCCCCTAGGCCAACCTTCTAACGAAGCACATGAGACGGGTTTTCGCACACGGATTGCCCAAGTTCGCCGACGTCGCCCAAGTCTGACACTGGCCCATGACTCTGCCAATATGTTGTGCATGACAGCATGTGACCATATGGCATCCGAATCAATCCGGTGTATTCAATCATACGCATCGAGGAGATAGTCCCCGGAAACCGAGGTCCGCCGGAACAAGCTGCATAGCAATTGAAAGTCTAAACACAAGTACCCAAATCGATCGTGTGACTTGGTTGATGTGCCTTGCAAGGCCTGGACGTGTCCACATCTCGAAGCTTGAACGATGACACAGTAGTAGGAAAATCCCCCGCGCCGCTGAATTGTGTCGGCGATCTCAACGTTGACGGATACGAGTGGTGGAGACACGCCCCTTACGTCATGCCCTGGGCGGGTCAACAGACATCCTGGTGTTTTTTTTCCGGCGATCGTATGCATGGTCCGTGTATGGCGCTGTGTATACGTACATAGTTCTGTTCGGCGAATGCTGGATGAGCAAGGTGATTATTCTCGAAAGCCCGCCTGACCTGAAAAGAAGTAGGCTGGATAAACAGGCGACACTGATCCTCAGGAATTGCTCGCGCAACAAACATCGTTCAGGACACAAACACCTTTACAGCCAATTCTTACAACCAGTCGTACCCTGAGAGGAATTGCATGGGCCGTGCACTGCCGAACATGCCTGTAAACCACATGATGGATCATTCATGCCCCACAAAGGGCGCCCCGGCCCTCGCGGGGCTGGTGACGGTGAAGAACGTAACATGTGAAGTAAAACCGGACATGTGGCATGACGGACCTTGTAGATTCTTACGCAGCACGGGGGTTGTACGGGGATAAGCGTTCGAGGGAGGCGGTGTCTCTCGGGAATGAACGTACTGAGTGAAGAACGCCGCTGGCTTCGAGGAGCGGCGAATACACCCGTGTGAGAGATGTTGGATCCGACCTTCGCCCTTCTTGGTCTTGGTATCGGCGGATGGAGGCAATGCACTCCAGGTTGACACTGAATTCAAAGACTTGGGGGCAGGCAAGACCGCGCATTAAATAACCAAAATTCAGTCCTCAGAATAAGCTCAGACGCCAACGAGGCCGGAAATGAACCCGATCTTTGAACATTCACCTGAAGAGTGGAAGATACCGTGAATGAGTCAAGACACCGGGACGCCACTCACGCGGAGCCATGTACCCTCTTCAGGAAGTAGGAATGCGTCGCTGAAAGTTCGCGGAGTCAACGTGTGCAGAGTGTGGACCAGAACGAGGTGATGGAGTAGTACAGAGCCGGAATCGCGCGGCGAGGCACGCGTCCCGTCAAGCACGACGCGTCTGTCACGTGCAGGACGCCTGGGCGGCATGGCGGCTCTACACGAGAGCTTGAAACCTACCTATACCGCGCCCATCGGCACACACCCACCTCATGTCGACGGATGCACCATCAGCAGAAGCCAAATCGAAATATGATGCGGCGAAGAAGGAGCTCCTCCAGGCCCTCGCCAAGAAGCGCAACCTCGACAAGCAGCTGGTGCGCAGTGTCCCTGTGTCCCTTCGCCCCTTTCACGCTCAATGCGCGCAACCAGACCACTATGGAAGTGCAGATATACAACCTGGAAACCTCGTATCTGACAGACACGGCCGCGCATAGCGGCGGCAATATCATCAACGGCTTCGAGGGTTACCTCAAGAATCCGCCCGGCGGGAGGAAGCGATACGAGATTGGCGAAAGCGACCGGATATTCTCCTCAAGTAGTCACACGTACAAGAAGGTTCGCCCTCTACGCCACGCGCCTCTTGACGTATGCTAACTTGCGTAGGCATTGGAACTCTCAGGCGAGGGCGAAGAGTCAGGAGCCACTAGCGATAACCAGTCGAGAATGTCCACGCCAGGCCTCACCACAATCAGCGTCCCCCCTGCATCGCGAGCGGACGCGATGTCAGCCGCACAAACGAAAAAGATTAGGGATCGGGACTATCAACGAAAGAAACGCGCGGCGGAGAAACGGAGGAGTACTGCAACGCCCATGAGCGACGATGAGAGCGTATCGGGGAGGAAGCCAACGAAGCGGTCGCGCATAGCAGACGACGATTAGGTGTGTTGCTCGGTCAGATACCCTTTCTGCGTCGGAGCGGTGCAAGGCCCCTCATCCATCCCGAGGTTTTTGGTGCTTTTTGATGTACAACAGTGTAGCATATGCCCCTGTACGTCCACTATACATCGAGCGTGTCAAGAAACTTCTTCACACTTTGCTCGTCCATCCCTCCTCCGTCCGGATCTGCTGCTTGGATGCAACGAGCCATCGCGATGACCTGCCGCGGGTCCTTCGCGGAGACCCATACTCTACCGTTCATGCCAGTAGCGCATTCGAGCGGGAATCGAGAACCGAGCATCGGCAGGAGGAAATGCTTCGGGTCGAGCAGCCTGAAAAGTCTTCTCAATCTAAGAACGCGCGCAAAAGCGTGGCACTCACATTCGGCACATCTGAAGACTGCATTGCACGAGGAACCCCCCCTTCAGCTCTCCAAAACCTTCGGCCTTGCGGGTCTGCGCGTCGAAGCATTCGAGCTCCGGCTCCATGTCTTTGTGGGCAAGGGAAACACGGGCATACAACAAAGACCCGACCTGGCGGTCCATTTCAGACGAAGCGCATCGATGCGCACATAGAAGTACACACCTTGAGGTTTGGCTTGTTTCGTTTTGATGCTCCTTCAAATGCGAAGCCGTCCAAAGAGGCCGAATGAGCAGAACCAATGTCTACCCTCCAGTTTTCACCAGCGCGTCCGGCGACGACGCCAATGACCGACTCTTGGGGAGCCGGCACATACTAGCTTCTCTCTTGTGAGCCTGCAGTCGATCAAAGACGTGTTGTGAAGAGCGAGACATACCCTCCGCGAGTTGCTCTCTATCCACCACTTCGCACGATTCGCGGAATGCTGCACGTCCCCGGCGCGCGTGGAGAGAACTGACGTCTGGCCATCGGACGTTGATTCCTGTAGAAGTCCTGGACCAAGCTTTAGGTTGACATGTTGTGCAGGGACACTTTCTCCGGGTAGAACGGTGAACATGATGATGGTGGGGTGCGAAGGTGAGGAATTTGATGAACGCGCTGAGCGAACCGGCCCGGATCCGCAGCGCTGCAGCCTCCGATCGCATGCACTTGGCTTGAACTCCTTAATCTTTGTGTGCATCCTCTATCACTGTCGCCTCCAGCTGGAACGCTGCATAACTCTGCATCACGCACCTGTTGCTCAAATATACATGGACACGCCGACAAATCAACCGGTCGGTACGAGACTCGCCGCCGAGTTTCCTGAACTGGCTCATCTATCGTGCGTATCCACCACTTGCCACTTGTTAGCTTGCCCTCACCAATGTTCCACAGAAGAGACGATCTTGAAGAGCTTCTCTCGGACCCTCAATACTTCCAGGCCGTATTCCACTCACTACCTCGAGTGAAGATGTTATACCAGGGACAGATGGAACTTGCCATGGCGAACGAGACTATTGCCAGTGCGTAGTTGATTCGGACCCGCCAATGCTCTTTGACCAACGGCTGCAGAGAACAATACGGCTCTTCAGGAGCCGTTATATCAGCTGAGAGGTCAAACACAGGAGGCGTTTGATCGAGCCAAGGGTCTTGAAGCGCGGTGGAAGGAGGTTGAGAAGGAGCAGCGTGATGTCTATCAGGTAGGTTTTCATCCGTGGTTTCAAGTGCACAGTATCGCCATGTTCCCTCTCTCGCCATGCATATCGTACTGAACCTGTGCACGGCGACAGAGATTCGAACCTCACTTCCTGCTCATGCGTTTACGGCATGCAACAACAGCACAAGATGATCTATCCGAAGCTCGTGCTACAGCCTTCGTCCAAGGTTCAGGCTCGGATGCGCCTATTGGTCTTAGTGGGAGGGAGATAGACGAATTTGTCAAGGAATTCAGAGAGCTGAGGAAGACGTATCACAAGAGAGTAATGTGGGGAGAGAGGTGGACGTCAAACGATGTTGCTTGGAGAGACGATTGAGTTTAGGACCTGGATCCTGGATGAACTTCGCAAGTGTTTCTCCTGGATTGTTCCAGTTCAAGCGTTCACTGACTAGCGTTTTACAGTGTACTAACAGGCATGTTGTATCATACTGAATGCGCACTTTCCGCGTGACGGAACACACATCCCTATTCTGCACGGCATTCTCTTGACTTTGGTCGCGTGGGTACGTTCCTGTAACACATTCAACGTTATCAAATCTCGAGCAGTTGGCGAATGACTCAGGATGGAACATTCTCGGGATGATTCCATAGCTTTCAGACCCCGGTGATCATTATCGGAGCGGTCATGCCATAATCTCGCTACCAACGGGTCAGCCTTGCGCCCTCACTCATTGTTCAATAACCCGCTACGACATGCCCGGCCTTCGATGTACCCATCTCAGCGACAACCTCGCGTAGGCACAGAAACCTGACGGCCTTAGGGCGGAAGAAAGTCCTTGGCAGTAGGCACTCATTCAGTCCGTCAGTATAAAGACTCAGACGGGGCAGCTCGTTCTGCACCGAAGTCGTTGCGTCGTCGAACCACATCTCAAATACCATGCGGACCTTCACTTCCCTCCTTACTGCGGCGACCTTCGCCGCCTCCGCTCTGGGCCACGCCATCTTCCAGGTGAGTTGGAGTCCCTTTGTCCATGGTTTCCCCGTCTGCCTTCAGCTGATTGTATCGTTCTACCTGCTCAGGAGCTGTATGTGAACGGAGTTGACCAAGGACACACCAACGGCATCCGTGTCCCCGACTACGATGGCGTACGTTCTAAAACTACTATAGCTGCTACTATGCCGCCCGACTTACGAAACATCCCTGCTCCACCAGCCCATTACCGACGTCACCTCAAACGATGTCATCTGCAACGGAGGTATCAACCCGTACCACCAACCTATCTCTACTAAGGTCATTTCGGCGGCCGCGGGATCTCAGGTCACCGCCGAGTGGCATCACAGTGAGTGTACCGTCGCCATGTCTGTCAATCACAAAAATTCAATGTTTTCGAAGCTCTTGCGGGTGCCGATTCCTCTGACTCGGCCGATCCCATTGATGCGAGTCACAAGGGTATGCGAGCAACATCTGTCGATTGTAGTTCATGGATCTAAAGGGACGTAATTAGGCCCAGTGATGGCGTACATGGCCAAGGTCAGCAATGCCACTGACCTTACCGTGACTGGCTTGAAATGGTTCAAGGTAAGTCTCCACCACAAGTCGCGCAGAAGAATATGCACTCACCAGGTTTTGAGTAGATTTGGGAAGACGGCATGAAGAGTGACAAGACCTGGGGTGTCGACCGTTTGATTTTAAACAAGGGCAAGGTCACGTTCACTATCCCCAGCTGCATTGAAGCCGGGCAGTACCTCCTTCGCGTTGAGTTGATAGGTAAGACCGTCATACTCGTTGCCTGCATGACATCAGACTGACTGATTGGGCACAGCCCTGCACGCTGCTTCATCCTACCCTGGTGCCCAGCTATACGTGAGCCAACGAGACAACCGAGAGTATTGATTTGTGCTAACACCGATCGCCTAGATGGAATGCGCTCAGATGCAAATTACCGGTGGAGGAAGCACCAAGCCTGCAACCGTTAGTTTCCCGGGCGCGTACTCCGGCACTGACCCTGGTATCAAGATTAACATATACCAGACTCTTTCTTCGTACACTATTCCTGGTATGTCTCGTGTTTCTGAAACGCCCCTGAAAGACCGACAAATTTGCCATCAGGTCCCGCTGTCTTCCAGTGTGGCGGTTCCTCAGCTCCCGGCTCTGTATCGACCACGTCGGCCCCAACGACGACCGCCGTTCCCACTACGTCTACTGCAAGCGCTCCGACGAGCACCGCTGTTGGTACCGTCACCCATTATGGGCAATGCGGAGGGCTCTCGTGAGTATTCTCTGGTGTACGAGGTGCCGTGTACATCGGATGGAACACTGATCACTACGTTCTTAGTTACACCGGACCGGTCGACTGTGTTTCACCCTACAAGTGTGTTGTATCCAATGCATACGTGAGTAAAAATCTGAAGTAGTCTTTACATCAACGCCTGACGCTTCATCGGGCTCAGTTCAGCCAGTGCCTGTGATCTGCGTTTTGCCTTCGAGGCCCCGGAGCGGAACGGACTTCGGGCTCTCGACCACGAGTATTCCCGTTTCCCGTACGCTGTGTACATCTACCAGTTGTCTTGGCAAAGTATTTTGGGCCTCTCCTTCCGGTTGCGCACGCGTAAACTTCGCTACCAGAAGCGCTTTGTCGCTTCTGACCCACGAGGTCCACTCAACAACCTACCGCCAGCCGCCTTGCACTGAATAGGGCACATAATTTCCTCCTCAGAACTCTGCAATGTTCGGGACTGGTGTCCTTCTGGCGACAGTTTTGAAACCTCGGCACATCAGCTGAGATGTCAGTTACCCCTACGGCGTGCTTCTAACGTACAACGACGGAACACAGCCCATCTCCCGCACCTCACGAGACTATGGCATACTGCCGTCTGCTCGCGGGGGACCATAAAAGCCAGAGACGGCATGTGGTGGGAGTCGACATTACCATGCAGCCCTCATTTGTCGCCCTAGCTTCACTGGTTCTGACTGCGAGCTCAGTCTCGGCCAACACTGTCTTCTCGGTGAGTTTCTCACGTCCAGTTCGCGGTGATTGCCAACCAGATGCGCGAATGTCAGGCCATCTCCGTGAATGGTGTCGAACAAGGTCACGGTGCTGCCGTCCGTGTGCCCTCGTCGAACAAGGTCAGAGTGTTTTGCTCGGATTGTGATTTCATAAGCTGGCTCAACGTTGTCTTGAAGGGTCTCCGGGATATCACTTCAAACGACATAATATGCAACACAGGGTTCATTCAGCCCGTGTCCACGGCCGTCGCCCGGGTTCCCGCTGGTGGTATTATCGCCGCCGAGTTCCACCACACCTCGGCTGGGTACGTCGGACCGGACCCGTCCGATCCTCTTGACCCAGAGAACAAGGGTGAGTTGCATCGAATGCTTGTGGCGTCGGGATTGCGTGCTGACCTCACTCTCAAGGCCCAGTGCTTGCCTACCTGTAAGCCGCACTAGTCGTAGGCAGGACATCACCACGCATCTGCTAACTTCAGTGGTTTTTAGCGCTGCAATCCCGGATGCCACTCAGACGAACGTGACAGGTCTCGAGTGGTTCAAGGTCATCCCATATGGTCTTGGATTGTTGAAGATACGCGCGGAAGCGCCGGTCACGATTAGATTAGATTACGCTACGCATACGCATGTTATCTTTGTAGTCCGTTATCTCTTGGTCTCGCCTCACACGCTTTACGATACACTTAGCCCTTTGTTCACGTCATGTACTATTTACAGCACGCGCGCATACAGCGCTAATCAAGCTTCGTTTTCCCCTTCCCCGAACCTGCGCGAACTTCTACAGGTTATGAGCCCTGCTTCGTTCTAAAGCAGTATCCACTCAGCCTCTTGTACACACCTTAGCTTGACATCTCCACTCACTATGACTTCCAACACCGACAAGATCAACTCGTTGCTCCGGGCGAAGATTGAGCCACTCTCAGGATCGAGCGACTATCCCCGGTGGCGTCGGCAATTCTCAGGGCTTCTCAAACTCGCGAAGATCTCGGACATCGTCCTCGGTCACGAGACGCGCCCGAAGCTAGCCGACGACAGGAGCAACAGAGCCGACGTCGAAGCCTGGGAAGACAAAGACCTCGCGGCGCTTGTCGGTATGCAACTCAAGCTCGGGACGGCGGCCGCGGCGCTTGTATCGGACGCGGATACGAGCCACGACGCCTGGATGAAATTGGAGAAGAACTATCAAGTACGCGGCGTGGGACGCATCATCGAGATCAAGAGGAAGATGATGAACTCACAATACTCTGATGGGGAGGACGTGGACGAGTGGGTGCAGAGGATGGGTGTGTGGCGGTCGGAGTTAGCGGACATGAACCGGACGATCTCAAACGATGAGTTCTCACTTCTGCTTCTCTGCGCACTCCCGGAGTCTTGGCGCGGCTTCACGAGCTCGATTCAAGAGAGCGCGCTCCAAGATCCGGACACCATCATCGGATCAATACGCGATCACGGAGCGCGCACTCACGCAACCGAGGCCGCGTTCCTGGCGAAGCAAGGTGGGACCGGCGGGAAGCGGAGCGGCGGGCCGCCGCACTGCTGGAAGTGTGGGAAGGTCGGGGTGCAGAGGGATTGCCCGAACCATCGTCCGTGGGGCGGTGGCAAAGGGAAAGAAAGGGAGACGGGAAAGGATGAGAAGGCGTTGACGGCGAAGGAGAAGAAAGGGAAGGCGGAGGAGAGTTCGGACGATGAAGGATACGCCTACGCTCTCATCGAGACGGGCGCCACGATCAACGAGGTCGCGCTTACCGCTATGAGCGCCGGTGCATGGATCGCGGACACCGGCACCACATCGCACGTCGCGCGCGAACGGCGCCTCTTCACCACCTACTCACCCGTCACTGGCAAGTACCTCCAAGGCGCCGGAACCACCCCCATCCTCGGTCGCGGAACCATACGTTTCACTTACAAGCACGACGGGAAGACTACCACCGTCGACCTGCTTGACGTCATCCACGCACCCGGCATTCCGCACAATCTCATCTCGATCGGTCGCGTCGAAGCGGCTGGACACACGGTTCAACTAGCCGGCGGGGAGATCAAATTCCTCAACCGGAAGGGGCGTGCTTACGCCTCTGGACGCCGCGGGGGCGGCTATCTTTACGAGATGGACGGAGCGCCGGAGATTCCGGAGGTATCGTACCCGGGCGCTGTTTCCAGACCTATCCGCAAACGAACTTACGACGAATGGCACGCCATACTAGGGCACCCGGGCTTGAAGGTCGTGGACGCGATGATGCGGAAGGAACTGGTGGACGGACTGGTGGTGGACAAGGGGACGCCCGCGCAGGAGCAGTGCGAAGCGTGCGTACAGGGGAAGCAGACGGTGGCACCATATCGGCGGCGTCGGAGACGGAGGTGGGAGTGATCGGGGAGTTGATCGTGCTGGACACGTGGGGACCGGCCCGGACGGAGGGGATAGGACACGAGCGCTACGCATGGGTGTTCACCGACGTGCACTCGCGTATGTCGGAAGCGGCTTTCGGGAAGGAGAAGTCTGAAATCAAATCCCATTTCCACGAATACCGCATGCGCCTGCAAACTCTCCACGGCGTCACCATCAAACGCGTCCGCTTCGACAACGCGAAGGAGTTCCTCGGGGGAGAGTTCGGCGCTTACCTCAAGGAACACGGCATCACGATCGAGACTACCGCACCCGAGTCTTCTGGCCAGAACGGGATTGCCGAGCGCGTCTTCCGGACCACTTTGGAGCGGTCGCGCGCCATGCGCATCGCTGCCGATCTACCCAAGTTCCTATGGCCACAAGCCTTCGCACATGCCATCTTCCTGAAGAACATCCTCCCGACTCGCGCACTCAAGGACAAAACACCCTACCAAGTGTGGCACAAGCGGAAGCCCGACGTCTCCGAACTCCACACCTGGGGTGCCGAGTGCTGGGTTCTCACGTCAGCAGCGAAGCGATCAAAGCTTGATCCGAAATCGGAACCGATGCGCTTCGTCGGGATGGCTCCGGGGAGCAAAGCCTGGCTATACTGGGACAGGCACGCGCGGCGGATCGGAAAGTCACGCAACATGGTCTTTCGCGTACGGAAGCCCACTCCGCCCGCGGACGAGGACGAGGACGTATGGGAGTACATGGAGTACTTCGCCCAGCCGCTCGAGGGGGAGGATGTGGAGTCTGGCGAGCGTCAGGACGAAGAAGAAGGGGGAGAACCCCGAGGAGACGCGGACCGGACACCCGCACCCGAACTCGCGATCGCGCCCGCGCCTGAACTCGCGCCCGCGCCTGCGCCTGCGCCCGCGACCGCGCCCGCGCCCGCACCTGCGCTCGCGCCCACGCTCGCACCCGCGCCCGTACCGGAGGTCCCGCGTCGCGCGTCGCGATTGGCAGGCAAGCCACGCCTAGACTACAAGGCACTTGCGCACAACGGCGAACGCATCCCCATCACCGACGAAGCACTCATCACGTGCTTACTCTCACTCTTCGGCGTTGAAGGGGGAGCGGGGAACGTCATCGAGCCGCGCAACTTGAAGGAGGCGCGCGCACAACCGGAGTGGCCAGAATGGAGGCGCGCGATGGAGAGCGAGCTCGCGCAACTCATCAGACTTGGGGTCTTCGAGATGGTGCAGCTACCGGAAGGGCGGAGGACAATAGGATGCCGCTGGGTCTATCGCCTGAAGGTCAACGCGGAGGGCATCATCCTTCGATTCAAGGCACGGCTGGTCGCGCTCGGGTACAGCCAAATCTTCGGGCTGGACTTCTTCGACACATACGCGCCAGTTGTGCGAATGGATGCACTTCGGGCCTTGATCGCGATCGCAGTACACAAGCGACTCATCATTCGGCAATTCGACGTCGTCGGCGCTTACCTCAATGCCGACCTCCAGGAGGAGATCTACATGTGCCAGCCCCCGGACTTTGAGGACGGGACCACGAACGTGCTCAGCTTGAAGAAGCTCCTCTACGGACTCAAGCAAGCCGCCAACGTCTGGAACATACACATCGACGGGGCACTCGTACAGGACATGAAGTTTATTCGCACTGAACCGGATCAGTGTGTCTATGTCCGGCCCGGCGGCGAGCACGGCATCGGACTGCACGTGGACGACATGGTGGCTGTGGCTCCGAACGAGGCGGAGATGGAAGCGATCAAAGAAGGTCTTGAGCGCCACTATGAGATCACGGATCTAGGCGAGCCGCGCCTACTCCTCGGACTTGAAATCTCGCGCCCTATCGGATCACCTGACGACCTCACGCTGCGACAGACGAACTATCTACGTCGTGCGCTTGAAGCACACCACATGTCGGAGTGTACCCCGGTGAAGACGCCGATGGACCCGAATGTCAAGCTCCTGAAGACGAGCGACGATGAGGAGGTGACCCCCGCACAAGTCCATGAGTACCAATCAGCAATCGGTACCTTGATGTACGCGGCGCTCGGCACGCGACCGGATCTCGCATACGCCGTACAGGCGCTGTCCCAATTCTGCTCGCGCCCAGGCCCGGTGCATTGGACAGCCCTCAAGCACGTCTTCCGCTACATCAAAGGAACACTCGACTACGGTATCACTTACCACGCGAAGGGGGAGCTGGTAACCAAAGTGGCGTACCAACACTTGCGCCTCGAAGGGTACACCGACGCGGACTGGGGCGCTAACCCGGTGGACCGGCGATCAATTTCCGGATACGCGTTCTTGATCGCCGGCGGACTTGTCGCATGGAGCTCGAAGAAACAGGCGGTAGTGGCGCTATCGTCAACGGAGGCGGAGTACATGGCGGTGTCGTACTGCGCGCGACACACGATTTGGATGCGCGCGCTCCTCGCGGCACTGTATCTGAAGCAGGAGGACGCGACGGACCTCAACGCGGACAATCTCTCGGCCATCGCGCTCTCCAAGAACAACGTACATCACGCGCGCACCAAACACATCGACATCCGGCATCACTTTATTCGCGAATGTGTAGAAGCCGGTACCATCAAACTGAAGCACGTACCTACTGAGGACAACGTCGCGGACATGTTCACGAAACCGCTTCCGCGCGATCGCTTCCACATGCTGCGACGGCAACTCGGGATCCTCTCAGACGCCGAGTTGAGGGGGAGTGTTGAAGATACGCGCGGAAGCGCCGGTCACGATTAGATTAGATTACGCTACGCATACGCATGTTATCTTTGTAGTCCGTTATCTCTTGGTCTCGCCTCACACGCTTTACGATACACTTAGCCCTTTGTTCACGTCATGTACTATTTACAGCACGCGCGCATACAGCGCTAATCAAGCTTCGTTTTCCCCTTCCCCGAACCTGCGCGAACTTCTACATGGATTGATGACATTCATAATTCACTGATCCGGTGTCTTCCCAGATCTTCGAGGACGGTTACAGCACTAGGCGTCAATGGGGATCCGACGTTCTCTTCATCAACGGTGGTTACCTGAACGTCACAATTCCATCCTGCGTCAAGTCCGGCCAGTACTTGTTCCGCGCAGAGGCCATCTGTACGCACCGAGCATTTTGGATTGCTTGTCTGGCTTGACTGAACAATGAGCGCAGCCTTGTCCAGTGCGACGCAATATCCTGGCGCTCAGTTTTTCGTGCGTTCACGCGTGACATGTTGCTCTTGACGTCCGCTGAGGGCTACTGCATAGACGAGCTGCGCTCAAATCGAGGTGACTGGTGGTGGAGACGCAGAGCCCGACACTGTCAGCTTCCCTGGAGCATACACTCGTACGTATTCTCTGCCCATTTCCGCAAAAATTCTATTGAAAGTCGGTTCTCAGCTACCGACCCTGGTATTGTAACCAACATCTACACCGTCCAAGAGTACACTGTACCAGGTCAGTCGAGCATGTACATTATGATGTCGAAGTTTGCTCTAATAGTAGGAAATTTAGGTCCGGCCGTGTTCCAGTGCTGAAATATGGAGGAAGGCGGATAGACAGTCATGATGTGTAATGCTTCTTAGTGGAAACTTGGATGACGTTCAGTATGCCTGTTGCCTTTTGCGGAAGCGTCGCGCTATGACGCAGACGGCGTCTATACGGTTGGTTTCAACCCTTCCACCACCAGACCCATCGCCTCTCTTCTTCCTACCTCTGCTGCCATGAACTGAGCTCGAACACGCACATGTCGACTTTTATATCTTACTTTGTCGACGACCTCTCCAAGAAGGCCGCTCCCGCAGCATCCTCCAGCACTTCAGCCGGAGTCCGCATCACCTCCAACCGCTCCAAGGAGTTGCTTCGTGAACTCTTCATAAATGTGGATCGCGCCCACTCGCTATCATCTCTTCGGCAATGCATAGGACAGCTGCAGGGCCTCGAGCATGAGCAGCAATTGCTATCTGCAGAACTTGTTGGCGAAGAAGAGGAATCGCTACGACAGGCAATCTTGGGCAAGGTTGCGCTTGGGCTATATGCACATGCGCTGACAACGTTCTTGGAAGAAGCTAGCGAGGCTGAGACGGAGCTGGAGTGGTGGTCTGATCTGGGGCGGTCACGTACGAATGTCGCGTACTATGTCTTGCAAAGTGAGTATGGGTTCCTTCCGTCATAATACACGTCCTCATGAAGGCTCGGGGGGATGTAGCGCTGCCCTTGCGCGTCGCGAACGCGTCGATGATGGTTCTTTCGACGTTGCGGTCACGCGATATCCCCATCCATCTGTCCACACTCAAGCCTGCTTCGATTCGTCACCTTTTCCCGTCAGAAGGATCCCTCCGTCCTCATGCTCTTGCTGCCGCCATGTTCCCCCATTTGCAACGCCAACCATACAACATCACTCTTGCGACGATGACCGCGTCCATGTCCTCGACGCGTGAATCTACACACAAATCTTCCTACAAACACTCTCCGGGGTTGCGCGCGTAGGAACAACCGTGCTGGCCCTACCATACAGCCTCGCCCGCGATGAATGCGCATATAAGCAGACGGAGTTGTCTCGGATACGCGATGATCGGGCGGAAGTCCTCGGCTCCCTAGTGAACCTGCGCGACCGCCTCGCGCTTGCCCTCCAGGAGCCCAGCAGCGACGCTGCGTTTTACGCGCTCGCGGAGTTCGCCCAATACCTGCAAGCTGTTCTCGATGGAGGGGACTCCGATCTGGTCGGTTCAGCGGATAGACATCCGGGGGCAGTATTGGAGTCGCTGTCCACCCTCGCGAACATCACCCTTCCATCACACGCGTCGCTGCACGGCGCAGAAGTGAAGGCCAACCAACTCAAGCGACCTTCGCAGCTGACCCTCCTCTGGCCGCGACTGGTATTTTTACCACCGTTGGTGTTGTATGCGATCAAGACGGCGTACGCATCGCGCGCCACACTGGAGGATTTCGCCAAGGAAACATTCGAGACCGTCAAAGGCTTTTGGGAAGATTGGGTTATCACACCCATCCGCGGCATTATCCATACTGTGCGCGCGGGCAGAGAAGACGGCGTCATTGTTACCAAAGATAGCGTTCGGGCGGACTTAGAGGTGGGCCTTTTCGACTTCTCTCCCTCCATAATACCATAACTAAGCGTCTGTCGCAGTCCCTGGAGCGTATGACACTTGCTCTCGCACTGGAGAAGTTACATTACTCATCCGCACAGCTCGAGTTGCTGTCAAGACAGGTCCAAGCCGGAGACCTTACCGCGGTCATGCAGATCTATGAGGACGATATCAAGACGCCGCTCAAGTCGGCCGTTCAAGGCACGCTCCTCCGCTCGCTGTTCATCCAGATCCAGAAAACGAAGGTATGCTCGCCGCTCTTGCGACATTTCAGGCGTTCCGCCCAGCGTCGCGCTCGCTGTAAAGGCAAAACCTTGGCTGTGAGGCGCTCTCTGTTTGAACTGCTGCTAACCCATTGTGGTGATGCAGGTCGATATCAACCAGGCGCTTTCCGGAATCGACAAGCTTCTCAAGAGCCAGGAGCTCACTTTCGCCTTTGTAGGCGTCGCCCCCGCCCTCACGATCCTCTATGCCGCCGCGGGCTACATCGGCACCGTTCTGTCCGGCGGAAGAGGCCGGGGCCGATACGGAGGGAAAGCGAGGCGCAGCAGCGTCTGGCTCACGATGAGGTCCGTCCGCCCGCCTATCGAACGCCGCCCACAGGCTGACCGTGCTTCTCCTTCTTGCGTGCTCCGTCCTACGGCATCGTGCGCGCATGCAGACGCCTCGAACGCCTCCTCGTCTCCGAGCCGGCGCCGTCGCACGGGCACCACGGAGACCGGGTACGCGCGCGCCAGTCCGTGCTCTCCTTCGCGTCGCTCGACGCGTCCGCCGCGCCTGACGCGGTACCGCCGCTGACCGCGGGGCTGCTCCTGCTCTCGGTCACGCGCCTGCGGCGGTACGCGGAGAGCTCGCTCCCGCCGCGCTCGCGCCTCCACGAAGGCTTCCTGAGCGACGTCGCGGACCTCGAAAGCCCGAGCTTCGGGCGCGCGGACAAGTTGCGCATCCTCGACCGCATGTGGCGTTCCTGGAGCGAGCCGCTCGGGTGGAACCGCATCGCGGCGTAGACTCGAGCGGCCCGCGACGGGCGCTCTGGGACGAAGTCAAGGTTCAACTCTCCGTTCTCAGCAGGCAAACGACTGGGGTGGATCAAGGACGGAGCGAGCGGAGGTGATGGCGTGCGGACTTACGTCCAAGCATCAATGACTTGCCGGGCCTCGGTCTGGCCACGGAGATGTAGCGTACGGGCGACTAGAGCGCGACACGAATTGCACACCCTCCCAGGCGAGAGCCGTCTGGCTTCCACCAGGTCCCTGGCTTCGTTGACGACACTCGCGCGTACGGGTTACGTACCTTCCCGCGAGTGCTGCCTTCTGTGAACCTGTTCGTCCTTCGCGGCGGAAGAGGAGCGCAGGCCGCAGGCCGCTCCTTCCTGGTGCGTCCGGGGCGGATCGCGGCATGCGAAAGGCTAATTTTCGATCGTCGGGACCGTTGCGCTCTCGACGGGGGTACTAGCCCCTCCGGCTGCCGCAGTTACGCCGCGGGACGAAAGGTTGAACGGAAACGGGCTTGCGCGCACGCAAGGACGTTGGCTTCGGGGCGCCGCTGCGGGTTCTGAGAATGCCGGGGATCTTCGACCCGCTGCGCGCGGGGGGCGTCCTGGCGATGAGGGCGTCGCGCGGTATGGGTGCGTGAGGGATTGTCGCGACGGACATTGCGGTTCTGAGCAGCAGGGGCTTTGAAGATCTTGTCCACGCACCGTGCTCGCTTTGACTTCAGACCGCTCTCGCGCAGAGCTCATGAACAGGGCGAGCCTCTCGATCCGTTCAGACGCGTCATTGCGCGTCGACGCGCCTCGTTTAAGAGCTTGGGTTTTGCCTTGCACCTTGCCCGTTGGAGACAGCTGGGCCCGGCTGCTAGGCGGCAGCAGCGACGATCCCTGGCACGTCCACATCGGGAGCCCCGCGCGAGCAGACTAGACGGCTAGAAGACCAGAAGCCCCGCCCGCGCCCTCTGCCCACAATCGCTTCCCCTGGGCGGGCGCGTGGCCGACTTGTCTTTCTGGGAACCGCATATGTCCTGTGTCGTCGCGACGGCCCTTCTCGTTTTTCCGAGGCTAAACAGTAGGTTGCAGCCTCGGGGGAACGAGTACGTACTGCTGCCCGTACGCTGCGCGGGCTCGGCTTATCGCACCCCTTTGTCGCATTCTGTGATCCAGCGGGGTGGAAGCCCAGCTGTGGTGTTCATGACTCCGCGCGCGCACCGATCCGCGCACTTCCTGTTTTGTAGCGTCGAGGAGAGTCTGCGTCGACGCTTCCCTGGAGCCGCTTCGTGCTTCCTCGCTTGTCCCCGCGAGCTTCCCTTGTGCCGGGAGCTCGTAGGCAGTACGTACGTACATACGCACGCACGCTCGTCGCAGTGACCGTCACTCCAGCTCTCCAGATCGCAGCGACAATGCTCGTCATTTCGCAGTGCTTGGTACAATGGTAGCGGCACTCTCCAAGATGTAGCTAGAAGACTACGGCGGCGGTGCGGTGCTTGATGATCAATCGAGGTGAGAGGCAGCTTCGCAAACGCCCCCGTTATTACACACCAGGCGGTGAAGTTTATTGCGTCCGCAGAGGAGAGTCGGGATGTTCGCTGGACGGATGCAGCTGTGTGGGTGGAAGCGGTTCGCGGGGTCTCGGTGCCTGTTCCGGCACATGGCTTGCGCTGCGCTGGCTCAATCGTTCGGCTGCGCGTTGGTCGGAGTTGGATGCATGTCGCTGTGCGCAGGGGGTGGCGTTTCCCAGGCTGAGGCTCTTTGGTCTGAGCTTCGGGTGAGTACAGTTCCGGATCAAGCGTGGTATCTTGGATTGACGGGAAAGGGGATGCAATCGAAGGTTGGCCGGGTGAGCGTAGACATGTCCGTTCATGCGGTCTAATTGTCCAGACTAGTGCCAGTGAGCAACGCCACAAAGGCGGCCGCTAATTACATTGAAAGGGGCCCCGGGCCAAGGCATCGACGCGTGGAGCACGTGGTGCTCACGCGGTGTCTGCTTCCGGATTCAGGTTCGCTTCCGTCTACTCAACGCGTCGAATCTCGATCCTCACCGCCGTGTGGATGTACCGATCGAGGCACGTCGGCTACGCAGATTCTCGTCCACCGTGGCCCCGTTGGTTGGAGCTCAGCTGAACACCACTCACATCTACCTCCTGTTGGTCAATAACGGAACTGTCCAATCTCGATGGCAAGAGGCCGTTACCAAGAGCTGAAGTGGAGTCTGATCGATGGGGCGGGGCCTGGCCGAAGCGCACGGGAAGTCGCCGATCAAAGAGCGGGAGGATGAGTAGCCTCGTGTCGCGCCTCACGCAGTCAGCCGCTCCCGCGCGCGTTCCCCGACGAGAACGAGCGGGGAGGCGTACGTACATTCTCGGAGACACCGGACGGGAAATCCGGGGCCCCGCATCGGCGCGCGCGTTCTTTCATATTGCGTGGGGAGCTCTCCTGTGATCGCAGCGCGGGCGACGGGCTTGGAAGGGCCCTCGAAGGCGGGGTCGAGGCCGCGACGCGCGGGGAACCATCCACCGGCGACCATCTGTGCACGCTCGCTTGACGTCGACTCTCGTTCTTCGCACCGCCGACGCGCGGATTCGGGACGGAGAGCCGGGCCCCAAGATGGCGCGCGCGCCCGCGTCGGGCGCGGGAGGGCGACCAGAAGAGGGCAGGTGACCGGGCGTCGGCGACTGCTTTCTGAAGCAGGCGACGGCCTTTGAGCGCGGTTGACACACCGACGACACACCCCACCGGGACATCGGGCGCAGCGGCCGGGTCGTGTGCGCGGGCGTGCGCTTTGCCCCGCATCCGACGGGCCCATCGCGCTTCCTTGCCTGGATCGCTGGACCCCCGACGTCAAGGCACGTCAGCGCGCAAGGCAGCTCTGCTCCCGTTGTCGTCCACCGCGAGCCCACAGACGGTCTGGACAACGCGCGGGCAGCGGTGGGTGTGGAGTGCGCGGGAGAGCGCACGCGCACGCGCGGGAGTGTTGCAGGCTGGACCCTGCGCGAGCGAGCACTCCACCAGCACAAAGCCAGGCAAAGCCAGGGACGTGGATCGGGGCTGGGGAAGGGGTGCTCCGGGGTCCTGGGGCCCGCCACGATCAGCAGCTGGTTCTCCGCGAAGGGCCCGTGCGAGCGGTTCCCCACATCTGCGCACGCCTTCTCGAGCCACACCTCCCCCTCGTCCGCCCAGCTGACGATGGCCCCTCAATCGCCCCCGCGAGCTATCTCACCAGACCAGGCTGCCCCTTCCCCCGCACATATAGCCCCATCCGCATCATGTCTGTCCCCCGCCCGCCGCCCTCGTCGCTGCACATCCTCGCACTCACCGCTCGTCCGCCAGGATCACGCTTCGTCACACAAGTTGCTGACACACATCGCCTGTGAAGCCCCGGTCGGCGAAGACACATCATTGTCATAGTCCACACCGCTGCCCATACAGCGCCCATCGTCCACGTCGCATCCACCGTCAGCCCGAATCCCGACGCCCTCCACGCCTGATCCGTTCTCTCGCTTACGCCCTCTCGCGCTTCTCGCGTAATCCCTTGCACTCCGACTGCCTCAAGATGCCCACTCCCATCCCCTACGAGGTCACCTACCGGTCCTCCCACTCCCCCCGCGTCCTCCACCAGATCTCGACCGACATGTCTCGCACCTCCCTCACACCCAAGTTCGAGGTCGAGCGCCCCGCTCGCTCCCGCCGTTCCCTCTCCCCCATCCCCGCCGAGCCCCCGTCGACGTCCAAGACGATGTACGCGCCCCCACCGCTCACCTGGCGGTCCGCCTTCCAGGATGCCAAAGCCGGCATCTGCTACACCAAGGACGCCTTCCCGTCCTCGTCCTTCCTCCCCCCGCCATTCAACCGAGAGCCGGTCCACGTCGAGCCCAGCGAGCGTGTCGAGATCATTGACGACGTCGACGAGTATGCCGTCCGCATCCGCGTCCTCCGCACCGGTGCCGTCGGCCTCATTCCCGCCTGGAACACCGAGGGCGCCCTCGAGCGCCTTACGCGCATGAACACCGCCTTCAACGAAGCGGTACGTACTCACCTCGAGCCTCCCATCGCACGTTCGTCCCACTCACACATCCCACAGGCGACCTGTCCCGTCGAAGCCCGCACGATGCGGCGCCGCGACAGCGCGTCGTCCGTCGCGTCCGGCAGCGCCAGCGCCAGCGACGACAGCACCTCGCCCGCGCCAGAGGACGCGCCGCTGACGGTCACGCACGTGCACGCTCGCTGCGTCCCATTCGCGACCCGCGTCCGCTACCCCGACTTCTACGGCCGCTCGAGCGCGTTCAGCGACTCGGACCCGGACTCGGACGACTCAGACTTGGACTCGCCGTCGCCCCGGACGCCCGTCGACCACGCCCACCACGTGCACGAGCGCGGCCGCTCGCCCTGGCGCGCCGGGACTCGCCCCGCTGCGTCGACGCCCCAGGTGTACGCCGCGCCGCCGAGCACGCTCGAGAAGGGCGCGGCGTCGTCGACCACGGAGGCGGGTGCGCAGGAGCGGCCTGGCTCTGGGTCGCGGAAGAGCGTCAACTTTGCGGGCACAGAACGGCCGAGCGTCGTCTTCCGCTACCCGTCAGAGGACCTCGTTGGGGTCGCGATGAACGAGAAGCAGCAGGCCCAGGGGAAGAGGAGAGCGAGGAAGAGGACGAGGAGTGGTGGTGGCACGGCTGGGAGGAGTCGATGGAGCAGGAGACGGAGGTCGCCCCAGAGGAGATACTCATCGGCGCGACGTTCGACATCCGGGATACGTTCCCGCTCATCGATGACGACGACCAATAATCCCCGGCTCCCGCACCCTTGCTCTCTCGTCTCTCTCGTCTCTGGATGCCGTGGCCACTGGAAGAGGTGGAAGAAGAAAAGCAGGGCGGCGCTTTTTCGCGCCGGCTCCTGGTTTATGTTTCGACATATGGTACGACAGCAACGCTTTGGGTTCCTGTGCGTCCCATCGCATCACCCGCGGACGCTTCACGGACCCCTCATACCCCTTTCCCTCGCCTCACAACCTCACCCCAACCCATAATTCCGCTTTGTATACTACCCCATCCTCGCGCCCACCCGCCCCCTCACCAACCCAACGATGTTGTACTTCTACCACCCTCGCAAGCAATCTGTATACGTATTTATCTTTAATCCACGTGTTTTCGTTTCACTTTGTACCCCGTGCGAGGACCTCATCGGATTGCCGGTAGAGTTTGGTCGCTGCCCTTCCCTTGTGCTCCGGTCGTCCGGTTGGACAGTGGACACGCATAAGCTCGGGTCCGATAGGCGCGTGTGGCTTACTTTCCGCGCTCGGGGCGATCGGCGGCGCCCATAACGGGTAAGTTTGCGCGAACATTCGAGACGTGGTGGAGCGGGGGGGAGCAGGGACTTCGGCAGGAAGACACGGTGCTCGAGGGCCTGCGCTGCTCCAGCGAGCTAGTGTGGGTACTGAGGCGACCGCAATGAGAGCTAAAGCACAGGATTTCGAGCTCACGGGGCTCGGCGTCCACGGAATGTTCCCAACACAGGCGCACAGTCTCCGTCGGTTGTGTGCACATAAGCTTCGAGGAGTCCTGCGCCGAGCCTCGAGACACACCTCCGACCCATTTTTTTCCACACGAAGAACTAGGAAGATCACAAAGAGGCACAGCTGGCGAGGCGAAGGCGCCTTTGGATCGAGACCGGAGTCGAGTTGTGAGAACAGATATGGGACTATCGGGCCGAGCCGGCGCGGGCGGCTCGGGAGCATATGAGAGTGGTTATTTGCGGAGTCGGACTCATGCATGATTGTTTTCATTTTGTTCGACGCTCTCCGACGTCTCAATCGCCGGCTCAACTCTGCCCTGCGCTTAATCCACCCTCGCAGGTTAGTAATCACGGCACACGCGTACGGTAATTAATGTGCTCCTGGACTCCTTGGGAACATGGCATCGAGTCCTCTCGGAGATTTACATATACACATTGGATGGCACCCAGCCCTGTCTCGACGAATGCTGGGCTAACTCTTGACGACGTCCATCCCCTCCCCCACCTCCCCCAACGCCATGCCCAATCCAGCCCGCCGTCCGGCATCGATTCGGAGTAATATCATCCTATACAAAGACGATGCGTGAAACCGTTGAAGCCGGTACAACGTGTAGTGCCCCGCTGCTGTGATCGCGCAGCGACCATGTCGTCCCACCCGAAGGCTGGTTATCGGTTATTGGTGTACTCTGAGACAGGCGGCGATCGAATTTGCACGTGCCCAGGCGGTGCCCGGATATTCGTTCTCCGACAAATTTCGTGAGCGATCCCAGCAACTTGGCAAACGGCGACGAGCACCGTCCGGACCACCGCCAACATGGCCTCCCATGAAATCCATCTCCTAGTCTACAACTTTGACAACGATTTCCTCGATGTGGTCCTAGACGTACCTGCCAAAGCGACGTTCAAGAGCGTAGCCCGTCTCTTCAACCCGAAGTGGTCTTCGGACCGGCTCAAGGCCCTCAAATTCTATGTTGTGGGCGTCCCTTCAAAACGTCGCACGGATCCACCCTGATACTGATGCGCATGCAAGCCGTCAGCCCTTCCTTCTGATCCTGAAGATTCACGTCGCGAACGCACGCTGGGTTCCTTCATGCGAACCCCACGGCATACGAATTCAACGCCTTTGTGAACGAGCTCCCGATCCCGCACAAGGATGGTCGAATTGATATCGTCCTCGGGTTCTATCCCAGCATTTTGGCTTTCCTGCTTGCGTATGGGCCTCGCTAATATATTCCAGTCCCTGAGTCGTTGCTGGACCTCAAATTGATGCGAGGTACGTCTTCCGGTTGCAGACAGTGATAATATGCGTGACCTGAGCCTACAGAGATCGACAAGGCAAACGAGCTGATACGGCCGCGGCCGTCCCCGTCCGCTATGGGAAGTAGCGACTCCGATGTCATGAAGGCAGCGCAAGACGACGGAGAAGACGACGCATTCGTCACTGGACGCCCCTTTACCAACCGCGGGCTGCCAAACACGTTTTTCGCCTCCTCTCTGGCAACATTGTCCAAAGAGCTGAAAGCTAGCTCCATAACGCATGCAGAAAGGCAGGCACTCGTCCTCCTGTGCCGTCGGTTCATGGATTTGTGTTGCGCCTTTTACGACAGCGAGGACCTTCGCCTCAACGCCGTCGGATGCTCGCTCACGCACGACATCTTCCCCGACGACCCCAAGTACAAAATCGACACACCTGGGGCGCAAGCATCATCCGGCACCGACTTCCGATGGTATCTCTCTCTTGATGGACAAGAGATTGACTACACTACCCTCAAGTTGAAGAACCAGCGAGGAGGTGGTGATCCTCGAATGCAAGCTCAAACTAGGTTTCGAGACCTGATAGTCCCGGCAAGTCTACGTGCCGCTTCCGCTCACCTGATACTCGCTGACACCCACATGAGCAGTTGCTGAAGGGTATTGAACGTCGCACCAACTTCCCTGGACTCATCCTCACGCTGGCCGCCAGTCGCCTGGACATCGACACCAGCATATTCACGGACAGAATGTACTACGAACACGTCTTGACCATAGACCTGGAGGTGCCGTTCTGTGCCGAGGACCACATCGACCGCTTCGTGGAGGTCGTGTATGCGCTGCGAAAGTGCACCCAAGGGCTCAAACAGCACTATCAGACCGCGCTGCAGCAATCCGTGGATCCCATTGCGCCCTTCCTCCCGACGCCCACCGGCCTTTCGGCCGAAGCCGTCTCCCTGCTGAACAACCTCAAGTTCGTGAACCGGCTGGATCACGACGGCGGTATCCTCACTGTGACGGTCGACAAGTGTAGTCGCGCGGGCCCCATCTTCCTCGCCACGCTAGACGGCAGGAGGGTTCTGACGAAGTTCGTCGCGCAGGACAAAGAGGCCGCACGATACAGCGAGACGGCGCACAGGTTGCTCGCCGACGCCGACCGTGCCCCGCCCCTCCATGGCGTCGTCCCCATCGTAGGCGGGTACCTCGTCGTCATGGGGTACGCGGAGGGCGCGCACACTCTTCTCTACGGGAAGCCCGCCGGCTCCGCGAAGGCCGTGAAGGATGCGCTGCAGCGACTGCATGGGGCGGGGATCGTGTTTGGCGATCTTCGTGAGCAGAACGTGCTGCACGTCCCCGCGACGGATGGGCAGCTCGCTCGCACTTGGCTCATCGACTTCGATTGGGCCGGGAAGGCGCACGAAGCCGTCTATCCGGCCATGATGAATGACCGCCTGGATATCTGGCCAGCGGGAGTGGCTCCTGGAGCGTATATGGAGATTGAGCACGACAGGGAGCTGTTCCGTAGAATGTTCCCAGAGGCTGTCGATCTTCACACTGGGTGGTAGTCTGCAGTATGCGTCTTTCTCCATTGACATGTTCCCGGACGACGTCGACCTCCCCTAGTAGTAGTGAACTCCGTACGTATTGATGTGAGTGTCTATCAGTGTATCCTCGGGCAATGGTCTCTGTACTTGTGCTGCAAATAACAAGCCATGCGTCATTGCCAACCACGGGGCACCAGGGGAGCGCACCATCGCGTCCGCGCGTATCCCGCCGCGACGCGCTCTTCATGTCAAACATTTGGCGCGTGTCGTGCCCCGCTGCCCGCGACGTTCCCGCCTCCTCTATCGCGAGCGCCCTGTAGCTCCGCTGCGTCGAGGCAAGTGGTGCTCCTCTGATCCACCGTCGCCCGAACACATCCTAGGAAGGAGTCCACGAAATCTACATATATAGGGATGGCACACAGCCCTGTCTCGACGAATGCTAGGTTTACTCTTGAACGACGTCCATCCCCTCCCCCACTTCCCCCAACGCTATCCGCAATCCGGCCCATCCGGCGTCGATGAGCGCAAGGCCGTTTCCAACGGCGAACACAAGAGTGGAGGCATAGTAGAAATTCGCGTTTCCTGTCCCCTGCCGTAACCATAGGCTGTTGAACAAGGGGAGCAGAAGCGCGGTGTGAAGATGAATGAGCCCTGTTACAATGGGATTGTGAAGCCCTGAGAAAACCGGTGAGCAAACGGATGCGATCTCTGACCATGCACACGTACATAGGTAGATCTCGGGGAATAATGTGAACATAGTCAGAAAGAGGCCAGGGTCGGAGAGAGTTGGGTACGGCTTGAACAATGCGAGCACACCAAGAAGGAGGAAGGCGGCATATAGCATGTCATGTCTGGAAGGTGATTAGTCATAATGGCCACCCGAGCAGGGGGGTGTTACGAACTGGAATTTGATGCACACTGGCGCAATGTAGATGAGCAGGTGTACGGAGAACACCATCAAAAAGAAGGGCCGGAAGTGGTCGAACATCTCGGTGAAGAAGTACCACCACAGCCCAGGGTTGGGTGTCAAGTCTGGGAGGGTAAGACTATCATAACCCAATGTCAGGCGTCGTGGTTCACAGTGCTACTGAGACACTCACGTAGAGCCCCATGTCTTCCCCACCCACAAGACGTTTCCGCAGACCAAGGTCGATGCAACGCCAAATAGGGCCACGTACGCGAGAAACTCGCCGAACAGCCAAGGGACTTTCTTAAAGTCAGCCTCAATCGGGCGTGGAAGCGCCAATCGCGAGACGGGCCGGGTAAGGGATAGTAGGATGAGGGGTACGAGGATTATGATGGAGGGAAGCGAGAGGTGCACTAGAAATGCTAGGGTCACGAGGGCGGCGGAGACTCGACCTAACTTGTCAATGAGGGACGAATTTTGCAAAGGGACAAGCCACGCACCTCTGCATGCAAACATGAGGGATACAAGTGCGAGGGCATTCTCGAACGATGAAGTGGACAGCGCGAGGCTTGGCAGCAAGAGGTATGGGTTGAAGAGGTAACTGCGGGCGTGACTGCTCAGACAGACTGGACGTCCTGGGACACTTGAGTACTCACAGCGCAGCAACCTGATTATCTCTGGAAGTCTTCTTCGTACTTGTCCTTAGCCTCCATATTTGCACAAGAGCCCACGCCGCGACAGCATCCGCAGCTGTCCACAAAACTGGCGACGTGTAAGGCGTCAACGGCAGGACCGTCGAGAACAGCGACAGGAGGAGCGGAGACTATACTCGTCTCAGAGTCGGCTACGCACAAGAGCAAATAATAACATACATGCCGGAAGGTTCCCCCAGAATACGGGTCAATACCATGATTGAACAGATAGATCCCTTCGCGCACTGTTCACCCTCCTGGTAAGCCACAATCGCGACTCCTTGGTCGGCGGTCCGCACACCGAGGATAGGCCGTCACTGGCGAAGACAGCTGGTGATCGTTTTTGAGATAGTCGGACACGGGCGCGAAGGCGAGGAGGAGTCGGGCCGCGACAAGGGCCACGAAGGTGAGATTGGAGTCGCCGTCCATGACGGACGCGGTGAAGAGGAGCAGGTTGCGGAGGCGCCGGCACTCTGCACTCTCACTGCTACCCCCACTATGATGGACCACCGTGGGGGAGACCCGCCCGACCTCATACCCGCCTCGTATCAAAAGTTCCACCAGCCTTACTTCACCCCGAAAGAGGTCGAAATGCTGTCGGAGCGACAGCGAGGAAAGCTCTCGATCGCCCAAGAGGAGCGCGCGAGGCAGGACGCGTGCAGGTTCATCGAGGCCATTGGGCTGGAGATTGGCTTGTGAGCCTCCTCGCCAATGTACAACCATGCGCTCATCTGATGCTGAGAAGGTGTTAGCCCCAGGAAGACCATTGCCACTGCACAGAATCTCTACCACAGATTCCACCTCTTCTTCCCCCGTCACATGAAAGACATCCAGTACTATGTAAGGCTGCGTTGCCCACTTGGCCCTTGTCGAGGTACTCACATTCTTCCACAAAAAGGACGTTTGTCTGGCGGTACTACTGGTGTCATGCAAGATACACGACACGCTGAAGAAAACCCGGGACCTCCTCCTAGCCGCGCACGGAGTACGAAATCCGGACAGGGCAGCTAGAGCGAAAGCCATGGGAGGTGAAATTGACGTTGATCCTATGGTGCGTGGGGCATATGACACGCCCTCGCATCCACTGACCTCGTTCATAATGTAGGAATTGGATGGGAATAGGCAACGTCTACTCGCAGTCGAACGGCTAGTCGTCGAGACTATATGCTATAACTTCAATACTCGAGTACCATTTTCATACATTATCAAAATGGCAAGAGGTATATCAAGTGAGTGCATATGGCATACAAAGACTGCGCTACACATTCTCTCCGACCCGATTATGAGACCGGCTGTCTTGTACACATCGGCCATAGCAAATAACTGCTCTCGCTGTGTGTGCATGACGAATTGTCAATCTACATGTGGTTTCGGAGTCGCATCTCTGTATTGCGTTTTGCCACCGCCAGACTTACTCATGTTGTATCAGCTCCGAAGAGACTGGCGAAACTAGCATATCGTCTTGCCGTTGACAGGTAAGACAAATCCTACTTTCATGTCATCATGGTTCTCATACATGTACTCTGCCAGTTTCCGCACCCTTATCAACCTCTCCTACCCCCCACACACCGTCGCCCTTGGCTGCATTTACCTCGCCAGCCTCCTCGACTCCTTCGAACACGAAGACGAGCGCGACTCCAGCTCTTCGCACCGTCTCGCCTATGATCTCGTCGACAGCAATTGGCCGCGCAGTTACCAAGTCCACATCGGCGACATCGAGGAAATTGCTCACGGCCTCATCGATCTGCTCATCGCCACCGCTCAGGCATACTCGCAACAATACCCCGGGACGGCGAACCCAAGCGCGAACACCTCCCCGCACACGCCGTCGTCGCCATCCCCTCACATCGCCGTGTCCGGGCGCGCCCCGCCTCCAGCCGCGGTGGCCCCGCCTGTGCCGTGGAAGGTGGATTTTCTGATGCGGCTGAAGATACATATGCGAGAGACGGAACATCAAGGGAGGTTGAGGGAGAGTTCGGCGGGAGACCTGAGCTCGAACCTGATAGGGACCCACGACAAGCCGGTGCGGTTCATGTTCGCGCCGCAGGTGTGGATGGACGACCCTTGAGGCGGGTGTTTCGTAAATGCTACGTGTTACAACATGTATGTTCCTGCTGTGTCCCTATTCATGTATCCCCTCATCCGTTCTTTAATTTTGCGCTACACGTGCGCTCCGACGGGCATGCCACTTCCGGTAGACGAACTTCGTGGCGTACCAGCTAGCGACTACGAAGACGAACGACCCGACGATGGCAGCTCCAATATATCCGCTGTTGTCATTTGCCTGCGCAACACTCGTCAGTCAGACACCCTCCTACGCGAATGCTGAGCGCTGAGCGCTGAGTCTGAGTGCGTACCGCAGCCCAGGCTCTCCACCACCTTCCCGCGAGCCCGCCGCCATCCTCCGCGTTCGCCGCATTCTGACACGGGGTGCAGTTGTCGCCGATGAGGCCCATCGTGGTGATGAGGGATATGCTACAAAGCGGCCATCAGCCACCAGGCGGCGCGAGATATAAGAGATCGCGAACCTGAAGGCCACGACGATGCTCATGATGGTGAGGACGATGCTGAGGTTCGACATCGCGCTGTTCTTGGCGCGCAGCTTGCGTTGTCCGACCGGGTCGTGCACCTCGACTTCCGTCGTCGAGGCATCCGTCTTTTTGGACCTGCCCTGAGCGGGTGCGCGCGGGAGCTCTTCACTAGTATTTGCGACAGGACCTCCTGCAGCCGGAGACGCAGAAGTAGGTGAGGGAACTGCATGTGGAAGTGATTCCTCCTTGGGCTTGAGACGGCGTTCGAAGACGGCGAAAGAGCGCTCCGGGAAGCCGGCGTAAGAGTAGAGCATGAGGATGGAGTCGAGGGAGTCGATGAGCGTCATGCCGACTGTGAAGAGCAACTAAAGATGGGTTGACGTTAATAGCGCGCACACGGACGAAGTAATGAAGGACGCACCGGAAGAATGACTATATCTGCTGGGTCTATGTGCTCCCCGTTAGGACCCCGCTTTGCAATAGCTGAGATGGCAAGGAGGGCTATGGACGACGCGGTGTCAAAACCTGCGAGGACACGTCGAGTTCAGCGTATACCAGTCACCCACGAAGCGGTGAAGAACTCACCGAAACCAAAGAGCAGGCCGACCGGATACATCTTCCAGGGTCTGTCAACGAAGGTGACTACGGGACCAAGGACTTTCATCATGAGGGTGTTCCCGTGAGAATAGGTATTGTCCTCGTCAACTACATCGTCCGCTCCTGCTTCACCTCTGACAGCGCGCTGAGCACGCTGCCTCTTCATCTAAGTAGGCAAATGCGTAAGTCTGCGTGCTATCACGCGATGAGGTCCTACGCACTTGATAGCGCTTGCGAAGTATTCTGTACAAGATGATAGAGTTTGCCAGGCCAACAATGAAGAGGAAGCTCGCGCTGACGGCCGCGCCTAAGATGTTCTCGGAGTCAAATAATGCGTCATCGGCCAACAAAGTCACTGACCAACGATACCGCCAACTTCACCAACACCAGTCAGCCTGTCGTAAACATCTGTGCTGATTGCGATCGCGACGTTCTGCGGGGGACGTGAGACATGAGAAACGCTACAATGAACTTGCGCCGCACCACTACTATGACGATCGTGCTGTGTCCAAGCGAGAAGAATAGTCCGCAGGTCACCGGGAGTTGACCCATGCTGATGAGACTGCGCGTTGCATTGTCGATCGCGCTGTGACAGTAGAATCTATGGTGAGTATCATATTCCTGGTCTGATGGTGAGACATATTAGCGAAGCGAGTGCAGAAAGAGAGAGGACCACGAACGTTGCGTTGAGGTAGACACTCAACCTGATATGATCGGCATCGAGGGCTAGTACAAGACAATGCATCAGAGAAGTGTCACGAAAAGAGTGGTGGTGGCGAGCGAGCGCCGAGGACTGCAACCCGCGGGCGGCATGCTCGATTGGGGCCGCCCGGTTGTTCATGCGCGGTGTGACAGTACCAGGGAGGTGCAGCGACCGTGTGTGAGAGAGAAGGTGGATCAAATGGAGTGCTGTTGACCAATACGCACCGTGCCGGAGTCCGATCGTCTAGGCGCGCGAGGACGAAGCGTCGCGGTGAAGAAGGAATGTTGAATGAATGTTGGGTGGAAAGCTGAGAGAACATGCGGCACCGACCCACGACAACAGGGCAAGCGAGAGCACGTCGCGCGTTTCGGTGCGGCGGCCAAATAGGACAGCGCAGACCGCCCACGCGACAGCGTTTGCGACTAGTTCTGCAGAAAGGAGGAGAGCGGAGCGGCCGAAGAGGGTGAGGCGGGGTACCGACGCCAATCGACGGGCGAGCGATCTGGACAGCATCCTGGTGAGCTGCCGGGAGACCTTCGTCCTCTGTGGACCTATCCGTCGTCGTCTGAGCCCTTGCGGACGCGGGTCCCTACCCTGCAATGTCAAGAAGGCGTGAGAGTCGAGAGAGAGCCCAATCGCTCCCGATCGTTATCAGCTTTAGTCTCCCCTAGGCGCTTCTGACGAATCGGCCTTCTGCAACTTCATCAGCACAGCTTCTTCAAACAGAAAGGTACCAAGCACTCGCCTGTTCAAAGGTATACGAGTACTACTAAAACACATCGAAGCATGCACCCGCCAGCCGGTTGAGTTCACCTGGTCCGACTTTGATAGCTTGATTGCTGAGGCTGAAGTGTGCGCAACTAAGCCGCATGTAGTAGTAGGAGTAACTAATGTACATATAGTCTTTGCCGCATTGGAATGTCAGGAAATAGGTCCAACCCACGCAGAGAACCGTGGCGATATCGTGCAGAAATGTCACCTTCTGGCAGGGTCGGGGGCATAAGGAGCGTCATGCATGCACGTACGCGGTCGACTTCAGCGTCGAACGGTGATTGGGACACACGCGATTCACGCCGTGTGACGTGCGCTAGATATAGGCGCTCTCCGGGGCCGCGCGCGGCGCAGCCGGCGAAAGGGGCCCGCCTCGCGTCGCGTAACTTGCCAGTCACATGAGCGTCACGCGTGCGGTGACGGAAGATGAACCAGCCGCGGCCGTTCGAAAGCCTGCCCTCCGCGGGGTGCTTCCTTCCCGATATCTGGATCGTCTCCCAAGACCAGTCAAAATTCTTGAGACCCTTCTCACCCAGTCCTCCGACTGACGACACCCCCTACGACTCACCCTACATCCTTGCTTCCCATCTCCCTCTCGGACGTCTCCCGCTTCCGCCGCCGCGTACACCCACTCCCGGCTCCGCGCATACACCCAGATCCTCGGCTTCGTCTCCTTGTGCGAACAGCATTTGACCCCTGCTACCCATCTCCGACGCGTCTCAGCAACGCACCCCTCGCGCATGCAGAGGCAATGCCTGTCACGCATCTCAGAATTGACACTACCCTCACCTCCGCCTCCGCCGACCCATCTTCCAGCCGAGATGGTCTCCGCGCGCCCCGAACGCCCCACACGCCTCTCTCCGCGCGAAGCCCTGCGAGTTCTTCTCGTCCCTCCGCACTCCTTCCTCCACATCCGTCTCCTCCATGCTCTCTGCCACTTCTCGCGCCCCTTCATCCTCCTCCCACCTCTCCGCCCACTCTGCAATGCCCTTCACCCCTGTTTCTGCGCGCAGCAAATCTCCAGCATGGTCCGCGCTCGACTCTGGCTCAGAAGACGAGGCATTCGGCGCACAAGACTACGTCCTTGCTATGCACGACTTCGCCCCGCAGCAAGCGAACGCGACGTGCCTGAGCTTTGCCGCCGGCCAAGTCATCCGCGTATTCAATCGCGATGCCAGCGGGTGGTGGGATGGCGAGCTCGAAGGCAGGAGAGGATGGTTCCCGAGCAACTATGTAACCTCGGAGGTGGGATTGCTCACAGAGGAGGAGCTACCAGTCGGAAAGGTGAGCGCTTCTTTCCTATCCCATACGAGCGAAAGGGTTACGAGGAGCGGGGGTGTCTGCGCGAGTGGTAGAGGACGCCGACAACATCCTGGTTCATCCTCCACCACTCGCGCATGGCGTCTTGCAGGCTTTCCTCGGGCCGTCGGAGTTTCCGTTGCGCGGGTGCCTACTTGCTCGGCCTGGATGCTATCGACCTTCTATCGGCTGTCCGATCGGGCCTGTTGCTGTTACAACGAGGACGCCCGTGGACGGTGGTGGTGGTGGTGGTGAAATGTCTTATCGCTTACCCACAGCGGACGCGCATGGCGATGGAAGTGCGGGTTGTCGACGAGAAGCAAATGGCTTTCTATGTACGCGGAACACACTCCGTGCTCATGCGTACGTCTATCCTGCGCCCATGTTCTCATTCCGCGTTAGCCTGGCGCGCGTGCTATATCATGCGTATGCAGATACCTGTGCGCCTTCCGTATGATTCATCGCAAGCACTCGCTCTCACAGGTATTCTTGGGGGTGTTCGAGCACGCAGTCTGATGTAAGAGCAGTCTTGGATTCCCTTTTGACCGCCAGAGATACCTCCCTTTCTGATCCGGCGATGGAAAGGATAATATGCTCCAGTAGCTTTGCTTCCGATTGCATGTCAACTCAGGCGGCCGCTTTTGTTGTTCCTGCTACAAACGTCCTTGCGCTTTCTGGCACGATTCACCGTTCTGCTTCCTTTGCCCCATGATTGGACATGGCTAATGTGTCTTCCAAAGACTCCCCGACGTGGCCATGGACACAGCGTGTCTGTCTCATCAACGACGTCTTGGACAAGCACATCGTCTCACAAGGGCAAGGACGTCTTTACGGCTCGCACCAATCACCGTCCAACACCCGCCGATTCGTTTGGCCCAACAATCGATATGTACTGCCCTCCGCTCATGCTTCCTCTCCTCCGCTCTCTCTCCGTTCTTCAGAACGCAGTCCGGATGAATCGTGTCCCCCACTTCCAACCCGCCACCGCTTTCGTCATCTCCTGTGTACGCGCAATCCTCTCCGAAATTGGCTGCCTCTCGCGGGACGATATCCTCCTCAAACAGCACGGCATCCTGGCACAGGAGCGGAAACGCATCCTCTCGGATCTAGCATCATTGGTATCCCAGGCGAAGCGGGCCTCAGACGAAACCACTACGGACGATGTACGGGAGGTGGAGGTACAAGCGATGATACGTTTAGCAGGCCAGCTCTTTGCCCACGTCCGTGGATTCCTCGCGGTCGCGGTTCAATGTGGGGTAGAACTGCCCCAGAATGCCCCTCGGTCTGACTCCCAGGAGTCTCAGCTCGGGAGTAGCTCCAGCAACCTAATGCTCCAAGACGAAGACGACTTCGCAACTCCCGGAAAGAGCACGAACGGCAGTGCGCTTCGCCGAAAGAGGATGCCTGGACAGAGTACGCCTTCGCGGCACAAGAGCCTGGGCGATCTGAAGACGGTGAAACGGGTGCTAGGCAAAGACTATCCCCCAGTGCCCACACTCAACGTTGCACGGAGAAAGCTATCGGAACAGCAGCTGGCGTCACCCATGCGGCGCACATTCAGCGAGAGCACCCCAAGGAGACATAAACCCAATCAGGACTCGATCAGCAGTACATCCTCCTCCTCCTCACTGTCAAGCGAGTCCGTCGGTACGCCGGCCACGCCTATGTTTCCCTCTGGTCCTGCGACGACGTCAGAGCTGCTGGACACTCTGCGTTATACGCACGATAACTTTCTCTCCACTATCGCCGCGTTCATCGGCCACGCGCATTCCCATTCTCGACATTCGCACGCTTCAAGTACCGGGCATATGTACGACCTCGTGCGCGAGGTCGTCGATGTCGTTTGCAAACTTCTCATGGTGCTTGAATCCGTGCTTCGACATCCGGATATCCCTCCGGCGAAGACCACCGGCTTGCTCCCGGCCAAGGAGAACCTCTACAACGTCACGAGCACACTGGCGGACGCAGTGCGTGCTCTTACTGCACCGCCAAGTGACGACGTCTCCGAGGAAGCAGAAAAGGAAGGCTTGCTCAGGTCCGCGACGGACACCTTGCGCGCGGGCTCGGATCTTACGAACGCGGTCAAGAAATGCATCACACGAGCAAGTGAGCGGCCACTCATCTTCACGATCCCAGGGCCAGGCGATCCGGAAGGCACGTTCTATACCCCGCGGAAGTTCAGTCACGCCGGCCGCGCGTCCCCCGTCGCAAGCGGGGTGCGCATACGCAGGGCGGACAGCGTCCCTGCGGAGCTGCGCTTGGCGTACGACGGCGAGGAGGAGGATATGACGATACAGCCCCAAAGCGTGGGCAACTCGGAGCTGACGATGACAGTCCCTCTCAAGACGCCAACGCAAGCCGAAGACCTCACGATTGTGCAGTCGTCAGCTTCACCTCCTACATCGCCCTCTCCCCTTCCGAAGGATGTCCCAGCGCGCGCGGACGAGGTTTTGCCCACTCCAATTACTCCCGAGACCCCCGATCCTTTCAAGGAGGAACAACTGCCGCCTCGTCCATCGTTCGACTCCGCGCTCAGGTCAGAGACGACTTCACTGCACTCATATGCCCCGACGGAAGACGACAGGACGACCTGGGAGGGCAGCCACCAGCGCCACGGTGCACCCAGCTCCTCCTTCGAACTGCTCACCAGCGGACTTCCACCTGCTGGCCCCGCGTCAGGGATGCTTCCATGGACATTCCCACACGATCATTCGCCAGACGACGTTGCATACAACAGCGATGGACAGCTCGTGGGTGCGACGCTCGCCGCTCTCGTCGAGCGTATGACCCCACACGACTCGCTCGTGGAGGCCCCTTTTGCCGCCGTCTTCTTCATGACCTTCCGCCTGTTCACCACTCCGCTGGACCTGCTCGACGCTGTGATCGCGCGCTACAACCTCCTACCTCCGCCGCTATCAGCCGATGTCGACCTCCGTGCGTGGCAGCAGCGCAAGGGCCTACCCGTGCGCCTGCGCGTGAGCAACTTCATCAAGACGTGGGTAGAGACTTACTGGCGGCACGCGACGGACGCCTCGATCCTCCCCGTCCTGACGCCCTTCATCACCGACGCGCTTTCGCAGATGTTCCCCGTCCCCAGCCAGCGCATCCTCGACCTCATCCAGCAGCGCATGATCGCGGCTGCCGACGCCGCCTCCGGCGTGGGCGAGGAAGGCCCCGACCCGGGGCTGTCGCCCAAGCCGCGCGACGGCGGGATCCCACGCACACTCAACCCGCCCGTGCTCCCGCCCGGGCCGCTGTCCGAGATCCCGCAGCCGAAGATCAACAAGAGCGTGTACGCGGCGCTCCGGGCGCGCAACTGGGGCGCGGTCGCCGCGACGGACTTCGAGCCCGTCGAGCTCGCCCGGCAGCTGACGGTGATGGAGTGCACGCTCTACTGCGGGATCCGCGCGGACGAGGTGCTGAGACGGGCGCGAAGTCGGGCGCGCACTTGAGCGTCAGGGCGGTGACCAGCCTCAGCACCGCGATCACGGGTTGGGTCGCGGAGAGCATCCTGAACGAGCCGGACACGAAGAAGCGGACCGCGCTCGTCAAGTACTTCATCAAGCTCGCGGACCGGTGCGTCGGCCTGCGCAACTACAGCACGCCGCGCTCGATCCTCGCCGCACTCGACTCGTCGACCATCGCGCGGTTGCATCAGACGTGGAATGTGAGTGGGATGTCTGTGCGCTGCGTGCGAGCGATGGCTGACGAAATGTTTCGTCGCTTTAGGGCTTGCCGCAGAAGTACAAGATCCTGCTGGAGTCGCTCCGGAAGCTCGCGGATCACGCGCGCAACTATCACGAGTACCGCTCGCGGCTACGGAACACTGCTCCACCGCCGTTCCCTTCCTCGGTGGGCTCTTCCGTTTGATCGTGCGGCTCCTTGGACGGGTACTCAATGGCGATGTATCGTCTAGGATTGTACTTGACAGACGTCACGTTCTGCCGGGAAGGCAACCCGTCGTATCGGAATGCCCCGAAGGTTCCCGAGAAGAAGCTGATCAACTTCAACAAGTACCACAAGCTCGCGCGTATCGTCCAAGGTGCGCCTTTTCTCGCTATTTTTCCCGGCTCGTTCACTGACCCGCGTCATGTTCTCCCAGACATGCAGCGCTTCCAAGTGCCGTACAACCTGAAGGAGATACCCGAGGTGCAGATGTACTTGCGCGACGCGTTCGAGAAGTCGTCGAAGCAGGGCGACCTGCAGGACCTGTACCGGCGCAGCCTGCTCGTGGAGCCCAAGCAGTCGGCGGAAGCTCCGCCCCGAGCAGCGACGTCCGGCAACTGTGGGCGTGGGCGAGCCGGTCGCAGCCTCAGTCGGCACCGTAAAGCTCTTCATGCCATACACATCACATCTCCACCATCCATGCGATGCTATCGCCCGCCATCCGTGTTCCCATCCATACGTCTGCCATCGCATCTCTGTCGTTTTGTACTGCATTCGCTCTTGTACTTGCATGCCTCCCCATCCGTTCTGTGCTCACGGACATAGTGTCGATACCTCGCCTCGCTGAGAGCTCTCCGCCGCATGTTTTGATCTAATCTACATCTCTCGTATACGTTGTGTCCGTCTCTGGACTCTCTACAAATTCTCGTGAAAATGTTCCTCATGTGCTCTGTGTTTGTACTGGACTGGAAAGTCTGGAGCCGGAACGGACGTACATGGACCATAAAAAAAACGTGTACAAGTCTGCCGTCTTATGGTGCAGTCATTTGCACCACTACTTTCGCACAGCTTACATAATCAGTCACGTGGTGCAATACAGACTTGATTTCGAGACACTTGAAATGTAGTCAAAGCTGAAGACGGCATAATGGCTCATGCACATGTATAGAATATTTCTGACGATGAGAATTTTGTAGCGATCCAGTTCTGCTATGTCTAGATCATCATTGACGTCGTGGAGACGAACTGCTAAAGCCATCACCAGATTGCAAGCCTGCGAGCACTGAAGTCACGCTATTTGTTCTATTGTCTATTGCTAGTAGCAATGATGAGTGTGTACGGTCGATTGACTCGTCCGTAGCATTGCACAAGTCTTAGAGGAGGCGCTTAGTACATCACATGACTGTATTGTCATCCATCAGCACGTGTGGCAATAGCGGGAGATGAAATCCTTCAACTCAGAATTCGACAACCCTCTTGGGATTTGTTCAGACAGCGAAAGGTAGTGATTGGCTAGAGAACTAAGAAATTGGTGCTTATTGAGCGCTCCCGAAGCGCTGTACAAAAGTAGTGGTGTCAAATGACTGCACATAGTACAGGAAGCTAACTAAAGATGATCCGAGCCCTGCTTAAACCAGATGGGAATCGCGCAATGGTCGAAGTTCGAGTCGCAAGCGTTTTTACGAACACGCGCTCCGAAACACGGAACATTCCCGAGGTCAGAATGCCTGGACCGGAGGGAGAGAGCGACGGCAGCGGCAACCTATAAAAAACCCGGTGGGGAAAACATCTTGCGCTGTCGTCCCTCGGCCCAGGTAGGCCCAGGTCCCTCCCGGGATCCGCGCTCGACTCCGTCTCGTTCCTGGCTGTGAAGAGCGCGTTCGCTGTAAAGGAGACAACCAGCCCCGTCGGATTTAAACTTGGAAGCGGTAGGCGTCGGCTATCCGCGATTCCCACGGGATGTCCCCCTAAGCAACGGCCTGTAGACTGCAACCCACTCCATCGCAATGGCCTTCTAGACCGATGCTCGACAATACCCTCCTCATCCTCCGCTTCGGCGAAGCACGCCGGGATCTCGTGCACGTTGCAAAATATCAAGATTCAAGATCGCCGCTCCAGAAAGCTCTACCTGAAGGATTGGCAAATTCGTGAAAGGCCGTCGCCACCTTTCAGTCACCCGTCCGACCGCGGAGACCGCCTCTTAGCAACGGGCCCGCCGTCAAGTAAGTTTGACATCCCTGTTCGGCGTTGTCTCACCGTGTTTGCCGTGCTGAGCCTCCCCGGCAGCTTGTGAGCTTGTGCAGAGCGCCACGATGGACCGCAGGCGGCGCGAGGCCACGGCCACCGTGCATCGAAGGTCATCTTGTTCGGACGTCTGTACTTATTGTCTGAGTTCATTGCTGCAGTCCGCCTTCTAGCCTTGTCCCCTGTGGAGCCAAGCATATGCAAGCCCTCGTGCAGAACGCCGACCGCCCGATTCAGTTCACCGGCACGCGACTGCTGTGCTAATAGATGAATGTCCTCCCGACGTCAGGAGCCCGGCCACACGTATAAAGCGTGCTTTTGGCGTTGCGAGACAGTAGATCCCCACCACGCATTGCAGTGTCCGCGACCTGTCCCTCCAGCTCGCTCTTTTGTCGGCCAAGACACCAGATTGAACGCCCTCGCCTTCAACTTCACCCTCACTCGCCCTCCCAAGCCGATTCGAACCTTCCTCGTCCCTGATCGTCTCTACGCGGCCGCCGCCCACGACCGCCCACAACGCGACAATCATGCCCCACCTCTCCTCATGGCTCTCTTTGGCAACCTGCGCCCTGCTCGCGGGGGTGTGCTACCTCGCCATCCGCCTCATCCTGTCCTCCCGTGCTTTCAAGGAGCGCACCCGCGGCCTGCCCCTGCCCCCAGGCCCGAAGCCCTACCCGCTCATCGGAAACCTACTCCACCTTCCCAAGGGCATCGCATGGCACGGATACGCAGAGATGTGCAGGAAGTATGGTGCGTTGGGCTTCCCCCAAAGGTAGCCTGTGTAGGTTGCTGTATGCGCTGACTTCGGGGTGCTCTACTACAGGTGGTATGGTGTACCTAGATCTCGGTCACCGTCCGCTGCTCGTCCTCGACGACCTCAAGGTCATCAACGAGCTCCTCGACAAGCGCTCTGCCATTTACTCTTCCCGCATCACGACCGGCATGTTTGAGCTGTGCGTTCCCATTCCTCGAGACTCATTGTGAGTTGTGAACCTCACTGACTTGCCTCCCCGCAGCGTCGGCTGGGACTGGAACCTCGGCATGATGCCGTACGGCCCCAGGTGGCGCGAGAACCGCCGCGTGCTCTGGTCGCACTTCCACCCGAGCGTTGTGCTGAAGTACGAGCCCGCACAACGCGCGAGCGTCCGCCGGTGTCTCCTCCGCCTCCTCCACAGCCCAGAGCGGCTCGTCGAGCACGTCCGATAGTGAGTCTCCCCCTCCCTTCCTTCCGGCCACCACGCGCCTCACGCCCTCGGACCCAACGCTGACTCGGGCTCGGTCCCGCCTCCTCGCCTGCGCAGCTCTCTCGGGGCGACGATGATCGAGGCGACATACGGCCTCCAGGCGGCGGACACGCACGACAAGTACATCGCCGCGTCGGACGAGGGCATGAAAGTGCTCGACCTCCTCGTCTCGGGCTCGTCCGTGTTCGAGTTCTTCCCCCGCCTCGCGCGCGTCCCGACCTGGCTCCCCTTCACCCAGTCCGTGCGGCGCATCCACGAGGCGCGGCGCAACCTCGCGATCATGCGCGACCTCCCGTGGGAAGACGCGCGGAAGCAGATGGTAAGCGCGCCCCCTTTGCTGTTGCTGGGGCCGCCGCGCCGTCGGTGGTTTGGCGGCCTCGGGTGGACATAGCGACGTGAGCGGCGAGGACTGACTGCCGGTCGCAGGCCGCGGGCGAGTCGAGCGAGAATTGCACGATGCACGACCTCGTCGAAAGCTTTGCCAGCCTCAAGGGCCACGCCGCCGCCGAGGGGGAAGAGAACGCGAAGAGCATCGCCGCCGTCGTCTACTCCGCCGGCATCGACACGGTAAGCCGCTCCCTGCCCTCCTTTCTGCCTCGATCGACCAAACCACCCGCGGCAGACCTTCACCGTCATTTCCGGCTTCTTCGCCGCGATCGCACGGCACCCCGAGGTGCAGGCCCGCGCGCGCGCAGAGCTCGACGCCGTCGTCGGCCCGCACCGCCTGCCCACGCTCGCGGACCGCGCGGCGCTGCCGTACGTCGACGCGGTGCTCAAGGAGACGATGCGGTGGCACGTGAGCGCGCCGCTTGGCGTGCCGCACGTCTGCACGGCGGACGACGAGTATGGGGGGATGTTCATCCCCGCGGGCACCGCGATCATGGTCAACATCTGGTGAGCGGCGTCTTCCTCCGTCCCTGCTCTTGAACGTCACGGCGGTCTGCGATATTTTCGTCGTTGGTGGCCCGCGATTGGCGGGGCCGAAAGAGCAGCGCCATGCATTGTCACAGACACAAGCTAACGTCGCCGGTGCCCGACTCGAAACCGACAGGTCCATCATGCACAACCCGGAGCAGTTCCCGCAGCCCGAGGTGTTCGACCCGGACCGGTACTTCAAGCACGGCAAGCTCGACCTCGGCGCCGGGGACCCGTCCGTCGTGTTCGGCTTCGGTCGCAGGTACGTTCGGTCCATCTGCTCATCTGGCCCTTGCCCGCTTGAGGCTCATCCGCACCTGCCCCTCGTGCTCCTACTCGCCCGCCGCCCCCGCGCCACGCGGAATGCCGTCACCGCCGACCGTTCCCTCGGATTCATGTTCGCGTCCGTCGTCCACAGAATCTGCCCAGGACGCCACTTCGCCGAGTCCGTCGCGTGGCTCTACGTCGCGAGCATCCTCCACACGCTGGACGTGTCTCTCCCGCTCGACGCCAACGGAGCACCCGTCGACGAGCCGCTCAAGATCTCCCCGGGCTGGCGTGGTGAGTAGCAGCGTACGGCCGCTTTCCGCGCCCGCGCAGAGGTTGGCTAACGACCCCTTCCAACCCGCCTGCAGCGTCATTGAGAACCTGCGGTGCACCATCCGCCCGCGCTCCGCCGCCGCCGAGGACCTCATTCGGAACGGCGAGCGCCGCGACGAGGATTGAGCGCTGCGCTGAGCTTTCGGCGGGGCTTGGGGACACCTTGTGAGTTTGTTGGGCGGTGCAGCGGTGCTCATCACGCCCCCTTTCGTTCTTCTCATCGGTGCTGCGCACGCTGCCTTCCTTTGATACCTCGACGTGAACTACGTCTCATCTCTTGAGGCCCTTGGCCAACGATCACCACAGCATGTATTCGATGTTTTGTTTCACGGGAAAGCCACCGAAGTTAGGCGTGCATCCTATGACCACCTTCGCTGTCCCTTGTAATGTACCTACATTTATTCCTACGTAAACGGCATGGGCATCCTGAATCGGAATCGGAAGGTTTGTTACTAGAACTGAGAGAGGGCGTGAGCGTGCCATAGACGAATTCTTTTTCCGATATTGAGGGGGATGGTGGACGCGGCAGTTTGTCCATGAGGATAGAAGTGGAAATGATCGCTCCGGCGAGAGGCGAGAAGAAGGATGGCGGAGACGAAGGGACCGGCGACAGTGCATATGTATAAGCGCGGCCAATTGTGATGCGGACGGGGTCCCATCACTGGCTCGCGTTGAATATCGCCTCACTCCCCTCCATCGCTGCTACACTCTCATGCACGATAATCTCTTGCCTGACCCGCGAAGCACAACGGAAAGGAATGTAGCCTTAACGAGAGGTCTGCAGATTAGAGGAGACGTGGTGGGGGACGAACTTATGCTTGCTGGGTATGTGACACCGTTCCATCTGAGTTTACGACCTGACTAGGCCTGACCATAAATGACCAGGAGTTCCACCACGGTTCTTGGGAGTCGTTCATGTACAATACTTTTTGACTGGCAATATTGTTTGATTGAAACCCGTCCGGCGTATCGCCCAACATTATCGTGCAACATCCCATGGTTTGCCTTCTCCTTGCCCTCGTACTCCCACCTCTCCGGACAGCTGTCAACTATCACGCTCACCAAGCTCAGCCAAATCTCCCCATGAGCTCTCCGCGCATCCCCATCGATGTCGCCGAAATGGTCATCGACGCCGTGGCGGCCCACGGAGACTTCAGGACCCTCGCACGCTGCGTCCGGGTATGCAAGTCATGGTTTTCCCGAAGCCGCTACCGCCTCTGGCACAGGCTCACCCTTTCCAGAGGCGAGCAGCTGTCCGCGGTCTGCGACACCCTCACGCACGACACCTCTCTGCGCTCGATGGTCCAAATCGTCCGGCTGGAGACTCCCGTACCGCGCTCGGATGCCGACAAGCCACCCCCTCTCCCGATCGCCGCCATCGTAGTCCTTCTTCCATACCTAGGCCACATAACCGCATGGGAGTTCCATGGGCGGTTCCTTCCTTTCGAACCCATTCTTTTTCCGACGTCTCCGGCGATTCTAGCCTGTTTGCGACAATATCGTGCTCTGAGGAAGCTCGTCCTGCAGGACTGCGTTTTCATGACTTCTCTGGACCTCCATCGTCTTGCAAATGCCTTCCCTGCGCTGCAGGACGTTAGGATGGATGGTGTATATACTCGGGGATCAATATATACATCCCCCTCTCGCCCCACATGCATCGACGGGGCCTGCAAACACTACAACTATATCATCGGGACGAGGTACGCAGCACCATTTAGCCTAAGAGTCCGACCCCGTGATTGATCCTGAGGTTCTGAGTTCCCTGGAGCTCACATGGGGTATACTGCCCTGTTAATATCCAACAAGGATCGCTGTTGGATATAAGGCTAGACAGCACCACCCTCACGGAGCCTGGCAGGTCCCTTCTGCGTGTTTAACATGTAATGGCTAACGTTAACTCCGCACTAGGTTTTGAGATTCCGCTTTTCGCAAACTTGAAGCATCTATCTATTCTGCAAGAACTCACTTGTAGCCCCAACTTCGAACTTTACAAAGCCTGTCTCAAACTTCCGAATTTACTACTTTCTTTCACGTTGATATTCCAGAGTTATGTGGTGCACTGGGACAGCGCTTGTTTAACGCAAGAACAAATGGCCATCGTGCAACAGTTGACTCAAGTGATATCGCAACACGCCGGTCTGCGATCGACAGGCCTCACGTGCGTCATAGAGAGGCCAGACGGAACCAAATGCCTCGCTGGACAGCCTTGCTGGAACAACTATTCTCGCCGTGTAGAAACAGGTCTGTTGCGTATCGCTCCCCCAGACTACTCGAGTACGTATTCTTCCTTCGAGAAAATGCGCACGCAAACTAATTCTGTCTGTGTCGCTCAAACCAGCCCACGAGAACTACATCTCAGAGTACGGGCATGCCCGACAGCCGGATCAACTCATATTTTCTCCTAGTGCACGATGGGCAGCGAGCACCCTGTGGGATCCCACCAAGGAGTCTGCACCGAGCATGTCCGAATGCATCCTGTGGGACAGTCGGACCGGAACTCCCCTCCCCTCCCAATGGTACCGCCTCGCAGATCCGCCTTCTTGCCCAAGTTCACCGTCTCCTTTCGCGTTCTGTCCGACTGAGAGGCACTGGGCAATCGCATCGCGTCACGAGATAACCGTCTTCCATCTTCCGGTGGAGGCTACCCCGACATGTCCTACAGATCACTCCCAACCCGTTGGACGCATCGACCTTCATCTGGATAGCCTGATTATGAGACTCTTGTGGTCTCGGGACGGCAGCCGGATATTCGCTCAAGATTCGACAGCGAAGGTCCACATCTATGACGCTCTGGAGTTCACGCACCTCCGTACCCTCTCCCCCCCGCCTATCTGCACCGCAACTTTCGGCGGACAGGTGCCCGGACGTCGGGACCATACACACCACGCAGGCACTTTCGCGCTGTCGGCGGACGAACGATACCTCCTCTCCGACGTCGCGCCGCCAGCCTCCTCCTCCTCCTCCATCCAAGCGCGCACCTCGATCTGCGTCTGGACCCTCGCCACCGGTTCCTGCGAACCCCACTTCCTCCGCTACCACGACAGCGCGCTCCCCGGGACCGACACCAAGTTCCACGCGACCGCCCTCCGCCAACCCCAAGCCCAAGCCTCGGTCCCGAGCCCTCCCCCACCCACGTCGTCGTGATATGCAGAACCGGCACCCTGCTCTCCGCCGCGGTCGGCTCGCCCGACAGAGTGACGACCGTCCTGCCCGCGCGGCTCCCGGCGGACCTCCGCTCCCTCTCGCACGCGTCCTTCTCCTCCGACGGGACGCGCGCGCTCGTCGTCACGCCCGCCCGCTGTGCCTCGTCCTGGACACGCTCACCGGCGCGACGATCGCCTCCCTCGACGGCGGCTGCCACCCCGCCCTCGTCAGAGGCGTCAGCCCGTTCGTGGCGCTCTCGGGCGACGGCCGCGTCGCGGCGATCGGCCGCGAGCGGCTGAAGTGGTGGCTCGGGGGACAGAACAACGAGTGGTGGACCTGGAGGCTCGAGGACGGGACGCTGCGCAAGGTGCTCGGACACGAGGACGGAGTCTCGGCCGTGTGGATACGCGCGCTGTCCCGAGACGGTTCGGTCGCTGGGTTCGCGACTGCGAGAGGAGACGTGTTCTTCCGGGATGTGGGGGACCGTTTCGGTGAGGTGACAGCTGGTGCATAGTACTGCTAGTACTTCCTTTTTATGACGGTCTGGATTTCGTCGAACGCGTCGTCGAAGGCTATTCTCGTCTTCGTTCGCTCCAGCCGTCGCGGTGTGTAGCCACTCAATTCTCGAAGCAGCCGTCATCAGGTATCGTGCTCGCCTAGAACGAATGACACTGATACAGTGGATACAGAGATAGCATCACACGCAACTTCAGAGCGAGCAGGACAGCATCGACACCATCAAGCGAGTGGGTCATGAGTCGTGGGGGTTTCGACGGATATGTCGCTCGCACACGGGACAGCGACTTGCTTCATGACGAGCCACATATCGCGCTCCAGCGATGTGTATCCACCCGCTCTCCGAACGTACGCACGCAAAGAAGCTTGCACCCTATGTATTTCATTTTATATCCAACCGGAAGGCAGAGTACGGGATCTGGACAGGGGAGCACGAGAACCAAGAACCTATGAACCGAGAACCAGGAAAACATGTCGCAGAGGTGGAAGTGGGGAATAAGATGGTGACGAAGCAGACCAATTGCTACAAATCGAGGTACTCAATACACGCAAACACGGACACGTTCGTGAGAACGCAAGGCGGCGAGCAGAAAGCGGTCACTGCATGTCCTCATCGTACTCGTTGTGCTTCGTCTTGCCAGGCTCCTGGGCATTGGACGGCATACCCTCTGGGGTCTATCAAGCGCATCCAAGGGTAAGATACACTGACACAGGCCTGGGTTGGACGCTTACCTCGTCATCGTATCTGTCCATATGTGATCGAACGTCGAGCTCGATGATGCTCATCGGGTCGCGCGTCTAGCCACGCAACGACAAAACGATGAGGCACGGACGCAAGCATAGATGGCAACGTTAGAATGTGACAACCACCGCACGGCATCGTGGGCACGCACCTTAGCGTCTTGGTTGACGTTGAACTGCACGCTCCTCGCCGTTTCGCGTGCGCCGGCAGGGATGCTGACAGAGCCCGTGCGGTTGCTAGCGTGCTGGTTCAAGCTGTCTTCTTCGTTGACGCCACGGCCACGGTGCGTGTTGCGGAAGTTGAGCCTGCAGGACCGTACCAGTTAAGGGGTGGATTGGAATCCAAGGAACCGGTGACGTACATGGCGAGCAGGCTGTTGGTGTACACTTTGTTGGACACCCACCTGAGGAGTATCCATACCTGCGAGCGGGGCGCGGCGACGAAGACGATCGTCACTACTACCTGCATGATACTGAGGCACAGTCGTTACCCCACACAGCAGTCGGCAAAACCATTCGACGCACGTGAAGGCTGTTCCGCGGTTGAAGCAATATACAACCGCCTTCTCGTACCAACCTTCCGGCATAGCCATGCCCGGATTGCGTTTAGGTTGCATGTAGAAGTACATAGAACCCAGGATAACGATATCGCATAGGGAGAGTAAACCAAAGGAGATCCCGGCGAGGATCTTTGCGAGCGGGGTGACGATGTTAATGAAAAGATCTTGCGACGACCTAAAGAGCCATGAGCGAGAGCAGCTAACATGCTTAACCCCAGACGTACATAGAGACAACACCAGCTAGCGAAGTCATTTCTCAGCGGTCGTACGCTTGTCACTACGCAAAAACGCTTACCGAGGTTCATGGCTTTGATATACCATTACAGTCAGCGAATGCAAGCTGAAACGACTCCTAACTCACCAAAAGCGCAAACTGCTATGGCAGCCTGGGGATGCCAATGTGGACTGATGAGGCTTTGAATGCGTGAAGAGTCGGGGAGTACGCACAATGACACAGGGAATTGCACGGTGCTGCTCAGCAACTGTCCAAACGCGGTAGGCATAGAAGCTATGGCGGTTTGAGTGATCTGCGTCGAGTTCACGACTGTTTGCCATACCATTGTACGATGCAACCTGTAGTAGCCTAGAGGGTAACTCAGCAAGAGCTCGTCATAAGATTGGAGCACTTACACCCAGCCCGGCGCCGGTCTGCACCGAAGTGAGATGAATGCGCGACATGGGTCGTTGCAGTACTCACCAAGAAAGTACTAGGATGAGGTCAGGCATGCGGCAACGGGTAAGATCATGAGACGCACGTTGTGACGCTCAAGTCGGAAAAAGGAACCACGAAATTGGTGATAAGGTAGTGATATATGCTGTGGAAGGGTAAGGAAGTGATAGGGGCACCATCCGCACGGCACGCACGTATGAGATACTGGAAAGGGGAAGGAATGAGGCAGAGCGCCGGGCACAAGAAGACATGGAACTCACTGAGCGTCGTGATTGCAGTGTCCATGGCCCTAGCATGCAGCCACGAGAGGTGAGCGGGCACCTTGGGAAGAGAGAGGTGCACGGCGCGTACCAAAGGAGTCCCACCTGATTGAGAGCAGAGGGTGAGGGCAGGCAGAAAGGACGAGAGGGAGGTACGCACGAGCCACTTGATCCATAGCTTGTCGTGAGGAAAGCGAGTGTAGTAAATGTACGTTTCTGGGATGGGGCGCGGGTATGAGGGACAGAGCAGCAGTGCAGTGGGCAGGACATACGAAAGAAGGTGAGCCCGTAGAGGACGACGGCGAAGATGAAGCCGACGAGGAGGACGCCAAAGGTGCCGGTGAGCTCCTCGGTCGAGGCGGTCGTCGACGAGATTGAGCTCATTGTGGCGGGGTGAGCGGAAGCAAAGTGAGGCAGGCGAGGCCACGGGGGGGTCCTCCTCCCGCGCGCGGGGTCATATACGCCTCCGTGACCCTGAGGCCGGATGGTCCCCAATCAGGCATGGGCAATGCCCAGGCGCCCGTCTCTGGGCTGATCGCTCCAACGCTTGTTTCGAGCGCCCGCTGTCCGACATGCCTGCCCCCGTCTCCCACCCGCCGCGCTTCCCCTCCTACTCCCCCCCTGCCCTCCTCGCCTTCCAGTTCTCCCACTGGTACCCCCGCTTCGCCCCCGCCTCCATCAAGTCCACCGTCGTCCGTCCCCTGTCGCCTGCCTTCCGCCAGTACCTCGACTCAGATGGAGTCTTCGTGCCCGACGGCGCCGAAGACATGTCAGTTCTCTTCCATCCACTATCTCGTCCCTCTCGTTCAAACAGGCCGCCGCGGCCGCGCTCTCTAGTCCAGCACAAAGCACCCTTTCTGATCGAGAATCCGACGACGACGACGACGACGATACTCAACGCCCGCGCTATACATTTCCCGAGCTGGACGCACGGATCCGGGCCGCGGTTGCGGACTACGGCGCGGTGTTTCCCAAGCTCAACTTTTCATCTCCAAGAGTGCGTAGCCCGTCTCGCTCCGTCTCGTCCAGTTCCCGCATAGTCTTGTGGCATTCCGACTCCCCGTTCCCGATCGCGACCCAGCCTGTCCGGGGCAGACACACGCAGTCGAGATGGCAGTCTCCGCCTCCATTCACAAACCCCGATGAATAACATATCACCGATCAGGCTCGGCACCATTGCAGTGTCAGTGCATGCATTCAGGCACAGGACGACTTGTACCGCTCATAAGACGGATGCAGCCGGTGCCGCGGGGTCTCCGAGCCAGTGGACCCAGGCTGGTGTCATTCTCGGGCGCGCGCTGCCTGTCATGATACGCCTGTGATACTCTTCTCAACGTCCAGCATACTCATTGATTGTCAGGACGCCGCGTGGATGTTGCCCGCATCATCACCGCTGAAATGCATCACGCCCGCAGACGTCTATTTGCTCCTGAAGTCATCGGACTTTGTCCAGCACGATCTGGAGTTGGAGTATGTCTTCGACGGCTGTGAGCCCCCATACAGCGCGGCGGAACACGGCCCATACGAGCTCGAACTCGTTCTCCGCAAGTGGTATCCTGTTGATCGCGCGCGAGAGCTGCGGTGCTTTGTGCGCCAGGAAGTGCTCGTAGGTGCGTTCAGACGAAATGGTGCATTATTAGGACAACTTATACCGCGAGCAGGCATCTCCCAACGGGACCCCAACTTCTATGAGTTCTGGAACGAGCCTGAGACCCAACAAAAAGTAATCGCCGCCGTCACCACCTTCTGGGAGTCCAATATCAAGGGCAGATGGGAGGAAACCCAAGGCGACTGTACGTCAGCACAGCTGCCGCGCACTGCATCCCGCAACTAACTCCTACCCCGCCAAATCTTCGTGCCCCGCCCTCTCTCGCACCAACATCGCCATCCGCCGCTTCCCCCACACCAGACGTCTTCGACTTTCTCCTCACCCGCGACCTCGACCGCGGGCACGTCGTCGACTTCAACCCCTACGCGCCCCGCACGGACCCGCTTCTGTTCACGTACGCGGACCTCCACACGCGCCTCCTCGCCCGCGTGGGCTGCCCCGAGCTCCGCGTGGTCGACTCGCCCGCGCACCTTGCCGCGACGCGCAATGCGCCCGCGCACCAGCACAACATGGTCCCGCTCGAGGCGCTCGCGATGAGCAGCGGCCGGGACGCAGCCGCGTTCGCCGGCGCGTGGGAGGAGGAAATCAAGCGGAGCATGGCCGAGGGGAGTGAGGACGAGGACGAGGACAGGACGCGCCGGAAGCCGAGGCTGGGGCTTCTCCTCTAGCATAGAAGAGAGGTATGAAGAGTGCATTTTATCCCACCGCCATGTATCCCTACATACATCCAAGCCCCCCAATGTACCGATACACCTAATAATCCAAACGATACAACGCCACGCCACGCCACTCAGCAAATCCGTACCCGCCCCACACTCGGGTCGTGGTCGCTCGCCCGCGCGCTCTCCGTCGCGGCCCACGAGTTCACGTGCACGTGCTCGACGCGCAGGCCCCCGCGGGCGGCGAGCGCGGGGGAGACGAAGGCGTGGTCGAGCTGCTGCGCGTTCTGGTCGTACACGTACGTGTAGCGCTCCGCGGGGGGCACGCCCGCCGCGGCGTCGAGCTCGACGAGCAGCCCCGCGAGCGGCGCGAACACCGCGCGCGTCTGCGCGTACTCGTTGCAGTCCCCGGCGACGACGACGTTCGCGCGCGGGTCGAGCGCGAGCACGGATTTGACGAAGTCCTGCCGCGGTGAAGGCCGCCGTCAGCTATCGATCGAGCCACTGAGCGTCGCGCCCCTCCCGCGGGCGGCATGTATCAGAAACAAACCCGCGTTAAAAGGCTGCGGACGCCCGGGGTGGCGTGCGGTACACCGGCTATGCAGCCTCGGCGGCTTGGTGATCGTGCAGGCACACCCTTGTGGTGGGCGGTGGTCACGGGACCAGTGGGGCGATCGCGGGACCGCGACAGAACGATCTGCACGCATTCCCGCGAGGCTCTAATCGCTGCTGCCGCCGGCCGCCCAGACCGGCTCCACCACCCCCCAAGGAACATCTCGGCCCTCGGGAGAAGGCCGATCCGTGACGAGACCGATCGCGCGCGGGACGGACTCAAACTCGGAAGCGGGAGACGAGAGAGACAGACAGAGAGGCGCGGATGCAGACACTCACGGCGACGACCTGGACTTGAGCCACGCGCTGCTCGACGCCGCCGTTGAGCGGCGGGCGGGCGTCGCCCTGCGAGGACGAGCTGCCGCCCTTGGAGGTGAGGTGGAGGTTGATCGTGAGCACGCGCGCGCCGGACGGGGTCTCCCAGACCGCGACGAGCGGCTTGCGCGACGCGTCCCAGGCCGCGTTCGTCGGGTCGATGCGCCCCGGGTTGTACCTGGCGGAGGAAGGCGAGTGAGCAGTGGGCACCCTATGTAGGCCCCTGCCGGACGCCACGAGACGAGCAAGCGGACGCACGTGAGGGAGAGCTTGCCGTCCGCGTCCAGCACCGGCGCCGTCGCGTCGAGCGCGCCGCCCGCGGGGGAACCCTGAACGAGGCTGAACTTCGCGCTGTCGTAGCTGCGCGCGCGGGGCCCCGCGTCAGCGCGGCCGTCGATCGGGCGACGTCGAAGCTGCACTCACAGGTACGCGGTGCGGATGTTCCCGCCCGGCTGGCCGCCGTCCATGTCGTTCTCGGGCGCGATCTCGACGAAGGCGTACGGCGCCGTCGCGTTCCCCGCGCTCGCGATCGCGGCGACGAGGTTCGTGAGCGTGACGTTGGCAATGACGGTGCCGTCGTCGGAGCTGCCCGAGTTGTCCTGGATCTCCTGCACGAACATCATGTCGGGCGTGTGGAGGAAGTTGGCGATGTGGTTGGCGACCGCGCCCATGTGCGAGGACTTGGGACCAGATTCTCGACCTGCGAACGGCCCCGGGGCAGAGAACGTCAGCGCGGTCTGAGGTGGGCGAACGCGCTGGGGGCGTACGTTGTAGTCGCCGAAGGTGAAGGTGCACTTGTCGTGCTTGGGCACGATCTTGGACTGAGGGATGACTGAGCTCGGAGCCACGGTCATCACAGGGGTGGTCAACGGTACTATGTACCAGAAGCCGAACCTGAGAGAGAATTGTGAGCGCCAAGTTCGGCGCACACACACCTTCCAGCTTACTGGTAGGTAATGACACCGGTAATGTCTTCGAATTGCATCCCCATAGCTGGCTTCGGCAGCTTGGTGCCGTCAGCAGGAGATCCGACGATGACCGACTCCGGGTTCGCGTCAGGGATGCCCTTCGGGCCTACGAAGACAACTGGTCAGCACGTCCACGCATACGCACTTGCTGCGCCAAAAAAGGCCTACCAAACGTGATCGACAGCCCGCCCCTGCTGTTCTCGCCCGTGAGCGGCCAGTCGCCGTGGACCCAGAACTCGCCATAGCTGTTCTGGAACCCGTTCGCGACCGGGCTCTTGATCGTGACGAGCTGCCCGTCCAAGCTCGCCCAGAAGTCCAGCCCGTACCGCTTCGGCTGGAGCGTGTTGTCCGCGACGGAGACGAGGCTCTGGTTGTTGGGCACCGCAAGCCAGCCGTCGTGGCCTGCGTCGAGCGCCGACATGAGCTGAGTGGGCGGTGCGCGCCCCTTGCGCCCCCCGAGGACGAGCGCGGCGACGGTGTTGTTTTGGGCGAGGACGGTGATGTTCTTGGGCGAGCCGAGCTCCGTGGCGTAGAGGTAGGTTGGGTTCGAGGACGAGCGGTACTCCGTCACCGTGCCGGAGACGGAGATCATGTCCCCAGGGGTGACGGAGGCGAGGATCGTCTTGGAGGTGGTGTAGACGAGGAGGCCGCTCGAGACGCGGATGTCCTTGGACGGCTCACCTTGGACCCAGAAGCCACTGGTTGTCTGCGAAGTTTGTGAGAGACCGTCGCGTGTGCAAATATCGACGGGAAACGGTATGTACTTTAACGGTCACGATACCCGTGACGTTCTCGACCGTCTGCCCTTTGAGAGGCGAGACGAATGCGTTGCCTTGAATGTCCGCGATAGACGCGGCGCACGCGAGCTGGTACAGCGCCGCGAGAGCGGCCCCCAACATGGTCGTCCGTACGTGAACCATTGCCGTGCCGTATGCTGCAGGGAGGGCCTTGTCGTGCAAGCAGACGGAGGGCGCCGCCAGGGGTTGAGAGTGCCGGAGAGGATCTGCGGACTCGTGGGGCGCTGCACAGTTCGGAAAGTGCAGTCTTTTGTACTATGGAGCTCGTCCGCATCTCCGCATCGCCGGCTGCAGGGACGCGGGGGAAGACAGGCACCGGCGAGAAGATAAAGAACGTGCGAGCGTTGACGCGCTGACGACGTTTCCACATGGCGAGATCGCGGGGCCAGGCAGGAAGACTGCCCAGCCTACAGGGACGCAAGGGTAGAATCTTGACAGCGTGATGGGTGCTTCGTGGGCTGCTGTCCAAAAGATCATCACGGGGCAAGCAAGATGCATGACCCTTGAACGTTCGTGAATGCGTCGAGGATAGCAAGGAAGGCCGTGCATTCTCTCGACGATATGGCGGTGGTCGGCGGTGGTCGTGTGGACGACGATCTCATTTCCGATCAAAACATCATGGCAGAAGAGGTTCCTCGACATGTGCCCAGCTTGGCAAGGGCGCCGCCGCATTGAAATTTGAAGGTGCGTATGTATGCCTTTCGTTCCACACTCTGCTTTCTCGTCTGTATGGCCTTGATTTTGTGTTGGCCAGACATGTATGCGCGATGTTGCCCACGCCGATGTCTTCCCAGGGATGGAAGGGAGCTCTGTTGCCAAAGAAGCTGAGAATCATCGGAGACGACGGCGAGCGCAAACATTGAGCAAACCTGGTGAGCAAGTTAAAGTCGTTGATGCCGCCAAGCACCATGCAAAGCTAGAGTTGCAAGTAGTGAGCCACTTGGGAGAGGCGGAATGGCGGAAGGTGCGCCGCGATCGATCATTGGAGAGTCCAAGAACACCATGGAAACCACGTGGGTACACATCGAGCTTGTTCGCCACTCCCACGCCTTCTCCGACCATGACTGAGGTTCTAAACTCTCCACCTAGAGCCAGCTAGGCCTCCTCTATTCCGTTCGCGGCCATGGCACCCACCTACCCCCTCCCGGCCTTCATCTACAAGATCGTCCCGACCCCTGTCCCATCGCCCCTTCCAGATACGCTGCCGCTTAGCGAGCTCGATGCCGCAGACGGCTTCATCCACCTCTCGACCGCCGAGCAGACCCCGGTGACCGCGTCTCTCTTCTTTGCTCAATCCACGGAGCTTTGGCTGCTCAAGGTGGACACACGCAAGACCCTGGACGCAGGCGGCGTGTACGCCTGGGTCGAGGGCATGCCCAGGTGCCCACACCTGTATGCACCGACGGAGGGAGAGTGGTTGCACCTGGGCAGGGGGAACGTCGCGGGCGTGAATGAGGTGAAACGAGGGGACGGGCAGACGTGGGCGGAGGCGTTCAAGCAGCTCGACCGCTGGTTGGCAGATGAGTAGGGGGTTGATGAAAAGGGTGCAGCTTGTATGTCTGGTGCGTTCATTCGATTTCTGGCATGCATGCGGCAGCTGGTCTGACCGCCCCTGTTCCTGCCAGTTGCCTAGTGTACTGGAGTGTACTTGCGATACTCCTGTGAGTGCGATTTCGTGGCAGAATACGCTCGACGTCAGGGCTGAAGTACACCCTAGACTGTATACCCCTCGGGCCCTGCTGAAACCCCTGTGCTCCTCCTGCAGCCACAACTATCATCACAACGGCGATGATGTCATTTGAGTCGAGCCTCACAGTCATTCGGACGCGTTGGAATCCTCGGTTCGTCCACCTGTATGGGCGGTGTGCACGGAGGCACCGAGGTGGAAGCTTCTGACGTCGACGGTCTCTGGGTGCCTCCCGCGCGAGCGACGTTAGTCGTCATTGTGGCTCCTTCATCGCGCGCGTGTTGTTCAGCTGGACCACTGTCAAGTTAGATGCTCGGCGAGGCGACGGGCGCACGTCTATATCGGACGCCGATTAAGTAAGTGAAGCCACGCTGTACATACCCTTCGGACCTTGAAGCTCAGATCAACGGTTCTAGGGTGCCATCCGACGCTGTAGGGGCACTCGTCACGATCCCTGTCCTGTGGGACTCACGAACATGGCTGTCCACGGTCAAAACGCTCCACGTAGTCTCGGCCAGGAAGGCCGGTGGTCTCGAGTCACTCCCAATCCGAGTGGTACGTGAATCGAGCACAGATGATCAACGGCCTTTCTGAGCGTCGATTTGTAGGCCTTGAAGTCTGTTTTGACGCAGGCCTTTCTCGACGCTCCCGCTCCGCCACAGCGGCGCGGGCATCATGCATCGTGTGACCTCCGCACAAACTCCTTCGAGTCTGACACGGCAATGAAATTATCGGAACGCACCGAGTTCGATCCCAGCGGCCGGCGTGAAGTTTGCTGCTGCTCGGCCAGATCGACTCAGTCCTATGTTGGGGATACGAAGCAGAGCACAATGGCTTCTCGTACGCCTTGCGGCTCGCACCGATGGGAATCTATACACATATCCTGAACTAGCGCACCGAGGGAGCCCGGCCGAAGTGGAGGCTTGGCAACTTTCGAACAGCTTCGATTCTGATACGAATCCCGGACGATAATGAGAGAAGTCGGATGAATGGGAGACCGGATTGCTCGTCCGCGTCTCGCGCGCCGACCGACGTATTTGCAGCGTGCGGGCGCGTCGCAACATGCGCATCAGACACTGGGGTGTCTTCCGCGCTGGCCATGGGCAGCAGGGAACGGGGGCAGGTGGTAGCGCTGGCCGGGCCGCGTCGGAGGTCTCACCACGAGATCAAACAGGATCGAACGGAGCTCGGAGGACTCAGACTGGGGACGGCCACCAGCGGCCACCACGGCCAATCACTGGCGGCATCCGTGGCGCGTGATGGCCGCGGAGAGATAGCCTCCCGTTGAGGCAGAGCAGGCCTGCATCCTTGGCCGTCGTGGGCTCGTTTCGCGAGCGGAGGGCGACGCGACGGGAGGCAAGCGCGGCGTCTGGTAGCGGCGAGGGCGGAGTGACGTCGCGCGTGGGGCGCAAGGTTGAACGTTGAACGTTGAAGGAAGGGCGCGGTCGCGTGCTGAGGCCTGAGGACCTGGGCCTAGACCAGGGGGAGAGCGAAAGGCCCGTGCGCAAGAAACATGACGCGAGCGAGGTGAACGGCGAGCGCGCGGAAGGCGAGAGAGGGCCGTTTGAGAATCTGCGCCAGACGTGCGCGCCTTCCCACCGATCCCTGGGCCATGTGCGCTGCACCGCCGAGGCCCCCTACGCCGACCGCGACGCTTCGCGTTCTGCAGCGGACACAGACCGTGCTGTCGACCTCAAACAGGAGCGGGGGCGCGAGGGGAACGGCGCCAGCTAAGGGGGAGGGGACCGGACGCGGGAGAGCAGGCGTCTGGAAGTGATGGGGATTTCCCAGGCGTTGGGAGCGCCGGGAGCGCCCGCGTGATGTTGGCGACGTGCACCGGGCCAGGTCTGTGCACAAGGTTGCGTCCCTTCCTTCCCCCGCTCGAGTCTCTCGACGTCCTCCTCGTCCCCGCCCTTCATCCTTCCCCCGCCGCCGCGTCCCCGGCCTCGAGGGCGCCGCCTCCCGCCTCCCCTGCTCCGGATAATGCCATTCTGCTCCCATACAGGCCACAGCCAGCTTTACCCCCAACCCGCCTCACGACTCAATCCTCCGCCCTCCCCGCCCCGTCAGCTCCGTCCGGCACATGTCCCCGTCCCCGAGCCGCAATGTCCCTCACCCTCCTGCGCAGACAAACGCCCCCCGTTTTCTCCAGGAGGGCATGAGGCGGCGGTCCCCCCGCAGCCGACAGCCCGCTCTCGACCCGAGGGATACGAGCATCGTCGATCAGGCAGCCATCGGTCCGTCTCCCTCTTTTCTCTTTTCCGCGCCTCTCTCTCTCAACAACACATCCTCTTTCCTCTCCGTTCTGCCATCCCACGGCGTCGCTCTCTCGCGAATTCCTTTTCACAGCCGCAGCTCAGCAACAATGCTTCGACTCGCCCAACAGCGTCTTTACCTGCTATCCCATCGACACCACCGTTGTCGCGCAGCATGAGTGGGCTAGTATCGTCTGTGAGTAGCCATCCCCATTCGTGTGCCTTGTGCGTGGCGACCACAACACGACCTGCGTGGTGGTCCCAGTCCAGTCCGCTGGGATGGGACGTGACACCATCCATGCGAGTATTTGCTACACTTCACGATCATTTGTCTTATTTCTACAACACTTCTTCTCTTGGTTGTTTGTGGTCGTCCCTTCGTCGTGACATATTGCAAGCTTCGGTGCTCACATGCCGTCCAGGGAACTCCCGCCTCCCCCAGTTCGCACAGACGAATCTCGTCAATCTTTTCGTTGTTCAGGCAGATACCGGGGTGATCGTTTGGAATGCCACCAACGTCACAAACCCTGCCAACATATCTGGTTTGAAGCACGCTCAAGTAGACGACGCTTGGTTCGGCGACCAAGGTCTCCATTTCAGCGGGAAGAACCGGTCGTTCCCTTTCTACTGGTTGATCACTCGCAACGATAGGGAAATCACAAACACCGACGTCCCCCAAGCCACTTTCACTGCCGTCCGTGAGTCCTCCGTCCGGCTCATTTTTCCTCCGTTGTTTACGCTAGTCGTTCGAAGAAACCACCATCTTGGACTCCGTGTCGTCATCCATTGCATCGGTTGCCTCTGCGTCATCAGCATCTGCTGCGTCGGCGGCGACAGCATCGCCGACACCAACAAGTGGATCGCCGTCGTCCACTTCACTCTCCGATGGACCCCAGGGTGCTTCCCCCACCGGGCAGGTGCAGAATCCAAACGGCAGCTCCTCTTTCCCCAAGTGGGCCATCGCGGTAATCACTGTTCTCGGGTTCTTCGCTCTCGTGGCGTCAGTCGTCTTGGTGTTTTACATCATGAGGAGATTACGCCAACGCCGGCAGGACATCTCACAACGGAACTCGATGGGCTCTTCAACACCAATGATGGCTAACGTCGACACCGGAGGCCCCACGTCTCCCACCGCGCCACTCTCGGGAGGTTTCGGTGCGGCTGCTGGTGCGGGTGCGGGTGCTTACGCTGCGAACCGGACGAGCTCCCCGACCACGGCGGAAGCGCATGGTCAGGACGGCGCATCAATGATCTCAAGGACGAGCGATCAAGGACTCTTTTCCGGTGCGGACGCGGCCATTATGGCCAATGCGTTCCGGCAGGCACTTCGAAAGCCCGACTTCGCGGATCGGCCGGTTATCGAAGGCGAGAGTCCCGACGACCAGCACGCACAGTCGCGGGCGGAGCTCATCAACCAGGAACTCGCCGAGGAAGGGAGGGACATCCGAAGCGTCAGCTCCAGCCGCGGCGTCAAGGTCGAAACACTCAGCGACGACGGCAACGATACAGCGACAGTACACCATTAGTCCTAACAGTCGCTGTTGTTGGTACTTCACGGTGCTAGCGCGGGGCTGCGCGTTCTCCGAAGCAGTCCTTAGCATTTCCTTCTCACCGGTCCTTTCCGCGCAGTCTCGTTCGTCCGTCATCCGTCTGTTCTCGTTGCTGTTCTCCATGCTTTCGCTCACGTCTTCTTCGAGGGTCCACCATTTGTCTCCCACCATAGCGTTTGTAGATACAACGCACCTCTCCCTCCATACAGCCTCGACTGTACGTGCCGCCCTCCCACCGTCCGACCCGTCCTGCGTCTTGTCCCGATGGTCATTATACTTTATTTTACCACACGGACTATTAATAGCCGGAGGTCGCGGTGCGCGCCACCCTCGCGAGCTATGGACCCTTCGAATTCATCCCTACCTTCCCGCTTCCTCGCCCTTGGGACTCGCCACCACCGCCCGAGCGGCCCTCGCGTCCGTCCTCTCGTTTCCCAACACACAGCACAGCCGCTACAACCGCCCAGCCCACTCCCGACTCGTGCGCGGCGCGCTCGACATCCCGACGCGCCAGCCGTGTTCCGCCTCGACTCTCACCCCGCTACGACTCGGGCATGTGCAACGACCCCGGACAAGACGACTACACGCATGCGCGCTCGCACCCCGAACGGCTCCGCAGCACACGGTGCTCTCTGGACAGGCCGCTCCAACGATCTCCCAGCGCTCCTGCTGGGTCTGCGCGCAGACCACCGCTTTCGGCTCCCCGCCTCGCACGCACCCACGTCCACAAAATGCGCTGGTGTGCATTCGACGCCCAGAGGGTGTCCGACGTTCCCGCACTGGCGACTCCTCCCTTCGAGGACGTTCCACCATCCCCTCCCGTCCTCGTCGTGGATGCGCTGGAAGCTTCGTGCCATCCCTCCCGCCCTCGGCCTCAGTCCCCCTCGTCCCTGGCTCGCCCCACGTCCTCGTCCCTCTCCTCCACGTCCCTTCGCGCCCTGTACTCGTCTCGGTCCCTTTCTAAAATCGCCCGTCCACCCCATTTCGTTATGTTTCCCCCATTGTCTCTCCCGGTCCTCATCCCCGCCGCCTGTCCGTCACACCCGCCCCGGCTCACACACTCACCGCACGCAAGCCTCGCACCCTCCCCCGCCCGTCCAGGACACCCAACTCGCCGTCCAGCGTGGCTCGGCGCCCCACGTTCTCTCGTCCGCCCAGCACGGTCCCCCACCCCGTCGGGGCACCGTCCCGCCACTTCGTTTAATTATGCTGCATGTCCCGTATTCCCCCCCTCCCTCGAGCCCGTCTGGCATCTTGAGAGTCTCACTAGGTATTACTGTGGCCCGCCCGTCGTCCCCCCCGCGTCGTGGCGTACTGTACCGTACGCACGCTGCCGTCGACGCGTGCGTGCATGGCTAGCTACGAGTGCTTGCTGCGTTTGCGTGGTCCGCCGGAGACCGGAATGACAAGTACATAGTCATGCGTCTGTCGCTCGTCCGCTCCGTGTGTGAACACTCGAGTTCCGAGTTCATTCGGTCTGCGCGTGGGACGCTGCAAGGTCGTCGGGGTGCGCTTGTCGTCGGGTCCGGGATGGGCGAGGAGTGCGCATGCATACCGTCCGAATGTTGCCCGCGACAGGCATTTATCGTCGGCCTCCGTAACCCGGACGTTTTACAAGTGTTTCTTCTCCTCCTTCTTCTCCTTCCGGCGCCGGATGCCGCGCCGTTCTCGAGCCCGTCGATCGCTCGGCCGGCACCGGCGTGGCGCCATCTTGAACGACTCGCGAAGACCCTCGGAATCCCGGACGGAACCCACAATGCCCGCCGCGCCGCCGACGTTTAATTATACGTATGTAGCGCCATCTGGCGCACGGCCACACGTCCCCGTTCGTCCGCGAGGAGTCCTCGGACGGCGCCGACGCACGCGCGCATCTCGCACGCCCGTCAGTGGTATCGGTCACGTAAGTGCAGCGTGCGAGCGAGGGGCGATGACGTCTGCGGAATCCGGACGATAGAAGGGCTGCCAATGTAGGAGAAATTAGACTGCGGGACGAACCCGTCGTGATCCCAGCACGGTCGACAGAGACGATCGATGTTGCGACGCCCTCAGCCGGCCTATGCTCGCCGCTCTAGCCACGCGATCGCAGCGGTCGTCCCGGAACGGCCCAGCTGGCTGCGCCATGCAGGATCCGTAGTCCGAGGTCGAATGCATGCGGTGCGGTACGCGCTCGCGAGCCCGGCCCATATGTGCGCGACGGCGCGGCCCACCGTGTACGCCCGCAAAGCTGTAAGTACATGCATTCGTCCCGTCGTGGTAGCAGCCCCTATCCGTCGTGTTGAACCACCTCGCCTCTTCGGCGCCGCGGTGATAACGGCCTACAGGGCGCGGAGAGCTTGTTTGAAGCCTCGCCGCGTCCGAAGGCCCCGCTTCAGGCCTCAGGTTCAGCCTACACTACGTACGCGTGCAGCGTGCAGACAATATTCACGCCAATTCACCGGTGCTTCAAGGCTCCGCCCCGCCGCGGCCCTCCACCGTTTGACGTTCTGTCAAGAGCTCTCCGCGAGATAATTCACGGCGGCGGCGAGCGTGACGGAGCGCCCGCGCTCGGTGGACCTGGACCTGTTATGACAAAGGGAGTGCCCGAGGCGCATTGGCTTTTGCTTGTAAGGATGCCGTTGCCGGCGGGCCTCTGCCCATGTGTGATACAGATCTAGAGCCCCTTTCCAGCGCGCGCAGTGCGCGGTGCGTATCTCGACGTCGCCGCCGCCGGGTTGCTAGGGAGTTGGTGCAGACAAGCACCAGATGCACGGATTCGAGGTCGAGGCGAAGCGGAGTGCTGCAGGCCCAGAGCCGCGAGGCGACCGAGAGGCAGCGATAGAATCGGAAAATGTCTGTACGCAAGTACCATACATTACTCCTGAGAGCGTCTACTTGTACATTGAGCCGGGTGTAAGGTGGATATTCACTAGGAGGGGCGCATTGGTCGGTGGTCGTACAGGTACTATGGGTGCCGGGGCACGGTACTTTCACGATAGTAGAGAGTCACATATGATGATGCGGAGAGGAGAGACGATGATGCGAGCGAACTAGAGGATCCGAGTGTGGCGATGCACAGCATGTGCGTTCAGAGCACGGTCGTAAGCTATGAGAGGGGGAATGAGATACAGGTGAAGGCAAGGGAAAGGCTAGGGTGGGGGTAAGGGATGAAGCGCGACCAGCACTGCAGCGTGCACCGCGAGCCGTCGTTCAGAGGGAGAGCAGGTACGACAAGGTAAGTTCCGACGTCTGCGGCTCGAGCGGGAACCAAGTGGGAACCAAGTGAGCTTGGACATGGTGCGAGGTAAGAATACATATGATGCAACGGGGAGACTAACTAACATACTACAAGCGATAACCGTGGGGAACGTACGAGGGCCGAGGAAGCTGGGACACGGCAAGCGCTGCTCACATGCGGGTACTTCTCCAGGCGCTCTGCATCGCAATCCGCCTCGCCTGCACGTTCAAGCGAATCAGCAGCGATCTTCGCGACGCAATAGGCAACGTACCTGATCGAGCGTGATCGAGTCTTCTCTCAGCTCGACCTTCTGCCGCCCATTATCCTCGTCCTCGTCGTCATCATCATCGAACGTCCCCACTCGTCCGTTCGTGCGCATACCGCCGAACGCAGCCTTGCCTCCGGCGAGTGAGAACGGCGTTGACTGCACTGCGGTGCCGAACACGCTTGCTGTCGGGGACGCCCCGAAGGCCTTGAAGTCGGTGACGACTTTGCGCGGCGGCGAGGAAGGAGGAGAAGCAGGGGGCTTCGGTGCCGCCCGTCCGGAGGACGAGGGGCGTAGGGTGATCCGTAGTATGAGCTCCGTGATGACGACATCCGCGCGTGGAGATACTTGTCTGTGAAGCGCGTCCCGGGACCTGATGCGAACTGAAGTCGGCATGGGGGCGCGAACGCAAGGTGAAACACGTACTCTCTGGAGATGCGGGCGCGCTTCTGCGAGGGTGCGTGCGTTCATGTAGGTATCGACGTTGTGCTTCGCCTCCGGAGAGTCGCGGTAGATGCTCTCGATGACGACCTTTTTCGTGCTTTCGTTGCGGAGCAGCAGGCGTTCGTGCAGTTCGCGGGCAACGTCGTCGACGCTTTCGTTGTTGCCCAATATCCGCTGAGACACGGCCTGGCCGACCTCTCGTACGAGGCGTTCCATGTCGAGGTTTTCGAGGACACTGCCGACGATGGCGTGCGTCAATAGATCCGCGGTAGTGAGAGGAAGCATGAGGCCTGAGGTGATATTCGTGATTGCTTGGTAGAAGTCCGTCGCGTACTGTCGTCCGAAACGCGTTCAGCTCCATAAGCGCAAGAGCAACAATCCCACGACTTACCGAGTAGCCGCTGAGCGCAGGCTCGCAGGCGACGAAAAACTGCGTTCGGACAGTCAGCTTTTCGCGAAAATGAGGCCGCAATCGATCTGCGGGGGTGACGCACCAGGGTAATGCCCCTGCTCGCCATCTCTCGCGCAATCTGCAGGGATCCTGGCCATCGGGCGATCCGTCGTCGAAACCTGGGGTGCAAACGTTGTCAAGCCTCACGTGCGGGACAAAGAGAAGGGATTGAGTTCACCGTCTCCGTACTCGCCGATGCCGTGCGGAGGCGCGTCGGCGATGAGGACGACCATCTTGCTCGCCGTTGGCCGCCACTCCATGGTGAGCGCCTGGTGGAGAGCGGCGGTCACCGCTTCCGGGCCATCGCCTCCACCGGACGCGTAGAGAGTCGAGAGGTCCTTGTGGACCTGGGAGATGTCGGACGAGAAGCCGAAGTTGCGGGTGACGTAAGTGTGGTCTTGCGGGGGGTGGTCGCGGTAGGCAACGAGACCGATGCGGAGGTCGTCGCGGGTCTGGAGCTTGCCGGACTCGTAGATGTGGTTGCAGATCTCCTCAATGTTCTTGGTGGCGGAGGCAATGTAGCTGCCCTGGCTGCCCGTACAGTCCTGCACGAACACAAGGTCGCTAGAGGACGGGGTGCGTCAGTGAACATGGACCGGGGTGGTCCAGGGGTCGGCGGCATCGGGGGGTGTGAAAGAAGGGTCGGCGGAGAAGCTCAAAAGGAAAAAGAGCGTACAGCATCTTGCGGTTCTCGTCTACCATCTGCGGAGGCACCGGCGTAGGCTCGAACGCAGGCTCGAGTCCACCAGTGCCAGACATGTCCATGTCTTCATCCATGGCGAGAGCGGGGCGTGCCGGATCGGTTCAGGGGCTTGGGTGGGGGTCAGACAATTCAGCGTGCACACGGAACGTGCGGGGTGCTCGCGACGGGCAGACTCAAGTGGATGGCGGGAGAGGAGAAGGTGTATTGGGAGGGGACGGGAGCAGGCCACAGACCAGCTCGGGCACGGGCGCTGACGCCACGCCCCCGCCGTGCGCCTCGGCTCGATTATCGGATCTACCCGCACGGCGCCTCCCCCGATGGCCCCGCCCAACGCCCAAGGCGGACTCAAACGGCGGCCCTCTGTCCCATACCAGAATCCAGATCGCCAGAGGTACGCTAGATACTACAGCTCTCGTCGACCACCAACAAACAGCCACGCCAACCACTGGCTCGCGCTCCATGTGCCCCCTGGGCCCGTCCCGCCTGGTCGCACAAATGTCCGGTACACGAGATACAGCCCCGCAGACACCCCTCCCACCGCAGACGCGATCTTGAGGTACATCCGCAGGCGCGCCGTCGCCGACAACGCACGATCGGCCCCTCCAGGAATGGCCGAGTTCCTGTTGCAGCGCACATCGCGAGTAGTGAGAAACACGTGGTAGTGCGCAGCACAACACGCTGTGATCGCTCGGAGAGAGACGTACGGGTTCATGGCCACCTTGCACACGGCGTGGAACACGTCCGCGATCTGCCCAGTCTTTACGCTGACCGCGATGGGCACTTGCAGCTGCAACCGTCGGCAGTAGACATCTGGTTGCACCTCGTGTCGCTGCATGCCAGCCACGTTGCCGTTAGGCTTCTGACGCGGACGACAGGCAACACGGCACTCACCTGCAATGCGAGGTCTAGGTCCGACTTCGTGGCCACGAACAACGTCGGCATGTGGTCAAGACTGTATTGTTGCTACGGACAGATGAGCGTCCATCCACCACGCGGCCACTGCTCTTAGCCAAAACACGCACCCGCAAATTGCTGATGTACGAGAACGAGTTGGTGTCGCTCGAGTCGTGCACATACACGATGACATCCGCGAGATCGGACTTCTTCGGATTTCGAAGCGTTTCTGCTTCGTACTTGGAGCCAAACTCTTGCAACTGTAGAAGAGAAAGTCAGAATCAGACTTCACGCTCTGCATCCACACCAAGGTAATATCTGGGTGTCGCATCTCTCGCCAAATCCTTCCACGTGCTTGACCACGCGGACGGACACCGCGTGTCAGACTAGCTTGTACGGTGTGTGAGAGTGTACAAAGGTGTACAAGCACGTCACCCGGCAATATATGTGATTGACACTATGCACACGGTACTAGAACGAAGTCCACAGGATCATCGCAAAAGCACCGACAGAAAAGATCACACATACCACGAGGTACTTCTCTGACCCGTCGATGTCCACCGAGTTCACGACACTGTTCATCTTCTTCGTTGGCTCGTACACTGGACTGAACGGCTTGCCCGCAAACGCGCGGAGGAGAGACGTCTTGCCAGAGCCGGCCGCACCGCAGAAGTAGCAGAGGAACACGTTCCGTGCCGACTTGCCCTTTCTCCGATCGACCTTTCGTGGCCGCGTGACCACCAATGCGTCGGTCCGGGGTTCTTCTGGGTAACCGAGATATGCCAGATACGCCAGAGTAGTCTTGTACTCGAGCAATGTCGTCATACTGATCCCGGTGGTGTTTTTTTTCACTTCCAAAGAAGCATCGATTCGTTGTAAGATTTACTCACCTCCACTGCGCTAGCCAGCCCTGCAGAGTGACTGCTCCGGTGTCATCGGCGACTGTGGTGTCAGGGAACTTCTGGCCGGCCCATGGGTTCCCGGGCGACGTGCTAAAGAGTTCATCGAGTTCCTCCTTGTTCAGCGCGCCGTCTTGGTCCTTGTCAAAGTTCTCAAAGACATTCGTGAGGAAGCGGTACCCTTTCGGGCTGAGTTCGACAGAACAGTCATGAGGAACGTCAAACCTGCGGGCGATGAATACTGCATCCGGGCAAGACATGAGGTGGGAAGCGTACTTCGGATAGAGGAAATCTTCCGTCAATCGGAGGTCTTCGCCGTATCCGAACTGCCTCAATACTGTCCACGTTGTCTCCAATCGTCCGCGCTGAATGAAGATCGTGTGCAGATAGAGGAATCCCTCCTCGGTCAGGCCGTTGTCACGGACGCCGCCCTCCGAATGCTGTCGGACCATGTCTTGAATGCCTTCAAGCTCTTGGGCCTGTAATGGGGCATCGAAGCATTTCCGCTATCATAGCAGCTGTCGGTTCAAATACATGCGCGTACATGTCCAGATTGACTGCTCACCTGGAACTCGTTGAGCTCTGCGGCGTCAAGGATGCTATCCTTGTTCGCATCACACAGTTTGAATATTCGACGTAGAGCAGAGACACAGTCTTTCTTGAGAACCTGACTTGTCCTCAGTCGTTAGCGTTCAATCAGGCCTGATGGGGAGAATGGTACTGACATGATCTCTTGAGTCGTAAAGTGGCGCGGTCGGGTGCAGCACGGCTTTCTGGGCAAAGTAAAACACTTCTGACACGTTCAAGGGCATTTGTGCAGAGCATTCCACGCAGGTCTCTACTTCCTGACAATTCGGTTGAATGGTTGCACATAGACAAGAAATTAGAGCATGCTCACCTTGAATTCATTCATGATGGGTATAATCTCCTCCTCTAACGCTTCATTTGTGACCTCTCCTCCTCGTAGATCTATTTTGTTGCCGACCAGAATTACGGGGACCTGTGTGGCGTTGTGGCGGAGTAGGTGCGATATCCTACGAGAGCACGTACGTTCACCCCGAGCTGTTTGAAGTAAGGTAGCCAATATGTGGGTATTCGGTCGAAAGAGTTGGGATTGTCGATAGAATACACGACACAGATGACATGCGCTTTGCGGATCTCGGTCTCCAGATGTTGCCGGTCGTTCGGTCCGTCTGTCCAAGTCCACATAAGCAAGCAGATTGGAAGAGAACCACATGAATGGTAGAATCAACCACCGACAGACAAATTCATTCCGTCGGGCCCGTCCATTGCCAGTCAACGGTATGTCATCGCAAAATGCGTCGGCGACAAGACCTGACCGATCCAAGGAGCCACTGAGACAGAAGGATAGTATGGCGGCGTGACTTGTGGCGAGCCCATTGTCCCGTTTTGGTGAAGAACCACCACAGCTCGTCACAAGTCATACACGCAAAGCTCATGAGTAGCTTGGGGAGTTCATGGTTCTTGCGAGAGGAAGTGGGATGATAGGGCTGCAGCAAACACCGTTATACCTATGATCCCACTCCCTCACAGGATAGATCGCCCAATATGGATAGTATGGAGGGGAGCTTGAAGGCGGCGCCATGCAGAAACAGAAGAACGAACGTACTGCCAGAGTCAACGATGTATGTAGTCACATTCTCCGGAGTAACCTCCGGAGGAATGGTCACCTCCGGGACGATGTGTTGCACCTATACGCGTGGAATGGGAGAGCCAGCGTTTAACTAACGTGAACGCCAGCGATGAACGCGCAGCTGAGTCGTACGTACGCGCGGCACGAAGGCTTCCTTGATGAGGGAAGTGACGATGGTGCTCTTTCCGACGCTCTCTGTACAGTTTCAAACCATATCTCAGTTACGGTTTCAACAATACAACCCTCGGTGGGCTCGCGTGCGGGACGAAACGGAATGAAACTCACCATCGCCAACGAGGAGTATCCGCACATCTCTGCGCATGGCCACGGAGATGGCAGGAGGTGAGCCGGGGAGATTACTAGGATGTAGTAGAAGGTAAAGTAAGAGTGCGTCTCGTCTCGGCCGTCCACGGGCCCCGATCCCGCTACGGCGGCTACGCGCATGCGAAACGCTCGCGCGGTTGCCGCTGGCCCGCGACGGGGGCGTCCGTGTAGCCTGTGCAAGCGGGTCGGCTGCAGCGCTGACTTCCAACTCCCTCTGATCCTCCCGGCTCTGGAAGGACACATTCACCCTTCCGGCGTCATCTATCGTTTCGTGGCCGCCGCCCACACGCCAACGCATTCACAGTTCAATCTGCGGTCTCTTCGCGCGGTGTCGGAACTCAAGAAACCCCTTTGCGAATCGTTCGTCTAGGCAACATATAAGCGAGTTCGCAGCGGCACACCTCCCTATCCCCTCGATCTCAGCGCGACCCGCGATACCCCCCACCGTCCCTATCGTTTCCCTGCCCGGTGCTGTCGATGCGGCCCCACTCGCTACCCAGTGACATCTGGATCTCCGTCTTGCAATACCTGTCCGTAGGCGAATTAGCCAATCTCTCGAGTGCGGCGAAGTATTTCCACGCCTTGGTACGTTGCTACTCCTCTTGCGATCTGTGATACAGCACTTCCCTGTTTGATGTCGCGGGGCACGGCCTGCTTCGTGATGAGATCTCGATCGCACCCAGTCCAAGCATGCACTCTCCAATGCATATATCACTGGGTACTTAACCTGGTGCTTTTCAGATCCATGAATACGGATGGAAATTATACCTCAGGAACACACCTCGCAAGACGTGGAGTCTCTTCAAGTCGATGCAGCTCTGGAGCGCTCATGCGTCCGTCCGGTGCGTATTTCCGTTCTTCACGTCTCCAGCCACCAAGAAATGACGGTGTCATTGTTCCTGCAGCTATCACACCGAAGTGGATCGCAACTGGGCAAGACCGCATTTTGTCGCACGACCTTTATCCTCGAAGTGGCAAGGGAAACTCCAGCCGCAAATGGCCATCAATAAGTCTCGATTATTCGTTGCGGCGGGGAGCACCATATATTCCTATACGTTCGGACACTCCGACGAGGGGCGTACACCAGGAATCCAGTTTGAATGCGCGTATATGACCCACAAGGTTGTCCAAGCCTCCCGTGATATCACAAGCATCCAGTGCGTCCCAGACGGAGGATTCGATCGTACCGTCTACGTCGGATATGCGGACGGCACGCTCGAGCGGATCGTTCTGCCTGCCTGCAAACTCGGTGCTCCGCCTGCCGTCATTCACCTCGAATCCAACCACCGCGAGAAGCGGCCATACCACGGCACGGATATCGTCGAGAGCATTTCCGCAAACAAGCATCATCTCCTCTCCCTTTCCTGTAACGGCTTCGCCGCATTCTTTACTGACTCCGGCACGGACTCTCCGCCGCAATTCTTGGAGCTCAACGTCCGCGGCTGGACCACGCACCTCTCGGACCGCTACGCCTTCCTCGGAACATCCTCGCTCACCCCACTCATGGTCTACACCATCAACGAGTCCAGACTCTCCGCACAACCGGCCCACGTCCTGACGAGTTCCACCCACGACGACCGCCCGCGCGCATCGGCTGTGTACGGCATCAGCTCCGCGCCGCCCTCCTCACCCTGGGGCTCCTCAGACCGTGTCGTCCTCTCCGGCTGGTACGACGGCGTCGTGAACGTCCACGACCTCCGCTCCGCGCGCCGCGACGGTGCGGGCGCGCTCTACCCGGTGATGAGCATGTGCGACCCGTGGCTGCCCGAGCCGATCTACGACGTGACCGCCGGAGGAAGCAGCGGGTGCCACGTCGCGGCGGGCACCGCGCGGCACTCCCTCGTCGCGTTCTGGGACGTGCGCGCGGCGCGGAGGGGCTGGAGCGTGCACGCGCCGGGCAACGACCCGTCGCCGGTGTATTCGGTCGTGCTCGAGAGCTCGCGCCTGTTCGGTGCAACGCAGAGCCGGCCGTTCGTCTTGGACTTTGGGCCTGGGGCGAGGGCGGACGTGTACCCGCAGTTGACGCGTCCGCCGAAGGAGGAAGGGTTAAAGAAGAGGGACGGCAGCGGGGTCGGATTCTACGTGACGCGGTACGGACATTCGCGCGCGTAGTGGTAGGCATAGATATGTTGTAACAGTGCTTTTATCGAGTAGATGTGGGCTCGTGCTCTCAAGACGTTGTGTGTATGCGCCCAACACACGACACCTCGGAACTCCGGCGGGCCGAGCGAGCGTCACGAATGGTCAGCTGACGCACAGAAATACGCGCGAGCCTCAGACCACGTCCGAATTACTGTGCCTGCCACAAGGCCAGCATTCCTCCTCTTCTCTCCTCGTCCCCCCTGTGCTCGGTCCGCATCATGGCCTCAAGCTCAAAGGATGTGTACTTGGTTATCGGTGGCAGCGGTTTCCTCGGCCGACATGTAGTGGAAGCTCTGCTCGCGCGCGGCGACGCCGTTTCCGTTTTCGACATCGTCCAGCGGCATCACGACGTCCCGTTCTACTCTGGAGACATTAGCGAGGAGGAGCAAGTCTCGGATGCGCTGCGCAAGGTATTTCCGCTTTATCTATTCCCTTTGGCCTACCCGAACCTCCCATGTCTAAACATGACCTTTATTCACAGAGCGGTGCGACATGCATCATCCACACCGCATCACCGCTACACGGCATGGACGACCCTGCACTGTACTGGAAAGTAAATGTGGACGGCACACAAGCTGTCATCAACGCCGCCGTTGCAAATGGCGTCCCCAAACTTGTCTACACATCCTCGGCAGGTGTAGTGTTCAACGGACAGGATCTCATCGACGTTGATGAGCGTATACCACAACTGGAGAAGGCCATGGACCCCTACAATGAGTCGAAGGCCAAGGCGGAGGAGATCGTGCTTGCGGCGAACGGGAAGGGCGGTCTTTACACGGTCGCGTTGCGTCCAGCAGGAATCTTCGGGTACGTCCCCTCATTGCGCGTGGCGGCTAGCGTGTAGCGAGGCCGTCTGACGCTCATCCCCCCTTATCCAGCCCCGGCGACCGCCAGTTCCTCCACGGCCTCTTCCAGGTGTGGCAGCGCGGCCAGAGTCACATTCAGGTCGGCGACAACACCAACCTCTTCGATTGGACGTACGTGGGCAACTGCGCTTATGCCCACCTGCTCGCCGCGGACCGCCTCGGGCCCTCCTCCCCAGAGGAAATTGCAGCAATGCGCGCCAGCCTCGCCGCCGCCCTCCCGCCCGTCAGTGCAACGCTGCCGCGGCGACGGATCCCCACGTCGCTCGCACGCCCACTTGGACCCTACGTGACCCCACCCCCCGACGCGGACGCGATCCGCGCACGCTGGGAGGACCCTGAGTACGAGCCCTCGGTGCCGCGGCCAGCGGTGCGGGGCAAGTTCGATCAGTTCACGGAGGCTGCGCTCGCGCGGGATGGCGAGGGCTCGCTGGCCGTCGCCGGCCAGGCGTTCTTCATCGCGAATGGGGAGCCGGTGGCCTTCTGGGACATGCCGCAGCTGGTGTGCAAGTTCTTCGACGAGCACTTCGAGCGGCCGAACAACAAGCGGCGGCTCGTCCTTCCCCAGGCCGTCGGTCTCGCGCTCGCCAGTGCGGCAGAGTGGTGGGCGTGGCTGATCGGGAAGGAGCCGGGCTTTACGCGGTATCGGGTTACCTTCAGCTGCGCGTGGCGTTGTTTCAACATCGAGCGGACGAGGAGGGTGTTGGGATACGAGCCGCAGGTGGGGCTCGAGGAGGGTCTGAAGAGGACTTTTGAGGTGCGTTCTGCCTTCTTGCTTCCCGACTCCTTTCCTGACGCCGCTTGCAGTGGTGGGTGGCCGAACGCGCGAGGAACGCGGAGAAGATTTCGGAGAAGAAGGCGTAAAAGGCTGCCACCGCTTGATTCACGGTTATGCCATGCTTCCGAGATACATTATGTGGGCCCTGGGTGCTCGATCATACCCTTAGTAAGAGAGTGTTCGACGCTCCTATGATATCATGTCGCGTCGTGTATTGCATATGACACTCTGTCAGAGTGTCCATCGACTAGAAACCGTTCGAGATTCTAGCCCCTTCGCTCAAGACGAAAAAAAGTTGAAGATGTTTACATGCATGGAACCAGATGTGAATGAGCACGTACATTCCACTAGCAGGGCGTCTCCTTCCTCTACGTCGTACAGTGAGTGGCCAAGGAAACAGCGCTCGTCGAGCAGTGCGGGGGTGCCGACTATTCGCCGAGGTCCGTGGCCTCCGACTCCAACAGAGTTCGAGGACGGGTGCCGGTGAGCCCTTGAGTCCAGGCGCCCGGACCGTCAACTTGCACCCATTCCACCATCCTATGGACACTGTCGTGCACCCTCCCGCCCTATTGCTGAAAATGAACGGAACGCTGCGCATTTTGGACGACGATATCCTTGTCGACGTCTTGTTTCATGTTCTTCGATCCGCAAACGGCAATACCCGTGCTTCCAGACTCTTTCCCCTGTTGCTGACTTGCAAGTGGGTACGCGGTCTCTGCATGCCCATTTTGTTCAGAGTACTCCCCATCACCAAGGGGTGGTCTCAACGGTTCCTCCCACAATCTCTCTGGCCGTTTGTACGGTGGGTCTCGACTCTTTACTTCCGTGGTGTTGAATGTGGTACATTGATTGCTTTTCTCCAGCGTCCTCTGTCTCAATGTCAGCTTTTTCTTGCCCAGGCCTATCGACAGTCACCTTCATGGCTGGCCTCCTTCTCAAACATGCGTCACAAGTGAAGAGAGGTCAGCAGAGGCTTTACGAGTCGCTGCCTCAGGGATGGATTCTCTGTACTCGATCGTCGTGGGCGGAATCAACTCCCTTGCTGCACACGAGCGCAGTGCTCTTCGGCCCATCTTCGGGGCCATCCTCGCTATCAAAACACTCTGTAATCTCCAGGTCGATGGTGATCTGCATCACCCCCTCTACCACAAGTCAGAAGATGAACAGTTCGAAATCCACGCACCCCTCACCTATTTCAGTCACGTTCTCGATGAGTTCCGTCCCCAATGTCGAGGGCACATTTCTGAAACTCTGCTCCTCAAATATTTAATCCTACCTCTATGCAAGAACATGGAGTCCCTGGAGCTCCCGGTAGAGAGTGCGCCGCTGCAGGAGATGGGCGACCATGACTGGTCACAACTTCGCTCTCTCAAGCTCTACGGCTTTCCTCCCTCCGCCACCGCTCTCGGCTGCCCCCTCCTCGGGACGCTCGTACGCATGCCGCACCTCCGCTCCCTCAGCCTCCAGTTTCATGTACCGCCAAGCGGTGATGTGGAGCCCATCTGGCCTCCGAAGTGGGCGGATGCCCCTTTCCCCTGGCCAGAGCTTGAAGAGCTCTTCATCACCAACCCCATCCCAGAAGACGGCCTCTGGTCGCGCCTCCCTCCGACCCTCCGCACCCTCTCGATGCGAGAATGGCCACCCAGGTGGGACCACGACCATTTCCGCGAGAGGGTTAGAGATGACGAGGAGAAGCAATCGGAATATCAAGCGAGGGACACGGCCCTCTCAACCGCGGCGCTGTGTCGGATCCTCCGCCAATGCCGCCTTCCGTCGCTCACCTCGCTCGGGCTCGGCTATACTGTCTACTCCGGAGACGGCGAATTGGTGACCTACGTCGGGAGCGCGTTTCCCCTCCTCCGCGTCCTCGGCCTCTATCGGCTGCCGATCCACGGATCGGAGTGTCAGTCGACGGATGCCCTGGTACGTCTCCTCAGCTGGCTCTTCGAGGATCACCATCTCTGAACAACCGGTCTGCGTAGACGGGGCTTGCACGTCAGCTCCTTCCACTTCGGTTCTTGCATACGCTCATCATGCACGTCGACCAAACAGAGAAGTCTATCGCAGGGCTTATGGACTGGTGCATGGTGGGCGGCTGGGAGCCGCAGCGATTGGACTTTGTCACAGACGTTTTTGAGCGCGAGTTGCCCAGCATCCGACAGATGGCTATCCTCTTGACGGACGAATACGACAGTACACTCGGTGGGGTGATGGCGCTCCACGTAGCTTCAGGGAGCACGTATCGGAAGTCGTGGTGGGCTGCGGGTGATTCCACCAGGCTCTTCGTCCACGGTGACGTAGGCAGTCTGTGCGGAGTGTTGTACAGTTACTAGAAAACGGAATCCTCGCGGCGTGCTAAGCGTCAAGGGGTTTCTCGCGACCTCGCCACCACTGTGACCGGCAAACTGCCCCCGCCGACCGGCGCGCCCTCAGGACGAGACCAGACGGGCATCGGATCGCGACCCAGAAGGAATCTACATATCATGGCATAACTCGGAAGAGTCGTCAGCACAAACAACAAGGAAGGAAAGAGATAGAACTGCGCACTCACTCAACTCGACCCATATCCTTCAAGTGCTCCGCCTTCGGGCCACGACCCCCACTGGGTGTCGATGTCGTGGAGCAACCTCTCGAGTTCTTCGCGGTGCTCGGCGTAGCTTTGGTCGCCCCAGGGGTAGGATCTGTGCGAAGTCGGGACTTGGCTCGGACCGCCCACCGACGACGTGTTGAATCCACGGGTCCGACGGCGCCGCGAGCGCGGAGCCGGGCGCGCACCAGGCTGGGGCTCACTCGGGGGCCGCCCGCCTGAAGCCTTCGCGCTCCGGACCTGGCTGGGGGTCACCATCGACCGCGGTTTCGGGTAGTTGAGGATGCCACTGTAGCGCTGCGGGTCGCTGGGGTAGTCCGCACCCCACACGAGCGATGCGGTCTGGATCGCGATGAAAGGCCTGCCGTTCGGGTGGAGCTCTGGGCCCCCGGCGGCGGCGGCGGGTTGGGTGGAGGCCGACGGCGGGGTCCGGTGGCTGGCGTCGTGGTCGTCCTTGGATGCCAGCGGCGAAGGAGAGTGGGGGGGAGATGCGGGTGGCGACGCACTGGCAACCTTGCCACGGTTGGGCGCGCACCGGATTTGGCTTGGGATGACCTCTGACAACGTTGGTGTCGGGGATGTCGATGAACATTGCCGCTGGGACCTAGTCTCCCCTGCGTATACCTTCCAACTACGAAGGCTGGTACCGACGTGTGCTTTACTACTGGGTTCGAAATCGATGAATACTCGACTGGGGAGGGGAAACACAAAGGACGTACGGCCTCGCGGACATGGCGTCTCACTGGAGCTGTCCGACGGGACGAGGGTGTTGCGAACGAGTAGCCTGGGGGGCCCTACGTCTTATCACCCTGGTCCGAGGCGTGCTGCGGTAGTGCAACTTCATGGCGGCAGCGCTTAGCACCATTCTGGTCTTACAACAGGGAGCGACCATGTCTTGGACCGCGCACTTCAAGGCGCTCACCGTCGTGCTCAACTTCGTCTCTGCATCTCATATCACGTTGGTGACTGCATGGTGGGTCCAAGCCGCGCTACGTCAGTACTTGGCTCGCCGATTTGCAAGGCGGGGAGATTGCGGGGGGAGATTGCGGGCTTATGAGGTCATCTTGCGTGGTGCATGAGCAGGAGCGCCGTGGCCGTGACGGAAGGACCCGGCGGTCCCGTGCCCACGTAATTTCCTGACCTTGCAAAGCCACTCCGAATCTCTCGCCGGATATCTTCCTCATCCTCCCATAGCCCCTCCTCCACCGCTCCCTGACCCGCCACCACGCCAGGGCTCCCCTGAGCCCTCAGCCGCGCTCTTCGCGGCCGCTACCCCGAGGATGCCCTCGCAAAGCGCGAACAGCATGATCGGTCCGTCCTTCCCCCTCTGCTTGGCGCTCCCTCCAATCATCTCACTTCTCCCGTTCTCGCCTTCAAAATCTGTATCGCCCCGTTCGTGGTCTTCGCGAACGTGCAGCTGGCGCAGGAGGTGGCCTCGTCGCCAGCGTCGCCACATGTCCGCTCGACGTCATCAAGACCAAGCTCCAGGCTCAGCGCGCACTTCACGGTCATGGCAGCTATATGGGCGTCGTCGGTGAGGCCTTCAACACTCTCATCGTGTTTCCTTCTGTCGAGGTAGCCTCGCTCAACCCGCGTTCTGCCCTTCCCCGCTGCCTTCAATCAACACCTTTGACGCATCCCATGCTCTCGCCCCACCACCAGCGACCGTCAAAAACATCATTCACCACGACGGGTTCCGGGGGATGTATCGCGGCCTTGGGCCCACCATCCTGGGCTATCTCCCGACTTGGGCCATATACTTCGCAGTTTATGACGGCATCAAACGTCACTTCGGCGAGCGGCCAGACGGCGTCATCGAAGAGCCCAGGCATGTATACCCCGCGGCGCAGGTCAAGGGCTACCAACCTCTTGCGCGTGAGCATCCATGGACATTACATATTCTATCAGCCATGTCGGCGGGGGCATGCAGTACCGTGTGTACTAATCCGCTGTGGGTCATCAAGACACGATTCATGGTCCGTGTGCTTTTTGTATGCGCCGCAAAGGACGTGCCACTGATCTTTCGCCCCCAGACACAACCACGAAACGAGGTTCGGTACAAGCATACGCTAGATGCGGCCTTGACTATCTATCGGACTGAGGGTGGCAGCGCCTTCTTTCGAGGGCTCCTTCCCAGTCTTCTTGGGATCACGCACGTCGCGGTGCAATTCCCTCTTTACGAACACCTCAAGCGAATAGCAGGTGGGTAGCCCGCCTCTGCACCCTCGAATTGTTCTGTTCAACGCCATCGCGTTAGCACGTCACCGCTCGGAGCCTCTTCAAGCACCACAGATCCTTGTTGTTCTGCCATCGCCAAGATGACGGCATCCATCGTCACCTATCCCCACGAAGTCGTACGCACACGACTCCAAACGGAGAAGCGCCCGCTGTCGATGAGCGGGCTTGACGGGAGCGACTCGACGCCGCGTCCCCCGCGCGGCGGTATCGTCCGCACCACCAAGCACATCATCGCACACGAGGGCTGGCGCGCCCTCTACCGCGGTCTGTCTGTGAACCTCGTCCGGACTGTCCCGAACAGCGCGGTGACGATGTTGACGTGAGTGCTCACCTGATCGCTCTTGTGTGCGCTATGGCGGGGAGGACCGGATCTGACGATGGCTTGGCTGTGGTTTAGGTACGAAATGCTCGTCCGACGCCTCAACGACAGTTCCGGAAACTCATAGCACGAGAGACTGCCAACCGTTTCTCGACACCTGCGCTCGCGCTCGGCAGACCGGGCATCTGCCGGGCACGCAGGCCGTCCCCGTCCGGTCTCCACACCCGACGATCCACGCAAGGCACCCTCGCTGGCCGCCGACCAACTTCCGATTTCTCCGACGACGCCCCAGACGGTGCGCGTCCCTCCTGCTTACACTCCGGTCCTGCCGAAGGCGTCGGTCCGCGCACGTGTCGCAGTTTGTTCCCGCTATAGATGAGGAGAGGGCATTGTATCATATACCACACGTTCCTTTCGTAATCGTTCGTGTACTCATCGAGAGGACCCATGTAGGTGCTGTAATACAGATTGGCTGCAGACAATCATGGAGTGCGAATCGATTCATGGCATCCTGGGCGTCATCTGTGTTGGATCTGAGTGTACTCATCCGCCGTTCAAGGAAGGATTTGTAAAGCGTTGTCGTATGTCTACAACAGATGACAGTGAAATGGTGCAACAATCAGGAAATCTTCTTGGCCTTCTTCTCTCCCAAGGAGGGCTCGGGACGCTCCCTCCTCCGTTTTGTCTTCTTTCTCTCCGGTCCTAGGCCCTCCATGTCCGCTGCCACATCCGACTCGGGAGGTGTGGCCTTTTCTGCATCTGCGTCCGCCACACGCCTTTGTTTCCGAGCCTCCTGCCTTCCTCGCGAGTTTGTCCGCGCGCCGCTTCCGCCGCGCCTCCTTGCTCACTCGCCTCTCCGCACGGAGCCGCTTCCTCTCCGCCCTCTCCGCCTTGCGTGCGGCTCGGTCGTCCGTCGAGACCGCGGCGTCACCACCGGGCAGGGCGTCCTCGTCGGAAGACTCGTCGGAGGCCCTCCCTTCCCCTTGCCCATCGCCTCAGCGCGCTCCCTCTTCTTCTGGTCTCCGGTCCGCTTTTCCTGCTCCTTCGCCGCCCGTCTCTGGCGCTTGCGCTCCGCCCTATCCTCCTCGCTTTCCCCACCCGCCTTCCGCTTCCTGTTCTTTTTGCCGTCCGCCTCCGAGGCAGCAGGGGCGACAGCAGAGGGCCCAGCCACCGGTTCCCCCGACGCTCCCTCTTCCGACTGACGGCCCCCTTCCTTCTCCTCACCCTCGTTCGTCAGGACCGGGCCGCGGTAGAACATGGAGTAGAGCAGCCGGCGCGCGGCCTGCTGCTTCGCGGCGCCGAGGACGCTCCGGCGGTGCGCGCCCGCGGGGGCCGCGGACGGGGTGGACGTCCCGGAGGAGGAGTCGGCGGGGGTGCGCGCGAGCGGGCGGCGGTTGGAGAGGATGCCGGTCTGCGTGCGCCTGAGCGCGGAGGCGCCGGGCGCGGGGGTGGATGCGCCGCTGTTGCCGGTGTCGTCGGCGTCCTGCACGAAAAAATGAACGTAAGAGAGGGGTAGGACAGAGACGCGGAGGAAACGTGAGGAGGAGGCAGGAGGAACGGCGGCTCACAGACTCGTCGTCAGAGTTGTGCACTTTGATCTGGATGCTGACTGCAGAGGCCTGGAATACGCTGAGAGTGCGGTGTGAGAGCGTGTACGCGGCGGCGTGGATGTAGAGGACGTACTGGTCCCAGAACGGAAACGCCTCGTCGCGGTCCTTCCCAATGCCCGACAGTGTTTTCTTCTGCAGAACCGTTATGGGCTTCGCAATGGCTCCGCGGCGGAGACCGTTGCCTTTCCCGGACCAGCCTTGAGAGACGAGATGCGCATGTCCGTCGAGCGGCATGGCGTTGGGCGGTGGAAAAGAGGGCGAGGGGGCGAAACGAGAGTTTGGCAAAGAGATCGGCCGTAGAGATCAGCATGCTGCAGGCGAAAAGTACGGGCCCACGTGATGCCGAGACGCGCGCGTGCACGCGGTGGCGGCGACGGGCGTCGTCGCGTCTCCCATTCAACCATCCCGCCACCTCCGTCCCGAACCCGCTCCCCCTTCCTCCCCTCCGCCTCAAGCATGTCCGGATCAAGAACACGAAAATTCAGCGGCGAGGAGAAGTCCCAGGTGCTCGCAAACCTCGACCTCGAAGGTCCGTGCCTCAGCCTCTCGTCCCCCTCGTCCGCGTTCCGCTTTCGGTTGGTGCAGAGCGCGCTAACGACCGAACGCCCCCTCTCCTTTCCTCCCGCAGTGGCGCACAAGACGCGCCAGTTCGAGGACTGGCTCGCAGACACGCTCGAGAACTTCCGGCGGCACCAGGAGAGCCTGATCCTGCGCATGCCGCGCGCGGTGCGGGGCGTGACGATGCGGGACTTTGCGCGCTTCGGCGGGGACGTGCAGGCGGCGCTCAAGGGCCTCATGCGCGAGCAGCTCGGCACGGAGGACGCGACGATCGACATGGGCACGCGGAAGCGGAAGTGGGTCGAGAGCCAGGAGGCGGAGGAGAAGGCGGCGAAGGAGGGCGACGCGCGGAAGGCGAAGGCGGGTGAGTCGGGCCTCCGCTGGGGACGCACGGACGAAGGGGACGGGGACGGGGGCTGATGCGTCTGTTGGCAGCACGGACTGTTGCGGCGACGCCGAAGAAATCTACGTCTCAGTCTGCTGCTCCGGCCTTTGGTACGGCGCAGAAGTCAAGATTACCGATTACGAAGACCCCAGCAAAGGTATGTTCTGCAGGCTCTCTCTGGGGGTGTACATACGACTCAGTACTCCACGCAGACGCGTACGGCTTCCCGTGTCCCCTCGAACGCAGTATCCCCCAGTCCACAGAAAGGCACATCGAAACCCTTGCCATATCCTCGCACACCCTCCCGTTTCCAGTCTCCCTCGAGGCCCAGCAACCGCACAGGCACCGCCCCAGGCAGCCGTGTACCGTCGTCCTCAACATTCAATCCCGTCATCCCCGGAGAGGCCGCCCACCCTCGCTGGCCGCGCCAGAACGAGCACATGCTGTCCGTGAACGGCTCGCCTCTCGCGAACCCGTACGAGCTCGACTTGAACAACTGGTTCAGCGCCATCGTCAACGGGGACGAGCCCGAGGGCGGGGCTCGTGGCGACACCAGCAAGAAGACGGCGGGCGCACGGACGCTGAAGACGCAGCGGAGCATCCTCATTCGCACCGCGTCCGGCTCGTCGTCGCTGCAGGCCGGCTCGTCGTCTTTCGGCAGCCACTCGCGCTCGACGTCGCGCGCGAGCACGCTCGTCGGCTCGCAGTCGGAGTCGTCGCAGCCAAAGGACGGTGGCGCACGCAAGGGGAGTATCGCGAGCGAGCAGACCGCGGACGACCCGTTCGCCGCCCCACCGGTGTTCGCCGCGCTGGTCTCGGTGCAGACCAAAGACGGGCATGTGCTCGAGTTCAACCCGCTGCAGACGTCGCCGGAGGAGCTCGACGCGCTCGAGGGGATTACGGACAGCGCGAAGAAGCAGGCGAAAGTGGACATGGGGCGGATGGTGCAGATGGCCGTCGAACGGTGGAAGCTGAGCTGAGGTTGTTCTGTGCCAACATATCATTCGACTTTCTCACCCATGGACCATAACCACTTTGTTTGCCATTTGATCATTTCATGTCTCATCACATCTTCACTCATATCCTCATCATCCGTCACCAGACATTGTAGACTTCCTCCTCATCAAGTGGGGTGTATAAACATAGGATACACCTGTGTCTACACAGAAAATTTAACGAGGACCTGCGCAGGCCGTCTAGTCCCGCAAAGCTTATTGTCGAATGGGAGTTGGGTATGTTGTGGTACCTTAATGTAGCAGTTCAACATAAGCCGCTCGGCAAACCGTCTCGTCTCGATTCCGGAGCTTCACCAAGAGGTTCGACCCGTTGCGCAACCTGTGAGACATTAGCCTTCGTGACAATCAGTGGTCGGGGACGCGCACCTGTGAGCTTGTTCCCTCAGTGCCAGATACCGAGAGAATGGAATTGCCCCCAGTGCATGCCCTTCACCAAGAGAGAGCGAGAAGCTCCCCGTGGTGATATACCCAATCACGGCGTCCCGGTCCGGAGCGACTTGCGAAAGCTACAACAACGACCCCGCCTGAGTCAGTCTCGCTGGGTATCCGACGAGCAGCACACCCACCTCGGTCTCGTCCTTCCCCTCAGGCAAACCCACAACTCCGCTCTTCCTCCTCGCCTCTGCTGTCATCCACTCCCGCGCCTCGTCGTCCGCGACTCCGTATATGACGGCCATGTCGTCCGGGCACCCCCGCCCGCAGAGCTTCAACCCAACGTGCACGAGCGCCCCGCGCATCATGTCCTCCGCGCGGGCGGAGAGTGGGAGGAGGCCGCGCTTGTCGCGAAGCTGGTTGAGGTGCACTAGGAGGCCCGAGGCCGGGTTGAGCATCGACGCGACAGTTGCGAGGAGAGCGGGGACGTCTGGGCCGCGGAGAAGCCACTCCTCCACCCGTGGGGTATTGGGGCCCGGCGGCGGAGCCTGCTCGGAGAAGGGAGCGGGGGCAGGGGTAGGAGTCGCGTCGACTTCGCGCTGGGCGTCGAGGAACACCTCGTCGTTGTCCAGAGCGGGTTCGGGTTCGGGAGCGGGCTCCTCGAGCCCCAGCACGACCCGCCAGTCCGGCCGCCACGGGCTCCGAGTGCCCAGCTTCGCGTAGTTTGGCCGCTTCGCGGGTGGACGGCGTTCCCAGAATGCACGTGCTTCGTCCGCGGCAGCGGCAGCGTGATCCGCGTACGCGGAGCACGCGGGGAAGTCGCGGGGGAAATGCGGGCAGCCGGCCTCGAACGTTTGCGTCTGGCATTCGCGCTGGCCACCAGTGCGCGTGCCGGTGTGGGTGAGCGAGGAGAAGAACGGCATGCCCCAGCCCTGAGGCACGACGAGCGTCCAACCGTGAATGGACGTGGTGGTCGTCAAACGTAGGCGGGAGGTGTCGCGGTCTGCGGAGGGAGCGGAGGGCTCGATTGAGCGTTGGATGAGGAGAACCGGGATACGTTCGTCGTTCCTTTCGGCCTTAAGGGGGGTGCCTGGAACTAGAAGCTTGTAGGATGTCAGATCATGACAAGCGACGGGTTGGCCGGACGAGCATTTACCTCGGCTCGTCTTGAGTCGATATCTTTCTTCTGGTACCGCGGTTTGCGCAACGCCAGTCGCGTGTCTTCGTTCCATATTTGGCTCTGTGCAAGCACACCAGAGGGAAAGACGGTGGACCCGACAGATAGATTCGTCCCTTCCTGAACCTGGAGCTTGATGTTCGCCGGCGGGAAGCTGACAACCTCAGTCAGTGCGTGCTGAAGGGGAAATGGTGGATTCAATTACCTGAGGCGAGGGTCGTGCACAGTAAACCCGATAACCATGCCTCGCGGCATGGAACCGGCAGTTTGTATTTGGTCTAGCGTGGACCAGAACTAAGGGGTAAGATCAGCGATCAGGTTGGGATGTTTGCACACCAATGACGCCACCTGCTTGAAGTCTGCCCTTTGGTCGCCCTCGACTGGCTTGAGCGCGCCTTTGATAACTTGGCTAGCCTTCGGTCCCACGAGGTCGAACATGTTGAAGTGTTCTCGAAGGTCAGCAATCTCGACCTCCGCGATGTGTTCACCTTGCTTTTGCTTGGCCGCTTCAAGTGCGAAAGATGCGGATGTGCGGAGGGCCTTATGGACCTCTTCTGTTACCGCAGGGTGGACACGGATCCAGATGGTGCGCATTCGCTGCTCGAAGCCTGGAAGCGGCGTGTCGTCGTTGAGGATTTCTTTTTCTTTCCCTTTCTTCTTTCCCTTCCCTTTGCCCTGGCCTCGGGTTATGGACGGCGCCTGCTCTGACTTGGATGAGGACGGTTCGGCGCGCCACAGGAGGGTTACGGGAGCGATGAAGTCGTAGGGATACTTATCGTATGCGTACACAGAAGTTTCGATGGTGCGCGCGCCTGCGAGAAAGCTGCGAATTGTGATCAGGTTATGGAATCACTCAGAAAGAAAGGCTCCTTGCCGTTTTGCACCGGGACTAGGACCTTGACAGTCACAACAGCGGTGTAAGGTTGACCGTAAAATACCCTCGGGACCTCTAAGCTCAATTACGGCGTAGTAAGATGCATCATGCAATATTGAACCGTGTATAGAAGCTCTATGGGATGGTCGGAAGGACTTCTCTGTAGGTGTTACAGCCTGTAGTCTGAATGTTAGCCAACAGCGACCCGAGATGTTGGATCCTTCAATTCACTCACGAGTCTATATCCCCACATTTCCTCCATATGCATACGTTTGGAATGCCATATGTGTGTCTCTAACCACGCTTTATCCTCTGTTCGTGTCAGCAAGTTCATTCAGAGGACTGACTAGTTGAGAACATACTTTGCCGTCGAAGTAGATCGGTCGTGCGCTTGACTTTCCTTGCTTTTCCTTGCTTTGGGTTGCGCCTTCCAAGTGATTTGCGCTTGACAGGATCCATCTGCGAAAAAGGGATAAGAACTGGGGAAGGGTTTCCATTCATCGTAGCATAATACCAACCTCGGCTTGTGCCTTGTCTCGCAGTTTTAGTGGCACGCGACGAACGTCATGGCTTGCCGCACGTCGGCGCAAGTGTCGGGGTAGTTGCTGCCACGCTCGCGTCGTGGAGCTAGATCTGGAGCAGCAGTCACGCAGTGAATGCAAAGCATATTTGATCACTACATACCGGGCATTCTGCATAGCCTCGTGCATCGCGTTGATCTCAAAAGCCCTTGCCTTGCAGAGCACATAGTCAAGCAATCGTAGAATGCGGAAAATTTTGCTTTAACTCACTTCCGCAAAACGCTCGACATCCACAGCTCCGGGAAGACCCTTCATACCTTTCGAGGCGGGCCGTTCCTTTAGACAATCCGCATAAATTCCAGACAAAAAACTCACTTTCAAACCGCACAGACTTGGAAGACCCTGCCTCTGCATTTCCAGAACCTCGTGACGATGCTCCGGGCTGTACTGCAATTGTACGAGCGAGCGCTGTTTTCTGTTTCTTACGTTCTCGTCCAGAAAGCTCCTCCGAAGGACTGGGTCGTTTTGGGGCCATGCTGCTGTGCTGTACCGCGCGCAGACGATGCGCCCAGCAGTACGCGCGTGCAAATGTGGAGACAATAAAGTTGAGAGTAAGTGGCTGAGGACTGGGCGCGCGCTGCGCGAACACGACCTGCGCGCACTCTGAGCTTCCCGATCGGGCACACACGTCACGCGTCGATACGCGCTGGCCGCCGTCGAGGACGACAACACCGGGTTCGCCGGCCACCATCGTCAGCGACACCGTCGGCCATGGCCTCCCTCGCTGCGCGCTCCTTACCTTCACTCGCTCGGGTTCAATCATCGCACGCAGGTAGCCGCTTCATCTCTACCACGCGGGTCGTGCGCCAGGACACGGCAGCAACACCGAATCTGGGTTCCGTGCCTCCTGCGAAGAAGCCCGTGGGGGCATTCCGTGGAGGGTGAGTGCGGTACGATTTTGACCTCTCGTTACTCAAGAGTTGGACTACGACAGGATTGTTGGGTTCCTGTTTGGGTTCTCTTTGGCGTCGTCCTTCGCCGCGTACCACTTGCTAGAGGAGTACAAGATGGCCTCTGCGGCACTGCAGGCTAGCGTGGAAGAGCTTCAGGCGAGCACGCAAAAGGTGCGCAGTTGTGAATATGCTACCTGCATGATATGTGTGCAAACGAGAACACCAGGTCTCCGCACACGTCCGAAGGATTGAGGCTGTGGAGAAAGAGCTCAAAGCATTGAGCGAGACTGCTGCCACCAAGGAGGACTTCTCTCGCGTACGCGCCGAGATGAAGAAGTTGTACGACGGTTTGCACGTTGGTGAGTATAGTCATTGACGCCGATGGAAAGCTAACCTGAGTGCTTCTTCCTTGCAGAATTTCTCGATCTGCGGGCTCATGTATGGGGGATCCGTGAGTATTTCTCCTCTGTTTTGAAGGTCTACAAAAATTAACACAACGTCATGACTGAATGCAGAACAAGATCTGCACTCCTTGTCGAAAAAGGAAGCCTCCAGCGTTCGCCTTGTGTAGAGGAATAGATGCGCATTTATCCCCTGCCACAGTCGTTGCTCTGGAGCATGGCTCGCGAACATGCTATGCTCAAGGCTCAACAATGAGGCAGTGGTGGCACCCTTCGAATCGGACCCATTACTTACGGTGTGTGATAGGATCGTGTATCTTTCTTCCGGTGCTACCAATAGCCAGGCGACGCACAACATTCCCATCTTCTTGTCACGTCGATGATGGCTACGGGGGCGCTCGGGGCAAATACTCGGGCTTTCTATTGCCACCTCATCGTGAAGTCGAGGTCGTGAAGCAGAAAGCGGCCCGAGATCGTCCGACTCGAGTGTCTGCGATCGCGGGACGAATTGGCGCAAGATGGTGCCTAACGAAAGGGCCTGCGAGCTGGGCTGTCTGGGCCAAGACGGAAGCAAGTTGGCCGATTTGCCCATGACTACGAACGGTTGCATGCGCATTGCGATTGACCGAAGGATCAGTATCGTATCACAGGCGCGTTCCTGGCTTAATGACATTGATAGAATCCCCGCCCAGTCGGCAGCATTTTACCCGGGCCCGAGCGGCCCGAGCAGGGCGACTGGTCACTGCAGAGAGGCGAGGACGTATTGATCAGAGTCGCTACGCGGCATGAAACCAGGACAACGAACTGCCGGGTGGAAGTTCGATGGGAAGATGCAAGTGCGCCCGCCTCCCGCCGCAACATCGGATCTTTTACGATGCTCATCGCCCACATGGCAACCTCGCCCACTTCGCGAGGCACGTTCCCGGCCCCCCGCCGACCTATAAAGCCCTCACTGACATCGCGATGTTTCCCCATTCATCCTCTTACTAGCCAAGACCGGGTCTTGTCGTTCTTTCAAGTTCACCCTTCTTTGTATGTTCGATCACACTCCTACCTGTCTCGTATCCCTCATGTCGCTCACAGGTCGCTGGCGTCCCTCCTTTGAAACTTTTGCGAACAACCACACCGAATCCGGCACCACACAGTTTTCACCATGGTCTGCATCAAGTCCTTCATCGTTCTCTCTGTCTTCTCCGCTGTTGCCGCGGCCCTGCCCGCCTTCCCCCAGCGCCGTGAGGTTCCCCAGGAGCACTCCCATGAGGCCATCTTGCGCACGGTTCGCACCACCCTGAACCTCAACAACCCTGACAAGATTGTCGACCCCGTCTTCTCGCTGCTCGGAGATGCTGCCGCGAAGCAGGGTGCTGGTTCCATCACGGTGAGTCTCTTGCTTTGGTACCACTGGCTCAACAGCCTCATGCGCTCTGCTTGTCTCCAGGACCTTGCCTGCTTCCAGCAGGCCGTCGCCGACCAGGCGTTCACCAATGCCAAGACCGCCGGCGATTCCGCCAGCATGATCAACGCACTCATGTTCCGCGCCGTTGAGCGTAACACCGGCGGCGTCGGTGTCAAGTCCGCGCTCTGCACACAGACCGCGAAGAACCCCGAGGTCGCTGCGATCACCCAGCACCAGGACCCCGCGTCTGACGGTGCCGCCGCGACAAACAAGGCGATTGTTCTCGCTCTCGCGAAGGAAATCGCCAAGCTCGGCGGTGACCCCCAGCTCGCGCTTCAGACCGGTACCTTCGCCCCCGGCTCCAAGAGCGACAACACCGGCAAGGGCAACAGTTGTGACGATGCGAACGACGCCACCGGCTGCATTATCTCCCAGAAACTCCTCGTCGAGGATGCCACTGCTGCTGAGATCAACGCTGCCGTGGCCGGCATTTCTGGCAGCACTGGCAGCGGTACCGCGACGTCGACCGACTGTGCGGACGCGACGGTCACGGTCACAGTGACCCCTACGGTTACCGCCACTGTGTATGTATTTCTTCGAGGACTACCAGTGGGCTTTTGCGAACTAATACAGCTAATGCGACAGTGACACGGCCGCGACGTGCGCTCCCCCCAGCTCAACAGTCGTCGTCACCGTGACGGCGGCTCCGACCGCGCGTCGCTAAACAGCCACTCGTCCCGATGTTCGACTTGTGAATGACCTTGGCCCACCGACACCCTGGCGGCTTGGTGAAAACATTGTTGCACGCGGAAGGGACCCCCTCAGATACCTCCTTCCGTCACCCGACTTTCAACCCTGTTTGGCTCATCGGCTTCTTCAACCTTTCTCGGGTAACATTTGCAGCAAGTGTGTACTTTGAACAGCCCTTGTGCCTCGGTGTTTTCCTGTTGTATCGCTACGATAAAGCTTCACCTCTTCACTCCTTTTGCCGCCAATACAATTGCGTCTCATCCGCGCTCCCAAAATTCTCCCTTGTGTTGTCTACTACTTCAAGCGAGACCATGATCTAGTGGTCGATTATCAGTGGATGTTGGTTCAAGAGACATGCGCGTGCGCGGCCCTTGAGAGATGCATGGAACGCGGGCGAAATCTCATGCTTGTGCGGCATTCGGGGAATGCGGCGCTTACGCATTTCCGACCACATCGCGCCTTTCGTCTGCTCACTCATCGCCACACCTTGCAGCTTCCCCCTCTTCGACCTATCTCAGAGCCATGTCCGACCGCGGCTACGTTAATCTCGTCCGCCACCTCACCCGCCCGACGTCCACCCTCTCGCCGGAGACCCTCCAAGCCTCGATCGCGCACTACCTCGCCCGCCCACCGTCCCCGCTCCCGGGCACGCCCACCGCACTCACCGCGTCCGTCCTCGGGAGCGCGCTCTTTCGCCCGCACCGGCACGCACAACTCGCCGCGCTCGCGCTCGCGTTCCGTCACGCCGTGCACCTCCGCGTGGGGGTGCTCAAGGAGGCCTCCCGCGGCGACGGTGGCTTCTCGCTCTCTGCCGTTCTCGCCCCGGAGGAGCATAGTGGGCGGCGCGTCGCAGCGCGGCTCGGGCGGTGGTGCCGCGACGTGTGGGCAGGGTGCGGAGGGAGCGCGCCGCTCGCTCGGCTCGCGTGCGTGGTCGGGCTGTTGTTGGGGTTGGAGGACTGGGAGGCGGAGTTGAAGATAACGGAGAGGGAGGCGCGGGTGAGGGTCAAGGCGGAGGAAGAAGTCGTGCTTGCAGTCGCGGAGGTAGTGGATGCGTACGCCCCGGACCCATCTGGCTGGGGTGTGGACTTCAAGAGGTCGGTGGAAGCAAGGGCGGAGCATGAAGGTGCGCATATACTCTACTTTCCTGCAAGCTACAGAACCGATTCTGCTCTACAGACCCCTTGGGCCTCGCAATCACACTCACTGCACAGTGTGCGCCTTTGGTTGCGGCGCAGAGACTGCAAGCTCTGCCACTCCCGGTGTGTTCGAGAATATCATGCACCGTTTTTTGACTCAACTCTGGATGCATAGGCCATCTTGGACGTCCTTGTGAGTACCATTGAACAGACGTTCCGTGGAGGGGCTTTCCTTGTTGGGGCATCCACCAGTTTCACATGGAATACAGAGGGAAAGGTTGCTGCTTCGGTGGGTGCTACTCCTAAAGCCGCCAAATATCCTCAAGCTGAACTACACCGCAGTCCCCGCCCAACTTCTCAGATACGATACGGCAGATATCAGGCTCGCCGTATCTAGCGTCTATGGCATCGTACGCCAAATTCACCTCACTTTCTCTCACCAATTTGGTAGAGTCAAGACCCGTTCCTGGCTGGCAAACAATACAGCAAGTGCTAGCTCGTTTCAAACAGCTCACAGCTCGCCTAGAGGATGACTGGGTGAAATGTGCACTCGCAAGTGTCACTGGTGACGAACAGTTTGCAGGTAGCGTCGTTCTGGCGGTCGTCTCGACGCTTGCTTACGCTGCAGTATGTAGATGAGAGCAGTCGTGATCTGACGAAGACGACATGGTCGATCCTCAAGACCCTATTGTTCACCGCCTTGATGATTTCTCAGTCGGTTTTGACAGCGGTTGTCTTCGTTTCTCAACCCGAAGACGCTACTGCAGCACCGTCTCCTTTTGCCCTTGCACTCGAGATCCTTCACATTCTCTCCAACCTCTCGTTTGTCATGCCTCAATTTGGTGGTGTGGCTTCGACCTCGGAAGGATTACCCGAACTCAAGCGCGCATTCTACATGGCACTAGATGTACTTTCGGAAAGCGAGACTCAAAGCCGAAGGTTTGTGGAGGAACTATGCGAACGAGATTCATCTATGAGCAAAGGGAAAGGTGTGTGACTGTGGGCTACGGTTTCGATTACTGATACTGAAGTATCCCATAGGACCGGAGACGATTCCGCGCCCGCTGCTTAACGCCAAGAAAGCATTTGCTCTGGCTTGCGCTGAACAGCTTGTGCCCGTTCTACCCGAACTCACGATCCGTGACCAGGTGTACCCCATGTGTTTCCCGTAAGGTTCTTCCTCTCGAGTGAGACTCTGCGGGGCTTACCGGTTTCTCTCAGGCATTTGTGGGATACTACCCATCGCGAGACATATGAATCAGCGCATTCTGTCATGCTATCAATCTTCGCATCTCACGCGAAGGGCAAAGGTGCGAAGAGCAAAGCTCCAGGACCGGCATTCGCAGAGAAGGTAGTGCCCCTATACAGTCGCTGTTTGATCGAAGTACGTATCTGAACGTTGCGCTTTCTTCATCTCTGACACGGGCCAACACTTTCACAGAACTCGCCAGACGGACATCTCAGCACGGCGCAGCTCTGTCTGGCATACGCCGCCCTCGTCCGGAGTGCAGGTTCCTTCGGCTACGGCGCCGTCAACACGACTACTTCCAACCGCACGCCTTCCGACGCCTACCCGCACGCTGACGCGCTGGCATGGTACTGCGTCGACGCGCTACTAGATGCTATACGGCGCACCAGCACCGCGACCGTCCTCATCCTTCACCTGCACCTGTACTCCAACACCCAAACACCGCGGCCGTCCGCGCACCTACACCGCCTACACCTCGCGCTCGTCGCGACGGCCGCGTCAGTCTCACTCACGTTGCTCCCGCGGCTGCTCACCGAGGTCGCGGCGATCATCATCGCCGTGCCGGACGACGCGGAGGAAATGCGCACGGAGCTGACCGACGCGCTCTTCAAGATTGTCGCTGAGGAGGTCGGAGACGCGGAGAAGGCGTACGCCATGGATTGGTGGTACGAGCACCGCGACACGCTTGCACGGGGGAGGGCGCCGGTGCGGGACCCAGTGTTCGAGGGCGCGGAGGCGGTTCCTGCTGCTGGGGCGCCGGATATCGTGTCTCGTCTTTAGTACGAGTGCTTTCGTGTAGAGGCTTTGCTCTGAATGTTGATATTGGATTTTCTGGATGTACAGTCTGTTTTGGATTACATCGCCGATTCGACAGTTCCCGCCAAGGGATTGACAGATGGTCTTCTCCATTGGTGCACGTTCAGTAATTAGATTACACGTCTGGATTACAGCCGCACGCCCGGCAGGTACATTGGCAGTCATTAGTGCTGGCGACAAGGTCTCTACCCAAAGAGCCGAATCCTCTAAACTCTAGGGGGGTGCCACTTTGGCTAGAAGAAAGCGACAAACCCGGTTCTCGCTCGTCCAAACGCTCACAACCTCAGAGCTTCGAATGTTCCTTCTTCGCCGCCGCCTTTGCCGCGTTTTCCATCATCGCCCGCGTCTCCGTCGCGGCCTCGGCCAGGTAGTGCTTGAGCTCCGCCGTGCGCCGCTTGAGGCTCGTGATCGTCCAGCGGATGTAGCCGTCCCCGATCGAATACGAGAGCCCGTAGCCGTCGGGGACGACCTCGCCGTAGCCCCAGCCGTCAAAGAACGGCGACGAGAGCTGCGAGGTCGAGAGCTCCCAGTGGTTCGTGCGCGAGAACGCCGGGTCGGCGTACAGCGCCGGCACGGGCTCGCCGTCCTCGAGGCACTTCTTGAGCCCGAACAGGTGCCGGTCGACGCCCTGGCCGTCCGCGGCCCACGCGGCGTACTGGAGGTGGCGCGAGACCGCCTTGCGGAAGAGCGCGGCGCGGTGCTCGTCCTGCGCGTCGCCGTCAGCTCGAGACAAACGCCAGGCACCCCGAGCAGCAGCCTAGCAGGGAGAAGGACGCACCGTCTGGGTGGGGTCGAGCATCGCCTCGGCCCACGCCTTGCTCTCCTTGCTCGCGGCGCGGATGACCTCCGTGCGCCCGAGCTGGTACTTGCGCGTCTGCGCGCTCTCGTAGCACACGCCCGGCCGGTCGAACATCTTGTGGAACGCGAGCTGCTTGACGAGCTGCGCCCACGCGTCCGGGGACGCCTTCTGCGTCTTGATCCACTCCTTGCCGTAGCCCTCGTAGTGGAGGACCTCCATGTCGTGCTCGCCGACGAGCGCGTCGAACGCCTTCTCCGCCTGCGCGATGTTCGCGCGCGTCTTCGCGTCGAGCTCGAACGTGAGCTCCGTGGGCAGCGCGAGCGAGGATGCGGTCGCGGCGGTGCGCGGCGCGCCGAGGTCGACCTTGTTCGCGGCGAGCGAGGCGAGCATGAACTCGTTCATGCGCAGCGTCGGGGTGCCGTCCATGCACGAGTGCTCGCCGAGGAAGCCCGACTTGCCGTTCTCGAAGACGATGACTGAGGCGAGGTTTAGGGCGAGGCGGAGGTGCATAGATCACGTAAACGCACCTTGATGCTTGTCGTAAAAGCGGTTCCTACCATCGCCGACCCAGCAAGCCCAGCTTGCTTGTTCACGGGTAACGGGGGAGTAGTCATCTAAGCAGACGACGACCATCGCGGACTCGATTTCCTCGAGCGTAGCTCCATTCTTGGGCGATGCGGCAAGAAGAGCTTCACGAGCCTTGGTAGAATATGAATATGAGGACAAGCGCAGGAAACATATGAAAAGCACTCACGTCGGTCCAGACATCACGGTTCTCGGAGGTCAACGCACCGACGGCGGGAGCCTTCTCGCTGCCAGCCATCCGAATGATGCGCTCGATCTGCACCTCCAGTTCCGCCGCCGACAGTTCCTGTCCGCTCTCGTCCGCGAGAGGGACTTTGAAGCACTTGTTCTTGCGGGTAAACACAACATGGTTGTTGGTAAAGGGGTATGCCTTAGCGGTATCGGAGGGCTTCTTGGGTATACGGCTCGTGTGGAAGAGCCATTCGTACGACTTCATCGCCAAGGGCGCCCCGCGCACCTTCTCCGGCTCGAGCAGCTGCCTGTACACCCACCACGGTCAACCCCAAGCAGCAGCAGCAGCAGCAGCAAAAGAGAGCGACGCACGTCTTTACGAGCTCCCGGAACGGGAGCATGCCTTCACCAGCTGCGCGGCGCGCCTTGCTTGGCTCGGCCGCGTCCTGTCGTCGACGTGGACGTAGTAGTAGCTCACGAACACGACTACCGGGTCGCGGTAGCCCATGTACGCGGCCTCGTTCCACCACTCCGCAAGCCAGTTCGCGCGCTCGGGGTCCGCTGCACGCGCCTGGAGGCGCTCCTGCAGGACCTTCGCCTGGTCCGAGACGACGAACGCGTCGACGGCCGCCTTCGTGGTCGCGAACTCGGCCGGGGTGAGGTGCGGCTCGACGGACTCGAGTACTTGGCGGCGGTGGAGGAGATGGTAGGCACGGGGAGGCGCGGGAGCGAGGCTTCGTAGCGGAGCATGGGGCCCTTGGACATGTCGGCGACGTAGCCCGGGGGCACGTCGGACTTGCGGGGCGCGGAGGTCTTCAGGGTGCGATTAGACATCTTGGGTCGGGTGGACTGCGAGGAGGGCCGGGTCGGGTTAGCATCTGTGATACAACGAGGGGGAGAGGCTAGGCAGAGATGCAGAACGGGGCTCCGTCCAGGTCACTATCGGGCAAGAGCTGGGGATCGGCGTGCAGCTGGCGGAACAGCAGCGGAGCACCGCGACTGGTCTTCGGGCTTCCAGACCCCGCGAGACCAGGACGGGCTCGTGAAAGCGGTAGGGCGCAGTTGCGACTGACCAGACCCTTGAACGGACGCATACAGCTCGCATGATCTCTCGGCGCATCGCGCAAAGTCCCTGCGTGTCATTGCGTCCGTCCCCAGGTTCGCTAGCGTCTTCCGCTTTCACGAGCCCGCCATCGTCCGTGCACGGCCGGCCTTCCCCATCCACCTTCCCATCCGCTCGTCGGAACGCCCCGCTCTCACGACAAGTCCGGGCTCGCGGCGAGAAGAGAAGCCACGAGAAGCCACCTCAAACGCAAGACGAGAATAAATGACATACCAGCAGCGAAAGCGACCGGGCAGCAGCGGCACTACTCCTGCGCGTGGACTGGAACATAAAAGCGGTCAAGAGCAGAGCAGCAGAGCAGGCAGGCGGAGCGGAGGGTCGCCGGGGTGATCTGGCACGTCGGGCGGGTCGTCCAGAAACCAGATGCAGCCGCCGATCGCAACGTTAAGTGCAGCAGGCGCGCCCTCGTGAAATCCGCGGGCGGAGGGAGATACAGCGGGCGCGAGCTGGGGCCCGGTGCGCGCGGAGTGTTTGGGGAGAGAGGCGGAGAGGGTCAGGGCAAGGTAGCGTCGCCAGGCGCGGCGGGGCAGGACGAGTACTTATGCATCGGCTCAAGGGCGGGGGCGAGCGCGCCTCCGGCAACCTGCTACCCCGCATCCGGCTCGATGGTCTTCACGAGGTTCTCCGGCCAACAACGATTCAACCAGCTCGCCAATTATCAATGCCCGACCCCGGGCCAAGGTCCGGCACACCGGATCATTGTCCGAGTCGCTGCCGCAACAGTGGACACTTGACGATTGTGTATCCGGCGTAAGACGCGCAGGTACTCGTGACAGAGATCAGCTACCAGAAACATACAGATATCATGGCCTAGGCCAGAGAAAACTCTAGTGTCTCCTTCACGAACAGAGCTTGTCCGCGACTTCCTCAATCAGCTTTCGCACCTCGGCCTTTTGCACACCGCTCTCGCCACAACCGCCCTTCGCGAGTTTGCTCTTCAGTGTCTCCCGTGCCTGCAAAACCTCCAACAACGGAGCCAACTGGCCCTCGTAAGACGGACTCAGGCGCAGCAAGAACGCCAGAGCCGCGACCAATCGATGCACTAGATGGACCCTCCGTGAGTCTCCGTTGAGGGCTGCCACATCCGAAGCCAACTCACCGACTTCCTCGCTCTGGGTCTCGTTCGTCAGCGCCTCCAGGACCGCGCTAACCATCTCCACCTCCCACTCCTCGTCCTCTGCCACCTCAATGTGTCCCATCCCCGTGCTCGCCGCCCGGCCCGTGACTCGCTCTACGCGACTCCGCTGCAGCGTCGCCGCGACGTCGAACGCGACGCTCGCCGCCGCCGTGCGCACCGCCGCGTCCCCGAAGAGCAGGCAAGCCACGACGACACACGTCACCAGGGCGCGCTTGCCCGCGGGTGCGTGCGCGAGGAGCGATTGGGCGAGCGCAGCGTGGGCGAAGCCGTTCGCGAGTAGACGGAGGAGGGTGAGGAGGTAGTTCCGGCCCGCGGTCTTTTGAGCAGGGTCCGCGGTGTCCAGGACCTGCGCCCCCTTATTAAGCAGCAGGGAGAGCGCGCTGGGAGTGGGTGCTGTCGCCAGCCAAGTTGCTACGGACTCCTCAAGCAAGGCGAGGCGCCACATGTCGACCAGTGGGAACAGTTGGGCTGGGGATAGGACGTTCACGAGGGAGGTGGTGGCAGTCGTCCACTGAGCTAACATCTGAGGCGTGCATTGTACAGCCGGCTTTTTGCTTGCGGATCCTGAGTCGGCGAACCGCGTCTTAAGGAAAGGCAAGAAAGAGGTGGAGATAGTGGCCTTAGCGGTCGTCAACTGCTCCGAAGGGGTCGCGGCGTCGATGAAGGTACCGAATTTGGTGGCCACGGTATCGAGAGCCGGTACTTGGGTAAACAAGATAGGGTCGGTTGACAACGCTTCTACTGCACGTAGTGACAGCTTTGTGTGTGGGTGCGCTACATAACAAAACTTAGATTTAGACGACAGTGTCATTACGGCGACGTACGCGGAAATGCTTGAAAGAGGAGCATGTCTACTTGCGAGCGCAGCTCTGCCGCATTTGCACCCTTAACCTCATTAATCTGGTACACAGTCAGAATCACATCGACAGAGAAAAATCGCTATATGCTCACCTTCTTGCCGTCCAAGAAGAACAAGAATGTCGGAGTTGCCCGAATACCATACTCCGCGCCAACCTGGTTACCCATCCCCGCCATGTCTACCTTGACGAACGCCGTTTTCCCGCCTCCGTTGCCGTGCGTCTTGTTGTGCGAAAGCTCCTCGAAGACGGGCTCGATCATCCTGCAAGGCCCGCATGTCGCAGAGGTGAAGAAGACCACAGCCGCTCGGTGCGACTGCAAAATGCCGTGGAGAGCCGACGAGTTTGTGCACATGTGGATGGGCGCCGCGACTGTCGCACTACCGGCGGTGGGCGTGCGAGGCAGCGAGGTAGGGACGGAAAGGGAACCTGTGGACATGGCCTGCGATGCCACGGCTTGAAGAAGGGCAGACGCGAGAGCCGGGTTGGGCGATGCAGCGGCAGCTTGCTGCATAGCACCTGGGGATGGGGCAGCCGGAGGAGAAGCGGCGCCAGGAGTGGGTCGGCGGAACATGGAATCGATGGTGGGTCGTAGGGCGGCTCCAAACGGTGTTGACAGGAAATCAGATGGGAGGTCTGGGGACGTGCAGTTTGGAAGTGTAACGGTGGACTAAGACGGAGGGAGAACGTACCTTTGATCCACGCAGGGATAGAACCTCCCGTCAAAAACCCAACACAGTCATTCGTGAAAGAGTTGCAGTTAAAGTCTAGAAGATGGTACTTGAACGCCAGTCAGCCGTGGGACAGCAGCGACTGACAGTGGATGGACTCACTTTATCCGCCGTGTATACATCACGCATCTCCTCGAGATATTCATTGAAGGTCTCCTCATCCAGCGCAGTTTCTCCCACGTCGACTACGTGCAGCGGATTTCCATGCTGCAGCCATTTCAGATTGTGAACGCACGGTGCCCGACCAGCAATTAACTCACATGAGATTGCCCTGGGGCGGTGATAGAGATGCCCTGACCATAAAAGACTTCCTTGCCAAAGATAACGACAGATGTGTGCCTGCGCTTCTTCGGTACTCAGCACACTGTGCGCGCCCGGGGAGTATGACAACACGCACCATACACCGTCTATCTGCTTTCCGGTTAATTGTCGTGAAAGCTGCTTTGCGAGCCCATTACTAAGGTCGTAGACATAAAGCTGAACTGTGGGCATCGTTGTGGTCGTTGCGGTATGGTGTAGGAGAGCAGAAGAGCAATAGGTAGGGCGGGCGGAGGGGTATCTGTGGAGGTTGCACGGGCGGAGGAAGCAAGTTATATGCGGACAGTCCGTTCGGCTGCGGGCTTGGAAATCTCTCGAAAGGCGACGCGTCGCATCCGGATCGCGATGACGTATCCCCTGATATGGGCGGCGTCTATCACCCCCGGCATTCTCGGAAATCCGGACAGTCAGCTGTATCCGACGCTGCATCGCGTACCATGAAAGATGCAAGCATGACGCTACGGATTGTGACCGAGAGTTAGAGCTATTACATATACAGGTATTTGAACTTCATCGACTGTGCTCATTAGCTTAGGGGAGCTCAGCAATGCACTCAATCTCCATGTCGGCGCCGAGGGGGAGGGCGGCCACACCGATGCAGGTGCGAGCAGGGGGATCGACGGGGAAGTACTAGGAAAATGTTTGGGCACGTTCGAGACGCACTGAGGGCGTGGATAACTCACCTCCAGGTAGACCTCGTTCATCGGCGCGAAATCGCGCGGAAGGTTCGCCAGGAAGACATTGCACTTCACAACCGCAGTGCGATCAACACCAGCGCCCTTGAGAACCTTTGTCATGTTGTCCAAAGCAACACGCTGGATCATTCGGGAGATTAGAGACAAATTTCCATCAGAGGCAACAGGGAGCGTACCGTTTGTGCCTGAACGCCGCCCTCAACGAGCTTCATGTCCCGGGTGATACCAATGCTACCAGACACATAGATGGTCTTCCCCGAGATGATAGCCTGAGCTGTAAGTGGTAGAATGTGAGACATAGACTAATGTGTTTGACGGAACGCAGAAATGCGTACAGTAGATGGGAAGAGGGGGGTTGGCCTCCTCAGAGAAAACGACTTGCTTCGTCATATTGGTGAATGTGTGCTGGGTGAGAGGTGGAAAGCGGCGGGGCTGTTGAGCAGGATGCAAACAGGAAGTATATATACACGCGATCGGATAATGGTGGGCTGACGAAAGATAGGTTGTATACACTATCCCGTCGATCAGTGGGGAGGGCGCGTGTTATCGATGGCCTTCTAAAGTCATGGCCAGCTGCTAGCGCAGTATATACTCAGTACTTAGCATTAAATTCCAGAAACCTCGGCGACGCAGGTGATGTCGGCGTACAGGTGTCTTTTGGCAGGCTAGCCAGAGCAAATAAATGGTCACGGAGAGAGGGCCCATTGGCGGATCAAGCCCACGGCCGGTGGTGGGCGGCGCACCAGGGCCCGGGGAAGTAAAGGAGTTTAGAGTTCCAAACTCGCTGTTTCCCCATTCACCAGCACTATTTAACATTGTGCGCAATTATATGCCGAGCTGAGGGCACCACGCGGTTGCAAGGAATTCGGTTCATTCCAGCTTGATTCAAGCAGGTCTTGAACTTCATAAGGCGTGACACAAATCACGAGATATGCGTCACGTCGCGTCCTGACTCAGCGACGCCACTGACGCGTGAGCCGGGCCCGAGGACTCACTTGCATTTGTAACCCCTCCTTGTGTCTGGAGCCTCCTGCTCAGTGCCCACCCACTCTTTCGTGACCCTTGCCTCGGTCGGGACGACCACATTTCCAGCCTTCCGAATTCTTGAAGCTCAAACTCCAAGTGTGCCCGGGCCGCTGGCTCCGAAGTCTTCCCAAGCTCAAGCGCAAGCCTGCCCAGTGTGTCCCGCAGCCCAGATCGCAGAACCTGAAAGTCGTGGTATATGCCCGGCTCCATTGCCAATGTCGAGAGCAACTCCATCAACGGGAGCGACAGTGAGGACGACTTCGACTGGGAAGAAGTCGAGGTAGGGCAGGCTGCCGCAGCCGATGCCTCCCAACTCGATGCTGCAACAGTCTCGAGCGTCCATGACTACTATGCGAGCATACATGGCCCGGAGGAGGGACCGTCCGAGAAGCCGCATTTGGAGATCACCATTAAGACTCAGGGGAAAGGCAAAGGAGATCCCAAGTGCGTTGTCCTCAGACTCCCACATCAACTCAGATTCACGAGAACGCGCACAGGAAGAACGAGCGAGCACTCCAGCTCGCGGCAGAACGCGCCGTACGTCTCGAATGCCACAAGCTACACACCGTAGCGCTCCTCGTGAGCGCGAGAGTTCGCAACCACTGGATCAACGACCCGCTCCTCCACGTACGTCCCCGACACCGCTGGTAGTCTCGTGCATTGCGTGACCGTGCGCGTGGACCTGCAGGCGCGTTTGATGTCCCTCACTCCGATGTCGCTGCAAAACGCCTTCACGATGATCACCAAGTCGCGCATCCCCGAGCCCGCGAAGCGTGGCCGCCTGTTTGAGTCCGCCATTGAGCGGCTCGTGCAGTGGTGGGCACACGACTTCTTCGAGGTCACGCCGACCGGGCACATCCGCTCCCGCACCTTCAACGACGTCCAGAAGCTGCTGAAGCCCACATCTAAACCGGACCCCAAGGGCAAAGGCAAAAGGCGCGCGACCGACGATGACGACGGCGTCGATGACGAGGAGCGCTACGGGATTGACGGCGAGAAGATCAGGGGCGAGAAGAGCCTGATGAAGCACGCGCTCATGCAGAAGGGCTCGCGCGACACGAGCGCGCAGCTGTTCACCGCGCTCTGTCGTGCGCTCGGTATCCCCGCGAGGTTGGTCGTCAGCTTGCAGAGCGTGCCTTGGCAAGCAGGCGTCGGCAAGCCAAAGCCCCCTGGAAAAAAAGAAGAGCGCGGTGGAAGCTGGCGCTAACGGCGGCTCCAAGAGCAAAGGCACGGGTAACGCGGCCGATGCTCCGCCTGAAAGGGAAGGCGACGAAGACGACGAAATGGAAGACGTCTCGATTCCTGAGCCAGCTGGGTCAACAGGCCCAAGAGGACGATCCCTCTTCCCTGGCGAAGGACAGCAACTGAACGGTGCTGCTCCATCGCTCTCTTCCAAAGCTCAGGGGAAACAAAAA